GTGAAGTACTCCTGGACGGCAGCCGCTGACGCTGCGTTCCGGGAATTGAAGGAGTCCTTCACCCAGGCGCCTATACTGGCGCACTACAACGAGGAGCGCCAAGTGGTGCTCGAGACCGACGCTTCCTCTGGAGCGATCGGCGCGGTAATGTCCCAGGTAGGGGACGATGGGAAGCTCCACCCGGTAGCGTTCATGTCGAAGAGCCTGACGCCCGCCGAGAGGAACTACGATGTGCACGACAGGGAACTGTTGGCCATCGTTTATTGCAGTCGGATATGGCGACATTATCTCGACAACAAGTACCCCGTCCGGATCCTCACGGATCACAAGAACTTGGAGTACTTCAAGAGGGACAAAGTATTGTCTCAACGGCAGGCGCGATGGTCGCAGCTGTTGAACCAGATTTCCTACACCCTGGAGTACAAACCGGGAACAGAGAACGGGAAGGCCGACGCGTTGAGTCGGCGAGAAGAGTTGATGGAGGAGACAGAACCGAAGCGAGCGGAGACTCTGCTCCGGCCTGTCGAAGACGCACCCTCTGAGGGGTGTAGTCCGGTTGAGCGACCGCCTTTGCGGTTGAATGGCACCATCCCCGCACTGGGCGATTGGATGGTGAAAGCGCTGATACCGGCGGCGCAGGACGACCCGGTGGCGAAAGAGCTCGTAGCGCAGCTCAAGGCGGGAACCTTGGCGAACGAGCGATACAGCTTGAGCCCCACTGGGGTTCTCCTGTACAACGGGTTGGTATATGTCCCCAACGCAGGGAACATCAAGGTAGAGCTGATGAAGCGTCTACACGACGGGAAGGCCGCCGGCCATTGGGGGCGGGACAAGACCGTGGAGCTGACCAGTAGGGACTTCTACTGGCCTGGGATGGCGAAGTGGATCGGGGAGTACGTTGCTAGCTGCAGTATATGCCAGCGCAACCGGCGACCCCAAATGAAGCCTGTCGGCGAGCTAGCGCCGCTACCGGTACCGGCAGGGCCCTACGAGTCGATCACTTGGGATCACATCACGGACCTGCCCGAGTCGATGGGGTCCAACTCGATCCTGGTGATCGTCGACCGATTCAGCAAGCGGGCGCACTTTATCGCTTGTCGAAAGGATAACGACGCCACGTTCTTGGCGCGGCTGTTCCTTGACCGATGGGTGTGTTTGCATGGGTTCCCGAAGCAGATCATTTCAGATCGAGGTACGTTGTTTACCTCGCGCTTCTGGAAAGATCTGTGCCGCATGGCGAACGTGGAGAACAGCTACTCCACGGCGTTTCATCCGGAGACGGACGGTCAGACCGAGCGAAGTAACTCCACCTTGGAGCAATACTTGCGGTCGTACGTCAACTTCCTCCAGGACGACTGGGCGGAGTTACTCTCCATGGCGGAGTTCGCGCACAACAACGCGAAGCACTCTGCCATCGGGATGTCGCCATTCATGGCGTCCGAGGGAAGGGAACATACCTTCTCCCTGCCAGTGCCCGGCACTAGGGAAGAGGCGGTGGAATCGGCGGGAGAGTACCGAGACCGACTCGACGGGATCTACAAGTCGGTGAAGGAGGCGCTGGAACAGGCGCGGAAAGACATGGCGAAGTACGCAAATCGGAAGCGTACCGCCGTCCCTGACGAGGGTTACAACGTAGGGGACCTGGTAATGTTATCTACCAAGAACTTGACGTCGGTGCGCCCCAGCCAGAAGCTCTCGATGAAGACGCTGGGGCCCTTCCGAATCACGGAAGTCATCGGCCAGAGCAAGATGGCGAGGAGGCTGGAACTCCCCGCGCAGTTACGCCGGGTGCATCCCGTTTTCCACGTGTCGTTGCTCATCCCCTATCGGGCCAACGAGCTGGAAGGAAGAGAGGTGGTTGAACCGCCTACCCCCGAAGTCCTCGACAACGGTGACTTGGGGTATGTCGTGTCCGAGATCGTACACTCGAAAGCGTTGCGATCCGGGAGGTCCGGGAAGAAGACCCAGTACCTAGTGCGATTCGAAGGGTACGGGGATGAATCGAACGAGTGGGTTAGCCCCGCCGAATTCGATCACGACGACAAGGTCGTCACGGCGTTCCACAAGCGCTACCCCCATCTACCGCAGCCCGGTCGACAGGAGTACGCAGACGCTTGATGCGTTCGGAGTCCGCATCTAGGGGGGGGATCCTGTTATAGCGATCACGTGACGCGTCGGACGCGCCGTACGCGACTCCCGTATGCGACTCCCGTCGGGGGTACTTTTCGGTGTTGTTGTTTTGATGTAGAACTAGTACCTCTGTAATAGCTCTACATCTGTTATTACATTTAGATGTCTACCCGTACCTTGCCTCATTCCTGCGTCCCGTCAGCCTGTCCAGGGGGACCCCCGCCGGGGGTCGCTCCCGGGCCTTACACGTAGTCTTCAGCGGCCTCTGTCATCTTCTCGGTGATGTCCCCCTTTTCCGGAAGAACCGGTCTCTGCTTGACCGGCTCACCCTTGGCATCATACTTCACATAAGGAAGCAGGCGTTTGATGGCCAAGAGGTCTCGAATGGACTCCAGCCATTCGACATAGTTGACCCCGGCTCGGGCAAGGACAATGACCTTGGGTCCTTTGGTGGTGATCTCGTCATCGGACATGATGGTGAAGGACAGCGAGGTAATGGAGATGATCGGTTTACTAATGTCTAGGGAAGGGAAAGTCTTCCTGTTATCCGGTGTAGTAGGAGATGTCTATCTGACTTGTCTATCTCAAGTTCTAGGTCGATCTGTTGACGTGACTGATTAGAAGTTGACACGTAGAGAAGACGGGTCAACAGCTGGGCTCATAACCTGTTAGAACTCAAGATATTGCTTTATCAATTGGCATGTGCTATCAGTCAATACAAAGGTACTGACCTGTTAGAACTCAAGATATTGCTTGAGATCTAACAGTCAAGTGGTGTATATTGATGATCTAGTTGTCCGAGATTTTCATCACCGGGGTGAGGTCCCAGCTTGGGTGATGCTGACTAAGCATCACCCCAGTCCCCAGTAATCCTGGGGAAATAATCCCAGTAATCCTGGGGAAATAATCCCGGTAATCCTTGATTACACACACGCGCGCACCTACTTTCTACACCGGACACCCAGCTCGCGCGCCTCGACGATCGACGATGAATGACAATGGAAAACGTTGGGATTGATGCTGAAAACCATCGCCGATGATCGCTTCAGGGTTGAGCGGATCTGTCTCGATAGGATCTAGAATGGACAAGATGAGCACGACGATATAGGCGAAGGCGAAGGCGAAGAACATCAAGAAATGCCTTGTTTCGCAAACTCTGTGGACCGGGCGACAGCGATGTCAAAAGTGCTACTATACAGTATCAAAGGTGGTCGTCCCGCGGAGCACAGTATGATACCAGGCAAGAGTGTATGGGGCTGTGTTCATAGTATCGCGTCTGATCTCCGACAAGAGGATCAGGGAGATCGAGACTCAAACCCAACACAGCAATGGAAGAGATAATAAATCGAGTCGATTAGGCAGGATCGAAGGATTCAGACTTTGTGGTCTTCCAGCGACGTCTAGGCCAGGATAGCTTATCATATACCCGATCGGATGTCGGACAAAGCCCATACGGAGCTGCAGTATTAACACTGGGTTCCGATCTATGCCGACACACAGCAAGAAGTTCTCTCCGAGCGTGATCATTCACGTGGTTCTTCGATTCTCTTCTAAGGGCTTCACACCGGGACTACAAGAGACTCCGGAGGACGCTAAGAAGTATCGGGTGGACCCGGAGATATTGGGGTATGTAAGAGGACAGATGAGGAGGATGATTATTTGAAGAGAGGCAGGGGAGAGTGCCGCTGGCCCTGGTCTTTGTGCATATTACGGTGGAGAAGTCCAGGCGGTTGGCCAAGTTGTAAGTCGGATGTATTCTTGATGGGAACTGATGAGACACGAATAGATGATTGATTATGGTGCATGTGGCATAGACCTCATCTGAGGGGTACTCGAGACGACGATCCGAACCCGGACACTCAGGGGTTCTTGGAAGGCAAGTACATCACCAAAGATTTGCCATGTGATCGCGTCCCGTTCGTTTGACTACGGATGATCGTACTGAGACAAGCGACCGTCCCGAGACAACACAGTTCTCGAAGCTCTAGTCGACCTCGATGGCGGGGAAGGAAACGTCCTGGCGGTCACGTCCGGTCACGATCACGGTGTGCGAAGAATGCAGTTTCGGGGAAAATCACCTTGTGTTCAGTCCGCGTTGAGTTCAAGTCGGAGTTGGTATCGACAAAGTAGAGAGGATAACGTGGGTCTCCATCTGCCTGATAGTTTTCAAGGGCATTCCGGGCACGGCGGTTACACGATAGCGAATACGAAAGTCAGGAACGGTCGAATATCCGAGTTTGACCTGAGAAAGCCTGTGAACGATTTATTGACGATGAAATCTAGAATTCATGCCAGCTGCCCGCCACCATGCCCGGGATTGAATATCGAGATCTGATAGCTACCCGTCTTCTCCGATTACAGATGCAGACTCCAGTATACGGGATCACCTCGTGCTTGAATGCGACCTTCATAGCCCGTGAGAGCGAGTCCATGTCTGTATCGTCGGCCGCGGCTCGAGGGTGCCGAGCCAAGGTCACATTTCCGCAGTCTGCGCGTCGCGAACTCAGCCAGACATGAGAATCGCACCACGGCTCGATGTTACAGTGCGAATTTTACGCCGTGATCATCGCAGCGAGACGAGTTGAACTCCCATCCCGCTAGAGTCGATTCTCGCTCGGTTACGCACGGGGTTCGCTGCTCCGACGTGCGACGTCCGAACGGCGTGTCATCGAACCGCAGCGGGAACAATCATGTGACGTACTCATCGCAAGTCGGACTTGAATCTGCGAAGGATGCGCGCGACCTCGTCGATCGACCGGCCATATAGAGAGAGAGAGAGGGCCCCCGCAAACGATCGACGCGGACCCCAACGATTAGCAGCACTGCACTGTACATTGACACCCCTACTCCACTGATCATCAGCGTTCAATATGGAGAAAGAACTCGATCAGAAGAATATCCCTGATCACTTTGAAGAGCTCGCCGCCGAACGGCACACCAATGACGTGCAGCTCTCTGGTTTTGAGGACCTTGGCGCGATTGCAACGCTGAAGCGCTTCAAATACGCGAGCTTCATGTGTATTCTCGTCACGTTTTCCGCGGCTGCCGATGGATATCAGGTGCATATCGACGATGGTATTGGTCTGGCGAGCTTTTGCTGACCTATACTCTATAGATCGGCATGAACGGTAATATCATCGCAAATACAGGTATGCCTGTCAGCATATGCGCCGCTCAGCAATCGTCACTAACGCTGCGTCTCATTTCGGCTCGGACTTATGTAGGCTTCATCAGACAGTTTGCGACCGAGACCGATGCGGAAGGAAATCCGATATTGGCTGCAGGCGTACTAGCCACTTGGGGCCCGATCATGAGCGTTGGACAATTTGTCGGGATGACCACTTTGCCTTTGCAAGTTCCGGCAAAGGTCTCTTGGTGTCTTCCCGGTCGCTGACTTGTTCGCATGCTTTGTTCAGCTTGGCCAACCGATATGGACGCAAGCCGACTCTATTTGCGATCTGGTTTATCCTATCCATGAGTATCCTCTGCGAGAGCTTGGCCCGGAACTGGAAAGTCTGGGTAAGCGCGGCTTCTTATCGCGACACGTCAGGACTGCTGGCTAAGCGTTCTTGTTCGCAAATCAGCTTGTTGGGAAATTACTGGCTGGCGTTGGCGTTGGTGGAATCCGTGAGCTCAGTACTATCCGATAATCATCTCAGCATAGACTGAGATTCCTTCTCTTACAGAATTTACCATTCCTACCTATGTCGCCGAAGTTGCCCCCGTGAGGATCCGAGGGATGCTTCTCATGCTTTACAACTTCTGGTTAGTCGCTTCGCTTGTATCCCATCAGTTCGAAGCATAATAGGATCCTTACTGACATCAATCCGCTCACAGGTTCTCTTTGGGGAATTTCTTCGCTCCTGTCTGTAGAAAGTAGGTGCGCGCGCTTGCGTAATCAAGGATTACCGGGATTATTCCCCCAGGATTACTGGGATTATTTCCCCAGGATTACTGGGGACTGGGGTGATGCTTAGTCAGCATCACCCAAGCTGGGACCTCACCCCGGTGATGAAAATCTCGGACAACTAGATCATCAATATACACCACTTGACTGTTAGATCTCAAGCAATATCTTGAGTTCTAACAGGTCAGTACCTTTGTATTGACTGATAGCACATGCCATTAATAAAGCAATATCTTGAGTTCTAACAGGTTATGAGCCCAGCTGTTGACCCGTCTTCTCTACGTGTCAACTTCTAATCAGCCACGTCAACAGATCGACCTAGAACTTGAGATAGACAAGTCAGATAGACATCTCCTACTACACCGGATAACAGGAAGACTTTCCCTTCCCTAGACATTAGTAAACCGATCATCTCCATTACCTCGCTGTCCTTCACCATCATGTCCGACGACGAGATCACCACCAAAGGACCCAAGGTCATTGTCCTTGCCCGAGCCGGGGTCAACTATGTCGAATGGCTGGAGTCCATTTGAGACCTCTTGGCCATCAAACGCCTGCTTCCTTATGTGAAGTATGATGTCAAGGGTGAGCCGGTCAAGCAGAGACCGGTTCTTCCGGAAAAGGGGGACATCACCGAGAAGATGACAGAGGCCGCTGAAGACTACGACCTCAAATGTGCCCAGGCTCTGGGTTACATCCGGCCTTCGCTTGGGGTCAACAAGCGATCGATCCAGGGGATTGATCACCCGGCCAAGGCCATGTACAAGATCAAGGAGATCCACTCCAAGACTACCTCGTTCGATGTCCAGATCCTGATCGACGAGTTCGCCAACCTCCGGCCCATTGGAGACGACTTTGAGGGGTACATGGCGAGGTTGGATACGGTGGTTGAGGGTCTGGAGGCCAACGGGCTACAAAGGGAGGATGTGGAGATCATGGCCCAATGGTCTAAGTGTCTCCGATCCTACCCGGAGGGACACCCTTACTTCAAGGCTGGAGAGTTCCTTCAGTCGAACATCACCATGGGGGTCGATGTCAAGAAGGAGTCGGTTGAGAGGATGATTCTGGCCGCCTACCGTGACATTGCCAACAAGGAGATTGCCGAGAAGGATGAGGAGAAGGCCTTCCAGGCAATGGCAGCCAAGTTTGGTTATGCCAAGATTGGGACCACCGGAGTTGGATTCGGGACCGGTGGTGTTGGGAGGCGGACCTTTGGGACCGGGACCGGGACCGGGACCGACACCAGGATCTGCAGGTGTTGCGGGCAGAGGGGGCATATCGCCAGGGAGTGTCCTCAAGCCGAACCCAATGGGTGCCACTCCTGTGGCAAGGCGGGACATCGGGCTCCCACCTGCCCTCACCCGGACATGGTTGCCTACAGGCAGAGGCACGGAGGAGGAGGATCGGGACCGGGATTTAGAGGTGGTGAAAGGGCCGCTGCCGCTGTATCTTCTTTCGATGCTGCTATGCAATCCATGACCCTCTATCGACGTCAGCTCGATCAAGCCTTGATCATCACTGAGAAGGCTCACTCACTTGCGACTAGGAAGATGACAACCCTGATCGATTCAGGTTGTTCAAGACACATGTTCGGGATGAAGAGGTTCTTTGACCTATCCCCGAACTATCAGAGAATGACTGCACCTGTCATGGTTGGAAACGGACAGGTGATCTATGCTGAGGGGATGGGCGACATCTTCTTGACCATCGAGGTTGGAGGAAAGAAGGCAGAGCTACATCTTGCAAACTGCCTGTATGTTCCCAAACTCAGTTCGAACCTAATCTCGATCTCACAGCTGGACAAAGCCGGATCGGACATCATGTTCACGGAAGGCAAGGCAATCTTGAGGAAGAACAACAAGATGACCTTGATCGGCAAGATGTTGGATACCAATCTGTACGAGGTCAATGCAAAGTCTCCGGCATTACCTAAGATGGATTCAGCCAACACGGCATCGATCTCAGGACTGGGGAATATCTGGCATCAACGGCTGGGACATCTGGGTGGGAACTCGATACGGAATCTTAAGGATTCGGTGGATGGGTTTGACCAGACGTCTGTCCCACACCAGTGTGAGAGCTGCATCCTGGGAAAGATGACAAGAGCTCGATTCCCAGACAGCTCATCACGGTCAACAGAACCACTCCAGCTGATCACCTTCGATCTTGCTGGGCCTTTCGATGAGGCTATCGGAGGAGCCAAGTACTTCATGATCATGGTCGATGATTACTCCAAGTACTACCACGTCGAACTCCTCAGGACCAAATCAGAGGCAACTCGATGGTTGAAACAGGTTCTGACTCAATGGGAAAATCAGTTGAGTCGATCAGTCAAGGTTCTCCGGTCCGATGGTGGGGGAGAATTTGACAACAGAGCGATCAGCCAGTTCTGTGAAGAGAAGGGGATCCGAGCTCAGATGACTACAGCTCGAACTCCAGAACAGAATGGGGCAGCAGAGAGAGCTGTCCGGACCATCAAAGAGGGTACTCGGACTCTCTTGATCGATTCCGGTCTCAGTAACAAGTACTGGGGTGCCGCTGCAAAGAACTTTGCATACGTCAGGAACCGGACCCGGACCGCAAAGACAGGAGACAAGACACCGATAGAACTCTTCACTGGAAAGAGACCGTCGGTCAGTCATCTGAGGGTGTTTGGATGTGTCGCTTACATGCACATACCAAAAGAAGACCGGGTTGGTCAGATCTGGAAACCCAAGGCAAAGCGGTGCATCTTCCTTGGATACGGAGAGGAAGAGTCGAAGGCCAAGAAAGCTTGGACACTCTTTGATCCCTATGCTCTCAAGAAACATGTGACGGTACATGTCAAATTCTGTGAAGACCAGAGATGGGCCGATCAAAAGACCAACATCGCAAAAGGAGACATCTTCTTCCAGGACATCTTACCTGCAATCGGGGAAGCCGAACTGACTGTCGGGGAAGAAGCCCAACCGGTTGATCCAGAGATCGGGGAAGCTGAACCGAGGATCAATGAAGCCGAACCAAGGATCAATGAAGCTGAACCGGAGATCCTGGACCCTCGACCGGAGATTGGAGAAGCTCAACCAGAGATTGGGGAAGCTGAGCGAGAGATGGGGGAAGTTGAGCGAGAGATCGGGGAAGCCGAACCTCAAATAGGGGAAGCCCCAGTTCAGCCAGCAGGACCGATACCACTGCCGCCAAGTAGGATTCCAGTCCCAGTGGATCAACAAAGCACTCGGAAGAAAGGGACTGGTATCTGGAAGAACTACGAGTATGTTCCAGTACCAGCTCAAGGATCGGGGATTCCACAGGTCTTGCCAGATGGTGCAAGACGATCCCGACAAGCTCCAAAGAGATTCCAGGATCATGCGGCCATTGCACACGGACCCAAGCTTGAAGACATAATGGATCAAGCTTTCTTGACATCGGCTGAGATGGATCCTGCCGATCCCATCTATCTGGATGCGAAGCTGGATGAGATGGCATCGATGGCCAAGAACCAGGTCTGGACCCTGGTCCCAAGGCAGACCGGACAACCAAAGCCGATCTCAGTCCGATGGGTCTGTACCATGAAAGACCTACCCGATGGTACTCAAAAGCCAAAGGCCAGACTGGTTGCTCGGGGCTACACCCAGAAAGCTGGGATCGACTATCAAGAGATCTTTGCCCCGGTTGTCAAACTGGAATCCATTCGGTACATCATCGCTCGAGCGTGCCAGAGACAGATGATTCTGTCACAAGGTGATGTCAAGACCGCCTTCCTTTCCAGCAGCATGGAAGGAGAGACCGTCTACATTGAACAGCCTGAGGGATTCAAGGAACCCGGGAAGGAGGACCATATCTGCCTATTGAACAGAGCGATCTATGGTCTCCATCAATCTCCTCGTCTGTTTTACCGGCACATCAGAAAGATCCTGGGTGGATTTGGGTTCTCATCGATCTCAGCAGATCAGTCGGTGTTTGTCAAGGACACTCCGGAGGGAAAGGTGCTACTGTAAGGCCCGGGAGCGACCCCCGGCGGGGGTCCCCCTGGACAGGCTGACGGGACGCAGGAATGAGGCAAGGTACGGGTAGACATCTAAATGTAATAACGGATGTAGAGCTATTACAGAGGTACTAGTTCTACATCAAAACAACAACACCGAAAAGTACCCCCGACGGGAGTCGCATACGGGAGTCGCGTACGGCGCGTCCGACGCGTCACGTGATCGCTATAACAGCTACTTGGTCTGTATGTGGATGATGCACTGGTAGCCGGAGACACCGACAGCTTGGTCCAGGAAACCAAAGCCTTGCTCAACACCAGGTTTGAGATGAAATGGACGGATGATCCCAAGGTGTTACTGGGGATCGAGATCGAACAGGACCGGGAGAAGGGAACTGTTATAGCCATCCGCGGTGCGACTATCACGTACATCCGAACGGGTGTTCCGCCAGCAACTCCGGCGGAGCAGGTACTTATATGATACGATAGGTAATGTCTAACTACTACGATCCCTATTGTAATATGTAATTCATCTGCTATCACACTCATTTATCTACCTATTACCCTACGCAAGTCCCGGAGAACACACAGGTTGCTGGCAACCTAACAGGAACCATCACCCTATCTCAAAAGAAGTTTGCTCGGGAGATCCTGAAACAGTACAATATGATTGACTGTCATCCCGTCAAGACTCCAGTGGAAGAGGTCATCAGCGCATTCCCACCTGAAGACCGACCACCACCTGATACCAGGTTTCCTTTCCGGGAGTTCATTGGAAAGGCGAATTATCTAGCTCGGGGGACACAACCGGATCTCTCCTTTGCAATCTCACACCTTGCATCATTCTGTTCGACCTACCAGGAGACACACTGGCAAGCGTGTGAGCGGGTAATGAAGTACCTTCAGGGCACCATCGATGCCAGTCTTGTCTATCACCGAGACGGAAATCAGAAAATTGCTGGTTACTCGGATGCCGAGTATGCCGGAGACAAGGGAGATAGGAAATCTGTCGGGGCATATGTGTTCACATTGGCCAATGGACCGGTATCATGGCAGAGCAAGAAACAGACCACAGTAGCCTGGTCTAGCACCGAGGCCGAATACATCGCTCTTGGATCAGCTGGGAAAGAAGCGGTCTGGCTCTCGATCATGGATCAGGAACTAGGATTTCATGATGGTAAACCGGTCACCATCTTTGAGGACAACCAGCCAGCTATCGCATTGGCTAAGAATCCCACCAACCATGCTCGGACAAAACATATTGATGTTTTGCACCGCGCTCTTAGGGGACTGATCGAGGACAAGAAGATCGAGGTCGAATACCTCAACACTAAACAGATGATTGCGGATCTCCTCACCAAGCCAATCACTGGAAAGCAGCTCCAAGTACTTTGCGCTGACATGAATCTGAAGATCAACAGGGCACCTACACCAATGTCGTCCACCTCTGAATAGAGAAGTCCGAGGGGAAGTGTAGAAAGTAGGTGCGCGCGCTTGCGTAATCAAGGATTACCGGGATTATTTCCCCAGGATTACTGGGATTATTTCCCCAGGATTACTGGGGACTGGGGTGATGCTTAGTCAGCATCACCCAAGCTGGGACCTCACCCCGGTGATGAAAATCTCGGACAACTAGATCATCAATATACACCACTTGACTGTTAGATCTTAAGCAATATCTTGAGTTCTAACAGGTCAGTACCTTTGTATTGGTTAATAGCACATGCCAATTGATAAAGCAATATCTTGAGTTCTAACATCCGGTACCGCCTGTTACGTCTTATACTCGGCGCTGGTGCACAGTTCCTCACATGACCTCGTGCTCAGAGTATTATTACCAAGCAACGAGCAGAGTCGTAGATTCTACGGCGGGGGTCTTCAAGCAGTACGCAAGTACGGTCAGTCGTTCGGGTCCATCCATGGCATGTCGAACGTCGGCTGACTTATTTTCGGGTACCGCCATGCGCCATGCGATATACGGTTACGTCATACAATTCGGAAGCTATTCTATATAGATCACCTTCGGAAGTATATAATCCATTCGCCGGTGATCGACCGATTCATCCTCTCGGATCCGAGGAATCGACCAGAAGAGGCAACCCATCGACCATCCATCATCGAGATTATCGACATCGACATCCTTTCATCCAACTACCATCATTCAGAGAACCATACACACCGGCACCTTCACAATATCAAGGCCAGGGTGAAATTCGACATGACAGCCACGACAACAGCACGACGCCCGCCCTCGACCGTCGCAGTGGGACCCCGCGCGATCGTCCTCAACGAGTCCCCGTCCGTGACGCCGTCTGGGTCGTATTCGGCGGCGAACTCGAACGGGGTGACGGTCAATATCATCGGGATCGGTGAGTCCAGGTCGTTTGATTGTCGTCGTTGTCGAAGAGGGTGGTGGTAATGACAGGAAGGAGAACTGAATCTGGTTCTTTCTCGCCTCTGCTCTCTCGTTACTCTTCTCCTTTTGTGCGCTATTCCAACGTGATCACGATGCGGGGTCTCCTTCTACCTCTCAACACCTGCAACACCACGCCCAAATACCTTTATCGCAAATGCAACTGCAATCATCCTCGTCATCTCTCCTCACCCATCAACATCACCCATCAACCGACTCGACCTAAACCCCAACAGGCGTAGGCTTCGTAGGCGGCGCCCTCCTCCTAATAACCCTCACCCTCCTCACCCGCTTACACCTCGCCCGTCGGCGCGCAGCATCCCAAGGCCTCCCTCGCCCACAGTTGTGGGACGTCGTCTTCGACTCAACCCGTTCTGGAGGGGCTTTGGCGATAGGAAGGAGTTTGGGGGGGTACGATTGGGATTATAGGAATGGGGGGGATATTTGGGGAGCGAGAGGGTTAGGGTTGGGCTTCGGAGGGATTTGGGGGTTTGGGTTGGGAGGAGCTGGGGGGGAGAAGGATGGGGAGGGGGTGGGGAGGAGGCCGGAGATGAGGGAGGTCGTACTCGGGGTCGGAGTGGGGAAGTCGGGTGGGCATGAGGGTGTGCGAGGGTTTGGGTTTGCGGGGTGGAAGGTGAGTCTCATCTTTGTTTTTTCAGTTCTCTGAATAGGTAATACACGTAGTCGGTTCGAAGTACTGATTTTTAACTCTACCGTGTACCGTGTCTGACGTGGAATCGGACGTAGCCGACATCTCTATTCCTGCATGAACCCTCAACGGACAACTCTCCACCATCGACAACCAATACCGTGACAAACACCGCTGCTACCACATCGCGGCCATCAGCACCAGCACCAGCATCAGCACCAGCACCATCATCAACGTCAGCACCATCACCATCAGCACCATCAAACCCATCGCCCTCGAACCCAAACCCATCAAATCCAAGCCCATCCTCACCATCCTCGAACCCGCAAGGACTTGAACTAAAACCCGACTCGAGGATCTCGACGACGGTGCTCATCCTCCTCCCTTCCCCCAAATATCCCTACACCTACACTGATCACTCGGCTCGCTCGGCTCTTACACCGGAGATGAAGATGGATAGGCATGGTCAGCTGAGAGGAGAGCGAGATGAGAAGAAGAAGAAGAAGGAGGGATATGAGGTCAAGCACGTCGAGGACGTAGACGTACATGTGGCGGACGTGAGCGATATTAAAGACGCGGGCGATGCGTGGGGTCGGGTGATGAGTTGGGGAGAAGGTGGAGACGGTCAGGATGCGGGTGTGGGTGTGGATAGGACGCCAAGGACTGGATTGGCGGGGACATTGTCTTTGTCAGGATCCCGGGATGAGCAGGAGGTGCGGGATGGTCAGCGGGACGTACGGGAGAAGTCTGGGGTGATGATGCCGGTGATGATGCCGGAAAACGAAAATGAGGGGAGGGAGAGACCGCCAGTTCAGATCCCTGCAACATCGTCATCTTTACCACCGGCACCGCCAACACATACCCAGACGCAGGGGATTACGAGCGAGGTGCACGAGGGTGAGGAGGAGGACGACCTACCCGATTTCGTCCTGGGTGTCTTGGAGCTGGAGGTGGTCGCCGATACGCCCGATGGCGAGATCGGCAACTCTCATTCGGGCGACCAGGTAGAAGCAGGGGTGTCGTATCCACCGAAATTAGCAGATTCGACATTGGGACAAGCAGTCGGCGGTGTATCACCGCGGACAGATACAGAGGGATCGCCTATGACGATGAACGGGACGGGAAGGGAGAGACCGATGCCTACGGACGGCTTGATGAGGAGTTTCTGGAGACGGTGACGGTGATGCGGCGACCGTTCTCGGGTCTGACACGGCGGGCTGAGTTGGTCGGTCTGCAGGACCGGATATCGAGGAATCGGATGGTTTATGAAGAGGTGTAGGTCGTGCTTTTCGTGTCGCTATGTGTAATCGGATTTGTATAGCGAAGGGTGGGTAATCTATTGGCTATTGGGAGATCAGGATGTACTCGATGTAACGCAATGATTTGATGATACGCGCGGCCGAGCGAGCCGACGGACGTCAGAAGGCGGTCCGGTCCATTCTAATTTCATTCAGGGGTTCGGTGATTGAACCTGATCTATGGCGCTATAGCTCTAGTTGCTAGTTGGCTAATGAATTAGTCATGAGTCATAAGCCGGGGTCTGTCGGGCGGGGGTATATGGAAGCTGGAAGGTATAAATATGATCACACCATCTCGAACACCACTATCATGTCCATCTCTTCCCTCGCCTGAGAAGAAAGCACCAGCACATCCACCCTCTCCGCACCTCTACGATGTCGACAGCCGCAGAGAACCCGGAAGCTTTCCCGCTTCAAGGTCTGACCAGCGATGGGTGGTCCAACGAAGAAGAAGCTTCGGCTACTTGTGCGTGCGGCGCCGTGCAGATGGTCATCGTGAGTCGTGCTTCCCCCAATTTTCGACCTATCAGTCCGTTTGCCAGTCGATTCATATATCTGATCTCATCGATCTCTTGAATAATATTGATGGACCACGCCACGCCATGCTATGTACGACAGCCATTGAAAGCCCCAGGCCTGGTCAACACCTTTGTCTGTCACTGCTCGGACTGTAGGAAAGTCTCCGCATCGATGTTTGCTACGAACTTTACCTCCCTCGACACCCACACCCGGTTCACAAGGGGGGAAGACAACCTCACCGTCTTTTCCCAGAACAAGACGACGGCGACGGGAGGGACCATGTCGAACTCGTTTTGCAAGACTTGTGGGACGCTCATGTTCCGAGCTGGGTCGGTCGCACCGGGGACGAAGTTTATGAGAGGGGGGATTATTGATGATCATCGGTTGCATGATACGATGTTGAGGCCGGGGGTGGAGATCTTTTCGGAACATAGGGCGGGGTGGGTCAAGCCGGTCGATGGGGTGGAGCAGGCCAAGGGGATGGGGCCGTTTAGCAAGTAGCAGGGGAAAGAGGCGTAGGAGCGATCGATGGTGGGCTCCTGTCGTGCTCGAGGCAGTTGGCTGGGATCTGTGATAATAGTTCAGACGAGAAGCCCATGAGGGTCGATTACTGAATCCAGCAGGAGATCACGTCAACCGCTGCACGTTGGGTCGATAATAGCAATAACAATATGACTGCTTCTGCCGATACGCGATGCTGAAAATGGTGAATGAACGGATCGACCTTCTGCGCATACCTTTTTGCTAGGCACGGCGTGATTCGGTGATAACCAGACGATGCAGAGAAAAATAGACCCAGTTGTTTCATCAACCTATTCGAAACACAGATATAACGCGGTCAAGCGACTTGTATTGTTCAGTCTGAAAACGTTTTCTCCGCCATGTTGCCGCAGGATGGGCGCCATGATATTCGTTGTATCAAAGCTCAATCTTGTGTGTAATGCGCTCCAGAGAAATCTCGATCTATATAAAACTAGAACACCTCTATGATAGCATTTACACTACGGAACAAAATCAGATCACACAAAAATCATTTAATCGGGCGAGAAATACCAATCACTCTGTACACTACAATCGGGACATGTGATCGTCGCCGAAGAGTGGCAAATCCAAATGATAGAACCCGAGTCTTAGCCAAGATATCACCTTAGGCAGACCCAGCAGGAACATGCTGTCCGTAAGATGGTCGCAGGGGCTTCAGTGGTCGTTCTGAGTGGTGGCGATAGAGTAGGATGATGGGGCCTCAAGAAGGAACGCCGCTTCGCGGGCACGCGCGTCGATCTCTTCTTGTACAAATTCGAAGAGCTCGCTCGATTCCCGAGAGAGCCGATCCACCGAGAGTCGCAGACATTGAGTGCTCCTGAGTCCCATGTAGATCTTGGGTACAACTGGACTGATCGCATCGCTCAAGGCTCGACGAAAGGCTTTATTTTCAGACCGCTGCATGTTGCGAATCGCGTTGGCAATGCCATCAGAAGTTTCCGGCTGGCCCATGAGCATCGCGGTACCGTGCTGGCAAGAGAGTCTATCATCATCGCGCCTATCCTCTTCGGTGTAGCGCGAAACCGATTCGCTCGCATGACGTTCTGACAATACCCTTTTGCTGAGGATTCCTTGCAGATAGTTGCGCTTCGTATCGGCGACAGAACTCCCTTCAAGCTGGCTCCGCACTTCAAAACCACGCTTCCCCAGCTCGGTCACCAACGAAGTCAACATCTCGCACGGATCCATGGAAGCTACGTCGGCATGCTCTGTCCTTGTCTGCTGGTATTGAATCGCCCGAAGTACCTGATCGCGTCCCCACTCCCCGCAACGATCGCGCAGTCCACTCTCGTACAATGCATGGGTCCAACGCGTCTCTGCTGTACGGACCCAGGATGGCAGGACATAGAGTTCTCTGACCTTTTCCAAGCCGACTGCGCTGATCCCCCACTCCTGATCTTCGATAAACGGCATATGGAAACCGAATTCCGGCCGTACAGCGTTCTGTTCATGGTCTTCTGGTAGCTTTCCGATTGTCAACACGTATGGGCATGGATAACGGACGCCCCATTCGTGCCAATTGTTGTTCACGAAAACGAACTTGTCCTCTTCGAGCATTACAGCCATAGCATGAGTTGTTTGGTCGTCCCAATCGCAAGCACTCGCGTCGAAGTATTGCAGATGAGACAAATCAAAGATCAGGGGTCTTCTCGAGGCCCGAGATCGGCGATCGATGCTGGCAAGCGGCATATTTCGAAAGGAGATACTCCGAGCGAGAAGGGGTTGTCAACCACTAACTGACAAGCTCCCTCCTGCTATTTGGGTTCGTCATCGCGATCTAAATACGTGTTCACTATGCTTCTTGAAACGTCGACCGTTCCTTTGATTAGACGCCCTCTGGCCGTCATCTCGCCTCTTCACAAGTCTTGCTTCTCGCGGCAGTCGAATTATGGTGTGATCCAGATTTCGTCCTTTCATGCGTAAAGGAATCGGCTGGGTGATATTTACTTTCTTGGCTACGAGTATGCCCTGCGGTACGCAGAGTTATAGGGCGATGCTTGTTGTTCTTTGGCCTTGGCTTTATACCAATTGAACGATCGGCGGGTATCAAAAGCTGAGCATGCGTCTCGGTTCGTCAGGCCTGGTCGCGCTTCACGATGTTTAGACCTGTTGTCTCTGGTGTCTCTACGATCCAAAAGCGTATAAAGTATATCAGGTCGACTTCCATGATACACGATGTATTGTCGTAGATATGACAGTGTCGAAGTATGAGCCATCGAAGCCGCGGGGTTAAGCCGGGCCCGGATGCCAACAACGTCATATTTCGCCATTGTAACGACTTTTGGAGAAGCACGTTTCAGCCGTCCCGAAGGATCCTTAGACCGACTCAAAGGTCATGATACTGATCTTTCCTTTCTCGTGCGTAAAGGCAGTGGAAAGGCCTTTATGAGAACGGACGGGCAGCTGCGGGCCGGGATTGCTTCTCACGACTGACCGCTGAGAAGCGATTGCACCTGTGTTGTCTGATCCTTTCTGAGACTGATTGTGGTACGGCAATAGAATATGGCATATAAATACCGGCGCATAAGGCAAGGCTTTCACATTCGCAAAGCTGAGAGCATTCTCCAGCATCTGCCACCTTCAAAGCCAAACAAGATGTATAATCAAATTTCCCAAACCTCTTCTACCTCCTTGCTCCTTCCACCAGACTCTGATTCTTCGGACGATCAAACCAACAGTGGAGATTCTTCGCGCACTCGGCACTCGAGAAAGTCGTACCCTCGATTCGACAACGGCTTGTCGTCGAGGTCTGACGTTCTCTCCGCGTTGACCAATTCTCGGATCAATCCATACATGATTGTGCCAGACAAGGACGGAACGGACTTCGAGCTTCAGAGCTTAGTGTGCACCTATGCGGTCCTTCACGACAGCAAGCAGTTGGTACCGACGATCATCCCAGCTAAGTTTGGTGAAGCTTTCGATGCAATCGTGCGGTTAAACACTGCTTGGATAGAGCAGAGTCTGAGAGAATTTGCGAAGCGAAGGAAGTCTGTCTCCGAACGGTGCACAGAGCCTATCTGCGGATCTTTCACGTGGTGCGGAGGAGGCAATCAATGGAGCGGCTGGCTACAGCTACAGAAAGCGTCCTCGCCCGAGCTTTCCGTGAAGAGACAGCAGCACAAAGACCTTTCCTCGTATCGCAGCCCTTTCGCGTGCAAAATCGTGCGAGGTGAAGAACAGCACAGCATAGTGTTTGACGCTTTGAAAAGAAGCAACCCTCAACATCGGGCAGTTGAGAGATACGAACTCTCTTTCAAACTTTATGGACACTGTCGCCTGGACAAGCCTTGAGTCTTACCGGCGCGAGTTACTTTATAGTTTAGAAGGTCTCCCGTATTCATATGGATGCCAATCGTCAGATCAATCTTGCCGCTCTCAATTATGATATCGCGTCTTGTGTAGCAATAGACATGGCAAGCAAGTTGCGGTTCAGTAGCTCAGTAGAGTACTGCTGAAACACAAGAAAGCCAGCGGAACCTTTTTAGGGACTGTTCGTGCGCTAGCGCAAAGATGACAACGTTAGATCACATGACAGGGATGATTTATAGGTGGCCTGCTTGATGTTCCAGCTCGTTCTGTCAGGTGATGGAGTCAATCTCTAGTCAAGTGACATCAAGAGCAAAGTTGAGCCCGCTGCTGTCAAAGGGGCTGCCTTTCGATGCGACCCTTTGTGCTACAGACAAAAGCGTGGCCTCTGGCCGTCCTTCGCCCAGGACGAGTGAACGCCGTTTCCTTCATCTATTCTCAAAGCGCTTTAAGGTGCCGTCCGATCTTGCAGCAGGTTCACCCCGTCTAGCAAGCAAGAATGCGCCATTGTGTCAGCATTTGGTCTGGCATCAAAGGAGAGCTGGTTTCAACCAGCTCACGGCAGCTCCCGAGCCTGGAGTACTATATATGAAGACTGAACATGTATGGTCTGCACGCTCGTCGTAGAACCAAGGGGACTCAGATTACCTCAACGCATTTCAGCGAAAACATGCCTGTCTACCAGCCCGAACACTTCAATCCTTCAGAGGCCACTCTAGTCGGTCCTGGCCATGACGCCGACTCCGCCCTCGCCCAACTTTTTATTGCTGACCTCACCATTCGGACGACTCCTAGTAATGGTAGACTCAGCGTCTGCACCACTGACACTGCTACTGAGGCCTCTACCACTGGCAAGACAACATCGACACACTCTCCCTCGAACCTCGCTCCAGACAGCTCAAGGCGGGCTCGCAGTCCATCACTGAGGGAATCCTGGCGTGCTTTGAGCCGATCGCCAAGTAGATCCGGAAGGGGCCTGAGAGCGGTGAGACCAGGAAAGCAAGGTGCGGTCTCGACAGCCGTTGCGTCTGTTCTCGAAACTGCTCGAATCGAGCATCCTGAACGCGGGACGATTAGTGACGAGATGTTGAATCTCTTGAACGAGGTACTGAAAGGGAAAGGACATGAGTTTGCGAATATTCCTCTGGAAACGATGCATCAAGTCAGTATTTGAGTTTACAGTCGCACGCCTTGATTCCATCGCCGACCTTTGATGTTCCACTACAGGTCAAATTCATGAAAGTTTCGAAGGAGGGGAAGGTACTGAATGACAAGAGCGAATGCATAGAATGGGAGTACCTCATTCTTCACAACAATGAAAGCTTGGACAGCGCTGCGGAACGACTGAACGATACTGCCGTCATCCACCGCAAGTACTTTCCTACAGAGACAACTGAGTGCAATTATGTCACCTGCTGCATACAAAACGATGGGGTCAACAAGTGGAACTGCCTTATTCAAGCCTCAGTATCCAGCGGCCATGAGATCTGTCACGACAGGGTGGACTTGGATCGACTGGTAGCCACATGCATCACGAAGCAGTTCAAGTTCATGTTGTATGCCCATCCAGATGCACTGTAGGATTCGTTTATGATATGGCGTATGCGTGTAGCTGAGAAAGTCTCATATTGAATACAAATATTCGCAGACTCAAAAGATGCCACGCAGTTGACCACATTTGTCACCTTAGCTGTGCAGTTGTATGACCATCCGGGAAATCGAGCCAAGACATGGACCACCTCGCCCAAGGAGCAAGATGATCCCAAATCCTGCAAACAACGCCGTTGGCACGACTGATCGCTTTGTTGGTGCATTGTTGATTGTCTCATGCACTCGCTTCATCCGAGTACGATACTTCTTTGCAGTCTAGCGCAATCTACTGTATCCGCTGCTGACGCATACAGACCCAGTCCAGCTGTCTCCCTACTTTGCTTCTCTGGATCTGCAAGTATGTATGCCCAAACTGACAGCTGCAGGGCGCAACCCAACTTTACACACTCGGGTATCATAATACGACCCTGCGTACCGGTCCTACTGGTCAGTAACGGTATCGCAAGAATGAAGAGTCAAGAGCCGTCAGATACAACAGTATTGAAAACGATCGACCTAGATCCCTCGTCCATTGCGAGCGACGATCAGTCGCCGAGCCTCTTCGATATCATAAGGCTTGGGCCGAGTACTGGGGAGACTGCTTCCACCGGTACTGGACAAGCCATCACTGTGGAACCTGGACTCTCGGTTGTCGATCCAGACGGGCATCAAATCGTACGGGACCTAATTAAATAATCTTTTTTCCAAGGCCTCGAGGATTGCACCTACCCATCTTGATTGCTCGTGTCCGATTGTGCTCGCTTGGTGGGAAGACTTGGTGGGAAGACGACAACAACAAAAAGACCAAATACTTCTGGTCGTTCAGTCAAGCACACATATTCCTCTGAGTCATGTCGCCAGCACAAAGACCAATGCCGAGACCGTGCATGCTTTATCAACACGATTAACCAAATCGAGCGGAAGATGGAGCATCCGACGGGGAGCGCACACTTTCCTCTTGTATGCCGGTGCCACTGAGTAGGAGACGGCAATTCCTTTAGGCTTTGGAGATTGAGTTGTCAAGAGCTGGGTGAAATGTAGAATTGTCAAGGCCGTACGAAGGCGATGTATGGTAGCCTTGACAGATGAGTAATTGAATCTTCGAGGTGATACAACGCATAATTTTCCAGACGACAAGGCGAGTACAGTCGAAGTATCGTATTGCTGGAGGGTGTCACGAACTGATCGATCAGATTGGGCAGGCGAGATTAAGCTGATGACCCATAGGTGATGGCAAACGGCCTGCTATGAGATTATAATCTCTGCACTTTTGGGGGTAGAAGCGACCTCTTCGATGGTGACTGTCTCTCTCGAAAGTTCCTAGAGCCTAGACAGCCTTTGGCTGTGAAACACCTTTTTGACTCACAACAAAGCAGTGCCAAGCTTCTCGGTATAATTCCTTTGTTCGGTATACTCTGCTTCCGCTTACCGTTACCTATATATACCTGAGCTGGCTTGATCCAAGCATTGATTACTGCTATATTCACTGCTATACCCTAGCCTATATTCTATATCCTATGACCAAATAGCAGAACAGATCTCGCCTCCTGCGACCTGAAACATAAAGCGGGAAGAAGCCAAAAATAAAAATGTCCAGTCAAGAACCTGCCAACAATGCCTCCATTGGAAGCGAGACCATTGATTCCTCCAAAGCTACTACAGGCCCCCTCGCTAGTCTGCGTTCATTCTGGAGTTCATTCGCCACACCTGATCAATCGTCACTTTCTGGCAACACTCTACCTGATCCTGGGGCCCAGGCGATCATCTCCGTCAAGCTTTGTCAAAAGCCTACCGGGTCTTCCGAATCTGCTTCCCCTCCACCGGACCAAACGCTGCTGGAATCGAAGGTCCTGAGCCGGCTGTCAGAGCTGTTCAACGGGCTCAAAGATGCTTCGACCGTTCGTCTCGAAAAGTATCCGCTCACGATCGCATGGTGGCAAGAGGCAAGAGTGGGTCGGGCGCCCGTGTACTTCCTATGCTTGGATCGGGAGAATCTGGCAAAGTCGGTGCGCAACGACAGGAAGCCGATCGATCAGGTCACTTTCGAGTTCTTGTCGAAGGGCTTACCCGGAGCGAGTGAGAAGTGGGAAGTAGAGAGAGGCCAGGAATCGTGGATCATGTCCACAGGGTCTCTTGGAGACTTTGTACAGCTTTGGGGGACGGGTGATCGAGCGATTAACCTGCAGACAGTGGCTTGTGAACTCAAGAAGAATCAGAAATTCTTGTACCGTATCTCAGAAGCCTAATTCAGAGCGATCAAATGATCTAATCGCGGCGATCATATGACTATTGAAACTAGGTGATGCGATGGTGGGAAGTCTGAGAAGCATAGTTCTTTTAAATCCATAATGCGCAAACTTGACTCTCCTTTGTTACTAGATACTCTGATTTCCGGGTGTTAGACTGCGGCCAGGAGAAGCTATGTAGGGGCGCAGTTCTATTCAGTAGGATATAAATGACGAGGCGGACTGCGGGTCGACGTCAAAGCAGGAATCACGACTGTCCATCAATCACCTCGACCCATCGACAATGACCGATAGCACCTTATTACCGTCCACAACTGTGGAAAGTGACAATGAGATCAACTTCATCCCACCCAGCTCTACAGGCCATGCACCCCACGCTCGAACCTCGATCGCTCCTTCAGCGCTAGCAAGCGCATCGGTGAGCGGTCCCAGCGGCGATCAGGCCAACACGGTCCAGACTGAAACCAAAAACACCAGCCTCAAAGAGTCCTGGACCAACTGGAAGCGGGGTCTCTCTGACCGTTTCTCCAAATCACCTGTCGAACAAGTCAGGGCTTTCAAATTACCTGAAAGCCCATTGAACTTTGGGGGGTTTCGATGTTACGCACTGAACAACAAGAAGTTTCTTGCGGCCCTGTCTCGAGCACTCAATGAGGAGAGCGGGGGGTTCTCGAGGCTGATCACTGATGGACCCGATGGAGGCAGAGTAAACTATATCTCTGCTTCGACTCGACGCATCGCTTCTCACTGATCTCAATTGACGTACGTCTGTATAGTGGAAGATCATGCACTGGCCGCAAGATGCTTTCACAGCAAAGAAGCGAAGCAACAAGCACTGCTTTTCGGTACTCAAAGCGGATGAATCATTCAACAAGGACACTACTAAGGGAAAAGCTCTTGTGGTCACCCAAAGAAGGAGCAGAGGACTTGCGTCAACCACATGGCAGCGGAAAAGTGCAAGATCTGACTCGTCGCGCTTGTCGCATCACGAACGGAAGCAACACGCGAGATCTGGTACTACGCACTCAATTACTACACACAACAGATGCTGCTAACGGTTTGACAATCGACCAACGAGTCATGTACTTTGACTGCTCTGTCCATACCGTTTGCGACAATTAGTCAACCCAAGGTGCATCGCTTGCCTGTTGTATCGAATGGCGAAATGAGACTGTGTATCCATTTGGTCATTAGTGTTCAACGTCCGCTGCAGACGTTTGTTCGTTTTTCTTGTTGATTTAGACCACCTAAACTACCCAACGACATAACAACATCACGACTTGAGAAGCAGACTTTGCTGACTGTATCATCGCGTGACCGTCGGCCTCCTTTGTAGGAGTCACAATCTATCGCGTGGTCCTTCGAAGGTAGCCATCGCGTAGCGTGCTTCTCGACCTGCGAAAATTCGTATATATATAGCAGAGGATTACACGCAGTCTCATCACATCCTTCCATGCTGGTCAATGCAGATCCGGCCAATCTGTTCCCCCGGTTGAGGCGTAAAAAATCCCCGCCCAACATGCGTCTTTCTGCAACCTCTGACATCGAGCTTCGAGACCTGCCTTCCATTTCACGGACGTCGACCCGCACGCCATCTGGACCAGACAATCAAGCGGACAGTACATCGACGGAGGGGGATGATGGAATGACCTTGGCTCCAGTGATCAGTCGAGCCAGTACAGATCTCGCCGGCGCAATATCGACCACGAATCCAGGATCTACCGCCTCGAAAACATCTTGGGGGGAACTTATATCCAGGCCACTCTGGAATCTGCTCTTGAAAGAAGACGCAGGTCCGCTCCGAGCTATCGAGCACCCGAAATACAAAGAAACCGGATGGACTTACTATCGAGAGACACGATTTTTGGCAGCTTTTTCTCGAGCCTTGAATGAGCCCAAAGGAGGGTTCTCCAGGTTGTTCTCAGATGCATGCGATTGGGACCGAGTGAGTCAACATTGATTTTATTAACGAATCAGAGTTCACGCTTGTTGATCATGGCCCAACGATATATCATCAGTGGGAAATGATGCGCTGGCCTGAAAAAGATCTCGCGACAGGAAATCGAACAGGGAGGTATTACTTCCTGGTTCGGAAAGAGGATGAAAAAATCGACGTGGAAACCGCCAAAGCTAGCGCTCTCATCTGGTCGTATAAGCAGGGCGAGAAAGATTTGGACCGTCCGATGAACAGCAAATCACGAGTATGCCAGATCACGGACGGCACAACATCAATCAACCTCGTCATTTTTGGCTCGAGGCATGACGGCTATACCAGCCGCTATCCAAGCTTGACCACCGGATTTACCTATGGGATGGACCTCACCAAGTTCTTTATGTGTACTCGCACGACCTACAATGATGATGGAGGATTGAGTTGTGACCCCTTTAGGATGTAGCCACGCCCGTATATATGTATAGTTACACTGTTTGGGCGGGAGGTTATCTGCTTGGCGCCCGGCTGTAAGACACGGACTAGTCCGCCACTGCTGCTTCAGCCTCCCCCAAAGGCTCCGATGCAGCGTGGCGTTTCATATTGCAGGTTGACAGGGCTGCGACTTGCCGCGCGCGCCATCCCTCGTTTCACCATCCGGGCCAGCAGGTCTGGGACTTTTCGCGCTTCATCCCTTGCATCAAAGGAGGCACCCGAAACGCTTAGCGATCGGGAGTCGAGCTTAAAGCCTCTCACCACTAACATGAATGTCTATTCGCAACCACACTGTTCTCAATGTGATACTGTATGCATCCTGGCGTTATCTACCAGTACATTTATACATCATGACACCAACTTCGACGATATCGACCGGGTTCCTATCTTCGCACGATTCCGATCATCTTGGCACGAGTGCATCGGAACCTCAAACACCTTCAACAAAACGCACTGATCGCTCCACCCTTCAAAGCATCGCGACGATCTTCTCCCGGCTAGATCCGAGAGCTCATGTCCTTAGCGAAATCATCCAAAAGGCTGTTGCGACCGCGGGAACCACATTCAGGCCGGGGGAAGCTCGTCTGTGGTGGGGAAGACAAGGCTTACAGGGGGTAGCTGTATGGGGCAACACTATGCCTCCGAAGAACACAGACGGTGCAGCAAAAATTTCGTTGGCAGGTCTGAAGGTTCTCGAAGGAGTACACTCGCTCGAGGGATGGGCTGAGCAGTCGATGGAATTGAAGGGACCTGGCGACAGGAGGTACCTGGTCTCGGTCATCAAGGACTCTGCAGACCGCAAAGAATACTTTCCGAATAGTGTTCTGTTGAGAGTCGTAGAGCAGAGAGATTAGGTATACCGCGCCAACATACCGTTACAGATCTGTAGTTCAGCTCCACTTGTAAATATCGTTTGAGCCTTGTAAATATCGTTTGAGCCTTGCAACTAGCTGCAGGAGCCAGGCAAACCGCTCCACTTTGGTCTGAGGTCATAGCAACTCGGAAGTAGCAAGTATGAACCCCTCTCCAGTATCCGCCCACGATGAACCAACCAGGTTGGACCTCTTCACCGCAATGAAATGGTAGTTCCGATGAATTGCAAATGGTAGGTTGAGACCGTTAATCATGACCAGTCCAAAAGTTCCGCCAAGATGATTGGGACTTCATTGCGATAGGTAGACACGAGCCCTCGTGGACCAGTAGCGCCCATGTTCTTCTGGTCATATGAGGAGCGCATCATGTTTCAGCTCTTATTGAGAGCTTGGACTTCTCGCCCTTTACCTCTGGAAATCAAAGGAAACGTGAAACGTCAGGGGAAACGTCAGGGGTGGGCAGCACGAAATCAGCATAGATATAAGCTGAGATTCGCGTGTATCGTTGCCAGCTTCCAGTATGATCCCTGACATACAGTGAGCACAATACGACTGAATCACAACGACCGGCGATTATTTGTCTGTATCATCGAGTTCTGCAGCATCATCTGGATTAGACCATCAACCATGTGCTGTATCCGAGCCAATTGCAATTATCGACGACATCTGGTGCTTGCTTCGATCAGGAATTTTCCTCTTGAATAGGACCACTTTCTAGCACAGCATGTGAAACCATCGCCTAATACCGAGAGAGGCCCCACTGCAAGATTGACATGACCTTGCTTTGTCTCCATCACGTGCTGTTGATGCTCGCTTCTGCTATCGTATGCGCTTCTCAGTGACGTGCGAGAACTTAGTCATCACGACTTATAGATACAACTGGTCCTGAAACCCATATAAAGCCGAATTAGGCCGCTCAGATGACCATATCATGGGTCCGAAAAGCTACTTTTCAGACCGGCGTGATATTGTACTAAAGTGCTTCTGATACGTGATCAGGTATATGAGGACGAATGTGCAAGGGATTGCTGAGATTCGAGGGCTTCTCGCACATCGTCTCGTTTAGGTTAGGCTTCTCGCATGCCATCGACAGATGATCTCGACATCCCAAAGGACATGCTTTGTTTTGTTCATCATAGCCGACAGAGTGGGCAATCAGATTCCCAGCTGTCAGCCCCGTTCGAACGAACGATCAGGTGATAGAAGCTGGGTCAAGAAGCCAGATCGTACCTTCTCCAGAACCACATTGAACAGCTCTGGCTATGGTTGGTTCGCTTCTTCGAACATGAAGACAGCTATATAAGCCCTCTCGAATCCGGCATATAGCTTGCTGGTCGATATCATTTTATATTACGCTGCTCATCCTAACATTCCCAAATCACACGCGACCACGCACCTGTCCAACAATCTTTACAACAGGCAAGATGACTCCTCCTCCTTCCATGAGCCAACAATCTTTCGAGACGAACGAAGGTTCGATTAGGGAGTTCGTTTCCAGGCTAGTGACCTCTATCCTGGACGCCAGTCAAAGCTCCAGGAAATCCGCCGGACAGACCATCGAAGAATCCAAGGCAGAACGCGCGAAATCGCAAAACAAAAACTTCAAGCCTTTTCCCCGACTCGACCAAGTCTTGGATCTTGGCATCATATCGGATTGCCAGGTCAAATCTATCATGCCGGCCCAAGCACTCCCAAATCTTGACAAGTCTCTCGCAGGTTATCTGCAGGTAAGCCTGACATCTCTGGAGGCCACAAAATGGCCTTCATTTGATAACGTGCTGATGTATATTGCCTCAAACAGAATCAAGGTGTCTCCTGGACCAAAGAATGCGGAGAATCCGCCAAATCCACCGGGACCGCACCTTTCTTAGATACGGTGTGGGACGGAGCGAAGTTTCAAATCCCAATTGACGCAGACAGCAGCAGTACCTCGAGTGCCAAATGGTACTACGTATACGCCGAAGGATTCTGGTCGAAAGACAGGAAACGCAAACAGATAGAGTTCCGCGTGTACGGGCTAGTCGACGCAGCCATCGACACTTGAGTTATATGTTAGAGTGCGAGTCCAATCGATGTGAATCTTGTACCTGTAGTTTTCGCATGTGATTGACTAGTTTGCGAGCAGCAACTGAATGGACATCCGCGCCAGAAGAAGACTGTAATGAGTCGGCCCAGGGAACTCTGATATGTCAGCAGATTATCGATGCGCTTGCAGAAGGAATCTTCCCAGAGACGACTGAAGTACCCAGATGGCGAAGATGGCGATTCCATAAATCAGTCCAGACAACAAAACAGCGAAATCCGGGTGAGACCCTTCAAACTGGCGCAGTATCAAGGTATCTTCAGATGGTCATGAGAGGTCATGACAGTACCACATACGGTATCACATGGATCGCACACCTCTTTTCAGACCGTTTTAGGCTTGCGTTGGGGAATTAATCGTAAAGGAAAACGAAGTATTGCGACTTCTTGCGCGATCCAGTTTACAAGACGGACAAAGGAACGTATGATTCGCCACTTGAACTTATTCAGTACATAACGTCTGACTGTACAATATGCCCTCAAGTCAGGACGTACATAGGTGAGTGTATAGTATGCATCACGCTAGCTCACGACCGCGCCTATATCGATGTCACCAACCGTTATGATTGCAGAGACTGCATCGTTTCACTCTCAAAACTCCAGTAGTTGGTCGACCGGTTCGGAATGCTCCTCGCATTTCAATCCGCGTCGTCCGCACCTCGTCGCAAGTACGTTCGCGACTTCGCTTCGAGACACAACATCTGGGCTGGCGAAACGGATCAAGCCGTCATGGGACACTTCGTCTAGTCTCCGCCAGCCAGAGGACACGGAGTCATTCCACCATGATATCCAACATGATATCGAATCCAAACTGCGCCGCAGAGATTCTGCCATAGAACAGAGCCATCCGGGGCTCCTTCGCAGTAAGGCCCTCAGTACAGAAGGTCATCTTGAAGTGTTCAAGACGGACAAAGAATGGGACGCAACGAGGTTGATTATAGCCTTGATTGGGCGAGACGTGAGATCGTACCATCCGCACGAAGTCGCGGTCGGTACGGGCGACGTCTGTATCGCTGTTCCTCAGAAAGTGAGTGACTGATCATGACTGATCAGTGGCAAAAATGGGTTACGTCAACAGGTGCTAATCGTACCCAGGTGTAGTGGCAGTTTCATTGGGATGCTCACCATTGCGAGAGGTTATCGTCTACTGGACTGGTCTCTATTGCGAGGTTTGATGCAACGAATGTCGGCGTCGCGGAAGACATGACGAAACACCTCTTGCATAGCAGAGATAAGGAAAAGCTGAAGGACTTTGCGAGACGTTGTGACTCAGGAATGTTACTGAATGTGGATATAGGACCATATCGTCCTTCCTACTGGACATTTTCCAAGGGTCCTGGAAAGGTGTTGACGGTAGAGATTAAAGAGCAATTTCTTCGCCTTCCTGATGTACTAGCGTAATAGAGCTCTCGCATGAGTATACATACAGTATTTCACCGTCATACCTGTGATTCGGACGTCCGCAGGACAGCAACTCTCTGCTCAAAGCCGCGGTTGCTGGTCAAAACCGCAACAAGATATCGTGCCCCAGAGTAAACAACCTGTCTACTAGGATTGCCACCATCGATCTAGCGGCCGAACAGAGGGAGACACACCGCATCAACCATCACTAGTAACGATCCTGCCGTGACCGCGCTGTTGGGGCATGGATCGAGTGAAATTTCTATGAGAACAAAGGAAGCCTATAACTCGGGGCGATAGACTGAGCAATCGCGCTACTAGCTGATGAGCAGCCTGGTCTGCAAAGGACGTTTGAATCTGCCGTCATCACTGGCAGATACATACGCGATATGGCGTTTAAAAATATCGATACCAGTATTTATGTGATATGATGAAATCATTCGCTACTCCGACAATGCAGCCGGGATAAATGAGGATGCTGATACGCTTGAAATCGTCAGAGCGGAATCCAGTCATGTCTTTGAAGAGGTTGTGGCCTGATACTGTGTATAAGGGGCGGCAATGTTCGGAGTCGGACATTTGACGACGTGCAGATATCGAGGCCCGAAATCTTTCCCCCCGCTCTACTGCCACAGAACTTCCTTTCTCTTCGCTATGACTCCGCAGAGAGAAAAATAGGAGGAACTGCACATCAGGACATATATATTATGATCAGACAAGGTCGCCAACGACTCGTTTCTTTGCTGTCGTACCGCGTGCATTACCACACTAGACCCACCTGGGAGCGTGTCCAATCATTCTGCAAACAGATCCAAAATGACAGGTTCTAAAAGCATACTCTCTCGGTTTACATCCTTCTCATTCGGGAGCAGGACTGATAACTCAAGCACGAACGCATCTGACCCATCTCATCAACCGTCTGGCTCTCAGTTCGAGTCTTCAGCGTTAACTGTTGGCGGAGGAGGTACAAATGCGACCCTGGCAAGCGAGTGTCCATCTACCGGGACAGATGTGGTCGTGGACATCATCAAACGAAGCCTTGCTGCCAACGTCTCTCCTTTAGGCTGTGAAGTAAGTAACTTTGGAGATCCACTGTACGACGACTCGCTGAGCTTGAGCGACCGATTTAAACAGTTTCTGATTGAATGGTTCCCAAGTGTCAAAGCCATCAAGTCTTCAAAGTCTCACACCGTCCAGGTGACCCGTTCGACAGCGCCGCAGACAAAGAAGCCGCTAGATTTTCAGGCAAGGCCCAAATTCCTCCAATATAAATTCGCGCCCAAAGAATTTGATCTGCTGCAAAACGTCAAGAGCGAAAATCCGATCGATGTCGAGATCAACGACGAGTCCGTCATCATGATCCTGGAGAAGACTGCCCCGAATCAGGAACTCAATGACCTGTTCGCCCTTCGTTCTGCGCAATCCCATTCTCTCAAGGTGACATTCTTGGGCGACTGGAAAAAGTTTGGCAACTTATACCGAACGCCTGACATAGTGAAATACACCACACAGTAGTCTCGTGCACGATCCCCGTAAAGCGAGGAATCGCTCGCCGTTGTAAAGCACTTGTGGCCTGACCAATCTACCACTAGTATGATCAACGATGCTGCAGGCTTCGGGCGACATCTAGCCGGCTTTCATGACCTTTGTACTTGTGTGGCGATTTTTAAATGCGTACTTCCTGTTGTGTCAAGCTCGTCGCTTTAAAGTTAACTTCTCGCCTCAGGTTTGATGTTGAGCGCGGAGGTCGACACTAGACTAGTACAGCTACACTTCAAATATCACCCTGGGGTCTTTTTTTCACTCCATGGAAATCACTAAGTCCCCCGATCAGCACTGTACTGAAATCTCGATTCGGTATGGGTTCCGACCTGCCCAAGCAAGACGAATCATATCGCGAATATAGGAGATCTTCATCAGGATATACCGGTGTTGCTATTGCGCATCTCTATTCCTGCGCACAAATATAGCGTTCTCAGCATCTTTTCGGCCGGCGGACGAGCCTGACTTCCAGATGTCGGAACCTGCACAAGACACCTAAGCGCTGCAATGACGGGTATGAGCGAGTGATCAAAGCACGAGACCAATGGTATTTCGGTTCCACCAACCTCTGAGTCCCTGTTAACCTTGGTGTCACATGCCACCAGTCCTCTCGACCTCTCCGCGTTCCTTCACAGTAAGGCCCTGATAGCCACCGAGATTGTCATCGATATAGCACCCTGGTAATCAAAGGAATCCTTAAGCCTCGTGTCTCGATACTTGTGATAGAGAGTCGCGTGATCCTCGACGACAAGGCAGAAAACGCGCCGGAGACCCGATCCGATAGATTTCTCTGGGGTTGTACCATCCGTGCTTCCTTTATCTGAATCGTCATTTATCGTCTTGTCGGGTTACATGATGATTCGCCACCCATAACCCATTGCATATAAGGCGGTAGAGAGAAGGGCGAGTCCTTCCGTGATCTGCTGGTCAAACAACCTTTTACGCCAGCCTTATCCTTGGATCAGCACTTCAATCATGTCTTCCAGAAACACTGCCGAACGCGATGCTTCCGATAAGAATCCTAAAACTTCTTCCTGGACATCCAAGCTACTCCACCGCAGGTCTGACTCCAGGGGAACGGGCACGAACGAACAACCGAGCGGACAGGCCACATCGGCGTCTGACTTCCTCAGCGCTGATTCTGCAAACGAAACTGCTCAAAGTCTCGTCCCAACCGGATACCGCTCTGACGTTGAGACCGTGATCACCGCCGGCGGATTTGACGAGTCGGTGCTGAACATACCCAAGGTCAAGCCCGTTGGGACGTGGAAAGACTTCGTGGTCTCCCTCATTGAGGAGAATCTCGGCGAAGATCCTTTGCATTCCGCTTACACCGTGAGTCTCAGCGCCTTCGATTCACAGTACAGCAATAGCTCGCGCCACACGATAGATCCGCTGAGACACCTCTTGTCGTTCCTCCTCCGGAACAGTTTCGCATCGAATGGGGCCCAGAGTCTAAAGGCGAACCGTACTCCCAGCTGCCATCCTACCCAAAAGGAATGGTGCTTTACCCCGGAAAGGTAGCTCGATACTCCCTGCAGCCATCGGAACCAGGGAAAAACGCCACCGAGAATCTTGACCATTCTGCGAGTGGACCACTCCATCTCACAGACGAGATGTTCGCGATGCTCGAAAAGACCTCCACTGAAGAAGCTATCGATGTTCGAATCAAGAATGTCGATGTATTCATGTTTACGGAGAAGCCACGTGACCCCCAGGAGCTTTTGGAGACTATGGACGGCACGCTGACCAAGAAAGCCACGAAACAAAGACTTCACGTGACGTTCGCCCACAATTGGAATCCCGTTCACAGGGATCTATTCGAGAGTGACGAAATCACAAAGACACTGAAGGGAAAGGGACCTCTGCAATCTTAGATTCCGATTGTACTTGCTTTACTCTCTTTGCCGCTTGAATATGTGAATGAGATGGACGTTGTTTCACGATAGAGCGTCACTTGGATCTCACTTGAACGCTGGAGCTGTCAACATGCATTTCCTGATGGCCATCATGTATACGTCTCTGTACGGCGAGGTTTCATTTTCAGTGTCATTCCGACTGTCAGAAAAATTCCAACACATAGTTGTTTTAGAGCTGCAAAAGCTATCTAGGCCGGTCGGATCCTGCGATGACACGAGCTCGCGTTAGATCTCGCTGAAGTTGGGTAAGGTCCTGTTGCACAGAGCAACTTAGCTGCCAAATACTGATGATGACACAAACGGTATTTATGTGTCACAAACCCAGCGCTGGTATACCCAACATCACGGTGATCATCGTGCTCTCGATGAAGACATCCACCTTCCTGAATCCGCCTGCAGCGCAGCCTCCACGGCAACCTAGTCGGCCGCGAGCGTTGTAGTCTCCGTAATGATGAGAGAAGTTCACATCTTCCGTCCAAACTGAGAGCGCACGAATCTATATAGTCACTTTCGGCAAGACCACGCCGCCGCTGACGACCAAGTGGTCTCAATCGTCGAGGCGAGACCATCCGCCTTCTGTCGAAACCATGAGCCCCAGAACCTGGTTTGATCTCGCACAACGCGTTATCTAAGCTGAGTTATTTAGTTCCTTGTTCAGTGGTATCAGCTCCGCATCGCTTACCGCCCAATGTCAGAGACGAGAGCTGAACCAAGTTATAACTTAGCTTGGTTCGTCTTGCAACCGAAGCCCGGAATTACATCCCGGACGTCTGCCATATTCGCTAGTATCCCCGCTGGGGAAGCTGGCAATATCCGAAAGGATATCGTGTTGCGTAGGAGCTCTTGAGTTCAATGGCAGGCCGGCGACAAAACGAACACCAGGAACAGAGCTCTCTATGTTGTGCGAAGCCTCCCACAACTGTTCATTCGCTCAACAGGTCTTGGCGGTGACGTGAAACAGTCACTCGAGGGGAAGCGACTCCTGTCAGTCTAAATCTCTATTCGTACTCAGTCCCATAAACCCATGACTCCTCTGGCCGCAATCCCTCCGTTTTCGACTACAGAATGAGACATCCGTGACCTGGTCTTAGATCTATCCTGGCAAGCGTGGCCGGTATTGTGAGTCCAGGTTTAATCACTTGCAGAAAAAGAACCATCAGCTTGACCGAAAACTTCCATCAACTTGTGGGCTCACCATTTCCATTGATCCACTATTTGATCGTGCTCAAGCAACCTTCCATCCCTCACAGACTCAATTTTATAATGGCCTCACCTAGACTTCCAGCATCTCTAGTCGTACTTAATCCAGTGAGCCACATGTCTCACTTACATGAGCGATAATCACACGTTTCAGAATTCGACGATCGCGCCTGCCGTGCTGAATTACGTAATCAAGCACTTGCGTGATCGGGTCCTGCCGGCCCTCGGTAACAGCGTGAGCAGTGATCTCACTGCCCGTTCGAAGGAAGATGATGCAAGATACGACCATCTCTTATCTCCTAGTGCTGACTATACTACAAGCTACAACTGAATCAACCTTTCCAACGGCTAATCGACATTCCAGCACCCAGAAGTACCAACACACTCGAGTATAGCGAAAAGTCGGCGACCAGAACGACCAAAATGAGCTTGGTCAGTCGACCCGCTCGCGGGCTACTGCTGCAGATCGATAACTCGATGACTGATTATATCCCCGTTACCTGGACTGTCCGATTAGATGCGACAAGAAGACGAGAGCGAGGGTATCGAGGTGGCATGGGGTGAGCACCGGCACTTACTCATCATACCCCAACATTATTTAGCTCGAAGACTGAATACCGTTTATCGCATGTGTCTGATTCGACAAACCAGAGGACCAACAACGGATCAGCGCATTCTCGAAATACAACACCCGGCTATCTAGTATCCAAGACGAGCTCAAGAAGTTACAGGTCAGTCTTCCCTTCCCGTCTTTATCTTGCTGTTCTGTAGAGCTTCGAGTTGAGCTGTCACCTGATATGTTTTTGCGATGTCGACGGTTCTGGCTGGGCTGTATAGGAAGAAAAGGAGCTGTATGACGATTTGGAGATGGAGTTGGAGCTTGCGGATGAGAAGGAGCCTGTCCCGTGAGTCTATATCTACTCGTCGTGGCAAGGTCATACAGCTGACGATCCGTCTCTTCTGGTACACGATTCCCACCTCGGTGTCTTCTTCCCTATGACTCTGGCTGCTCTGACCTCAACACGCTCGACTATGGACCAAATTCAACTCCAACCTTCTCTTCTCTCTCTCGTCATCCTTCCCGCAAACCGACACTACACTTTCCGCCCAAAACTCCTTTTAATAGCTACCAACTAGCCTCAACATTCTTCCACCTAACCCCCGCTCAAGCAATCCGACAACTATCCCTAGAACGACGTACCTTGCAGAAAGAAATCCGGCGGTTAGAGAAGAGGCGGGACGAGTGTGTAGATGGGATGAAGGGGTTGAAGATTGAATTGTGAGTCTGAGTGTGGAAGGTGTCGGGAGGTGGGGTCCGCGGTGGGGTTTGGTGGCGGTGTCTGATGGTGCTGGTGGTGCTGGAAGTGCTAGTGATGATTGTGGTGGGGGAGGTGCAGAATCAGGGTGGGGGATGTGACGTGGAAGACCACACGGAGAGCCTGCTATCACCCGGGACGATGTGGGATGCAAGGCAGGACGAACTCCGACGCAACTGCCATCTATCGTGACGACCCCTAACATTGAGCTGTTGCTGACGAAACCGTCTTTCCACAAATCATTTGACAGGTACGCCAAGTTCGGGAACCAGATCAACTTGGAGACGGATCCCAAGGATGACTAGCCCACCAACCTACAAGTTTGAGAACAGGATCCTCCTCGTTGATTCTCTTTCAATCTCTCTCGGCTCCGGACTATAACGATTAAGATTCGAGCTCTCCAGGATTCGACCTTGAAGACGAGAACGGATGTCGGCTTTAGATCAATCATGAGGATCGAGATCCGAGATCGGGATGCCAGGCTAGGCCCGACCGGGGCGGGAAGCTGTACGAAAGTAATGTCTTTGCGTTCTATGTACCATCATAACATGTCAATATCGTCGCGACCTCAGGAGCGAGACGAACGTGGGGATTCTCAGGTCAGCGTGAGTAAGTATCGACAGCCGGGACACGAAGGGGTACAATTGTGCCTCGTGTCTTTTAACAGCCAGTGGATGCATCGTCGATCGTCAACAGAATAATGTTCAGGCGGTTCTGTCGTACCTGTCTTGAACAGGTAATGAGAGACGTGGTTGTTCGCAAGATTCTCTGTTTTTCCGGATCCGCACGCGAGCGAGGCCAGGTCGGGCGACCCCCAAGCAAGTTCGACCATGATATCGACCATGTACCATGTACCATATGTCATATGTCTTCGTCCTATACATGCACGACCCATCTATTCCTAATCCCTATATAACCACGCAAGATGCCTCAAGAATACTTGGATAACGAGACGGTCAGTCTTCCCGTCCACCCTACACCTCTACGGCGAACGCGAACGCAAACCTAACCGAGCCGATCGCTTGCTTTTCCCTATCTGGCCTTACCTCGTCTTCACTTTCGACATCGACGACCTATACTATATATCATACCCACCTCATCCACCACCCATGCAAACAGTTCTTAACACGGCTAGAATCTGCCTTCAAGACAGCGTCCGAAGAGGGGAGCCGAGCGGGGAGTGTATGGTTGACTCATAAACGATGTAAGCCCTGCCCCGTCTTTTCCCCTTCCCCATTGTTTCCCTCCCTGGTTGGCTCTACGCCTTCTTGCTCATCCGGACTCACTGCTCTTCAACGCTGACGACGACCCATACCGTCTGTGCTGTGTTCGATAGATACATACCAAGAAGACCCAGCATCTCCGAATCAGAACCAGAACGCGAATCCCGATGTCGATGGAGACGTAGACGCAGACGATGTGGAGATGGAAGCCGTAAACTCCTCAACCCCAACCACAACTACCGGAGGAGAGAAAGAATACGAAGTGCTCGTCAGGTGTACGAATGGGTCTGATTTGAATTTCTCTACACGGGTGAGTACAGTATGGCTGTGAGTATGATCCTTGTGTCATCACACTGAACCGGAACCATGGAACGACCATCTTCTCGGACCTCTTCGTTCATCCATACTTTTCCTTCGCTCTTCTCTCCTCTTCCCACCCCACGTCTCTCTCACATGACCGCTCCTTCAACCCGGCGAACCCGAACCCAACCCCCTCCCTGCCCACTCGCAGATACCCGCCCCCTCCCTCCCACAATTCCACACCCTCTACGCATCCTACCTCCGCTCCCAATTCGCATCTACCATGATCAAACGTGACAAGAAGAAAGAAAAGCTCAAAGCTGAGAAGCGGGAGGCTTGGAAGAAAGACTTGTTGGTGGATGTTAGGACGGAGAGTCGGGTGGAGGGGACGGGGAAGAAGGTTGGGCATAGGCAGAGGGTGAGTTTTAGTTTGCGAGTGCAGAGGTTATGTTGTTTTTGCTTTTTCCCCTTTGGTGGAGGTTGGTCGCTTGAGGGTTTCGGGTGGGGGTTCGAGTTGGGTCAGGTTGGGCCTGCAAAAGACCGGATTCCGCAGGGGGTTGAAGTTGGTGCGGAGTGTGTGCGGACCGAGTGGATCGCGGCATCCGCGCTGATCTTGAGAGGAAGAAATGTCGCTGACCACTTCCTCGTTCCTCTCTCTCTTCGCTCCACCTGACTCACCCATATCTTCGCTCGCGATCACATTCATCCGTCCGCCTATCCATCCTCTTTCTGCTCATGTCCTACCTCACCAACTCTCCATCTTCACACTCCACACCATCCGAAAACGACAACGACAACGTGTAAACGACACCCAGGCCCGTCGACTACAAGCTCAACGTAAAAAAGAAGCTCAGCGTGAAGAGTTGGAAGAGCGGGAGAGGACTTCGACTAGGCCGGGCGTATAAGGGATGTTTCCCACTAGACGGGTAATAGCCTGTCTATCGAACGGGTCCGCGAATCTTTTCAGTTGGACCAAAGGAATTGGACGTTGGGTGATGAAGAGGAATTGTACGGATGCATGAAGCGGGAGCAGAAGATGTTTATGAACATGATCATAAACATGGATATCAGAATACCTCGGAATCATACCAATTCATCACGCCGATGCCTTGGATCGAGCAAGTGGACGCGATATTTCTCAGGGGATACGATCTTAAGTGGCTGAGACTGAAACCCGAGTTATCGCGAGTGCTTACAGGCTTCGAGGAAGACCTCGAGGAGCTTGCTGGTACTGTACGTGGACATATTTGGAGGTCAGTGTCGTAGTGTGAAATCTTGGAAGATCAGGGAGATGTTTGCTGATATCGCAATCTACTAGCCGTTGCAGAGCCGTGTCTTTACAGGTAGAGATCCTAGCCTCATATCGGACTAGAGAGTCTGTCAAGTGTCACGCGATCGATATCCAACATCGGGATGGCTTTGGGATTCAAACTGAAGCCTGCAGTACCGGTCTTGGAGATCAACGGTCTCCGAATGATATCACGGAACGACGGAAGTCGTATAGGACGCTCGGTCTCCTTGCTAGTCATGACGAGCTGGAGAGGTACCATGAGCAGGTAAAGGGTGTCGTCGTCTGCAAACCGATTTCAGCCTGGAAAAAAAAGCCGAAGATGCAGCATCGTGAAATTTGTTCTGGGCGCAGAATCAGCATGGCCAGGCATGAACGGGTTTCCGCCGCCTCTCGCGATACTTTCGAGAACAACGACTTGCAAGATGAGTTGGGTCTCGCCATTCCGACCGGGTCTCACTGTCGAGACGAAGCAGATCATCCTGAATGGTACAATCTCCCATCGAAGTAAGAACATCGCCGCAGGCACACGACATCGGTTGGGTGGCAGGAAATTCGACCACGACTCACTTCATGATCGTGGCGTCATCTTCGGACACATGGAAGGCCGGTCCAGTGGAGTCTGGGAGACGTAACTGTGCGATTGGCCTTTCTTGCAAACCGGACCGTCGTCAAGTTCCATCGACAACCGAACATCTGACGAATCCAAACTGAAAGGAAGCGTCTCGAAATCACGTGTATCACGCCATCCGCTGCGACGGCGTCCCCCTCGGTCACATTGTGACTTGAACATGCACAAGTAGATCAGGTGGTGAACGACATCGGATGATCACGCGCGCCTCGATCTGGATATGAAAGGATGTCACAATGCGTGATCAGAGACGCCTAATATTGACGGAAGATGATACGAAGAATGATATGACAATAATCAAAGGGAAAGACGCCACTCTCGCTGGCCGGAAAAGTATAAGAGTGCCTTTTGTTGGCCATGACAGTACTGGATAAACCTCGAGAATACAAGCCGCGGTCAAATCAGTCTCGACACCCCCCTTCTTCCCCCTCACGCCTACATTCCAAGTCGTTTTGAGTCACCAGTCATCATCTTACCCAACATCATGTCTTCCCAATCTAAGACGCATCCCGATACGATCGACATGCGAGATTTCGACAATACCTCCGCCTCCGACATCTCGAAACTCATTGGTATGCTTCGACAACGCACCGTGTATGTGAACGGCAACTGGTATGAATGGAAGGTCAACACGAACCAGAACTGGTTGAAGGACGGCGAAACGGCGATGTGGCTGGCACTCGAAAGACCTCTTGCCAGAAAAAAGGCTCGCCAACAACCCCCGCCAACTCGCAGGTACATCGCCCCCGAATGGTTTGGCAAGGAAATAGACAAGGCCTGGGGAGTGACTGTCGGAGATATGTTGGCGATCAGAGCTGAGGTCGAAAGGAAAGACAAGCAGCATCTCCCAGCGTGGGTGTACGCGAGGGAATTGCAATGGTGGAATGCGATGTTCAACGATAACATCGCGGAAGCTCCAGTTTACATCAGGCACGTGCTCGATCTTCAGCGAAAGATCGGCTTAAAATCCCGAGACTACCCAGGATTCAAGCTTACCAATGAGAGCATTCCGGACCTGACCATATCATTTATGGAAAAGATCAGCTCGTTCGATGGAAGCCAAGTCGCGTCGAACAGTTTTCAGGGAGATGGAGACGCAGAAAGCGTCCAATCGATAGGCAGCACGTTCGGAGCCCCTGGAATGGATTTTGCATCAGGGGGGTCTGTGTTTCGCGCCGAACAGAGACTGCAGGACGATGAGGATGCGATGTTTCAGATCGCGACCCGCATCGACAAACTTGAACCTGAGGCTGGTTCGACCTTGAATGAACAAGTGTTGGGAATCGCCAACGACCTGAGCTTGCTCAGTCTGAGCCAAGCGACAGGCTAATGCTCATCAGCATCACAGTCGCATACGAGAAAGGACCGCAAAGCCGCTGGGAAAGGAATGACTGGATTTGAGTACGATTGAAGCTGCGTTTTTGCTTGCTTTACTTGATTGTTGTAAGATTAATATTCAGGATTATATCAGCAATGTGAATCGATTTGACACGCGAGCGAATCTCCGTTCGACAGTCCCAAGATCTGATCCTTGGCTTGAAAATGTGATATCCACCGGCTAGGTTCGCCGGTATTCATGGCAATACAATCTTTCGATCATGAGGAATATTGACACCTATTCACAAAGCCAAACCATGACATTAACCACCCTTTCACGGAAATTCAATTTTGTCAATTTTGCTCCGTCCCTATCTTCTGGTATGTTGACTTACGACATTCGACCTTGCCTCAAGATTCGTCCTGCGCTACTACCAAGGAATCTCCGCATCATCCGGCGCACTCCAAAACTTGCCTCCTGCCGAGCTCCTCGTCGCACCGTCGACGTATCTCAGAATACTCTGTGCGGACTCTTGAGGAGTGATGATCTTGAAATCCGGTGAGAATTCGTGCCCGGCAGACTGATCAGGCATATTCGGAGGCAGAAAGATAGAGATCATGACAGCAAAGAAGAATTATCAGCGCGTGGAGTCAAGCGGTCAAAGAAAGACAGAGAGGAGGGGGAAGCTCACCATATCAGTCTCGACGACACCCGGATGCAGAGCGAAAGCAGCGAGGTTCTCTTTCTCGTGTTCCTGGTTGATCCTAGCTGCGATCATGTTCACGCCGACCTTAGACGTTGCGCTACCAAGCCAATCGTTGGTGTTACATAGGGAGTACAGAAGAATCAATGATGCGGTCAATGAAACCGTCTGAATGGATCCCGTTGCGGCATATAACTCACTAAGCTGTGATAGGCTGATCAAAGAGCTGTCCCAGACTAGCCCCTCCCGAAGAGATGACCGCGAACTTGGGCGCCGCGGACTTGAACAACGCCTGAGCCGTACCTTGAAACAAGATGAGCGGGCCTAGGGTGTTGACCTCGAAATGGTTGCGCATGTCTTCCAGGGGAACGGAGAGAATTGGGGAGTGGCCGGTCATGATACCTGAGATACAAAGCATCACGCCAGTCAGGTTTCGAAGAGGGAAAAACGACATGAGATGATCATCGGGATATGCCGAACTACTCACCTGCGTTGGCAATGACAACATCGAGCTTGCCAGCCTTGTCCAGAATGACCTTCCCGACCTCTCGCGCGTCTTCTACAGAAGTCGACGACAATCGCACAAGGTTCAAACGATCCCCGTACTTGTCGGCCAGATCTTTGAGTTTATCCCCGGTCTTCAAGGAATCGATCTTCCTGACTCCGGCAAACACGACGACGTTGGGCTTGTGTTCAAGCAGATCTTGTACCAGAGCCAGACCGACACCGCGGTTCGCGCCGGTGACTGACAGCATCCGTTTCACCTTTAGGTACACCGCTCCACACGCGCGCGTGGTCCTTATCATCGACACTCACTAAGATACGAAGTGGTAGAGGAATTCGACATGACTGAATGAATAACGAGATGGTTGTATGTCGCAAGACCCAGTCGGGAGGAGTAGGGACGATCAAGTAGTTTCAGGTTCTTATAGTTCTGGGTCGTTTGGTTCCGCTTGAGTGCGCCGCGCCTCCACCTCCACTCATACCTCTTCACCTCCACCCAAATGACGATATGGTCTTCCTCGTGGAACATCTTTCCTGTACAAGTCAAGGTTTCTACAGCGGCTAGATGGATGTCTTTCACTAGCGATGTGAGCTACAAGGCCTTTCTGCGGCCGCAAATGCGAGCGCTTCAAGTCGCCAAGCGATAATATATCACGCACTCCACCCAGAGGCACGCCATCTTGTCCCGGGCTGTCGTATGTGCAATCCTACTGAGTAACTGGTCGTAGAGCGCTTGTAAGGTGACCCTCGTTCTAGAGGCTGATTCCTGGTCATGTGCCTCGCGGAACAATCCTTTCGAGACGTCATGTGGGTGTCCAGTCGATGACGCGACAGGAGAACGTTCAAGAAAGGAGGTTTGTCCCAGGGGTACAATGAAAGGGACCCTGCCTGGCCGATTCAGGCATGCACCTAACCATAGATACCTCTAGCGATTTGCGGTATATAGAGCGGCCAGGCTCAATTCGTAGCCCAAGTCATCAGCAGCACTATCCAATTCTTACCCAGCACTTGACAGACGATGAGTGCTCCTACCCGCCCACGAGCTGCCGAAGAGGTCTGGCTGCCACAAGACGGCATCCTACAAGAATACAAGGACGTTGTACGGCGGATGCTGACACACCGAATCGTCCGAATCAACGATATCTGGTGCGAATGGGGGTGGAGGGAATTATATAAGGAAGACGAGAGCAGTGGCGAGACGTTCACTACATACGCACTTCAGGCCAGAAAGATCGAGCGGGGCAGCGAATCTCTGGATCCCATGGCCGTTTACGACAAGTTCAGGACTCACAGAAAGGAGTCCGGATGGTTGTTCCCTGCCAGGTGTGTCGAAGCTGCTTTCAGGTGGGACATGCCACCTCGGTGGCTGCGGGCGCAACGCACATTCCGTCTACTGTTCGATCAGACGGGGTTCCACAAGAAAGCCGAGGTCGACGCGGACTTTGCTATAGCATATGCCATAGCGAAGCGCCGAGAACTACTAGACCATCGCAGAACTCGGAAGGACGATCCCGTTGAAGTCTGTGGCTTGGAAGAGATTGCTGAGCTTGCGACGTCTTTCGTCGCATCGGTGGGGGATACTATCTTAGACCTCCGAAGCGTTTTGAAAGACAAAGGCGACCGGGATACCACAGACGAAAAGGTGATCCAAGCGTTCTTTACCAAAAGACAGTTCGAAGAATCAGAGATCGACAAGAGGTCTCAGCGATACATGGAATCCTGTGAGGTGGATGGAGATCGGCGTGTAGCAGCTGCTTATGGCGCTCGAATGTTGTTCGAGAAATATCCAGAGCTCAGCAAAGACGTCTTTCGTGATATCCAGTGCATGTCTATGAACATCTCCACGAGTATCGCGACGGAACTTGAGGAAATAATTGACTCCACTGTATCGAACTATCTCGCCAATTCGTTGAGTCAAGAGAGTATCCTCAGGATGGATCCATCGAAGCTTGCCAATCCGCGTATGGCAGAAATCATACAGGTCAGAGGAGATCAACTTAGACGTAGAGAGGAAAGAAAGAGAAGAGGAAGGAGAAGAGCTAAGAGAGCCATGCAGCCGCCGGCATCGAGTGCTTCCGAAGAAAATCCATCGTCACTCAGTCCAGAAGCTATATCGATGTCGATCCGCACGAAGGCTACATCGACGTCCACCGGTGTCTAAGAAGGACGAGAGAATAGCATGCCCGGTCCGTAGCATCGCTAGCAGTATGATTATTCACTGCATGCTGACGATGATACTCCCATCGGCAACAGTCAAATGCTTGTCGGGATATCCTGCTAGGAGAATGCCAGTTGATTTTGCATTTTGCGATCAGCTACCGTTGTATGATGTATACCTTATGTCGTGTAGTCCATGGTCAGATTACTACGTCTAGCAAATTGTCACTTGTAAAGCCAGATAGAAAGATCGGTTATTGTATGCATATAACATCAGCTTCCCAGACTCTATGTTTCACCCTTGTAAGGAGGCAAACGATACCATAGGGCTGCAAGAAGCCTTACAGGTTTGATTCTTGACCAGATGATGTTGCTCGTCAAACATGGACTACGGGGAGCATCGAAAGGGTAGCACCGAAACATATAAAGACTCAGGATCTCGGCGCGTTCCTCCGAGAGGATGGCCGAATTCTAGTCCAGATGGAGTGATATTCAGTAGATGATGTGCGACAACATTTTCAAACCACTTCGATACGTTCTCGCCGAGTGTGGCCGATGCATCCTGTACAACTTGGATGATACGGTGACTATGAACGATCCGTAACGCATGCTCTGATATCTTGGCTGGAACACTGTTGGCTGACTTGCCGGTTACACCCTGGCCTAACGATATCTACAAATCGATTGTTGCTGTCACAGTATTCTTGAACTAGAAGAACGCCTATGCAATGTTGGTAAAATGATCAGCGGTGGACATCCCGTTTGGAGGTCACTCACAGCATCGGTCACTGTTCTCAACCGGACAAGACGCGACATACTATCTATCACACCTCGAGCAAGTGTCCGTGGCGAAACAAGCAGAATCGAGTACATTCGTAGCTCCCGGCTATGTCATTCTGCTCGACAAACGCTGGATTCTCTCGAAATCCTGCTTCTAAGGCCTGTCAGAACACCCCAAACAGGCCGCGCGACGCGTCCCCACAAGCGACGTTCCTTTGGCGCTGGCAACATGGGTTGTAATTAGTCATCGGGGCACTCGGATCTAGAGGTCAAGCGTTCGAATCCTGGTGACGGTGTGGGTTTTCTCTCTCGAGAGAGGGCTTCTCCTCACGGGCACCATAAAGCGCGTGGGTTTCGGGGGTGGACTCCTCTTAACGAGGGTGTAGTTGTATTTTTTGCATCTTTTTCTGGTCGGCTGTGCTTGTTGCTGTTGTTGTTACCGTGGGTGATGTGTAGCGTCGTGAGTTTCGTTCAGCTATCGCACTCCGTTAGGCTTGGGCCTTTTACTGTATCTCGATCTCGATACCATCTTCAGCCTTCTTGGGTGTCATCGCTGACGATACCGTCTGACGAACGTCAGATCATTAGACACGCATTCCGTCCCCCCGTGCACCGAGTCGTTCTGGCCGACTCAAAAGGCCAGAGTCGGGTCCTTTACCTGTCCGAGACGATCAAGACTAGGATCACTGTCCACATGTCTTCACCTTCTCTATCGGACGCAGTCGGAAGGGGTACAAAATGCATCGTCGAGCTGATAGAACCTCTTTCTGACATGAGCTTCAGCTAGCTCGAATCTGGAGACGGGACATCATAATAGGACGAGCCGATCGCCGACTTAAAAAAAAAACTGGTATCAAAAAGCGGCTAGGCCTATATCTTCCAGAAGAGGTCTTTGTCATTCAAGATCCTAACGATCGCTCGGATGACCAGACCCGATCGGTTCCGCCAGGTGGTCGATGCCCTCTTGAATTGATGCATCGAATACGGTTCAACTGCTCGACGAGATCGTATTCGACCGACTAGATATTCCGAAACCAATGTACAATCTCTAACGTCCCCAAGCCTTTGCTTGGCGCTCATATTCGTCATCAATACTTTTCTCGACGTTGGCGATCTCGAGTGTTTCTTCCATGGCTTCATCACCGCCCGGCACTCCGTTAATCATCGCGTACCTGCGCCATAGTTTCCGCCAGTCGACGAAGGCGATGATTGAACAAGAACAATAGTTGAGCTACGAGGACCACAAGCTGAATCCCCTGGACACGTTTGCTCACCTATGCAGTTCCGCATACATTATCCTCCAAATCTTCATGGTCGGGACGACATTGGAAAGATAGTTCTTCCCGTCCTTGTTCTTTGGGTGTCCTTCGTGCTGACGCAGGTATGGGGACATGTTTCGCTGCATGACAACACAAAAGCAAGACCGCTGAGACCGATTGCTTTCGGTAGGACTCGGGTGACTGGACTTACGTCGAGCCTCTGAATGATATGAACCATTATCATCAAATTCGGACTCGCCGCGACATGATCGACCGTAGCGCTTAAAGGCGCGGGGACTTCTCTGTGTAATGCAACGAGCACGTCAAAGAGCCCTACGGCAACTGGCATGCGATTTGCCAAAGAAGCCCAGATCGCCCTGAGGACGTCTTCCCGCATCTCAAAAGCTAAGAATATAGGTACGCGTCAACAGAAATCCTTTTTTTTTCTTCATAAATCAATGTATGGGCTTACGCGTGACCGTCTGCTGTTCGTGCAGAATCTTCCAGTACACCGAGGAGGGAAAGACCTGGTCGAATTCGCTGCGTCGTGTAGAGATCTCTTCTGCGCTGACGGTAGCCAATGTCGTCTTCAGGAGGATATGCCTTCTGTTCGTGGCGATAAGCTCTTGAGCTTTCTCTGAATCCTCGACGACCACATCGCTGCCTTTGATGATCGTCACGATCCGCTTGTCGTGGTCCGGATATGGTCGCCATGTTTCGTACATCTTGAGCACATGGGGTGCCAGATCTAACGCGCACGCGGATGCTGTCAGCCATAAACTCAGGACCGTATATCCTCGACCCAAACTCACCCAGATGCTTCTTCCCGTCAAAGACAGCGAGTTCCGACGAAAGGAGACTGTAAAATTCTTGAAACTCGGTTGGTAGCGAGGAGAACGAGACTGATGGTTGTGCAGTATCGGATCAGCGCTTGCGAAGCAACCGAGTTTCAGACCATCTTTCCGCCTGATGCTCACTAGACTCTAGCGCCGCGTCCGGAAGTAACAGCTCCTCAAGCTCGTGCTTGGCCGACGCGACCACCGCCGCTACCGCCGCGAGATTGGGACAGCCGGCGATGACTTCGATTTTGCGTTTCAGATTTTCGTCCATGTCAAAGTTCGATATCTTGAGCCCGGCGATGATGTCGAACTTGTCATTGGGGTCGTCGATCTGCTTGATAGTGGAGAAGAAGACCATGGCGTTCAACGTTTGATGGTAAGCCAGTGAAGAGGTGATCCAATGGAGGATTTTGATGCTTAGGTTGGATACGTTGATGTTAGTTTTGACCATAGTCGGCCTGGAAGATCCTCGAAATCGGACGTGTCAGAACGCGAAGCTCGTCGAGTCAAAGCAACCAAGGAAGTGGACTTACCAAAACGAAGCCATCGGGAGACCGCCGTAGTACTCTCCGATAAGCTGTCGGCGCTGCATCTTCGGTGGGACCGCTTCAAACGGCATCGTGAGTGGGCTCTTGAATATTTGCGAGGAGGAATCTGAAGCGGAAGGAAGAGCGGGGGGAGGGGCGTGGGGCCGGCGTCAGCAAAGCGTTTTGGCTTTGACCTATAAGCTGAAACTTACTTGAAGGATGAAGCGTGATGAAGTAGAAGGAGCCAAAGGATTGACTACCGAAAGGGAGACACTTGTACCGGCTCCCCTATGGATTCTTGGATACTCCTAATAGGAAGCCGTGATCAGGTTAGCGAAAAAGACAGGATGTAAGCCGATTGCTAGAATTGACACACCTCCTTTAGCAGCGCCTATCTTTGAAGTTCTGATGATGGGCCACTTGCCGATCTCTCTGTGACTACTGGGATACCAGGTGAGCGGATAGCGTCGATGTTGCTCGGGATGGATTGTATGCTCTAATCGATACGGTATGTCCACATGAGTCGAAATCAGAATGGTATATCAGCACGATCGTCCCGCCACGATGAGGAGATTCAAACCTTGGGACTTTAATACTCACCTGAGCAGACGAAAGCCTTTGAACAGACCACCGATACGGAGATTCCTGGGTGCGATACGGCTGAGGAACTTGGCGGGAGGGGTAAGCGAGAGATCAGTCTCGTTCTTCACATGGTAGAAGCTTTGGGATATGATTGAACTGACTGTTATCCTGTCGATCCGCTGTCAAGGACGAGGAATTCAAGTCTTGGCTGTTGATATCGAATAATACGAACAGCACGACCTTAGAGTCAGTAGCTTGCTGACGATACATAAAGGAGGGCGGGGATCATCCCGTCATAGTATCTGGCTCACCGAGCCAAACTACTCGGTATCTGACTTGCTTCTGTTGCTTCAAGTGATCTGGGGAATGTCGATACTCTTCCCTCGACTTTCCGATGCGTGTGAAGCGCAAGCTCGATGTGAGAACGGCTGGAACATAACACGAAAGGTCGGCACATCAGCTGAAGTCCTCACGTTTTCTAGGTAAACAAGCGAGGAGACGTACCGGTCCGATGAGCGTGCGAGTCGAAGTGTGATGCGTGGTGGGGACAGGTTACAGGTTGTACGGAGTTGTTGTTCTTAGTGTATATGTATGACGGCTTTCAAGGTCGCATGAGTTGAGAGAATAAGAGCTGTTCACGATCGGGAGGCGAAAGGAGTCAAGGGCAAGGAGAGTTGTGAGATTATGCGAGGAAAAAGGGCGATACACCCCATTTTCATTTCCCCCCGAGCCGAAGTGGATCATCCGAAACGCCTGTACACCTGATCCATCTCGGTGGATTCTTTCGATGGAAACGGCGACAACAGCGACGACGACGACCGTGCGCCCCGCGACATGCGACCAAGTGAGACAAGGACAACAGCATTCCGCGCTTAAAATAGCTTCCGAGTTCGCTTCCGCGCGTGGATCGACCCTCCTTTGACTTTTGTTACGTCACAGGGGGTGGCGATCATCGATCATCACGATTGCTGTGCAGGTTTTCCGGTGGAGCAGGGCGTTCACGGCTGTACTGCCGAGAACAGATAGCTGCAGCTGAGCGTGGAAAGTTTGCAACTCCGGTAGCTTAAGGTCGAAGCTTGGGTTCTAAAGCCTATCTGACTTCACGCACAGATGTTGTAGCCCGTGAATCATTGTCAGCGGCATGTTCGACGTCGTACCGGTTCTGATACTGTGTACAATTTTATGTAGTATCTCTTGTTCCCTCCATGCGAAAGATGCATATACTTTCGAGATTACCACCGCCATCACTCAAGCCAGTCAACAGCGCATTTGATTGTAAGATCGGTTCTAAGTGCAACTATCATCTTGACCGGCGACGTTTTGGGACGATGTTTTGGTCAGGTCAGTTCCGTCCTGTAGCTTACTCTTAGTACGAGTGTCACGCTACAGCAGTATCGAAGTTGATACATACCTGATACGGCTATCCAGGATTATAAGAGTACATGATTGATCGCTCGTGACCTGGAACTGTAGACGAGGCTCGATGGACGAACGCGCTGGACGGCCTTACCTGCTATTACGTCAGGTCGGCATCTCTCTCTCACTAAAATATAGTTCGTCGGAATCTATAAAAGCATTAGTTTAATGGTAAAGACCCCGACGTTGACGCCCGAAACTGGCGAGTGATAGGTCGTGCGGTCGATTCGTGCTATTGAGCTTTTCGGTTGAGATTTTGGACGTTTTGCGCGTCCAAAAACACGGGCGTGGGGGTAATCGAGGTTTCCTGACCCCCTGCGCTTGGCATGTGCCCAACCGGACTGTTCTAGCGAATCGACACGGGCAATTTGGGCGATGGGATACGAGCTAATTCTTTTTGATCTTCGATACGATCGATACAGGTCTGACACTACGGTTCATGTTCGAAGTCCCACTGGATCGTAAGGCGCGCATGCTCTACTAGCATACCGAGGCACCTGCCCACCTGCGGAAACGTCGGAGGTAGGTTTGGAAGAACGGCCTTTCTCAACCTATATACAGACCATCACGAGATCAGCGCGAGCCGACTGCTTCGGTGCAATACAATACTGACTTTGCAAATGCCGCGAACTCGATTTCCAAGACCTCCCAGAGTACCTCGAGGGCTCGTAGTTTCTCCGCCTGAGACACGATAAGACTCGGTTTGACATATCCAATCTCTTGAGCAGATTCTCCGGAGACGAGGATCAGGACGAGCGATATCAAGTTGGGGCATTGAGCGAAGTAGGCCGGGGGCGCGCCCAACTTGACCAAAGCCATCAACTGCTTCGAGACATTGATATGAGCTGGGGTGGCAAGAATCCGGGTCCAAACGGTGAACAGGAGATCCCTGCTCAAACGCGTGACTTCGAATTCGGCGAACCCGTCGCCAAACCTAAAACGTTCGAAAAACGCAGACGGCGCGACCTTGGCTTGTATGAGACGTCGACGGGCCTGAATCTCGGCGCTGGAGAGATCCCTTTCGCCTTGGAGGATAGCGTTACCGAAGATGTCGTTCTTGTTCGTCTTGACCAGGTTGGTGTAGTTGTCGAGAACGCAATCCACCACAAGGTTGTTCTTCCCGGGCGGCCAAATAGTATGGAGACGCTCGAGCTGATCGAAAATTGTTGTAAGTCCCGAGTCTTTTCGCAACTGAGATATGCAAACTTGCTTGTGCACTCACCTGATGGTCGATTCTTCCTGATTTGACGTACTGGAGAGCGGTATCAAGACTGACCATGGTGGAGATCTCCGCCTCGAGCAGCGACCAGAGACGACGAAATCCAGGAGCAGTCGAGAGAAGGCAAGGACCGTACGATGCAGCGTCGAAACAGATGTTTCGGTTCTCAGCGACGATCTTGGCAATGGCGACGATGTGAGGAGCGCTCGCGAGCAGTCCAATGACTTCGTGCCTGTAAATGATAAAATGTATGTCAAGCTCGAAATGAACTTTCACTCTCTTTCCTGTTTTCCATCATAGATTTTCTTGCTCACCGATTTCCGGGCAAATCATCAATCTTCGAATACAACCACAACATGCGTTCCGGATGGAACTGCAGCAAACTAGACAGAATCCACCGAAGAACCGTGTCTTTGGTGCGGGTTAGGTCGATGAGGGATGTTTTTTGGACGATCGGCCAGATCTGTGGTCCCACGATATGTTCCCTCCCTCTCTTGCGATTGGCGTTCGAGATGGCGGCATCGGCCAGCATCTTTGGGAGCCCGGTAGTGGTGGACGACATTCTGGGTATCTGAGAAACAAAGACGAGGATCAGAACACGATCATAAGCTCTTGAAGATTGCGCACGAGCTTACGAAGTACCAAACGTGGGGTATTCACTGATCACGCCAACGACGATCGCAAGCTAGGTACCGTAGTCGGCTTGACAAGCAGCGAGAGACTGATCCAGGAGACGGCCAGGTAGGGAACGGGTCGTCGATAAAAGGTGTCCGGACAACGGAACGAGGATGGAATAGGAAAGGGGTGACCAGTGGACCGAAGCATGACAACAAGAAGGACGAATCATGAGCTTGGTTCCGATCGACACTCGGGATCTCATGATACTTACGACGATCGATCACGAAGATCAGCAACGAGGACGTGCTACGTTCTCAGAGCTTGATGATGTAAAGCGAGTCGATTGCGGGCGACTACAAGGTCCCAGCGGCAGTCACGCTTGTATGGTCGAACAGTAGCGGCACGCAGGGTCTGGTGATCCTAACATACGGGCGGTAGAGTGATGATTGGTGAGGTGATGATATACCAAAGGATGGTGGATCGAGAGTCCGTGGTACGTAGGCGGTCGAGTGACGATGACATGTTAGTGTAGCGTCGATGGGTGGAGCGTTCCCGTATGTATTGGTCGTAGGTGGAATATCCGTAAATGGAGCGTTTACAGGTGATCGAGAGATGGACATCAAGATCCAGTGCGATGACGAACGGTAGATCGATCGGAGGAGTTGATGAGGAGAAGCAGTTCCAGAAGTATCAACGAGTATCAGCATCCATTCTCAGGAAAACCGTTAAGCCATCACTTGATCAATACGTCAGAGGCTCACCTTTTTGACGCTTCGATCACAGGCTGTAGCGTAGAGGAAAGAAGATCGATCAGCACAGCTAATATCAGAGACTCTCAGCGGGTCAAGAGGACTTACGGGGATGCGAAGAAGCTCGAAGTCGACCCAAGTAAATAGAAAGAATCGATTTGGATCGAAGTGAGGCCTTCCTACATGTCCGTCATGATAAGAAGGCGATCGTCGAAAGGCGAGTTCGACGGTAGCGAAACACAGGGGTATAAAGGCAGATAGATGAGCTAGCCTGAGCTGATGTTTTAGATCGTGCTCGCGACGGCGTACGATATTGTATCAGCGAGATGAAATGCTCAAGTAAAGGTATAGGGTATAACTAGACGTGTGAGCGAGATACTGTCAAAACGAGAGACCAGAATGATCGGTCAGTATTACATACAGGACGGTTTCTCCCCTGAATCATGAGTGCTTACGCTGTGGGCTGAGCGATGTACGTCGCCTAGGTCGACGGAGTAATTCGAGGTTCGGTCTCGAGATCGATATGATGATGGAAAGCGATAGCTATATAGCTATATAGCAGCTATATAGCTATGGCTAACAATGAGAAGGAGTAGTAGTAAGTTGCGAGTTGCGAGTTGCGATGAGGGGGCGAGGGCGCGAGGGCAAGGGTGACGGGAAATGGCAAAGGAGGGTGACGACGAAAAGATGCAAAAACGAGGACTCGAGGACGACGGACTGCACAGCCTATCCTGGATCTTAGCGCGGTCGTCCAAGAAATTTGATGAATTTGATGGAACAAACGACGGGCGAGGGGCGACGGGGCGAAGAGACTGATTAACGACCGATTTTGATGAGACACTCGGGATAAGGTTCGAAGTGGTCAAGGCGGGAGACGGAGGAGGGAGAAGGCGAAACAAGGGTGACGTAAGAAAAGTCCCGTACTAGTACGCGCGTTAACCGTTCACCCTTCTTTCTCGGATCCACCAAGGGGCGGGCGCATCGTTCTATCCGATCTTACTCGCTGCCGGCGCAACAACCCATCCTTAGGCCGCGCCGTGGGCGATCCTGACTAGCAACGCCGCTGTGAAGAAGTTTGAAGCTCCAAGTATCCTGTGATCTGTGACCTGTGAAACAAGGCACAATCGTGAGCCGGCCATCATGATGTCGTCAACGACACCAAGCGGCACGGCTGTCAAGCGAGTCACTCCGGTCATCGTGGTTGTCAGCAAACTGTTACGAAATCATAGCAACTGTTCAAGCCTATCTTGCTGTCCGTCGCTCGAAGAAAGGTTAATTTCCTGCAGCACACATCCGTTTCATCATGTACCAGATGGTCGAGAAGTGCTCTGGTCTGAACGACCGATGACTTCCGCTCCATCCTCCCGATCTTGAAGATAATCGACCAGCTGGAGAGTACAGGCTCGTTCGTGCCCAGATTGTCTTAACGTATGAGTCGCTGCCGGGCAGGAATTCTGCCAGTAGGTTTGCGCTTCGCCCGACAATCAGCGCGACGTAAGTCAGGTTGAACATGGACTCGAAACAGTCGATCCAGATACCTACAAGGCATCTGATATCAGTATGGCCAAGCCTGGTTTCGACACCCAAAGCAATCGTACACGGAGGTGCATTCAAAGTCACCAAGGCTAATGCGCCGCTCTAAAGCTGTCATGCTCATTGGGAGCCTTTTTCATTTCGGTCCATGGATGATTCTCCAGGTAACGAGCTGATCAGTCTCTCTGGATTTGCATATGATGTAGGAGCGATCACTCACGAGTAAGTCGGATGATAGCATGATAGCTTGTTGGGTGAACATGGTTCGTATCCAAGGCGGTCAGAGAAGACGAAATCTGGCATCAGACAATATGCCCCTTGATGGGCCTCTTGCTTGGATGCCAAGGCTTTCCCGTAGATAAATCGACAGTTGGAAAGCACTTTTTCCACATGTGGCGGAAGAAAATCCATAACAATACTATGGGCTTGCAAGGGAGCCCAGATCGAGTGGATTGTCTCTAGAGCATCATCAAATTGACCTTCTTTCAACTGTAGGGATGCTTTGGACAGAGAGATACTCAAGATCTCAGCCTTCAGAATATATCAGAGCCGTTGGAGGTCCTCAGGCGCCTTGACCAGCAAGCATTGGCCATACTTGTAGCCGATGGACATAACCAAACTGTTACACCCATCAGAAGCCAGGAGAATAGCGAGTCCAGCGATGTTTGGGACGAGCCCTAAGAACGCTACGTTTGGATGACGCTTCTCATGTCAAACGGCTTAGGAGGTCCCTGCCATCCATCCGCGTAGGTGTATGCTGCAAGGTCCCATCCGATGCCAAAGTTTCAATCCTGTCCAAGTCGTCCGAAACGTACATGAATGCCTTCAACAGATGAATCTGATAGCGACCCAAAATTGTGCAAAGGCAAGAGCAAGCGATGTTGATGATCGTTGTCAGAGGGATAACAAGGTGAGGGGCGCGACGCGATCATATGCCCGGTGTAGTAGAAGACGTCATACAGTACATTTCCATGTTCGTGCCCGTCATCGCTTACACTGCTAGTACAAGACTCAAATGGGATCGAAATTTCTCGAACGGTGGACGTCACGTCAAGCGCTGCGACAGGTGGAACGACGATGACAGCTACGTTTGAACGGAGAGGTCGGGCAACAAAATGGTATGTATGGTATGTCTCTTTGCGACATGTTTCGCAAATCACGATATTAGATGACAGTCGTGCAATGACGATATAGTACCGCATAATCCCTATTCAAGGCGTACGCCCACGTAAGAACGCCACCATAAGATGCCACCCGAACACCTTCAACTCCAGGACCCTCGTCATCTCCTGCCATTCCGGTTCTGTCGAGACCGCTCCTGCGGGCAAGACCGTGTAATAGTCTTGGTGTTCTCCTAACAGGGATCGAAGCAGCGATCCGAGGAGGAAGAATAGGACGGCGGTGGCCAACAGCGCTAGTATCATAGTCGGCGGCACCGTAGTCTTCTTGGAAGCGATGGTTGATTGCGGAGTCGGTATGACATGTTCAGCGGAGATGGATTGGTCGGCGTCCGAAGCGACTTCCACGGCCTTGACCTTGGCGGGAGAAGCGTCGGCAAGGTTGCTGGTAGGGGTTACTGGCCATGAGAACCGTGCCGGTCTAGTAAGGTATGTATAGATCGAGTTCATCCGTTGAGATCGAGGTCGAGTTTCGACGTTATGGGTGTCGATTTGCAAGCCCGGTTCATGGTTCTCGATCGCGGACGTTGATGCAGGAGCAGCCTCTGGTTCGTCTGGCTTCAGAGATTTCTGTCCGGCGGGGCTGCCGGTACTTGTATTATTGGCGTGATGAAGCGAATTAATGTCCTTGGCTATGGCTATAGGTGCGATATGGAGCCGGAGGTGATCAGTGAGCGCCGGGGCATCCTGAGTCGGATCAATGCTAACGAAACAAGACAGGTCAGTCAGAATGACCGCTACCGACACTGTGACATCTCGACTTACCGCTTCAACTTTGACCACAGCTTGACCTTCGCCTCGACCCTGCTTGCTGTACCGGATGGCGATGAAACCGATGGAGAGTCTCTAATCGGGACAGGCTGGCCGGCACGAAAGAATCTGACTTCTCCGCTACCGTCACGAGGTAGCTTTTGAAGCTTGATCACCAGCAGACCACCCACACGTACAAGTTCGTGATCGACTCTGGATCGCGTGACGTCTGCCGGCGGCTGTCCAAGGGGGTCCTGTACGGACTGACCATTCAGCGCTCGGATCTTGATGAGGTATGCCTGGCTGTCCGTAAGGGCGCCTCTGAGGACTGGCAAAGCCGTTCTCTCTACCTCGACTTTGAGGGTATCTTCCAAGATCTCGCTGGTCGGCCCTTCCAGTGCCAACGGTGCTGTGACGGAATCGGCGGATTGAGCTCGCGCTTCGACCGCAATGGAGTACTTCTCGCCTGCTCCCGCCGGCAATTCAACGATCATCTCCAGTAGTGGCACCTTGAGATGCGCCGAGAAGCTCTCTTCTCCCTGCTCGCTTGTTTGCGACAGCCCTCGGACTAGCTGTTGGCTGACAGCACGACTACGGGTTAGGCGAGACCAGGCAGAAGCAGTCCGCGCATGAGAGGGCTTGTTGAGGCCAGACGGTAACGCTCCCGAGTCGGTTTCGGTCGTTTCGTCGTCATACCAATCAGCAGGAAAGGACGATCCACGTCTATTGTCTTTGTAGGAGGGAATGATTTTGACTGTCGCTTGCGTAAGTCCGTCCGGATCGTGCGCCAGACTCAATATTGTGGCGTCCGGACGGCCCACCAACCCATATTTCGTATCTTTGCCCAGCTTCTTAGCTTTGAGTAGTGTCTTGGGCAGCAGTATGCCGGATGCGGGACTGATCACCATGGGTAACCGCGATTCGGCGTTGAGCATCTTCTCTACTGCCAAGATCCGATAGGGTAAAGCCGCATTGGCGACATTGTTCATGGCGAGTGGAATGCCAAAATCGATGGCGCATACGTGCATACATCGTGTTGACGGGATTGGGAATTGATCGTGTGAGTATGGATCCAGTGTTTCGAGAATCCAGCCTTCAAGCACGATGTTGCCGAGTGGCATACTCAATGGGTTGTAAGTACGAGAATCGAGACCTAGGCCGGAAGCGTCAAAGTTGGACGTCGACGCATGGAAGATCAATGCGGCATCGCCAGTAGAGGTGAAGTTCGGGACGGGAGATGGAGGTCCTCCGGTTTCAGCCCGGGCCACAATGTTGATGGTTTGAAACGCTCGGTTCTTGTATGGAAACGCCATCTTGTTGGAGGTGAATTGCAGATGTACACCTTCGCCATATGCTGCTAGAAGCTTTGTATCTATTAATTTGGCCGCGTCCCATGTTTTGCGATGCGTTGAGCTAGAAATGATAGCTGAAACGTCCTCGGCGCTGGAACCTTGTATGATGCGGCTGGACCTGTAAACAGGAAGGCTCTCCGAGACAAAGGGTAGGATCTTTTTTTCGACGATAGCGTTACCGTTGCGGGACGCAACGATCCATTGGTCATCGGCCGTGGTCGATTCGCTAAAGCGATCGATATGTATGCGGACTAGCCGTTCTAGCGCTCCTGCAGCGGCATCAAAAGGTGATTGCTTGCATGCTTCGAGAGGAGGCCCAGACGGAGCGACTATGATCGACTTCGCACTTCCTGCAGCTGTATTGAACCATCCCGAGATGGATCCGGCCCATGTCGGCGTTTGTGGCAGAGGACGGACGATCTCTTCCGGAGTTTCGGTTTCCGGGGCCGGTTCGTCGCCCTCTGGAAGCTTGAGCGCAGGTACGCCAGTAGCTCTTCGTCTCAATAGTGGTACAGAAGCCGGTTGATCCAAGGATCTTCGGGTGACTTGAGATCGTTTCTGCTTCTTGAACGCCGTCACGTCGGCTGCTGCGAGATCTGCCTTGTCGATTTCGACGTTGGTCCCGTTGAGCAAGACTGTGGTCTTTTCCCTGCCCAGACCTGCTGCAGGTCTCGCTTGGATACTGACAGTAACTTTCCTGTTCAAGGGAGAATTGGCGTTCTCGTGCTCGACCGTCAGCCAAAGTCCCCCGTTCTCGGTGAGGGAATGTCTCTTGAGCACTGAAAATGATGATGGTGGAGGATCGACGACTACTTCGAGCGAGGTTGCCCACCTGTCCGGGTCGCATCTTATCTGACATTCCATAGATGTGGCCTTCTCTTCTTCGATAACGATAGGCGTTTCCGATCCTCTTCGAGAGCCATTCGCCGACGCATCTTCCGTTTGCACAGCAGACGACATCGCTGTTTTGGGCGCGGAAGTAACGGTTCTTACGATGGCGGCCTCGTAGGTGAACTTTACGACCGCCTTTTCTACGTCATAGCGAGAAGCAGATATCTTGGCGCCGCTGAGCCGGGAAATGACAGGTGGTCCTCCAGTCTTGATAGCGGTTTCTCCCAATCCTGCCATCGCGCTCTGCATTTGTTGGGTTATCGTTCTCGCAGCTAAAGCACGCGCATCAATCTGCTCGATCAGGGTAACATGTATCGTCGTCGGAGAAAGCCGCTCCAGTGACCATCCTTGAAGAGTCAACTCTTCCCGCATCAAGCTGGAATCAGAAGAAAACGGAACCGACGGGAAAAGGCTGGCGTCGGGAGTGAAGCTGAAAATGTGCATGGCGTCATTGCTTTTGTAGGTAGTCCGGAGGAGATCACGTGATCTGTTTCAGAGGGATTTTGAGTAAGAGCTCAATTCCCACGACTTGTAAAGCAATAATACTCACGGCCGACCCTTCTGGCTGACCCGCCACAATTCGGTCATCTCGTTGACATGTTCCAGTAAGATAGCATCTCCATACGCTCTATCCCAAGTAGACCTCGCTCCCCAGTTCATGAGGATCGCGAACAAGTCCCAGAGGCTGACACCGACAAAGACGGCTTCAACTCGGTGAATGGCTAGTGTCTTGTCCATCGAGTTCAGCGAGTAGAGGGTAACTCCTTTGCCTTCGCTGATACGCCTCCACTTGGCTTCGGGTTCTTGGAGTAGCGCGGTAAAGTCTACAAAATCAATATCAGCTTGACAGTAAAATTCAAACGAGATGCAGTCCGGACTCACGGATGTAATTCCGCTTGATGAGCGAGGCGACCGTCTTGTCCTGACTCTTGCTGCGAGCTCCTTTGTGACCTACAGTAGTGTCAACCGAGACAGATCTCTGCCTTGCGACCGTCTGCTGAAGCGAAGCCGGCACGTTCGGTGCATCTGCCCCGGTTTCGGATTCCAGTGACATGATCGATCCCGCTCGACCCAGACCGACCCCGCCAAACGGATCAAGTGTCCTAGTAGTCCGTAGAGACATGTCGCTGAGGACACTGGATGAATCGCCTAGCAGGCTTGTAGGGCTCAAACGGCATACGGGCGTCTCGACATTCGATTCTAAGGAACATAAAGATCCGTTGAATCTGACGTCATCGGGGTTCCCCATCGTCCGCTCGAGCGTGACCTTGTACCGCTTGATGTAGAGATTCGGAGGAGGCGGAGAGACGTCGAGTCGGAAGTAGAGGAAAGCCGAATCATGTTCCATCGATCCTGCTCGTCGTCCTGCTTGATAGTGAAGATCAGTCGATTCCACGATTTCGCCCGTTCTATACGTGAAGTCGATATCCCAACTCGACCGGCTGCTGAACCGGAAGACCACCGTAGCCCTCTCCTTGTCCTCGCCCTCGTCCCCATTTCCTTCCTTCTCATCAACGTGGACGACCGAATAGTCTAGGCTGAAGAGAACCCTCGTCGCATCGAAGCCTATGTCGTCAACGGAGACTCCGGGTGATATCCAGACGACCTCCGGTACGGGTATGGCTTCTGCTATCGTATAGTCTCGCAACGATCTCAATAGTCCTGGCAGATGCGTCTGGATGCTAGCTCCGATAGCCCATTGTCCATTGGGAGTCCAGTTGAAATGGCATGACATGCGTAACTTTCTCTTCCTGCCTTGTTCACACGGTACGAGCTGGACTAGCCAGGCGACTAGTCCGACGTGTGCTCGGACAAACGGGGGGCTGGGCTTCAGGTATGCCGGTTCGTGCTTTGACCTTGGCAAGCTGGTTGCTACGCAGATGAGCGCGTCCTCGTCGATGTAATGCCGTTGTATCGTGATTGAATCTCTGGGGCTGGACGGCCATCCGAGCTTATAGCGTGTATGTACGATCCGGGTGTTGGTATCCAGCACGTCCAGGGTGCTACAGCTATCCACCAGCCTGTCCCATCTATTCCTCGATCCAGGTTCGACGATGGCACCCCGAAAGGTGTCTATATCGAGTTCGTCAGGAAAGACGGCTCCATCCGATTCAAAGACGGCTCGAAAGACATCGCCGGTCTTGAGAGAGCGTTTATGTAGCGTGGTCTTTCCCTTCAGTCCATCCAGCAAAGGGGCAGCTATTGGTGGTGTTTGGAATCCGCTGGACGAAGTAGATGCTGGGTAGGTGATGGGAAGAGGCTTCCAGGACGGTGATGAAGATGAAGCGACGAGTTGGCGAAAGTGCAGGATGGAATGGGATAGAGCCAGGTCCCACGAGCTCTGTAGGCTGTTTCCCGTAGAGAAAAAGCAGGCATATCAGACCTGGTACCGTTAGATTCTGTACCAACATATCCATTACAATATGCTTACGCTGTTCCGTCGTCCAGGTGAATACCGCTCATCGTCCTCTACCTGCCTTTGGACCTCGCAGAGGAGGAGCGAGATGAGCCGACGGAATTCCCAGTCAGGCTGGCGAGGCAGTCCTACTTGCTTCTAGTATGGGCTATATGTTTATGCCTACGTTTGAGGTAGTGATTATGGAGGACATGGATGAGAGGGAGGCAAGTACTGGTTGTATAGCTGGATGGTAGTAGTTGTACAAGTCGAAAAGAGGAGGAACGAGTGCGTGCTTGCTTCGGCGAGGTCCGCGAGGTTCGTCATCGAACTCAACCAAGTTGCATTCCACGTCCTATACCTCGACCCCATCTCCAACTATAACTCGACGACGACAGCTTCACCTACAGCTATCATAAATTAGAGGCGGAGAGAGGTCGTACAAGATCACCTGAGCTACCCAATCTAGCTATTTTCAAGACGATGCGATCGATATAGCCCGCAAACGTCAAGCTCAACATGACCTCGGACGCAGACAGGCCGTCGTTTGTCCCACCTCTCGGTGATCACCTCGACAGCCGGATAGAAAGGCCAAATTCAAGCCAAGGACGACTGTCTCAGCTCATAACAGGAAGAGCTAGTCGGTCGAGAGCGTCATCCATCTCATCCGAGGCAGTCAAGGCGGAAGTGACTGGGACGACTACGCTCTCGCAAGGAGATGGGCATGTTTCCAGGCGTACAAAGGGTGGTCGAGGTGGGTCTCGTAGCACGGCTTCACTGGATTTCAAAAGCTAATAGCTATGTACTATAATTATAGCCGCATCGCTGGCTCTGTTACAGAGTGACCCTCGATACAAACGTTACGCTCAAACGATAGAGAGAGCTTTAGCGACATTCGACTCGGTAGCCGAATGGGCCGACTTCATTTCCTTCCTCTCCCGGCTTCACAAAGCTCTCCTCTCCACCACCCCTCAATACACAGAGATTCCGTACAAGATCCAGATCGCCAAACGGCTCGCTCAGGGTCTCAATCCTGCTCTGCCAAGCGGGGTTCATCAAAGGACACTCGAGGTCTACAGGGAGATATTCAAAATTCTGGGGGAAGATGGATTCCGCCAAGACTTGGCCACCTGGTCTTCCGGCTTCTTTCCCTTCTTCCAATACGCCTCTACCGCAGTCCGGCCGACCGTACTGGACATATACGAGACGTTCTACGTACCTCTCGGTCGGTCACTCCGCTCAGCCAGCAAAGCTCTCGCTCTGGCTCTCTTACCCGGTCTGGAGGAAGAGACGGGGGACCACTTCGAACGGGTACTCAAACTCGTGGACAAGATCTCGGAGTCGGTCGATGATGCTTATTTCCTGCAATGCGTGTTCGTCGTCATGATCACCAATCCCGGATCTCGGACATCAGCGGTCAACTACCTTGCCAGGCGATTGCCTTCTCGGCTGAAGCAGCACCTGAAATCTCTCGGAACCGGCCTGCTGAACCCTGATCTCGTTACGACTGCATCCCTGCAACCTCTCTTATCGGAGGTCATCGGTCCTGACGGTGGTCTCCTCATCAGAGCCCTCGCAGCTGGGCTGGAAGACGACTCGCTGCTCGTCCGCCGTGGAACGCTCGACCTCCTGAACTCCTGCCTACCTTTACCCTCCTTGCTCAGTTTCGCCGACTTCTCCCCGACGGACAAGAAGATCCTGATCAAGTCGGCTTGTGGGATCGTACTCAGACGAGATCTCAGCTTGAATAAGCGGATGTATGGGTGGTTCTTGGGGAACGAGGAGGAGTCGGAGAAGCAGATGGATCGGTTCAGGTCGGTTGGGCTGGATCTCGTTCGGGATGCATTGCTAGTGAGTCAGCGGAGGACTTCGTGCTGACGGAGATATGCTGAGACCTGTATCCGCCTTTCCGCTCAATAAAGGAGGATATGAAGGACATCACGAATAACACGCTCGACTCTGCCCGACCATTCCGGATCTTCGTATCGCTGCTCGATCGTTGGGAAGTGGGATATCCCTTATCGATGGCCCTTGTCTATGATGCCTTGAATGTCGCCATGCAAGTGGATCAGAACGGCAGTGTTGAAGAGGTCGTCAAGGAAAACGTGCGTTGTTTCGATTCGGAGCGGGAGAACTCGATTCTAAGCTTACTGTTTGGCTGCCTCAGGCAAGGATGGCTGCGCGAGCGGTTTATGAGGGAGTCGAGCCTTACGTCTTCTGGTCTATCATATACGGGAAGCTTCAGGTAACAGAGGGATATCGCGAAGCAGATGTCGTAAGTTATGAAGCTTGTGAGGTTTTGCTCATGCTTACACCATCGATGATACGTCTCAATTCCAGACATCCGCTCTCAACATCACTATTTGGGTTCTCAACACGTTCCGGATACAAGATGAAGAAGTCACGCGGGTCCATTTGCCTTTGATCTTGTATCTCTTCGTGACTGTACGTACTTGTCAGATTGCCTGTGACGATAACGAGGCTGATGTTTGGCTCTCAGGATCATGAGAGGCTCGTCCGAGCCGAGCCGGACTTGTTGATGGTTACATCGCGAGCGATCTTCAAGGCCCTGCCATGGGGAAGCATGACTGCTACTAAAGCGAACGACCAGGATAACACGGCCATCACAACGGCAGCTAAGGATTACTACACCGTCGATTCGCGCTTTCGACCCCCAGACGTGCAACGTGCTACGGGACCGTCCGCCCAGACCCTGATTCAAGGGAACTTCACAAAGTGGACGGAATCGCAACCTACTCCTGTTGCATTGGCGAAGCATTGCGGATTGCTTGCCGACATCATCATCGCTGGCGGGAACGTGACCGACGGCTTGAGCGTCCGATGGGAACCGGATACTTTTCTTCAGCGGATGGTTAACGGTATAGCGCAAGTGAGTGGTTCGACGACCCGGTCGACTTGCTGATGACTATCAGGCTGAATATGCGGGTTCCGAGCAGACACACGACTTTGAGGAAACCGCCGCCTTTGCACAGCTGGTGCTGCACATCGGCGCTGCTTCTTGGCTGAAGCCTGCTCTCCGACTCGGGGATGCTGGAATCACGCCGGATGTCGTACAGTCGGTGCGTCAAATTCGGCAATGATATCGGAACGGATCGAGGTGCTCAATCATCCTTGCCGATCAGTTGTTTCGCTTCATGCGACCCCAGCATCTTTATCAAAATAAAGAAGCCTCGGCCTTGTTGTGGAGAGTGGCAGACGGTTCTTCTCCTGCTGTTCTCCGACAGACCGTCATGCGATCCCTAGTCAATGATGTTTCGAGAGGAGATGCGGTGCAAGCGTTCAGTCGCCTTTGGACGCTAACAGGTGAGCTCTTATGCTTATGATTTGTCGCAAGCCGTTCGTCGCCGCTGAATGGGTGATGTCATACAGAGGATCCCTTGAAGCAGGAGGAAGCGTTCCATCTTCCACTGTTCTACATCCTAGATGGCTTACAGTCTGAGGACATCGTATTGAAAAGGCTCGCTCAAGGATGGATGCGATGCGAGCTGGGCCTTTACATCAGGCAAGTGGCGCGCTAAGTTGGCCGCGTCTGTCGCCAACACACCTTGAATTCTAATCTCAGAGCGACGATTTCAGAATGTTAGACGTGATCACTATTCGTCTTGGGATGCTACTACCAGTGACCAAACGTACCAGCATCGATATAGCGGATTGCGAATTCAACGTCGATTACCTGGGCAAGCGCGGCGATCTCAAACAGATCGCTTACGTCCTTGAGAAAATGTCAGAAGTATTGGATCACGGAGGACAGCTATTGGCGAACCACTTGGCGAGTTCGGCAGTCCCAGCTCGTGCAAGGAATACATATGTTATGAGCGAACTGCAGCAAGGTCCGTGCCGTACTATGTGCAACGATACACGATCTGCAAAGCTAATCGATGTGTGTTCAGAACCGACCTACCGCGACTTTGCATGTCAAGTTGCTCTCAGGTAAGTTTCAAGAGCTTCATCGATGTCAGGCCCATACACGCGCTAAAACATTCTCCATACCAAAACCAGAATGTTGTTTCTGTGGGAAACGGCCGCTGGTTTTCCCACTTCGGCTGTGGAACGGCCTCTACATCTCGCGGCTATCGCTCTCCTTGGCACTCTGATATCGCACGGCGACTGGACAACCTCGGAATTGGCAAGCCTCGAGAACGCAATCCTTCCGAGACTGCTGTCATGTGTACATGGCCGCGATCTGGATCTTCAGACGTCGATCTTGGCCGTTCTCAAGAACTTGATAATGAAGCAGAATGCCGATAGGAGCCATATGACTTCGCCTCTGATCGGTTCGACAAGATCGCACAACCGCACGCGTTCAAATATTCCAGCTCAGATCGAGCTCTCGCAAACTCAGCCGGACAACGCTTATCTGCTACAGACTATCCTCGCTGGCATTGGCTTGACCTCAAACCGACCCATCTTGGCCGACTGGCTCGACTTCATCCTCAGTATCTCGGCAGGTCTCTCGAGCAATGTCATGCCGATTCTCTATCCTATCTCTGACGCCCTTTGTTTGCAAATCGAGGAACGGCTATATAGCGCAAATGCGTCATTAGAAGACGGAATGAGCAATGGATCTGGTGCTGAATCAGAGATACCTCTACTTCTGCAAGCTGCCGAGTTGATCGTCAGGGGGATACTTCCCACAAGCAGTTCCGGCGACACACCTGCTCCAGCCAACGGCTTCCCGGAACCAGCCGGATTGTTCGGATACGTGTCGACTGTCTTGACAGGGGACGGCAGTACAGCTAGGACGACAAGAGAGGCCGTGAGTCTGTTCTAGTAGCCGTTGAAAGACAACGAAGCTGATCAGAGCGACTTCTCAGGCGTCTATGGGGTCAAACCAGACTATGAGAGGAGTGGTCAGCGCAGCCATCAACACGTTCGCTACGTTCTACGATACGCGAGATCTGCGACAGGCTGCCGGTCAGGACTTGGTCGCGGCCGCAAAGGCCTGTCTGTTACGGCTATATTCGCGGAGACCAAATGAGACGATCGAAGCCATGATAGAGGCTTCGGTCAACGATGATCACCTGAAAGTGAGCGACTTCTGGGATGTTGGCTTCGAGCTTGTGTTGAGATTGATCATCGTTCTCGCCCAGATCGAACCCAAAGCACTCCTGGTTATTCTGGATTCGCTCACTTCAAGCTCTCACAAATTGGTTTCGCTATTATGCGATATGCTCTCCCCCCTGTTCTCCGACGCCGAACGGACGAAAACGGCCAGTGGTATCAGGTAAGAAATCGCTTAAGAGGGCGCAATGCCGTCACTTATTGATAGCGATACTGTTCCGATTGATCCAGCCGTCCACCGAAGATACTGGCGGTTTTGGACGCCTACTTCGCTGGAGTTGAAGCACCGGTCGCCATTGATGTGCTGCCGGCCGTGATGTCCCTGGTTCGAACAGCCAATGCGTCCACCGCCAGCTTGGCCAAAAAGCAATTCTCTTTGCCTTTACTGGAGTGAGCCTCTCTTGGTCGATGGCACATCGATCGCACAATAGGCTAACGCATGCTGTTGCCAAACCAAAGATCCTACTTTGCCCTGATGCGCAAGATAGCGCAAACTTCAGCTTTTAATGATCGCAGGCTGAAAAAAGACGCCTTAGTCAGTGTGTTACGTGGTCGTGTCTCGGCCGACTTCCATAACTTGGCTCAACATTGAATCATCTCTAGGACTCTCTCATCCGGCTTGCAGAAACTGCAGTGAACGTCAACGCTGTTGAACCGCGGGACGTTCCACCGCGATCTCCAGGACTCGGACAGAAAGGGCAGGCTAGCATAGAGCCACACGTACAGGCGTCAGATGCTGTAAGTCAGCGGTAGAATGGTATTTCCCGGATGATCGCCGCAGCTCGCCCTGCCGAACGAGGCCAGGGAGCATTCAGAATTGATCAGAATCGCACGTTTCATTTCAGTTGCTACGCTTCTTACGCAAAGATTTCGTGCCTCATCTGCGAGAGGTTTTGGACGAGGACGAAAGGGTCATCCAGATCACCGCTGTGATCGGGCATACGGTCATCAGCCCTGTAGCCAAACAACGAGCCAGGTGGGTTTATCGGTTCAGGGCTCTTCGTCGGGTCAATGCTCAATCAGGCTGAATTACTTGCCATTCCCTGGCAGAACTGGATTGAGCACCGATGTCGAGTTCCTGTCCATGCTTGAAGCGATCGCGCACATCCCGCAAGCCAGCAAGAGTTGGAAACCATACGTGCAAGACGTCTTCAATGATCCCGGAATCTTTGACCTGAAGGAAGGAGGCGCCCGGATTCTATGGAGAAAGCTGTTCGCATTATGGCTAAGCGGCGAGAAAGAAAGGCTACTCGACCTCTTTGGTACGTCCCTCTTCGTAAAAACTTGATACCGTTCTCCAGGCTAACCGACTGATTCGAGGTCATATAGAGCGTGCGCTCGTTGTGACCTCGGCAGCTAATCTGTTCATCAACCGAGAGCAAGAAACGCAGCAACGAGCAGCCACTATTCGCCGGATATCGCTGTGCCTTTTTGTGTGCGAGAAGAATCACTATGTTATCCAGCTTCCCAATATACAAGCCCGCCTGGTGGACCTATCGAGGGGCTTTGCGTCAAGTCCCGTGGTTATATCAGAGGTCAGTCAGCAGGTCCATCCGCACGTCGCGCCGTCGCCGGTCTTGGGAGACTTAAATGAGATCGACGACAGAAGTCGTTCTGTTTTCCGCCTGTTTGCCTCGAAAGCCTTGCTGAACTGCGGATCGAGCTGACTATGTGCTCGTTTCGCATTCTAGATGTACCTTTGTTTGAGAGTGACCATGTGCAGGTTTGGATCGCAACATCTAACCGGTATCCTGCCAATTGTCCTGTCCGAATTGGTGAGTTCAAGAAAAGTGGGAGGCAACGGGACATCACGTTGAGAATTATGACATCACAGATACGGAGTTTCGAGGATATACTGGAGGAACTACCTGCCGATAACGCAATCAACCTCAAGACGAGCCTCGCCACTTGTAAACTGCTGGACTTGATGCTCGCGTTGAGTATGGAGGAGTTCCAAATGTAAGCTCTATAGATAGGCGACACGGACCCAGCTGAATCGTTACTGACCAGATCATCTGGCTGTGGGTTTCTCGAAGGCATCAATGGCTCTTCGTCAAGGACACGACGGATGCGCTTTATCCAGATCCTGGAGCCAGTAGGGAGGACACTTTGACGGAGATGTTGTCGGATGCCATTGCCGCTAAGCATCACACACATGTCAGTACTACGGTAACTTGGGTCACTAATAGACCGGCCTATAGAGACTAACGCTCCGCCTTCTCATGATTCCGATTTCAGATGACAACACCGGCAACCGCATTCGTACCGATTTCCCCATCTGGCATTTCGGGAAGAAGACCCGCACTCGCAGAGACTCACTCTATCGGTTCGATGGCCAGCTTGCAACCTTTCCTCATCGGAGCGAGTTCGAGAGCGTACGAGGGGATGTATCAGTCGAAGCCTGTTGATTGGCAGTTCATCGAGGACGCCCTGGAGGCCGAGTTGTTCAGTCGGTGAGAGAAGATCCGGGCGGAGGCAGGGAAAGAGAGCGTAAGAGGAGGCGATACAAGGCACATCAGCGAAAATGTTATGCTTGCAAATGTATGTATCAAATGTCGCAATGAGATCACATAACGATGGTCCCTTATGCTACCCTTGCCGAAGTACGCGGCGACTGAGCGGTCCGTAGTAGGCTGAACTTGGTCATTGAATGCACGGCGAAACGCAGACACATAACTCAAAGTTCGTTCCAGTAGTTCGAAGTTGCGAGTAACGAACTCGATTCAATCCACCACACCAAGCGTACGACGTTCTGGTGTTGACAACTCGGTCAAACAGGAGCGATGGTGATACACGGAATCGGCAGTATAAGATACACGACGGGAATGACTCGGCGAAAGAGCAAGACGGTCGTAATCCAGATGGAAATGATCGAAGATGATGTAGAGTATTCTTTGGCATCATGCCTCTGGGATAGGCGGCAGAACGATCGCCTTAAGCAGGAGGACTGTGCGACAAGTGTCAAGACCAGTCGATATCGGATCACGGCCGTTGGCGAGAACTCACTGAAGAAAGTTATAGACGATTACTTGCCTATTATGCTCGATGAGCATCTTCAGGGGTTTCCCTCGGCTCGGAAACAGCCAAGGCAGTGTGCCGGTGCAGTATTGCTGGAACTCGGCTTGAATCACCTATGCCGAAAGGACGTCAGCGCAAAGTACTGATTGGGTATGAAACATGGTGACCGACTTACTCGCCACATGACCTCGAAGTCTTCCAATTCGAGACTCGGTAAGACCATCGGATCGTCTAGGTAGTCGATCCGGTTGAGAGTCGAAGTAGGACTTGCACGCAGAATGACGAGCATGGAGATGAGGTGCGGGGATCGGGAGAAGACGTCGAGCCATTGCTTCGGCTCGCGACTCAAGATCAATTGGTCGACTTTGGTCATGAGATCTTCGCGAATCTTAGGCTGAGCGGCGGCGGAAATCGTCCTCCAGACGTAGTTGAGCAAATCGGCGCTCTGGAACTGGACGGCGAAGCCGATGTGTCCATCGCCGAGTAGATCCCAAAAAATCTCCTTCGGCATGATGATTCTCCCGAGATATCTAGCCTTGTCGTGGATACCTTCAGGCTCCGCAATGTCGGTAGCTTCGCCGCTGATCGCTTGCCGATAAATAATCCTTCGGTTCATCTGCACTATATCAGCTGGGTTCGGGTATAAGGGGATGTCGATGATGAGGTTGTGTTCCTCCGAAGGCGGCCATGTCTTTTTGATCTCATCCATGCGGTCGCTACCGGCACTTCGCGGCAAGTTCTTGACTTCTGCATTGAGGATCGCGTACAGAGCTTGAAAGTTGGTGTGGGCTGCGGAGAGGTAACAATCACCTAAGAACGATCGCGTCCGATGTTCAACCTCCATGTATCCAGCCGAACACTCACTGCCGACTTACCGTAAACACCATACTGTGTCGTATCCTTTTGTCCTCTGCTACGATTCTCTGCCACGATCAAGGCGACCACGACGGTGTTCGGACAATCCGCAAAGAACTTGACGTTACGATGCCTCAGTCTGTATGCGTCGTATGTGGCGAAACCGTCGAGGAGTTTGCCGTAGAACCAGGTCATCTTTTCCGGGTGAGCCATGTAGAGGCTCGAGAGGACCCATCGAAGTAGACCGTCTTTCAGCCTGGTGATATCCATGGGGAGCCGACAGGCGATATCCCAGACCCAACTGAGACCGACCAAGTGCATTCCATGTGAGCGATCATACATACTGCGCTTAATCGGAGTCAAACTCTCGAGACATGACTCACCCGCCGTGGACCGGATCCATCGTCTTCTTCACAATAGCCGCTCTTCCCGTCTTGCGCCTGGCGGTAGGAAAGGTTCCATCCGCGATCAACTTGGCGATGCCCTTTTTTCCAGCGGCCTCGGGGGTGTTCGAACCCGTGGCTGGTGTTGAAGGGCCGAGGTTGACTTGATCGGGTTCCGAGTTCGAGGTCGAGGCGATGAGTTCGTAAAGATTGTAGGCGTCGATGGCGGCTAGGATATCAGACATGGTGATGAGACGAGTTTGTGGGAGGTGTTGGTGCGATATGATCTGGAGGATGAGGAGCCGAAGTGTGAAAAAGAGTAGGATGAAGTAAGAAGCCGAGCACATGTTCAACGTCAGCCTTGAGATCAGCTACGTATGTCCAGAAGAGGCACTCACCGAAGATGACTCGATGGAGCCTAATGCGTTGGCACGTTCGACAGTGATGGCAATGCCCTAGATGACGAAAGCTTCGATGATCAGAGGGTAGGTAAAGGACCCTGACGTTCGCGGTATGTGAGTTGATCCTGATAGTGAAATGTACTTCCTGTAAGTGCGAAGAAACGGGGGAAGATTCCAGAGACTTGTAAAGGCATCTCTCGAGAACATACTGAATCCGAGGTGTGCTGCAGTTGCAGCAGTTGCAGGACGTGTATCTGGTCGATAGTAGAAAAGTAGGAAGGCTTAAACGATTCGTATCGAGTCTTCTGGTCATGATGGCAATGCTCACCCGTCCCTGTTCTTAACCGTTCGACCGGCTTCGGTCGCGGATGCGCCTTATTTCGGTCTTTGAACTGGAGCTCAAGGTCTTGTCCGTTCCGGATGATGTCGTGTGCTTACGTTCCCAGAAGCTAATCGCTGTGTCTCGATCTCTCGTGACCTGGGGTCGTGATTGATATGACCACATACATATTTACGTAAGGAGACGTGGCTGTGTCGATCAATAATCGGTGAAACTGATCGATCTCCGAAACATGCTTGAGCTGACGTTTGATGGCCGGTTGCAGGTTGGCAGGTGGATCTCAGAAAAGAAGGGCACGACCGATATCGGCATTCGCGCACGGACGCGCACGGGGCTTTTCTTACGTCACCCTCGATTTTCCCCTCCTTCTCCTGGCTGCTCCGGTCGAACCTTGTCTCAAAGTGTCTCATCAGAGTCGGTTCGTTCCATCAATCCCTCAACGTGATCAGTTTAATCAGTTTGTCGACCGACCGAACCGATCAGCTTAGCGCGGTCGTTCTGTACTCGCCATCGGTTACACCAGATCTCGAGTGGCGGGTGGCTATGCATGCTATGCACCTGACCGATCCATCGCCGGCCGTCTACCCACCGTTGCTGTCGTCGTCACATCTTTTCGTCATCACGCTTCCTTTCCCAATTTCGTTTCCTGGATTTCCCCATAATCGCTGCGCACTGCATGCCAACTGCCAGCGGAATTTTGAGCGACGCCAAGTACGCAAGCACCCTTTCCCCGATCTTCCAGCTCCTTTTCAAAACTCTTGCCATCGTAACTCCATACAGTCGACTTTTCTTGCTCGATTACTCAGTCTGTGCCAAAACTCAGAGCGTCTTTCGACGATACATCCAGAAGTGAAATACATCGGGAAGCCTTCTGAGCAGAAGGAGTTCTATTGTGAGCGGTTGATCGCTGTTACCAACTAAATGGATGCTCTGAGGGTCAGGACAGCGAGAGGGTCTACGTCGTCCGGTGGAGGATCTTCATTGCCAAAGGTATAAAGTTGGTGCCCCCCCGAGATCACAGCTGTGCTTGTCTCTCCTGATCACGTTTCGGCCAGAATCCACGCCTGATGCTCGTCGATGAGTGAGCTATGATCGTAATCGGTGCCTGCAGGCGAGAAGACCTCTGCGGGTGTGGTATCGAAAACCAAACAGTATTCGGGCTGTGGTAGCTATTATGAATGTCTGTGACGCAACGGCTCGACCGGAGGGTACCCACCTCGAGGCAGTTCCAGTCTAGCCAGAATATTCTACGCCTAGCTGCAGGCTTCATGTCACGAGCGTCCATTCGGGTCTCCCAATCGAGTTGAGATATCTGTAAGCTCGATGGCAAGATCGCAATGAGTACTTCGTCACTATGGCCCCAACGTGATACATACACACAACTTACTTCTGGGAACGTTTGGATTGTGAAGTCAAGTTCCTGGTCCAGTAAGGCGATCCATTCCTGTAAGGGTGGAAAAGCTGTAGAGAAGTTTCGATTCTTGCCCAGCATCGGATGATCCCTTGCTTGCTTCACATTCTGTTTCTCTGGAGAGATGATAACCATGAGGACCAAATCACGTTACGCCGTCGCTGCGCAGCACGTACCGTCCGGGGGCCCCTTCCTAGACCGGACGATTATGGCGGTGAGCGCAGCGAGATGTGGACTGCAAGATACGTATAGCTTCCTTTCTTGAGCATCGTCTCCCTTGAGGAGAGAATGGAGCTTGTGTAGGTATCCCTTCATGTCTAACCATCTGCACACGTTGGGTCTCATCAGCGTAGGCCGAATTGCTGCGAAGCAAGCATACTTGCCTGAATTCCGCGAGGGAACAGAAAATCCAGTACGAAAATCCCCAGTCACCATTGAAGCCTAGAGCAAACGGAGCCCGCTTGAGTATGTGGCGTATCTTGTAGGTCAAGTGAGCCCCCAGGTAAAATAGAATATGCTTTTTGTTCTTCGCCTGTTCAACAAGATGCGTTACGTTCTTCAGTCGAAGGCGCTCGTAAGATCTTCATGAATGCCCTGAACTCACCTGCTGTCGCCCTATGAGATTGTCGGGCCTGTCCATGATCTTGATGAGGTATTTGGTGATATCCAAGTGAGGGGCGTCCCAGTTGATGTCGCCGAAGTCATCTTCGGCTTCCGTGTTATTCTCACTGCCGGCTTGACCTGTGCCTTCATCCTTCGGGTACGAGTCCGCAAGTAAAACCTGCTGCGGTCCCGGTTGAATGGCCTCCGCTTGCTCGGATACCTCCTCCATATTGCTGTCTATGATTTAAATCACGGAGCGGATGTCCGTTTGTTCGCTCTACGAAATATCCTGCACGAGATCGACTCTATAGCTCAGAGCCTAATATCGAAGGGATATCTCTCCGATAGCGATGTAGGACCAGTTGACACGTGTATGCGTAGGGAGGGGTGGAGACTACAGTAATTCGAGAAGAGAGTCGTGTTCAGTAGACGTCGAGACGTGCGGCCGGGCGTCTGATCTAACTCACTGCTGTATGTGTACTCGGTAGAGGTGAGATCTGGCTCGAAATCTGCGCGCAGCTTGATGCGACACGGCGTCTGGTCCGGGAATGACCGAAAGGGATGCTTTCGTTTAGTCTGTGATGTCTCGGATAGGACGTTGATGCTAAATGATGATCATGCGAGCGGATTCATCAGCCCCTATAACCTGCTTGCACATGAAGACCTCTCGATACACGTACTTTCTCCCAGTGAACCCCTTCGACTTCCCCAAACTCAAAAATGACCCCTTCGGAAGTCCAGCGAATCACAATGAGATAGTCGTACCCGATGTTGAGCGTGCAAGATGTATTTCTCGTTAGGCTTGACGAGATCTGATCGTGCGGAAAAGGGGGTCCTTTCAGCTCTCTATCCGTATTCAATCCGCCTTTCCACTCACCCTTGTACAGGAATCGCCAAGCCGGATGTCAAGAAGCTGTCTAGCGTGGTCTAAACGAAGGAACGGAAACCTGAGCCGTTCTTTGTTCGAGATCGATATCGCCGGTTGTTCACTTTTCCTTTCACACACGGGAGGAGTGAGCAAATGAAGTATCGGTCGCGATCAGTAGTGAGAGAGACTCACCTCAGGATGCAAGATATTGGACAAGAAGAACTGATCCAGGTGATAAGAGACGACGACAGGGTAGCATCGAACGAGCCGAAGTCGAATCTGATGGACGATGATGGGATTTGATGGGACAAACGATCCAGGGGGAATGAATTCCGCAGCAAAAAACATCCGAATTTGCTCCCGAACGTTGGTTTACGATCTACAGCGCCAGCAGCGACAAAGATGGCTCGGTCGTTCTGCTTGTTGCCGATCGATTCTCATTTGTCCGTGGTTGCGCTCTTCAGCGCTTCCGAAGGTAAACCCTTCGAGGGAGACCTGCGCGATGAATTCACACGAGCGTCGATCCCACCCATCTCACCCGTCGTCATCGTCGTCGTCATCGTCGTCGACATCGTCGTCGTCGTGGTTGTAAATAACGACCTCGGATCGCTCATCGCAAAAGGGAGAACAGGTCGGATCTCTCATCGCGATTTCCCGGAGTTGGGGAATAGGGATTGTAGACGATATCGGCTGTATCTGTACGGTCCATCTTGGATGTTCTTGCACGTCAACGTGTACAAAGAAGTGGGACCCCGGATCAAGCTCGTATCTCATAGGTGTCTTCAGCTTTCCGCCTTTATCTTTGGAACTTGTTGAACAATTAAGCCAATGCCTCTAGTACCGACGCATGCACATTACTGCTACACGGAAATGTGATGTACAACAACCGATTTTGTGGATAGAGACGAAAGGTTGATCAGGGTATCAAAGTGGAAGTCACAAAAGGGGTCGACATTATACTTGCCTGTCTTCCACCACGTCTTGTCGTCATGCTTCTAAGATGATCTATCCTGAGCTTTTCATAACAGTCGTCGAGCACAGCAGTAAGATCTGGGGAACTTCCGAATTTGATCATCGATTAAGTACATATCGTCTTCACCTTTCCGTTGCTCTCAACTCTGCGTGAACAAGCTGCTAATCCCCCTGCGCGTGTACTCGACTGCTCGGTCGGACGTGGCGTGCTCAGGGCTCATCCCAAACATTGCTGGACTCGCTATTCTCCTGGCTTCTGATGGCCATAACAGTCGGGTATGTCCACCACGACGAGATAAGTATGGCCAATGCTTGCTGTTCGAGGCGCCTGAGGACTTCCAACGGCTCTGGCATATTCTGGAGACAAAGATCTTGGAAATCCCTTTGTCCAAAGCATCCCTACAGTTGAAAGAGGGTCAATTTGATGATGCTCTAGAGACAATCCACTTGATCGCCCAACAAGCTATCATCCGACATACTCATGAGCACGGGGTGGATCGATCCGTCATCGGCGCAGTGGCTTGCTCGCCTGACCGAGCGCCTCGTTACGTTATTGTTATTGTTGTCGCCTCCTCGCTCTCCTGCCTCGAGTCCTTTGATGATCGTCGATCCACCATGGAATGGTACGACGATCGACGATCATCAAAGAAGAAGATGGCTGGACCGGCAGGGAACGGCAGAAAGCCGGGGCAGATGGTCAGATGACCTGATGATGCCGATGACATCACATGACGAAGGGAGAGAACGAGACCCACGAGCCAAGGAGAAGCGCAGGCGCGGACTTGGCCGAAGCGCATCTGACCCCCTTACCCTACCCTCTCGAGCTTCTCGGTCGACGACCTAGTTCACATCGACCTACTTTCATCGAAACTATCTATGTCGTCCTCTGTCGCACAATCCCTTCCTCTTCTTCTCATCGTTAACGATACATCTTGTGAAAAAGCGCATAACCTTTGCAATCAATCACTCTCGATTTATCACCAACGATCTTCTGAACAACCGAAAATGTCTACTTTCAAGTCTTTCACCTCTTCTTCTTCTTCCGCCTCCTCCCGCACCATCCGAACTCTCTACAAGGTCTTGAAGGCACTGCCTTCTACTCACATCGATCGGGCTCGACGGGTCACTTCTGGTAAGTCTGAACTTCCCGTCGCTTCTTCGCCCCGGTTCAGTTCAGTTCGATCCGCTTCTTCGACGCTGACCTCGCTTCTCTCCTCTCTTCTTTCTTCTCTCTTCTTTCTTCTCGGTTCTCTTCTCTTCTCTTTCTTCTCTCTTCGTGGGTCGGACGGGACACCACAGGTGAGTTTCCGGTCTCCGTCGCTTCTTCCTCGCCTGCGGTGGTCCAGATCGATTCGTCCTTGCCCGGTCCGGTTCGATTGTTCGACGCTAACCCTCCTTCTCTCTTCTACATTCTCAGACTTCTTCTACATGCACGACAACCTCCCTTACGGCATGCAAGCCCGAGAAGCGCTGGACGACGAGGACCTTCTCTCGGTCCCTATGCCGCTGGAGCTCATCGACGCTTACGAGCCCCTCGTCCTGGAGGAGGTCTGCGCTTGCGCTTGCAAGTGCCGCAAGTCTTTCGACGTAGTCAGGGAGCCGGTCTCCACTACTGCTACTGTCGAATCAGTCGCTTGGACTTCGACTAGGACGCCGTTGAAGCTGGACTTTTACGGCGGTTCGGAAGACGAAGTCGAGGTCGATGTCAAGTGAGTCTTCTCCGAAATCTGGTCCGGACTTTTTTCGCTGAAACTTTTGTCTCGTACTACCTCAGGGAATCCTTCGACTTCACCTCTACCTCCATCGCTCTTGAGCTCGAGGACTACACCTTCACTCCGTCGTTTGACGTCGACGTCGAGTCCGTCCTCGCTTCCATGCACGCCGAAGCCGAAGCCGAAGCCATCAAGATCCAGGCGATCCAGGCTGAGGCCGCTGCTACTATCGCCGTCGCCGATAACAAGGTCACCACTGTCCCCGTCGAGAAGAAGGTTACCAAGACCACTTCTACCGTCGCCTCCACCATCGAGGTGAGGAGGAGACAGACTCTCGGGTCTTCTGCTTCTTCCTCTCGTCCATCGTCATCGGCATCCACCGTCTCTACCATCTCGTCCGCTTCCACCGCGAACAACAACAAGAACAAGCGAGCGTCGGTCCTACCCACCGCTGCCGCTACTACCGTCGGCCGACCCACCGCCCGGTTCTCTCTCGCACCCCGGCCCAGGGTTACTCCGGTAGTCAACGTGAAGGTGATCGCTTCGTCCCGACAGCCTCTCGCACCGGTCCGAAACGAGCACAAGTCGATCAAGTCGACCAACATCTCTCGACCTACCTCCGCCTGCTCCACCTCCTCCTGCTCCACCTCCTCCACCTCTACCGACGCCTCCTCAAAACCCAAGGTCAACCTCAAGACCCGCGTTTCCCTCGCTCCTATGAGCAAGAAGGAACGATTCGCCGACCTCGGGAAGGGCAAGGGGTACGTCACTATTGGGGGTGATCGATGGGACTAGATTCGTCCAATACCCCAAGGACGATCCGGATCGCCCGTCATGCGGAGAACGACGACATTCCGTACTTACCCAGCGGCAATCCGGATCATCGGTGGCCTCTCGACATCCCCACCTCCTGTGATCTCAACCGAGTCCGATCAACAAGAGCGTCGACGGCCATCCGGACCGGCAAGACGAGACGGTCGATCCCGTCTCGCCTCTCGCTTCAAGAAGGAGGACACACTAACATCAAGAGGAACACGACCGAGGCTGGCTCCTCCCGTCGGACCCTCAAAAAGGACGTACTAACATCAAGAGGAACACGGGCGAGGCTGGATCCTCTCATCGGACTTCAAGCGGGACGTACTAACATCAAGAGGACACGATCGAGGCTGGCTCCTCCCGTCGGACCTTCAAGCAGGACGTACTAACATCAAGAGGACACGATCGAGGCTGGCTCCTCCCGTCGGACTTCAAGACCAACATCAAGGTCGGACTTCAAGCAGGACATCAAGATCAGCAAGACGACAAGGACGAGTATCCGGTACTCCGAGTCGGTCGAGGGCACTCCGAGTCGAGACATCGACGAAGACGAGTCACACCTCCGAGGGTACTCCGAGTCAGATCGACGATCGACGAAGACGAGTGTTCACCTCTAGGACACTTCGAGTCGAGAGTTATCGACCAGGACGAGTACCCTTCTGCCCTTATTCTCATCCCCCTATTCTTCAGCCGTTTCCGTGGCTACTTCATCCTCCCCTCTCACACTCTCGCAGCTCCCCTTCATCGCACCTAGAGGGACTCGAAGCCCAAAGTACGGTAGTTCCCTTGTGGATCTGGGTCCCTAGGCTGCCATGTGCAGTTCAGACATGTGTGCGTCTAGCATGCTACGCCGGAAAACGAAGAGCGAGTTCTTTAATGTTCGGTGAAGTACCTCTCCTCTCTTCTTTCTCCAGGGTGGGGTTTTCGTCACTGTTTACGGTGTTTCCCCATCCTTTGTACTTTTTTTTTTTTTTTTTTTTTTTTTTTCATGTGAAATACGTATCGATGCCCTGCGCCCTGTTTCGTCTTTGCAAAGTGATCAAAGCAGGCTGATACAAGTTATCGAAGATCGACGTGGGCTTCGAAACAACTACAAAAACAATCCAGGTCTGCGAAAGCCCCGAACGTGCTTCGCAGCCGACGATGACGATCCTCTAGTGATCGGCGACTCGACAGAACAAAAGAAAGTTGATCCTGCATCCAGAGTGGTTAGGATAATACCACAGATAAAAGTGCGTCTGAGAGGGTGAACCAAATTGATTTTTGGTTCAACCCTTGTTCCGGACGTTCTGGGACGAGCGGAAAGCCTGCGATTCGAGTTTACATCGCGATTGATTTTGACGACGGCTAATCATATCGATCCGATCGTCTCCGCTCCGCCGAATGCCCTTTCACGATTTCTCTCAGATCTAAGTACACACTACAATACACTCAAAGCGTCCGAACAGTCCTAGGTACGATAACGCACAACGTGAAATCCATTAAAGCTATCGCATATGCTTCGTTTCGAGGTTCGAGGGCTTCCGGATGCTAATTTCGTACCACCCGAATCGAGTGGTACGAAATTAACATCCGATTGCTAGGGGAACGCGGAATCGGTGCGTGTAAACCGTTCGAGAGCGCTCGATACCGGTACAACCCTTCGAGTCACTTCATACAGCATGCGAAATGCATAGTTCTGAATTCGACATCGAGATCATTGAGCTGCGATCTTCCACGACCTCAACCATACGGTTGTCACAGTTTGAGTTACGGCATCACGGCTGCGCGGTGTACAATCTCTGCTTCCGGCCCGCGATCCACCGGAAGTAACAGCCGCTGATAGAAGATTGCGCTCGGTGAACCGTTCACGCGCTACGCTCGGACGCCACGAACTTTAATCGTGAGCGTTGCCATCACCGAGTATCGTCTCGCGTCTCATCAATCTGTTGCGTTGATCGAACGGTCGTTCTAGCGCGGTCGCACTGACCGGATCTCGGGTGGATTTTCTACACAGCACAGCGCACGGTCGTCGGTCGTCGGTCTTGGCTTGTCGCTTGTCGTCGTGTACCCTCGTCTTTGGGTGTGTCTCATCAACGCTATCGAGGGTTGAAACGCATGATGTCATTACCCCGTTTTCATCATCGATCGAAGTGTTCCTCGCCACGCACAGCACAGCACGGCCGTACTTGAGCAGCTTACGTTTTGCGTTTTTGCTCCTCGATCTACGGCTTTCTTGCGATCGCTCTCTCTTCTCTCTTCGCCTTTTCGCTCGATCCCCTTCCCCTCGACCTTGTACCTTGTGCGAACCGCACAGTATCGGAGTTTGCTAATACGGGTAATACGTTTAGTAATACGAACTAATACGTCTAGTAAGCCATACTCAACGGATTAGTATCTGCTCAGTAATGATGACAGCAATAGACTAGCGTACTGACTCGCAGTTCGAACCTCGTCGCTTACTAGCTTCCCGACAACTATGGAAGGATCAAGACTGAAGGACGACCAGAATACCTGGAGCAGGAATACCATCAAGCGATCGACCGCAAGTACACCTTATCTCGTCCGTCTTTCCTTCTCTGAGCGACCAGACTACAATCGACTGACACTTGGTCGACGCTCGCTACTCCGATACAGATCACCATCAACCAAGTCAGCCTACGCATCACTCGTCACTGGCCACTCGTCGTCACTCGCTTGAGGATACCAGGATACCATACCTATCGTTGACATCTATGCCACCACGGACTCTAGATCATCAACACCAGGACCGTCATCCTGCAGCACGGATGGAAGCTACGTTACCGCTGTTGAATATCATCGAGACTATCGTTCCATCACGTCGTGAGTTCGGTCCATCCCCATCGTCATCCGTCCTACCGGTCTCTGTGGTCCATCCCAATCGTCATCCGTCCTACCGGTCTTGATCATATCGCTCTGAACTGTACTTACCCTCTGCGCTGTCGCTGTCGTGATCAGATCCATTCACACACATTGCATCCTTCCACGTCTCACCTTCATACTTGGTATCCTTCCACGTCTCACCGTGGCGCCTCGTATCCTTCCACATGGCACCTTCATACCTCGCATTCTTCCACTACCTTCGACGCATATCACCTGGAGATACGGATGTGCGGGAAAGATCAGGACGCCTCGACTCATGTCCGGGGTCACATACACGGTCAAGTCCATCCTTCTAGACATCGACAATCCTCCTCGTGTCGAACATCATATCATACACGATCAGATCCATCGCCGCTCGCATCCCTCCGTCTCGCCATCGGACCCTCCACGTATCCTACATCATAGGTTATCGACTGAACTCCCAAGCCGTACCACCATCAGCTCGACCGACGCCAGGCAGAACAAGGACTGTCATGGGCGAGACGTTGACGGATGACGGGTATCGTTAGGGTGAAGGTTGTTGGACCCATGGAGTGAAGACGATCAGACCCGGAAGGTATCAGGTAAGTCCCTCGACCCTCTGCTACAGTCGTTAGTGTAGGCTCATGGTTCCATGCCGTCCCTCGACCCTCTGCTACGGTCGTCACCGTAGGCTCATGGTTCCATGCCAGCGTCATCTACATCACTACACTACCCTCGCCGAGCCGATTCACGCCGCGTCATCTACATTCTACATCACTACACCACCCTCGCCGAGCCTATCCACGCCGGCGTCATCTACATTCTACATCACTGCACCACCCTCGCCGAGCCGATCCACGCCGGCGTCGTCTACATTCTACATCGCTACACTACCCTCGCCGAGCCGATTCACACGGGCGTCGTCTACATTCTACATCACTACACCACCCTCGCCGAGCCGATTCACACCGGCGTCGTCTACATTCTACATCACTACACCACCCTCGCCGAGCCGATCTAAGCCGGCGTCATCTACATTCTACATCACTACACTCGACCGCCCAGTCCGTTCACGCTGTCGCGTAGGCAGCTAAGTCGCTCCGCGGGAGACGATCTACTTGTACATCTAGTCTAGCAACCAACAATCAACGTCTACTTAGCTAAACGCGATTCTGCTACCCCTATCCGACCTTGCTCTATTGTAACAGTAAACAACAAGATGTCAATTCAGATATAAGGACAGACAAAGGCTTTGTATACACTGTTCAGATGATAGTAGTCTAAGGTCCCAGTGCTGCTCAGGTTTCTCCTATCCATCACCATGGCTCCAAACAGTGTATACCACTGATCTCTCTGCCTCCTCATCCACATCTCTCGCTTCCTATCAATCTCTTTAGGACTGAAGCCTCGCTCATATAGATCCATTGTGATGGGCAATCTCAGATGAGATTTCCCAATGTAGATCAGGGTTTGGAGAAAGTATTTGAAGTCAATTGACCTCATACAGTTCCAGCCCTTGTTGTTGTTGAGTACACAGTCAAGAAATGGTGTAGTTTCCATGTTCTTGAATCCATACTCCTGCAACAACTGCATCTTCTGCTTTTGCAGAGACCCCTATCTCAAAACTGCAATAAGCCAAGGCCACACCACAACAAGAGATTCGGCTGCACTCACATTTAAAGGCTTCTTCTGTCCTTGCCGTATGCGGATGGCGACCTTCGTGATATTGGTTTTGAAATCCATATCCTCAATAGCCCCAACATTGACAAGAATCTCTCTCATTCTGTCTGATCGAGTTCGATACCATTTACCCCTCCGGTCTCGCCTCTGTTCTCGCCTCTGTTCTTCGTCGAATCGGCGGAAGACCCACTTCTCGAAGAGATCGCCGAAGAATTTGCCCACGCAATGATATGTGTAGGCTGATCGGTGGCCTTGTCCTTGGTAGGCATATTCATACTGATTCTGGTAACATTGTAGAACGACGAAGGCGATAATTGTGTGTAGATAAAGCAGTCGATCAGTCGAATAGTCGCGTGTCAAGGACAACTCTACACACCTCCATGATGACCACTCGACTAGCAAGATCCTGGGTGATTGGCAGTTGAGCGAACGCTTCATTTGAGATGAAGTTTCCATTGTAAAATCCCAAGGATCTCTCGCTTGGCCAGTGATCTGTGCACAGCCGTGTCAGTTTGTTGTAGACACCAAAGTTATAGTGCAGGACTGACCTTTGTTGAGCTGGCTCAAGAAATACATAGTCATAGTGCATTCAATCTCATAGTTGGCAATCGCATCACCTGCCGTTTCCTTCGCTTTCTCTTCTCCTCTGTTGCTATTCCCGTCGATGAGCAGAGGGGGCGGGGGCGCTTCTAAGTCGACGATGACCCTAAACCACCTTTCCTTCCATCGGCGACCAAGAGATGATCCGATAGATTGGATTCGCATGACGGAGTGAGAGCTGGTCGGCGTGAGAGCTGGTCGGCGTGAGAGCTGGTCGGAATGAGAGCTGGTCGGAGTGAGAGCTGGTCGGAATGAGAGCTGGTCGGAGTGAGAGCTGGTCGGAATGAGAGCTGGTCGGGATGAGAGCTGGTCGGGATGAGAGCTGGTCGGGATGAGAGCTGGTCGGGATGAGAGCTGGTCGGGATGAGAGCTGGTCGGGATGAGAGCTGGTCGGGATGAGAGCTGGTCGGGATGAGAGCTGGTCGGAGTGAGAGCTGGTCGGTCTGAGAGTTGGTCGAAATGAGAACGAGCGGTTTGAGGTGAGCGTGATCTGGTCGAGATGAGAATAAGCTTGTGATGTGTGAAAGCTCAACCGTTCACGATACATTCCTCATCCATGCGAATTGACCCGGGCCATATCGTAAACAGATGCGCGCGTCATTCCGCTCCTCGCTATATTCGACTGGATTACGGTCGACAACATAAATGCAGCACACCGCTCGCATGTTCCGGATTACAAGCGAAAGCTTCATCAAAGCTGTCAGGGTGTACTCATGGGTTATTCGATGGGTCAGCTTCGTGCGAATACGTATGTTTCGTTGCTGAGTTTCTTTGCTCGAGCACCAGGTCTGGTGGGGCCAGCTGACCGAATATGTACCAATTTTCATGAAAAACCAAGTCGAGCGCTATGACCGCTACAAGCGTTCAAACAGTATGAGTGGGTGATGCATGATTGTCAGGCTCACGGACACCCGTATCAAGATTTCATTATCCAGGTCAGGTTCCATGGCGAATGATAGGCAACCCATCCTTGACCTGTCTGATAGATCTTCGGTGAAGAGATCATTTCGGTCAATTCCCCATGCAGTCTCACTTTTAACCTTCGGTCCAGTTCCTCCAGGAATAGTTTCATTGCTGTAACTTACTTGACAATGTTGTGGTTGGGTTTCGTCAAATGCGGCTCAAAATCAAACAAACCCCAAATGCAGTTCCCAACAGCTTGATGCGGAATCACGTCAATCTGTCTTTCGGAATAAGATACGGCGTACGTGAGGTTTGTACGTCGTAAATAACAGATCAATCGCGAGGTGCTTTCCCGATTATATTTAACGGGACTGAGCTATCTCAGATAGGGGTCGGTAGAGAAACGCTTTGGCCTGGAACAGAATCCGGCCTACATGGAGGCAAAAATAGATAGTGCCGGAGTATTCTAGCGGTCGTCCGAGGTCTGCAGAGCATATGCATACTGAATACACCCTGTAATCAAATGTGAACTAGCCATCGTGTGTTCGAGACGTCGAAAAATTGCTCTGCGCCGCGCGAAAATAGTGACGCAAACAGAACGGTCGAATCTTCCTTTCTGCGTCCTTTATACATTGGAATGCGCACCTGGTACTGAAAAAAAGGTCCAGCAGCGTAGTTGGTCTGCCCAGAACGTGCGAAAAAGTTCTGAGCGAGGAGAAGAGGTCGTAACGGCGAAAGTTTCTCCTCCCTGGTAATAAGCTTTTGCTCATTGTGGAGACGCATATTGAAAAATGACAAGTACTTTTACAGTGTCGCCTATTGGACTGTCTCCGTAATTCCTAGGGCACACAGTTGTCGCCTGTTTCTTGGTCTGGGGAAGTATCTCATTGGGCTTTTCAACCTTCAATTTGACTTCGTCATAGTAGACAAGGTCCGATTCGAAACCGAGACTTCGGGGCAGGTAGAATTTCGCTAGGATCCTGCGGGCCAAAATCTGAAATGTCGAAAAGGACTTCTTCGTCGGATGCGTCGTCGACGTTGTGAGAAGGTTCCTTTTGCGCCATGGAAGCTGCACTATACGCGAATCGTATGTGTCGGACATGATGCTGACGAGCAGCGAGCGATTTATCAACGTCGACGTAAAGACTTAAGATTGGTCGTTTAGCTCATAGAGCGATAGAGCAGTAAAGCGATGCGATGAATCGATATAGTTCGTTCGTCTGGTCGAAGCTTCTCGCTGTAAGCGCGAGAGCCTGGGCGATCGGGCTGCAGTGGAATGTCCAGAGTACCCGATGTCGAATAAGAGTATTCGATGTGATGGTCATGCTGAGTAAAAACACCTCGTCGGATTGGGCTCGTGATCTTCCTTGAGTGTTTTCTTCTGCGTGATGAAGGATATATATTCGTTAGTGAGAAGTATAGGTAACAACACCGGGCGACTATCGCAGAGGCAAAGGGGTGTCACCGATTGGCACTACTGCTTTGTGTGGTCGCGCGTTCAACTCACTGGATTGGATTTGCGGATTTTTGGCTGAAGACAAGTAAGTTCGCGGGAAAGCAACGTTCGTGACTAGCAAATACTAACGATCCAAGTCTTGTCCAGATCCTCAGCACTCTCTAACTCAAACTTTCTGAGTTAGAGGTTAGACAGGCTTGGCCGATGCCCCTGTGATAACAAAAAAAAAAAACCATTATTTTTTTCGATTTTGAATCTATTGTCTCGTCTCTTGTGAAAAATCGCCGTCGGTTTCCTTTTTGTGTTGATCGTCTACTCCTATTGCCAGACTCCCATGCAGAGACTCTGCCTGGACTGATGCGAGATACATTTGGAAATGTCGACGGTTAGTCCTCATCCCTCACTGATCTTGTTGAAAAATGACCAGCGAATTCGAATCTCTCGACGGAAGCCAGGACCGATAATCGATACTATTATCGACGAGACTCGTGTCATCTTGGTGCCTTCACTTTCTTGTCGTGCAAGCCTTGATCAGGATCTAGTCATCATGATGATATGGACGAACGGAAGGACTGCCAAGGACCGTTTCTGTGTCGAGGCGACATTGACATTGTCCTTCGGGCGGTATGAGCATTCGCGATTGGATGCAACAGAAGATGGCTTCAAACTATCGTGCATCTCTACCAATCAATTGAAGAAGCCATTCGAGATGGATTAACTCAGGAAGAACGAGTGAGCGAGAGGTAGGGAACGGAACCGCTGCCTGTTGGTGCCGATCGGCAATGAACCACTGGTTTAGGTTTGATGGTACAGCCAAACGGTCGTTCGCTGAATTGAAGGATGACATCAGGATCTTCTGTTGTGATCGATACTCGGGTCTGATGGAATCTTTGCGTTAGCCTACTCGGAGATGCAAATTATACAGCCGAATAGCTGAAACATCACAGCTTAAATTGCTTTGCCGACCAGAAAGACGATGTACAGACAACTGAAGCAGCCTGACTAGCTCTTCTAACTATGCGTGTGACACGACGCACGAGTCGAAGATATGAGACCCGCCGAATAGTCTTGCCCCCTCATTCCCGCGTCGGGACGACTCGAGAAGGCTCATTCTGGCCAGTCGAGAGGTTATAACTTCAAGTCTCACAAGATAGTATCGCACAGTGGTAAAGCCTAGAACGTGTGTAGCCTACCCACATTACCCAGGGAATCTCGGCTTGCTACCGGATAGATCCTCCCGTCTGTAGATCATGATTGATTCTGCCGGAGTACAGTCAGACCTGCACGCTCTGTGTCCAGGTACCCTGATGTGAGTTCCGACTTGTCAATCGTGTTGACAGGCTGGCCGCTTACATTCTAGAGTTGTCTGTCTGATCACCTTCATTAGGAATTCCGGACACCTGCTTCCGGCCTGACGATGTGCATGACCTTGCATGCTTATACGTCATTCGTACGCTCTCTTCTGTAGATGTCTTAACAGTTTTAAGATACTAAAGATCTCACTGTACTCTTCGAATCGTTTAACAGCGCCCAGACTCGCGGAATTTCATTCATTCCCGGCGACATGGACAACAATACTGGAGTTTAGCCCTAGCGGTGTCTCTCGCCTCCTTGAGCTGCGACGAGTCGAGAAACGCTGCCGGCTATCGAATCAGCCATATGATCCTGCCAACTCTCCTCGATAAGTAAAGCTACCAGATTGTATAATCAAGAACCGCCTATCAAGGGGTTCCTACTGAGGAACCGAACCGATACGAGACGGACATGTCCACTGTAATACCCTCAGCGAAACATCCTTGCAATGGGAACGGCGAATGAGAGCGGAGGTTTTTCGCCTGATCCTGACCTCTCGGGACCCTTGCACTTATGAAAAGCATACAGACAGACGAGCCGGCCGCCAAAAGAGCTAGGTAACTTTCCTATTCATTTAGTGCTCGTGGAAAGCAAGAGCACAACGGTATGTCGCATCCGGACGGTTTTTATTAGGGGTTGGTGACGCAGCTCGCGATTTGCATAAATTATCGACATCGACATCGACATCAACATACATGTTCATACACTCATAATCCCGTCCACTATGTTCAACGCTATGTTCAGCCTACTGTGACGATCTAGACGATATGTCGAGACCTAGTATGACCCCACCTGAGATATGGCAGATTGCGCCAGCATGTCACAGAATCTGCTACGTTCTTAAAGCTGTTACCGACGAGCTGATACTAATCTGCGTACGTCTGCGTGACTGAATCTCTGTACCGGACGATGATCAAACAAGGCCTTGCAAAACCGATGTCCATCAATCTGCTACCTTTTGTAACCAAGAACGCGTCACAACGAATCAGAGTCCATCGACGTTCCCCTGCCATGTCCAGACAACGCGCTTTCAGGTGAGTCTCACGGCACATCCGACCACGGCAGTGATGATGAACGTATGCAGCACTGGTCATACAGTAATACTTTCTCAACATCATAACCGGATCTCAACATACGTCCAGGTCAAAACTTACATGAGCGGCTTCGCTTCCTTCCATTTTGTAGTCCTCATGTAAATCTCACATAGTGCGCCATCGACGAGGCTAGCATGAGACAAGATCGCTTGCTTCAGCTGATTATCGACCCGATAGGGGTTAGTGATGATAGGTTCTCCAGACGGAGGTCGTCACGCCGAATTACCAGGGAACGGCAGTATAAATGAGGAGGTATCAGCCTTAAATATCGCCGACGCATGTTGCTTTGAAGACATCGAACGACCGTGGTCTACCCAAGTATCCGGATGTTAAAAAAAGAGTAAATATGTACTCTTTTTTTTACATCCGGACGATTTTTACTAAGTGTTGCTGACTAAACGTCCACGAGCATGGAAGTATGACACGATCGAGTCATCCATCTATATCATATAGTCCTCACATCAAACGCCTTGCAATCTAATGAACGCACCAGTGATCATGATCAACACCAACCCTACTGTACTCACCGAGCTCCATTGACCTCAGACCAGATCCGTTCGTTCTCAAGTCTCGATGCATCGATACGTGTGTCACTGGTCAAAGAGTGCCGCGGACTGCCTCAAGTGATAACAAGCCTTTCTGAATATGATGTAGTTTTCAGAGCTATCAGTTTTCTCACGATTGCGAAATACCAAGGACGCGCTTGTTTAAAGACTCTACAGTCTGATCGCGTTTCAGCTTGATTTCGGGTTAAACCGGTCGTTGTATGAGCGCCTACCAGGATCACATAATTCTCAGACCTTCTCCTGGCTTTCCCGCTACGCAGAGAAGCGGTGATGAGCCCAGAGCCGCGCGAGAGCACAAAGGAAGGCCATCGATGAGCTGACAAAGGGCTTCTGTCAGGTGAAAGCTAGCTGTCTGAATTGGGATATAAAGGCATACCCGTTCCCCTCGACCTGTAGTCTATGTTTTGCTGTCGAGAAACACAGCTTGATAGTCCAATATGGTAACTCCGTTGCAAACTCTCGGCAACTGGTTCACCGGCGGAAAGCAACTTCGTCAACCCGCTCCTCCTCGTAGCGCACCCCCTCCTCCTCCTCTCCCACGATCGACATCAAAGGGCATGTCCGGACACACTCATACGTACGAGCTAGAGAAATCTAGAAGCGGAGCTGTAAGTAATAATCTGCCGGAAGTGAACGAATTATATATTGACTAAACTCTTTGCTTGTGCGCTTCTGTATAGAACGGACATCATGTCCTGGTCAAGCAAAGTGCTCGGATCCCCGAAGGCCCTGGTTCGCGTGCCGAGCATGCATTCCAAGCGACTTATAATGGGCCCAGGGGTGGCAAAGAGCACGAAGCGTTCAACCGAATGAGCGATCGAAGGAATGCCGGATTGCCGTACACCTACTCACTGGGGGGCGGGTCCGATAGTGGGCATACGTCCGCTAAGGTTCAAGCGCCGGATGTTTCACCTGTACGAAGTGCTACGAGCAAGACATCGTCTTCTCCCAAAGCTTCCTCTCAAGGGTCGGGGTCCAAAGCTCCCACCAAGACACACGCTCCTCGACCCAGTCTGGCGCCTACCGGTAGCGACCGTTCGATCCATACGTGGCGAAGCGGGATCTCGAAATCTTCCCCTCCTGCTGGCGCACCCAAGCCCGCCTTCACTTCCATGCCACCTCTCTTGGCGGAAGAGCTTGACATCCAGAGTCGAAGGACAGCTGCCGTTCCCGCTCCTTGCCACGTCACGATCTTTCCGCCTGGACCTCACAAAGCTCATGCGACCAAATTGGCGCCGCCCAAAATCGTCATGAGGACCTCTACGGGTCAGACGGCTGGACCACTAGCCTCGTCTAGCCATGTAGCTGGGACAGGACAAGGCACCGGATTCCCGCCGTTTCCTCCTTTCCCAGCGTTCCCTGCATTTCCTTCGTTCCCGCCGTTCCCAGCGTTCCCAGCGTTCCCGGCTTGGCCAACGTATCCTGCTCCTCAGGCTCACGGACGATGAGGGAATATGTACGATCTTATATAGCCTGGCAAACATCTCATAAGGAACGACAGTGTCAGACGGAAGATGTTGGTGTCGTGCGAGACAGCTGTGGTTTGGTTTGAGAGAGCGTTCGATCGAGATGAGGCAATCCTGAACGAAGCGAGATCATGTGCGGAAGCACGAATGGCTACAGAAACTTTTCGCTGATACTGTAGGGACTGTAAGGCGACTTGACCGTCGGCGTCGACTCGAATGATGACCGCGTTGAACGTCCCGCTACATCATCGATTCTGCTGATCCGTATGGCTAGACTCGACTTGTTCGCTTTCGCATGCTGCATGGGTATAGTTGTACAGTCAGATCCGATAGTCAGGCGATGGTGATAGCCAGCCTTGAATCGTCACATAGTATATCTGACTGCTACTGTGCAGTTGAGCCGCCAGCACATCCCTCGTAAGGTCTTGCGATCTCTTGAAGCTGTTACGGAAAGCCTTCAAGAGGCTGGTATGGCAGGTAAGCACGACGATGTCGCCTTTGAAGGAAGAAGGAGAAGGGCGCGATTACGTGATGGGCCTGTTTCGCGCGTTTAACGCTAGTCATGGTTCGGTGATTGTGCATATCAACAACCCGTGAGTAATGGTGTAGTGGTAAAGCTGCTACACTCCGAAAGCTACTCTCTTATGATAACTTATCCACAATCATCGAGGTGGTTGTGGGTTCAAGGAGGAGGAGGGGAAAGGATAAGAGTCAATTGGACCAGCCTTTTTGTACCTTTAAAACCAGCCATTCTAGAGATATCTCTCTTTTTGAATCGCAGTCCAGCCAAAAGGTGGAGTGCCAATTCGATGCGGATGTCTCGAACGCGTGTGGTCCTTGGTTCGAGTCGCACGATCGCACCTTCAGTCGGTTCTTTTTTCCTCTCATCAGACAACCACTACCATCGAACCGTGTACCGACCCGCGACCGTTGCCCATCGTCTAACTCCCTACAAATCTCTCCATACTACTGTAACCCCTATCTTCCGCGCGCACGCCACCCTCCCCCCTCCACATTCCACTCTGACCGCAATCCGAGGCATCAATCGTCATCATCACAACGATCGTAACACCATAACATCATTCCATCAAAACCCTCGTGGGGTCCTTTTACAACGTACCTCCTCGAAATACCTTATCTCGACTTGTCTAAACCCAAAAACTTGGACGATACAGACGGTAAGTACCGTCACCTCAGGAAAGCCTGTTGCAATGATCCAGATTGAGGTTCGACAACTCATACCTTCGCGACCGAGATCATCCCGATCGACGTGGTTCGTGACGGCGGACGATCATCTAATGATCTTGGATTTGGTCATTGTTATCAGATTCGTCATCGTCTTCCTTCCCCCAGTTACAGCAAGTCGAAGAGGCAGCCAAAGGAGGTGTAGATCGTACTTGCGAATCCCGCATTGTCCAGCTATCGAACAACGTAAGACCATCCTTTGGCGCCTTTCCCTCAACTCGACAAGCCCAGAGAGATGTGGAGCGGACGAACCGATCTCCAATCGGCGGATCCGGACAGCGTGGGGTCCGATAGATACCTCAGAGATGGAAACCTCCACAAGCAACACGTCAAAGGTGACACGCCTGACGAGGATTCGGAGGAGTATAGAAGCGGATCAGAAGAGGGATCGGTTGTGCTTGTTCAGTACGTTTCACCACCGCCACGACTCCGCTCACGAAAGGCGTTCAGGCTGATGCTGCACGATTCAATTTCGCTCTGCTCAAAGACACGTACCAGAGATCTACTCTGGAGGATCCGGAAACGATGGACCGAAAGAAGGCGAGCTGAGGTGCAACACAAAGAACGAGTGAGCTTAACCGCCCTTACCTATCGATCAATCTGCTTTGCAGTTCTGTTGACGAAACTGACTCTGAACGTCGTGTCTATGGTAACAGCAGGAGGGCGAAGGCGACCGATCATCTCAAACTAAAGAAGAAAAGGAAAAGCAAGAACGCGAAGCGATTCTCGAATATAGCCAAAAGCAACCGACAGATCATACAGAGCGCAAGGAGGGCGAGGAGGATCAGGGGAGAAGCGCATAAGGATCGGGTATCATCCAACCCGATGCATATCGACAACCTCATCACTCATGAGAACGTAGACGCCAAGAAGCAGCAGAATGGCAATACGGACAGAGTTCTGCCTGGTACGTACAAAGGCCATGCAACCGATACTGATGAGAGCTAATAACTCGACTACTGTAGATCCCATTCGACTCCCCCGTCGAGCCGCGAGGACGGCGCTGCAGCATCTATCTAAGATCTTCAGTATACCTATGGCCCAGCTCGATCCCCTTCTGCTCTCTCCAAAGATCTACGCCTACGCACCATCTCGTATCCCAGAACACCCTGGTCTCGATCAGTTGGACGTCTTGATGATTGGGTGGGAGAACCAACAAGGGGGTGAGGGTACGGTTGAAAGGGTTGGGCTAGAGCTGGCTTGTGCCTGGGTCTTGGCTTGGGAGATGAAGGAAGATGCTTCGTTGCCATATGAGATTGAGCAGCGGTTGATCGCCGCGCTCGATAAGCTAGCCTACGAATGATGTTCTGGAGCCGGCATGGACATCTTATAGAGCGAAATGTGATCGAAGTTGTACAAGATCGATTCCAAAAGAATCAACTATTCAATCGTTATCACTCGTCAAGAGATGTGTTCTATCTATCCATATGATCGTGCAAGATGACCGTTCATTGTTGACCTGCGTCCCTATCGCCGATCGCGTACGACAAGATCGAATAGATTCTCGATCAGATCGCTCAGAGCTGCTGAAGAGCGGTTTCGAGCCTCCGAGCGAACCCCTGAGCGAAGTCGGGCAGGTACTCAATACTAGATCGACACAGCGAACATAAGCCCGGACGCTCCATCAACAGGCTCTGGTCTCGATCCATAGACTCACTCTAGCTCAAACGGCTCGTAGACCGTCTCGCCGTCTTCCAGCTGGACGTGCCATCCACACTGACCGTTGACGAGGGTATCATTGTAGAGCACCCAGGCGCAGGCCAGCTCCGGATCGATGACGTCGAACATTTCCCAGATCCTATCGGCGCAGAGATCCTCGCCATGATCCTCCCCCTCGTCTTCGTCCTCCTCAATATCCAAGCATTCTCCTTCATCTTCGTCCTGCTCCATGATCTCCGTCCTTCCATCCTCTTCACTATCGCCCGCCTGCTCCGCCCAGCATCGACTGGTATAGTAGTCGACAATAGTCTCGAGTTTAGAGAACTGTTGACCGCGTCCTTGCTTCAACGAGTAAAGGATGCAAGTCGTGAGATCCTGATGACAGTTGATCAAGCCAAAGAGCCCCTCTTGACTGATGATCTGACGGAATCGGAAAGAAGGGATCTTGAAAAGCTCTGCCAGACGCTCGAGCGTACTGTCGTCTCCAGGCCATAGCAGTTGATCGAGGGCGTAGTTGTATTCGAACGACCCGAGATCGTAGAAGTCTTCGGTCTTTGTATCGTGATCGTCGAAGATGTTTTCACCGTTGCTATATCCCGAGGCGTCGCAAAGAGTACATACTTGATTTAGCCTGACTGAGCGCTTCCATTAAACTCATACCGGGACTTACGATTCGCCGTCGATCAATTCGTAGTCATCTCCGCTGTCCTCCGCTTCGTCTTCACTATCATCATTCTCTGCATCACCTCCAAGATCTTCGTCTCCGTCATCGCGATGACCGCCGGCCTGTATCACGTAAGTATTCGCCTCAAAGATTCCTAGCCTATGACTGTGTACCGTAACACGATCGGTAAGCTCAAGCTGCGCATGCCCATCAAAGGTCATCGACACTCACGCTCGAGCCCTCTCCAACTCATGCTCGCGGTTTCGATGTTCCGCGTACCTCCTTTCCCTCTCTCTGCTAGGCGAGAACGTTCCGGATTTGACAAGACGACAAGATCCCATATCCCGGCGAAAAGACCGTAGGTCGCACTACGTGACAAGAGCTCAAATCAGCTGACTAGATGCGGACTAGATGAGCATCTGGACCTCATTTAGACCTCATACCGTAAGTGATTTTCAAAATGAGGACCAGATGAGGACTAAATTACGTCAATGGGCCGCATCTCGTCTGGCCAAATGAGCTGATGTCACGTAGTGTAGGTCGGTAGCAGCGCTGACAGTGGTCTTGATGTCTACGTCGAGTGGTAAGATAGGTAGAGAGGATAGGGGTCAAAGGATGTTTGACGATTCTCCAATCTGAACATTCCACTGCAGCCCGATCGCCGAGGCTCATCGCGCTTCCGAGCTTACGTCACCCGCTTACGTCATGCTCCCCGAACCGCCATGGTCACCATCCATCATCCATCATCATCATCATTCCGGTGGAGAAAGGATCGAACAGAATGTCCTTTACCCCTTAGATCGGAATCTTCGCCAGCACCACTTATCAGGAACTATTGGTATATGAGTCTTTCAATTCGAAAGTATGTGCATGAACGGAGCAGGAGCTAACACTTGAAGGTGGGCTGCGCGATAACCTCAACGCCACTGGGCGGCAATCTGATTTGCATCACCTTTTAGTGGTCGCGCCGCAAGCTACAGGATCTGAAACATGTCGTCTGAAAATGTCATGCAATTCCTCCCAGAGTGGGACATCGCTAGACGAGATCAGGGCTAGTGTCGGATAGGCCTACAGACAAGGAGGAAATCGTTCTAATTGACCTACCATAGGATATCTAGGCTCGCCAATTAGGTAGAACATTTGACAAACAATTGGCCGATGTACATCAAGACGATCGTTTTCGAAATGGTACACGTAGTGAGTGATGGCAACGACGAATCTGCGCCGGTGATCCGCGGACTGACGGACCTCAAGCGAAAGAAGCGTTCTGATCACAAGTGAGAAGCTTTCAAGGGATTGCATCAACAACGGCGATAGCTGGCATCGAGACGTAGGTCTGCTCGTGGATCTGTCGAGGCAGCATCGTTTTACGTGGAGATGAAACGATCGGAAAGCGATCCCGCGGTGTCGAAAGGAGGCGAACCCATCGAAAGAAAAGCCAATCGAGAACCGACTCTTGAGCCGGTACGTGAGACCGATTGAGAACCGAATCATGAGCTGATAGTAACAATGAGGATGAACACAGAACGTGAAGTCCCGTTCATGATCGCCATTATACACATTTGAGCTGACAGTTGTCTGGAGTCACAGCGCCCCCTACAACCGGCGGATCCGTCTAGCGGGAAGAGAATCGATACCGCCGTTCGATCAAGCGGATGTCGGTGACCAAGTCAAGTGGGTTTAGCTGCTGAATTCGAAATTCATCAACGTGTACCTACGGTCCCAAGTCATGTTGTGGAAGTGAATTAGATATCCCGCAGTATCCTACTGTATATGTCCACTTGGAACGTAACCGAGACGCAAGCCCAGAGGAGCAGAATGCAAGAGGAGCGAGGTCCAATGACGAATCCGAGATCGGAGTTGGGATTACGATGAACGATAGCGTGTTGGATTTAAGCAAGACTGACACGTAGGTTAGAGATACGATGAGTACGGGAAGAAGGCGCTGACGATCGCCCCTTTGCATTGGCAGGTCCCGGACTAGCCCGGTCGGATATACTCATTCGTCCTTCCTGTGCAGGGTCTGTTAGAAGTTACTCAACGGGATGTCTGAATGGGCGAATCGAGATTTAATGCTGAAGACTAGCTCTGAGGATGGGTCCCGAGAGAGGTTCCCAAGACGTGAGTTATCTGAGGAAGAATCTACGACAACGATGGGAAGCTAATACAGCATAGTTCCAGGGATACGTCGTGGGAATGCAGGCAAATATATTCTGGCACCGACGAGGGGCGGAACTCGCCAAACGAATGAACATCGAACACAGCCTCCCGGACGGTCGTGTCGAGCCTTACATCCCACAAACTCAGTCGGAACAAGTCTCGTGGTCCCGTTCACTTCCTGGATTAGCATGCGCATGCACCTGTCGCACTTCCGGGCACATCGCGATTACTGAAAGCAGACGTCGCTCACGAGGGATGAAGGCGGAGGCGAAAGCAGAAAGTCGAATCAAAGAGGACTCAATGCCAGCTACCCTGAACTTTGAGTACGTACATGTGTATCAGCTACCACGCTTACAAAGATAATCTCATCAGTAGATCAGTAGCGCATATTGCAAGTTGTCAGACAACGGTCAAACTTGAGGAGAGTCAGGGATTTATGTCTCTCCTTGACAGCGATCGTCCCGGTCATTCCAACTCTACCGATTAAGCTGATGTAGATGCAACCCGAATGGTACAACAGCGCATACAGCTAAGTGTCGCATCGATCACAGCAGTCTATCGAATTGTCGCATCGATTACAGCAGTCTAGATAGAGAAACCGATGCAGAAGAAGAATTGAGGTGCTCTCGAAAAGCTCGCTGATTTCGAGTGGGTGACGTTGGACGTAGCATGTAAAGGACGTAGCATGTAAAACCGATCAGGCGGCTCCGCTCATACATATCTATATCGATTGTTTGATCGGACCGATTCCTGCAGAGACCAAGGGTCTCTTGTGGCTCTCAGATTCCCGACGATCTGACGCTATTTCCCGTCTGCCGATAGGCTTTGCAGAGCGAGCTCCAGCCTGTGACGCATGGACGCGAGCTCGTCACTCTGGAGATCGGGGGTGTCGACGATGCTTCCAGCGGTCCGGTACTGCTTCAACAGCCACGCACATGCTAGCTCGATCCCGACCCTATCCAGAAGTTCTCGCTGTCGACGGTGTTAGTATCATACCAGGCATGCCACTCCGATGAGCCTGAGCTTACCTGTCGATTTTGCGTTTCCCACTCGAGCATCACGGCGTCAAGTTTGCTCTTATCCTCCTCCGAACTGATTGCATCCAAGAGACTCCCTCCTCCGCACACTTGATGAATGGCAAACGCTCCCTCCCTTGGGAGGTTCGTGTTGACATCCTTGGTTGAGAGACCAAGGTCTCGGGCAAGCGATGACAGCTGTACAGCGAGGTTCGCGCGTAGACGGAACACTCACTTTGTTAGCGATTTGCTAGGCGTGCGTTCCGTCCGGGTGCGGACGTACCTGTTTAGCTGCCTGGGACTTCGATAATCGACCGGGTATGGGAGCTGGAGGCTCAATCTTAGGCTTGGTCGCCTTGATCTCCGTTCGCTTCGCCTTGATCTCCGTTCGCTTCGCCTTGATCTTCTGTTTCGCCACAGCCTTTTTCAACCCTTCCTGACGTCTCTCCCTTTTCTCGACATGGATCTTCGATTTATTTCTCCACTTCTTCTTGTTCTGATGTGGGATTCGAGAGCGAGCACGGGTCAATCAGTTCGACTAGTCATACCTCGATGAATGCAGACAGCATGCCCGTATCTGTTGACTCACCGAGCCCGTGGCTTCCGTCTCGAACTGCACATCTTCCTCATCCGTCTCCCCGTCCTCGATCTTAGCCTGAATCTCCTCGTTCTCGATCTCGACGTCGAACCCCCCGTCCTCGACCTTGACCTCGACCTCCATACTCTCGACATTGACCTCGGCTTCCCCGTTCTCAACCTTGACCTCAAGACCCCCGTGTTCGATCTTGACCTCGACCTCCCCGTTGTTGACCTTGAGCCCGAGATCCTCGTGCTCCATCTTGAGGTGATGAAGGATAAAGGACCCTCGTTTTGCGATGTCGGTATGGGTTTCGGTATCGAGGTGATTGGGTCTGAAAGGAGTTTGATCGCTCTCGTCGTGTTCTGATCTCTACTCGGATGAATGAAGTGTGAGCAGAGGGAATTCTAACGGTTGTACGGCTGAGCAATAGGTAGGGTTATGAAGGTGTGTCCTTGATGGGATGGGATCGATGGCGACTTTACCGAATGGGGGTTAGAGTCTGACAAGGTCTCTCCACCCCCTTCCCCGCGCGGAAGTCGCACGATCGCCGAGGCGTAGGGGAGGCCGGACGGCTCACACTAGGTATATTTGTGGCTTTCGCGTAACCAACATCCAAGCTCGAGTCGTCGAGTGAGGGAATCGCCCTGTTATACCCCATTGAAAGACTGCTTGCAGCGTAGGGATTGTTCAGGGAAGGAGGGGAGTAGGAATAAGTCCTACTTTTTGTCATGCTCTACAACGTGAGCTGGTCAGCAGGTCGCTGTGATGCCTGTAGGCTGCCTTTTTGAGCCTTCTTCGCTCGAGCCCCAGCCAAAACATGGTGTGCATTTTGGGCAGGTTGTCACGAAAGCTAGGGGTCCCGCGTTCGACTCGGCGAATCGATTGCCTTTTTGTCGCGCCGGATCGTCTATACGACCTAAGCACTAGTTACATCTCGAAGGTAGCGAGACAAATCGAGACCTCTGATATGCACAAAGAAAAGCAGTCGGATTCTAGTACTGGATAACTAATTCGGATAACCCCTAAGTTTGCTCGCTACCATCCGAGAATCAGCCTTCCGTCGCAGTCTAGCTTGTCCGTGACGAGGTAGCAGTAGATTCAGGATATACTCGAGTAGTGGCCAGATGCATGCCCCAGCTCGTACGGAAACTGATAATCAGGGACTTCTGGATCGATCATACGGTTGTATATGTTCTTTCCTAGGACGAAAGGAGGCTCGTCCACATGATGACGGCACGGACCAAACGTCTAGCTTTCTATGGACCGGTCACCCGTGCGTTCGACAATCCTTACGCTCGAGCAGCTGATACGCTTTAACAAGCCTCGGCCGTTCTAAGCATTATGAGGGACTATAGTTGACCAGAACGAACTTGAAGCTGATACGGTTAAGCAAGAGATCCGATGCTACAGCGAAACACAATTTGGCGACAAGTCCCGAATCTGGATCGCCGAATCGATCTATAGCAAGGTCCGAGGACGGACGTGACTGTAAAGCTAACCCTCGGTCTCATCTGCTGCTTATGGCTTGAAGTAGTCTGACTTCCTCCCAGACGATCTATCTCTCTATCGGATCGCTCGCCGTGGCGTCACGAAATATAAAAGAGAGAGCTCATTGCAGTACTACAGTGACTATTCCGAAACAGCTGAGATCGTATACGTGTGGATTGTGAAGACATGTCATGACGTCCTAAGAGGCGTGATGGTAGACCCATAGAGAATCGGAGAACGACTATGAAGGGTACGGACCTGGATTACTTCATGTCGTCAAGTGGAGGGCGCCGCAACGACATAGGCTAGAGGTGGCGCGCGGGGCCAAGGTCTTGTACAGCTTAGCGGCAACCCCAACAATAAGCTTTCCATAGTGTAGGTTGTTACGGAGCGCGCCCGTTTCCGATCGTCGCTGAAAGCTACTCTTGGTTTCCTGCTCCAGCTGAGGCTGATGGGTAGCGAGATAGAGGGGGGAGCAGTGTTACGATATGTTCTGCTTTTTGTGGCTCGCCTGATTGCCTCTACGGCTGTTCAAAAGCGAGTTATTCGATTTTTTGCTCCCTGAAGCAGGCATTTTTGGCCTGACGTCGAACCTCGACTTGATAAGGTCGTCGGGTCGAGTCACAGCCTGCGCGCATATTTTTTTTCCCGCGTCGACGAGTCGAAGTGATCATTTGTTTTTACTATGAGTCGATCACTGTAACCACTTGTCATATCGATACACGGCCCGTTCGATCACCGTGCTCTTTTGTGGGCGACCTGCTCAAGCCTATATGATGGGGTATGCTCAGGGGGTTAGCATTGTGGCTCTCAACAACTTTCAAAGAGACGCAAATTGGCGAGAAAAACATTAGATGTTGGACACGATCTTGAAACCGGCTGGTAGGACGCTCACACGATAAGACCGAAGATTCCCCAATCATGTCCAACACATACGACCGATGCGAACATCCCGAACTCAATCGCTCAGATATTGTTTCGTCTGGAAGCGCATGCTGTCCGACTGAGCAGATCTGCGGTTTTGGTCGGATTCCGTTGTCTTTTCGATTCGACCGACCGGCCGACCTTCGATCACTGCAAGATCGGACGTTCATTGTTTGTTTGTAGTGTTCGGAAATCAAAATCGGAGTAGCCAAAGTACATGTTCTGCGTCGCATGTGTTACTAGCTACGTCGGAAGGGCAATCTCGTAATGGTAGAGTACATCAGAGATCGTTCAACAAGATGGACAGCTCATCGATGATGCTTTGATGTTCGTCGGTGATGGAAACAGTGTGCTCGTCGATGATACTCTGGTGATCATCGGCGGTGGAAACAGTGTGTTCAGACATGCAGAGAGCGTAAACCAGGTCGATGTGTACTCGTTCAAAGAGGGTCGGATCGTTACCCAACTTGGACATGCAGGGTTTGATCGTCGCCGAATAGGCTGGGTGAGATTTGATGTAAGCTTGAATGGGCTGCAAGGTTTTCGTGTTGAGATGAAGGATTGGGCCGATATCGAGGTTGCCAATATCGAGGTTGTCGAGCGATTCCATCCCCAGGCAGGACCAGAACTGTCGTCGATTCCACTCCCTCCCCCTGGCAGAAGCCATGTGAAATGGCTTATTCTTCTTCGTCGCTTTCGCCCTTTTCAGTGCTACTTGGGTTAGGCGTAAGCTGCTGTCGAGATCTGCTCCCCCACACGACCTGACCTCACCTTGCCTAGCTCTCTTCTCCAGCTTGCGGGCCTTCTCGGCGGCGACCTTCCTCCTAGCAATCTTCGACCTCCTCTTATTCTTGCGTCCCTCGTTCCCCGCTCCGCTCTCCTTCTGATCATCCTCGAGTTCGTCGCTCTCGTTCTGATCGTGTTCAAGTTCGTCGATCTCGTTCTGATCGTCTTCGAGTTCGTCAACTTCCCCGTTCTCATCGATCTCATCGTTTTCGATTTCGTCGACCTGATGTTCCTGAGAGTTGTTGCGAGCGTAGACGTCAAGCGGCTACAGATGCACCCATCATAGAATCAGACATTTGCTGTGATGCTGCAGAATCATGATGGCGATACTCACCGATCTTCCATGCTCCGATCGTTCCTCGACTTTGACTTCAGTCATAGATGCTTCTTCCTCTCCCTTGGCAGATCCGATATCATCAGCCTACAACAAGGGGGGTTATACGAATCAGCGCAAATTCGTTTTCGTTCCACTTGATGGCATCAAATATCGAGCCATCAAATATCGACTGACCTTGTCTTTCATCTTTCCTCACGATTCGAACCCTTCCTCGTGGTTCAAACAATTCAAGAATAGTTCACGTCCCGCTCTCCGAACTGTATTCGATCTTCTAGTCAGTTGTCTTAAGAGGGTGTCGAAAGCCTGACGATAGCTATGCGAAAGGATGGTGCGATCAGTAAAACTGGCAGCCGGCAATACTGTCATCAAGACAATTCCGCACTTACACAAATGCCTCTGGAAAGCGCTCGATGCCCGTTCGGAATGAGATAGCGTGCAATCGAGTCGATAGAGGTGAGATGGAGGTAATGATGTGAGTTATGGGGAGGTCTTCGAGGATGCGGAACGAATGAGGTTCATGAGCCTCGAACAAAGTCGAGACGGGAGACCGGAATGTGTCCCCGCGCGAAATCGGCTGCGGCCGATCCCCGCTTCATCAATGCGTGGCTATCCGACTAGCAAACTATGAACAACACGAAATACTGACATAGCGATCTTATGCAAGCTCAAGACGAAACAAGACGTTCGGTCCACTCCATTGCAGCAAGTGCAAACTACAAAGCAGCTAAAGCTTCCATCAACTCGTGCAAAACGCTTTGTTGTTCTTTAGTCATTTCGCCCTCGCTCGACCCGGCAGTGCTCTTGTTGTGGAGCATCACCCAGATATAGGCCAAGTCGACGGGCACGCGACTCAACATACTGCGAAGTCACGTTTGTTCGAAGGCGGGACGGTCATCTCAGCAATCTGGCGAGGCTGGAGCTCTTCCGCAAGATTCTGAACTTACCCGTAAGTCCTCTCGAGCTGCGCCTCATGGGATTCCTCCTTTTCGACGGAGGCTCGCAGCTGAGCACTCTTGAACTCCCTCATGACCTTGTCGACCTTCTCGATATAGACGGTATTGAGGTCGAGGCGAGCTTTGATGGGTCGTACCCCCTCCAAAGTCAGGCGATTGATATTGCCTACCGCCTGAGGCAATTTGTCGCACATCCTAGTCGACGAGACGATCAGATCTGGAAAGGTACGAAACAGAATCCCGGTCATTTTCACATACTGAAACGTAGCTCTCAAGCCAAGAGCTCTCCGAAAGATCCCTCGATTTCGCTGGCGAGCCTTCTGCGATGCGAGGTGTGACTCTGACTGTCGTCGGGAATGATCTAAACTCTCAACGGTCTGGAGTCAATTGCCGTCGTGACGTACGTTTGGCTTCGCTTGCAGATCTTTGCCTTGCGTGAAATTCTTCTCCTTGCCCTTCCTCGATGCATTTTCAGTAAGAAGGTCATCTCGTGTTTCAGCTTTTCCAACTGCAACTTCATCCATTGCCTTCCCCTTCTTCTATGGTCGATCCAGTTAGAAACACGGTACGATTCAACCAGAGAATCAGCGCCTGGATCGCCCGCTGGAATTGCGTGTTTGTGACAACCATCGCTCACCGCCTTTCCATCACGTTTCTTCCTCTTGGCCGCATTGATCATCTCGGCAAAATCGTCAGGCGAGAAGAGGGTAAGACCCGGCGCCGCAGGAGCTTCTTCACTGTTCATGACCTCCTCTTCGAGACCGTCTGGGTCCCATTCCTACAGCAAATATCACATTGATATCGCAGAGTCAGCAGCTGAGAATCATCTAGCCGTGAAATCTTTCGATAGCGAGAGACTTACATGGATGGAAGACCCTGCGTCCATCATCTCCGAATCCGATCCTGCTTTACTCCACCGGTGAATCTTGGCGCTCGACTGGGACTGTTCAGTATCGCGGGCAACGTGTAAGCTGAGTGCATCCTCGTCGGACTATGACTACGACTGGGGGAGACTGACCCCCAAATTCTGACACTTGTCATCGTCTCCTTCCCTCAAGCTCGTCCTTCCGCTTCCACTTGCACTCCCGTGAGCGTTGGCAGTCGTCGCCATACTATCCTTTCGTTTCGTGCTCTGCGACCCGCTACGCTCTTGATCCATTTCCACGACATGTTGAGCCTCGGCTGCCTTCAGCTGAGATATGGGAATTGCGAGGAGGTGAGATCAGTCAACTACGAAAGAGACAAATCACCCAGAGGACAGGTGCTCAAGTATAGAGTCTGTCTCGCTCACCTTCGCTGTTCGCTTAGCCCTTTTCCCGAGCTTGATCTTCGGTGGAAAGTCTCCGCACTCGTCGCCTCCCGGTCCGTATTGATTCTCGCTGGTTCTGATTCCCGCCGCCTGTCCCGATCGCGCAGGTCAAATACAGAGCGAGCGACACATATCGTAGTAACGGGAGAGTCAGTTTCAGCCTGGTTGTTAATTGCAGGGTATATGAGCAGGTACTCGCCTGTTCATTATGTCCATTTCCACCGTCTTTACGGCCATGTCGAATTAGATTCCCGCCCGTACCCGCACCTCGACGGTCCTTGTCGGCCTTGAGAAAATCCGGGGCGAACGGATGATGATGGACGTCGAAAGGCTGAACGTCGGAGCAAGAAACAGAAAAAAACGCCAGACCATAAGGCGATAATAAGGCGATACGATCAAATCAGATCAGTCCGAGGTATACTACGGGGACGAGATGACACGAAAGATAAGGGACTCGCCTGCTTGTTCTCCCTAGATCCCTCTCCTCCGCCTAAGCGATCCTGCCTGACCCCGTTGTTCATCTGCTCAGAGCAGCATATTCCATTAAACAGACGAAAACGGACACTTAGGTCAGTGGACCCGGCCGTAAAGAGACGATAATCAGGAAGACCAAACCACTCACGTCTTGGCCATCCCAACATCCCATTCGACTCCCCCCGTGATTCTCAGCTCGGTCCGGATCATGCCCAACCTCTCGTCCGTATCCATATCCGCCTCCGAATCCCCTATTCATCTTGACGTTGAGTACGAATGGCTACGGCCACGATCGCCGCAAGAACGATATGGCGTGAGGCAACGTGTTGCCGATTGATACGATACGAGGTGAGGCGGGAGTGCAAGTCATTTCGAGACGAAGACGAAGACGAAGACAAAAAAAGAAGGGGTATGATCAGTACACGACAACTGACGGGTCACTCACAAATGAACAGATGCTTTACTCACCTGTACCGACCCAGCACCCTGCATCGATCCATACTGTTCAAACTCAAGACAGTCTAAGCTTCACAACCGCGACGATCCCCAACATCGACCTCGAATTCCTTTACGTACATCCGATCCTTTCTTCTCCTCGTCTGCTCGCGCTGAATCCAGATCCTGAGGCGGCATGAAATACGACAGGTCGATCTTCTTCTTCTTGGAAGGCCCCGGTTGAATTTGACAATTAGCGGGTTTGAGGGATCTCTGGAAGATGCCCTGGTGATATCGACGTGAGTGGAGATGGTGGCAAGCAGGGAGATAAGATAGGAAGAGATAGGTAGTAAGCAAGCAGATCACGATACCGGGTCGGAATTGATCGGACGCTTCGCTTTACTACGATATGGTACTGCACAGACCAAGCGAGGCGAAGTACTCACATTGTTCCCCTCTTCCTCTTCATCGCTGATCACCATCCGAGCCTTTCTCTTCCTCGCCGACCTCAAACCCGCAAGCTCATCTTCCTCATCATCTCCCTTGTTCATCTGTCCAGTCGTACCGTACCGAAGTGCCATGCGTTGAGAACAATACAGAGTACCCGGGTAGCGAAGACCATACCAAACAAAGCCGCATCAACATGCGTGCATCCTAAAGGAGCCTGCAGATCGAGACAATGACTTACCTTGATACCCCCGTCCATACCTCTCTTCTGAACCGCATCCGAGCCGTCGTAGTCGTACTTGTAGCCATAATCATTCTCGTTCTCGACCGGGGAAGAAGATCCGTCGGATCGCAAAGATTGACGATGCTGGCGATGGTGGCAATGACAAGGCGAAGGGCAAGGACGTTGTACTTCCGGACTCAAGCTCAAACCCAATGCCGAGTTTGAGTTTGAGATTGAGGCTTGAGGCGAGATCGAGGATGACCTCGATGGGAGTCTTCCGGAATACGGATGGAACTGGGAATCGGGACCGGGAATGCAATCGGGGATTTCGGGATCGAGGTTGGTCAAGTTGAGCTTGTATTTGCGGTGATATCCATGGTCGTGTCCGAGTTGATGTACATGGGAGGGGCTGTCGGAAAGATCATCGGAGTTCTGGTTGGGATCGAAAGTAGGATGAAAGCCCGTCGGCTATTATATGCGTGTAGGTATGCGTAGGTGATCCAGGCGACGTGGTGGCAAGCAGAAGATGAAAGAGGCGTAAAGGCAAGGATCGGGAAGGATCAGCTTTCAGTTCATGAACGGATATAACAGTCATCGTTGCAGCCGAGGCGGACCCATGCCGTCAAAAAGCCAGACCGACACCCGGCGTAGCTCAAAGCAAAACGAGAAGAAAACGGAGGTAGAGAGGAAGGCGAGGTTCACCTCGTATTCGTACTCACCTGCAACTGTAATCCTGCTCCCGCTCGCTCGTGTCCTTGCTGCTGCTCCATGTCGACGTCCACGTCCGTCCTATCGTGGATGATCGCGTCCATCCTTTAAACTCCCCGTTTCGATCCTGCGCACTTCAACTTCCAGATTTCAGGATGGGCGAGTCGGGTAGTAGTTGCAATACCTAGAAGAGGAGACACAATGAAGTCCAGATCAGTGTATGTTGATAACGGACCCCCCTCAAGTCGATCAGGTCGAGGAAAGAGGGGTGCGAGCACAGCCGCACCCGACCACCCAACGAGATTCGCCGCGAGCAGAAGGAAAAAAAGAGGTCTACTTACCGGGAACAGTAATACGCTCAGTTTGACGTTCAAGATGGTGAGTCTGGATGTCTTTTGGGGTAGGTGTAGAGATAGGGGTAGGGCGTTGTTGTGGGAGCGAGGTCTGATTCGAGGTCGTTGATGACGCGAGATTGGGGATGGAGGGGGCATCCGATCACGCGCGCGCGTGCCATCATCATATGGAAGGGGGAGTCGATCCACCTGAAAGCTCGCTCCCTTCTTCTCATCAAATTCACACAGCCTTCTCTCGATCTCTCATCAATCCCCTCGTCGAGCGACTGATCGAACCCCACAGTTTCCTACCTCGTCAATCCAAATTCAAAGTCTATCAATCTCAAATTCTCGACCTTCACCCGACTTCCCCCCTCCAAAATCCACTTTTGCCACCCCCCTCTGATGCTTCTCGGCTCTCTTGAAACTCCTCGGGTGTTAAACCGAATTAATGTCTAGGTGAAACCGCCCGAAAGGAGAGCGTGGTTGATGACGCGGACATGAGATTGTTTTACGCGTGTTGCCAACTCGCGATGTCCGTTGGACGGTCCCGTGGTTTCCGCTCATATCCGTCTTGTAGTGAGGGTTATGGGACTATCTATCGGATATCGTCCACCTCCTCTCCCGAATACTACACACTCTTTACACTAGCCACCCTCCTAATCATAATTTCTAGTAACACTACAAGATGGCGTGAGTATCCCGCCATCACAAACCCCTGCCGCGTCCGGTTATCCGACTCCGGACTATCAAGAGCTAAACACCACTTCTCCTCTTCCTACTCCCCATCCTGTTTATTCTCTTCTCGACGCCATAGATCTACGTTCTTCAACTGGGCCAAGAGCCCTGCGGCTAGGGAATACTTTTTCAGTAAGTGCCCCCTCGTCCTCGCTCTCTTTGACTCGTCGTCGTTGGCGGAGTCATACCCGAACGCAGGCTGATCGCTCTGCTCTGCTTTGCTTTGCTTTGCTTTCCTCCTTCCTCATCCTCCGCATTATCTTTTTCTCTCGTCATCCTCATCATCCCCCTATCGTCATCGTCATCCTCCCTCTCATCTCAACCGGCACCGTCACATCACACTGCAATCGTAGGCACCAACTTCTGGGGCCCAGTGGCCAACTGGGGTCTCCCCATCGCCGCCATAAGCGATATCAGGAAAGATCCGGAGATGATCTCGGGGGTGATGAGTCCTACTATGGCTGGGTATTCGTGAGTGTTCCGAAAGGAGAAGAGGATTGTGCTGGAGAGGGGGAGGAGGGAGTTGGGGGAGGATGGTGGTCGCGGTGGTTGTCGTGGTGATCGTAGTGGACCTTGGTTAACTGTTTACCTTGTCGTTCTTCTTGTTACCCTCTACCTACTTACCAACTTGATCCTACCTGGATCTCCTTTTCCGACCGACCTTGCTCTCTCTTCTGCACTCTTCAACCGTCTCTCGCGATCGAACAATCGGATGCACCGACCGGCTGCTCCACGCTTGATCGGACTCTGGACCCTGGACCCTGGACCCTGGACCCTGAACCGGACCATCATCGCCATTCTACCTCCACCTCGACCGACGTCCACATTATCTGGCGCCGTGATCCGGCTGAATGCGGACCACCACCTTGAAACTACCCTGACCCTCAATCCCGCGCTGCACTGCACTGCACCGTCTCGACCGACTATGAACGGGCTTGATGATCATCCATCTGTCTGGGTCGACCGACGACCTCTACCACCTTCGTCTCTACGGCCTGTCATATCACCCAATTCACAACCCGGGCCCGGTGTACTCGTCAATCCTCGCCTGCACGCACGCGGAACAGGTTGATCTTCATGAGGTTCGCTTGGAGAGGTACGTCCACGTCAACGTTCACGTCTAAGTTCTTCTCAGCCCCGATCCGACCTCGGCTTCGGGTTCTTTTTACTCTGCGGGTTAGGGGAGATATGTGTATCGATGCTGATCTATTCTATTCGTTCTTCTCTGCTCCCCCCTTCTCACTCTCCTCCCGGCTTGCTGGTCGACTGTTGACTTTCACCTCTGAACCGCGGACTTTGACGTCATCACGTACTGCTCAACGAAACACGCTACGCAATTGGGGAACCTGTGACGACCACGGCTCATCCCCTCGGAACAACTCTGACGGTACGATCGATCGGATCCTCTTCGGTACTACATCCTGAACCGATTCTCGGGTGCGGGTCGTGCTTCTTGGCGGCGACGACGACTTTTCGGGCTATTGTCCTGCCTACGACGCTCTGCCTTGTCCGGCTACACCTCCTCTATACCACTCTTACGCCTTCTCAACCGCCGGCTTCACCAACATCCTTTCAATCGACCTAATATCACCACACCGTCCCCGGCATCATCCTCCGGACAACCCATCTACCTATCATTCGTCATCACCCGCCTCCAAATCTCAAATACCTACTTACACCCGACGGATTACCACACCCAACAGTCATCCCCCGAAACTACCTCCTCTTCGCCTGTCACGCCACCAACGCCACGGCCCAGTTGATACAATGCGGACGATGGGCTCAGTATTGGAAGTTTGGGGGCAGGGAGCAGGCCAAGGGGATCGCTGCCAAGGTGAGTCGGCGTCGTTTATACTCTGGGTTTGGTTTTGGTTAGGGTGGTTCGGGTTCGGGGCGGCGTGGTCTGAGTTGGTCGGGATGGTCTGGTTTGGTTGATTAGTGTCCGAGCGGACGTGGTTTGGAGTGAGAGCTGGGGTGGTCCGGTTCAGGTCGGACGTGGTCTTGGTCGACCGGTATGGTTCAACCGGCGGCGGTGGCTGAGCTGGTCAGAACGTTCTGGGCAAGCCGACCGAGCCCAGTTGATATGATCGAAGGAGATGGCCCGCAGGGTCTGAGGATATTCATCAATCCGGGTGGCCTCGCGTGGGAACGGTACTGGTGGACCACGAGGTCTGGCCGAAGGCCGTAGAGCGAAGTTGGTCATGGTGTTGGGATAGGCGCAAGCCGGTCGGGTCGGTCGATAAGACCCAGGAGATGTTGTCTGGATGGGCAAGAGAGTGCCGAGCCGATCGAGCTGGCTGTTGGTGCATCGGGGATTTGCGAGTTGGACCGAGTGCCTGGGAGATGGTCACGGGAGGAAGAGGACATGAAGGTGGCGGGGTGTTGGCCTTTGGTCTTGATCGCGGCGGTGACGACGAGATATGCTCGGCGTATCTTGACCATGCGAAGGGGTGTAATATGGGGCGGGTTCCGGAGGAGATCGACATGGGTGCACATCAGGAGGCAAGAGATTGGCGATAAAAGCATCAGTCAGGTATATCGGTGGGCGGTAGGAAACCGATAGTTGGCGGCTCGAACAGGAAGCGGGTTGAAAGGGAGGCGGCGAGAAAAGACGGGCGGCTGATTCGAGACGAAGGGAAGGCTATCCGAATTGCGTATCGTCGGGAAGTGTGATGCTGTTAAAGAGCAGGAATAAAGGCCATCGGTATCCTAAATGCGATTGAGGCGGAGGTCATACGGATGATGGAGAGGGATCCCGGACGGATGCTACTGAGAACGATTCCTGCTTTGCAAGCGAGAGTCTATATGCGGCCTCGGAGAAGACGGCAGGAACGGAGAACGTGCTTTTGCAATGGAATTGACGTCGCTTCAATTCGAGATTCGTCGCCTGCGACCGTTTGTCGCACTGGTTACTGATTCTGCTTCTTGTGCTTTATATTCCGATAATATCCCTGACCTGGCCAACAACTCGACGATCACCCCGCCCATCACTATTCTTCATCACACCAGGCGGAGGACGCCGCTTCATCAGTGACCGCGGCCGCCAAGCAAGTCTCGAACAAGGTCAAGAACGCCTAGATCCTAAAACCATATCCATAATGGAATTCAATTCGAGACTCTGATGTCCCACAACCGGACATAGGGTCATTATCTGTACCTTCCTTCCATGATTCGATGATACACAAATTACGTCCACCGGAAAATTTCTGGCTCTTTCGCATGGCAGGGCGCAGACGTGGGGATCGCATCGTTCGGGACGAGTGGTAGCTCATCAGCGTTGGTACACGCTGGCACGGATCTCACTTCGGCTTGATGAATGGTTCATGACGATCACGTTCTGGTCCCGAAAAAGCATGTGCCGCTGCGGTACAGCAAGTACTGTACGAAAGCCCAAAGTACCAATCCTCCTCAATTAGTGGAGGCGTCGTATTGACGTTGAAGCAGAGAACCAAACTCGATCGTCAGAGCATGTTCGGGGCACTTTGACTGATAAAGGCATACAAGATGGAAACAAAGTGCTGCCGTGCCCTTTACCCCTCCGAACTATCCGACCATCATTCAAGCCTGGAATCTTACGAGCGACTATCTGCCTAGTCGCCCTTGCGCAGAAAGGTCTGATGTGCACAGTATGTCTCTACAGCAATCGGATCGGATAGAATTCCTCGATTCGAGGTCAGATGCAAAGCAGGCGCAAGAGGTCCGTGATCGTCGTCAATGCATGAGAATAGTAGCGATATGGACAACGGACGTTGAAAGAACAAGCGGTGGAAAAGCAGGCCGAAGACGTTGAGATCCATCTGTGCTCTCCCATTGACAAAAGCCACAACAAACGCTGACTAAACGCTGACAGGAGGATTTAAACTCTGCGTCGACAGAGCGATCTTGGGACAGAAGACACATCGTGTGTATCCATCGCCCCGAACGTGGAGTGCAAGTAGTCACCATGGTATTGAAGCTTGACGACCAGAGATCCGCTACGCCCCTCGTACAAGACCTTCATGGCGTAATGATGCGAGAAAGATTTATGGTTGTGGCTAACAGACGAATTTGACGCTACAGACGAGAGGAAAGTGATAGAGCGCGGCAAATGGAACTCATGACAAATTTTGAGACGGAAGGAGGTGAGATGCGCAACAGACAGTTGTGTAGGAGGAGGTCAACCTGTCGACGAAGTCGACAGCGCCCCGCCTACGGCGTGACGGCGCAAAGCAAAGCTTATGTATTCGATGGGACGATGCTATACACCGTGTTTGTTTGCTGTAGCGAACTGCGCTGCGGAACATTCAGCTTGCAGCTTGTAAGTATACAGAGCTAGATGCGGACTTTTGACCGGTCATATCCATCTTCCGTATCAAGACCCTCTGCAACAGCTTTTCCCTGGCGTCTCTGTTCCTCTACCAGCTTGTGGCTGACTCCTTGTAGTCGCTTACAAACGATTCCCTCGAGTTTTGCAGTAGGGATTGTGCTGTTAGAAGTCATAGTGTGAGAAGTCGTCTTATCGGACCAGTATTTCAAGTCGTCATGCATATCGCTTCCTCGCACGATACCACCACGAAATAGCTTGAAACATTCTTGAAGTGCTACTACATCGTTGCCTCTTGTGAGTTCCCATCCCTACGGCTTAGAACACATTCGATCATGCTCGTACTGATCAGCTACCTATCCTTTCAAGTGTCATGGGTTCAAAGTACGCTCGCAAGAAAGACTTCAAACGGGATCACAAGCGTAAAGTTGTGAAGCCGAGAACTGCTTTGATTGCCACCACTTCCGAGTCTACTGCATCCTTTAACTATGACTGGGTGGCCAGCCGTACCAACAAGGCCAAGGATCAGAAAGAGGCTGTTTTCCAACTGAGCAAGCTTCTCATTATCCCTATTCAAGCGGTCAGAGAGATTGGGAAAGGTCAATACAGGTAGGTTGCGTCGCAAACTCTGCCTGCCCGTCGACGATCAATTCCATCCGCAATCTGTCTACCTCGACCGTGCTTACCCGCCTTTCAAACACAGCATCCTCAGCTGCCAGCAGAAGCTCATCGACGCCCTCCTGAGGGCTTTAAAATTGCATCCAGCTATGGAAGAGGTCGACATGTGGGTGGATCAGTGGCGGACTCAGGGGTTGCGGAGCTAGTCTGATCGAGGTGTGTACGATCTTCATAACGTCATAACTCGTCAAGCCGTAGTCTTGAGCTTAGGGGCTAATCGCAACCGAAACCAGCTTCCACTCGAATCAGTTGGTGGGTATCGAGCTCGCCTGCGCTTGCGTAAACTCGACTGCCGAGGACCGCGAGCACGCGTGGATCTTGAAGTGAGTGTTCTCTCGGATCAATCTATCCAGTTCTGCTCCATTGGGCTGACTCGCAGGGTAGTCTCAAAGACGTTCCTCAGGATTTCGATTCAATGATCCAGCGTCTCCTCGCCACCGTCGCCAGTCTCTAGCATCGAAGAAGCTGCTTCTAGCCGAGTTACATCCCCGGACACGATCAGATACATGCTACTCTGATCTAGCTGTCCGCAAAATACTGTACTTCCAAACCCATCGCTTGTACTGGACTTGACGTCGATGGCCGAGATGAAAGATCTGATATCACCCCGACTGATACCAGACAGTGCCGGATCCGGGATTCGTATAACAACGAGATCGTCTAAAGTCCAATCGAGGGAGATTCAGCTACTGAGCGATGTATCGCCGATCGCCTCATCCACCACCCACTTACCCCAGTTCCCGAAACCTTGGCGCGCAAAACCCCATCTCTATCTTGGTCGGCCGTCGTCGGGGCTAAAGTGGGCTCCGCACCCGCTCCACCTGGCACCACCTCCCTGTCCTTCCCGTTACTACCGATCCAGCTACCTCTGCCTTTCCCGATCCACCATTCTCCTCCCAAAGACAGGTCGCTCTCGTAGCTGTAGACATTGACCCCGAACCGACTGGCGAGTGCTAAGCGTGGCGTGACCTGTGCGGCATATGACGTAGAGAGGAAACCCATCAGAGGGTTGTAGAGGATGGTAAGGGTTGTAGGTGGGGATACGGGTGCGGCCGGGTTGGCGGTCGAGTTGGGTATTGTTGTAAAACGAAGCCCGGTCGACACTGAGGGATAGCAGGACGAACCGCGTCATGGTCAGCTAAACATGCATTCTGATCTTTCACCAAGTCAAACTCACATCCTAGACTCCTCTGCTTGACCGAGAAGTAGATCTCCCCACCTGCCGAGAACCGTCCTCTCAGACCATTCTCCGAGCTGTCTTCCTGGTCGACCAGAGGGCCTCGTTTCCCGTTATCGGTCTTGCCCTCGAATTCCCCCGGATTCAAGCTGCTGGGTAAAGCTGGGCCCGCTTTATGCACGATCGGGTAGTCGTCCAAGGCAGTCGGTCGGAGCATCTCTTCCGTCAACCCAAAGTTCCATAAGCCTCGCAGACCGACCATCCCATCCTTGGCTGAATACGTGTACTCGGTCGCCCATCGTCCATGGTCTTGCTGCAAGGAGAGAAGCAGGTTCGCTGGCGGGCTCGGTGGAAACGTTGGCCCACTCTGTTGCTGTGTAGAGCTGGATGATGATCCCACCCCGCTCCCTGCCGACCCACTCCCGCCGCTGCTGCCACCATCTGATCGAAACAGTGTTCCAGGAGAGTGCATGAAAGCTAGGCTTCCTTGCAAGTTCGTTGACAACTTGGTGCTGGCCAGAGCACTGAGGTGGAGAGTTGGAAGATGGAGACGAGAGTAGAGCAGGTAATCGCGTGGTGGAACCAAGAGGTCTCCGGCTAGGTACTCTTCCTCGGGGGGTAACGGACGTCTGGGAGATGGATATGTCTGGAAGTGTGGTGTCATCGATTTGAGAGTGGCCGCATGGGAAGGGGTGATCTGTTTTGAAGGAGATCCGAAGGTAGCTCATCAGCTCGATAGCAAGAGCGATCCGTTTCGCTGTTACTTACTCCAGCCAGCGGTATCGAGCTGGTGATATAGCTGATCGAGCCATTGAGTTGAGGTAGTGCTTCGAGCGAATATGAAGTGAAGAATATGGGTGTAGGCGATTTCGAGAGCTGGAGTATTAGAGACGGCGGTATGGCGAAATCGCTGCAAAAGGGACGGGTCGTTGAGCTCTGAGCTCGGCCATGAAGCAGCCGCTCAATTTCACTCACAGTATAGCTATAATCCAGAAGCGTAGAAGTAGAAGTAGCATCAGATAGTCTGCAAGACAGAGACACCGACGCAAGACGAGGTTACACACACCAGACGAGCTCCGTGTTAAGTTGCTGTACAGGTTATCCTCATTCCACCCGATGCTTTGATGATACGTCCGTGTAAGCCAGGTGGCAAAGTTGTACATCGAGAATCTCTCGGTTGTACTTGTATATCTCGATAGCAATGTCTAACCTTGTTTATCGTCTGGCATATCCTAGTGAACGATTGCATGTCATTGTCAAAAGATGGTGAATCGGCTGCCAAACGTCAACAGGGAGGTGCTTCTCGAGGGGACAGCGCGGAAGCTAATGAAGCTATTACGAGACCGGGCTTTCGCGCGCGGAAGCTAGCCTATATATTTCAATAAACCAGCTATATAACAAGAGGCGGATGATGGAGTAGTGGTCGAGCGAGCCTCACACGAAACATTCTGATGCAACTGGCCAGGTCTCATAGCTTCTCTATGCAAGTCATTCTAGAGAACATATCTGGCGGGGAAGTCAATACCGGGGAGGGTTGACTTTTTGTACTTGAGCCCGCTTTTTTGTCTGCCCTCTAGGCCGAGTAATGGCCTGATAAAGGATTTCCACCTTCTGGAGATGGCCAGGTCTCGCGTTCGACCTCGTCGACCGTAGACTCTTTTTACCTGTGATAGCGAAAATAGACGTCCAATTTCGAAAACTCTCCCACACGCTTGAGTGTAGCTAGTGTATCAGACGTGGCACAACGTCCATGCGCAGGTGTTCAGATCACCGACCGGGATGAACTTGTCCAAACTCTGTCCCTTTCCGCCGGTAATGAGGTCGCTGCGCAGTCACTGGGGGTCACGTTCGCGTCGCTTCGGTCAATCCCGACGTTTGTGAACGATGGATTCGCCAACCTTTCACGTTCACGTTAGACCACAACTCGTATACCCGTCGACCTGAGGGATGCCCGCCGACCTGAGGGATACCCATCAATCTCATAGTATAGAGCCACGACAAGTATGAAGGCAGGATGGGGAACGTCTCTTCTCTCGCTAGAGCGTAAGCTTCCTATCTGGCGACCGGAAAGGCCAGTCGTCCGGAAGCTGACGTGTGCAATACTACAGGTCGAGTGCCCTGGACTCCTACGTCGCTGAGCTTGGGAGCGATATCTCCTACGAAAAGAGGTGCGTACGGCTTGGATATCTTCAATCGTGCATTCGGACTGATACTACCCGTGTAGTCTGTCTTCGTCGCGGTTCCTGAAGACCATCCTCATCCGGCACAACTATGGACTGCTCGTTCTCAAGCTATTCATCAAGCCGGACCCGTACATGTCCCTTCGGGTCATCCAACGTCGGCTCAAACGTCAGTAGTTCTGCACCAGCTCTTATTTCTACTTCTTGAGCTCTGTTTCGCTGAACCTCATGTCCTGACCTCGGCAGATCAACGTGACTCCCTAAGCGACCTCTCGAATGTCCTCACCTACGCTACCTTTGTGGAGACGGAGAAGGCCGGCTACCTGATCAGGCAGTATGCGGGAGCGAGTCTGTATGACCGAATCAGGTGAGATTAGCTAGCTCTTCTTTCTCAGACCATGCAAATGTGGCTGACAGATACTTCGTTGGCATGGAGCAGTACCCGGCCGTACCTCTCGCCTGTAGAGAAGAAGTGGATCAGTTTTCAAATCCTGAGTGCTATGCGGGATGCCAGGGCAAGAGATGTGAGCACTCTGGATATGACAGTCAGACAATAAGTGCGTCTGAACTCTCAAACAATAACCCTTCTCTCGGTAGATCTCGCATGGAGACCTCAAATCCGAAAATATCCTCATCACGCCAGCCCTCACAGTTCTCGTGACCGACTTTGCATCCTCCTTCAAGCCCACCTTTCTCCCTCTCAACGACCCTTCGGACTTTTCCTACTTTTACGACTCTTCCGGTCGTCGAACATGCTACATCGCCCCGGAGAGGTTCTACACCGAGGACAGCCGGATCGCAGAGGAAAAGAGACAGGCGATCGCTTCAGTTACGGCAGAAGGGACCGGTTCTTGGCTAAATGCAGGTATCGGGAAGAGGGATGGCAAGGTTACCGAACAGATGGACGTCTTTGCAGCAGGATGCGTCCTGTTGGAGATGTGGACGGATGGAGCTAGTATATTCACGCTAAGCGAGCTATACGGTTACCGGGAAGGCAAGTATAATGAGCTGGAGGGGATATTGGGGAGTCTGGAGGATACGTCTGTCAGAGTGAGTGTGCCGCCTTGCTTTCCTTCCGGCTACTTACTAACTTTGTCGGTAGACCTTGATCGCAAGCATGATTGCCCTCGAAGCGGACCATAGACCGACCTTCGAAAAGGCACTCTCCGATTTCCGGAACACCGTCTTCCCCGACTACTTTTACACCTTCATGAGCGACTACGTCGTCAACCTCGCGGCGGACCACCACGTACCGAACAGCACTTTGACCAACGACCCGATAGCTCGGAGCTATGGTCAGGCGGATTCTATCATTTCCGGTATCTGCCGGGATTGGGATGGGATGATTGCAGCAATGATAGAAGAACATGATCTGGCTGTGAGCCGTCTGTCGGAAGCAGATCAGGCAGGATTGGACGACCGCTTTGCTGGCGAGGATCTTAGTGAGTGTTACGTCTGTCGACCTGGCCTGGTTGATAGCTCATTCGATTACCCACTCTCTCGTTAGATGCACCCACTCTCCTGCTCTTGAACATCATCACTTCCAACATACGGAACTGCGTCCGAGAATCGTCGAAAGTCAACGCTCTCGAGCCTCTTCGTCAAATCGCGAAACGGCTCACCGCGGACGAGACTATCGACCGGATCGTACCATACCTGGTCGCCCTGTTCAAAGACGACAGCCCACAAGTTCGAGCTGCATCCTTCGAGCTTCTTGTGGAGCTGGTGAGCAGGTCTGATACACGTATACGATGTTAGTCTAAAGGCTGAAACGATATCGTTGACTGTCAATAGTTTCAAGAGCTCGAAGTCATCTCAGCGCATCAAACCGGTATCATCACGGAATACATACTCCCGCACGTTCGTCAGCTAGCAGAGGATGAGGATGTCATGGTCCGCAGCACTTTTGCCAGGAACCTACCGATGCTCAGTGATATAGGGATGAATATCATGGAGATGAGTCAAGCTCTTAAGGCTGCTGAGATCGGTGCTGGTCAGATCGACATCGATCCTACATTAGAGGTCAGTCCAACGCGAGGAGTAAATAGCACTCGTAGAAGCTGACTCATTGCCAATCAACTTAGCCCGGCTACGATGCCAACGTACAAGAGCTAGTTGAGGCCTACTCGGAACAGGCATCAACCGTACTCGTGGATTCGAACAGCGATGTCAGGCGAGCGGCTCTAGCGGACGTCGCACGGCTCTGTCTAGCTTTCGGACGGACCAAAACGAACGAAGTGCTGCTCAGTCGTATGATCACGTACCTTAACGACAAGGATTGGAGACTCCGGCATGCGTTTCTCGAAAACATCGTTAGCGTGGCTGCATTTGTCGGTTCAACTAGCTTGGAGGAATTCGTATTACCACTGATGGAGCAAGCCCTAGCAGGTACGTATGTAAGTTGCTGTTAATGTGCCTGCAGCTGACTGATCAATTTGGCGTCGCGTCTACAGATCCTGAAGACTTTGTGGTTGCAAGAGTGCTGGAATCACTGGCCAGCCTGACAGAGATACGCTTATTCGACAAGGCGAGGATGCTCGAGCTATTTTCAAATTGCTACGGTTTCCTGTGTCATCCATCCATCTGGGTCGTGCAAGGTGCGTTACGTCATTGCCGAATATCGAATAAAGACCTGAGATCCCCAAATATGACTATCAGCGGCGGCCTCATTCGTGGCTGCGGTCTGCAGACAACTTTCTGCGACGGATATATCTTGCTTGGTATACCCATACATTCGACCATTGCTTCAAGCCGAGATTGCTGAACTTACCAGGGAGAATCTGCTGGACTGCGTAATGTCGCCTGTGAGTTCGTTCGCCAGGGATTCATGTGATGCTCAGTCTAATAAGTCCGCGTGACCCATAGCTACCTCGCGGCTTACTAGATGGTGGGAAGACCTGGGCCAGCCGTAACCTTCGTGGAAATTGGTGGACCAAAGCAAACATCCCCGGGCGGAGCGGAACGAAGCGAAAAGCCTTTCACATGAACCCCATCCCCTCTAGCAAAGCTCTTCAGGTACATGACGAGAGGTTGGTCTTGATAGCATGATTACTTGTCTTTAAGCGCTCCCAGCTGATCTAGATCGGGTCAGGGACGTACAACACTTGAAGGAACTGCGTGAAAGGGGCCTGAATGATGATGAAACAAGGAAATTTGTAGCCTTGAGGGACTATATGGCGTCCCAAGCTGCCCTTTCTCTGGAGTGAGTTTCTGCAACCACGTCATATTTTGAGCTTCGCTTACAGCGCTTATGAGCAGAAGGGGTGAAGTGCAAACTATCGGGATACCATCCACGACTGGAAAACAAGCATCTCTGCAGGAATTGAACGTCACACCAGTCACTGTCTTCCTCACACCCAAGCACACAGACTCTCTTTCCAACCCTGTCATCGACAAATTACGCTCACCAGTCGCGCGCGCGCTTTCGGATGAGAGCAGGCGTTCGTCTTTCTCTGGCAATCCGTTCAGGCCTCGGCAACCCAGCCAAACGGCATCGGGTGTCGATGCTGAGCATCTGGATGAGCTGCGTCGGAAGCTCAAACGCCTGGACGATGCTCGCACAGCTTCGAAAGACCTACTTCAAATGACGTCGGCTCCTTCTGCAAATCATGAACCGGCTAGCATCGCGAGCGCAAGCGACCCGCCGCTGCAGCGTGCTTTGTCGAACGCGTCAATGCCTTCGACCTTACAAGAACGGTCGAACGGACTCTTGTCAACACGCAGCAGGTTGTCATTCGGCCGGGAACCGATTAAAGCAGCACCTGCCGTCAGCGCGACCAACGAGATCGCTATCGGTCAGCTCGAAGCCGTTGCCGGTCTTGGCATCCAAGACAAGGTCGCCATGAATTCGGGCTTGACGACTCCCCGTCAACCTGGAAGAGAGCCCCATCCTCCGCCAGCGGATCTGTTCCGACCATTCACATCGACCTATGAAGGCCACGACCCGAACGTCATGGCGCTATTGGAACGCACCTACGCCGAGAATGCATCCGTCAGCTTGTCGCATCTGGGACCCGTGGTGGAACGAAGTCAAGCACAAAGGCGTGGCCCCCCGTTCCGAACGAAACAGCCTTCACGGTCCAGCGATCAGCCCACCTCGCTAGTGGCACATTTATCAGTACACGAATCTCCTATCCTGGGACTGTTTAGTCCTCCGGACCAAGCATATCTTCTTTCGGCCGACAAAGACGGGGCGATTTGCGTTTGGGATGTAGCTCGTTTCGAAAGAAGCGTCTCGAATAAGCCTCGACTTACCCATCGGCTAGAAGGAGACCACTTGACTGCAGCGTGTCCGTTGATCAATCGCTCGGCTTTTGCATTTGCTGTTTCGAACGGGACGATCCAGCTTTTGCGCATCAGCAACTCCTCAAACGGCTCTCTGAAACAAGCTCGTCTAGTACACGTGCAGAGTTTGACTTACGCGAGGGATCAAGGCGAGATTGTTTTCCTTCAGAACGTGTATCAAGGTAAGTGATCTCAACCGTTGCGTCAGCAATGGAACTAAAGACTTGACGAGTTCATACCCGACTTTGTTATAGCTGAGGAATCTGACTTGCTCTACGTGACCAATCTGGGTCATATCTCCCTGATATCGATCAGGACGGCTGCCATCAGGTGGACGGCCACTCAACCCATAACACTCGGCCGACCAACGGCATGCTATCTTGACTCCAAGCACATCTGGCTAGTGATAGGCACGAGCTCGGGTAATCTAGCCCTCTGGGATCTACGCTACGGCCTACTCGTCCGCCACTGGCAAGTTTCGGAAGCTGCGGTCACAGTCATTGCCGGGCATCCAGCTCGTGGCCGGGGGAAATGGGTTGTTGTCGCATCCCAATTGCGATCGTCTAAGCCAGCAGGTTCCCAACCCGTCACGATCATGATCTCGGTCGACCTGAGCACGGGAGAGATCACCGAGAGATTCCAGACAACCACGTCGACATCGTCGGCTGCATCAACAGGATCGAAGGCGGAAAAGGTTCCACCGGATTATCTCGAGTCCGCGCCAGCCGTGGAGACTCCAGCTTATGCCATCGAAAAGCTGCTTGCTGATCGTCCGGAAATCCAACTACCGAAAATCAATACAAACGATCAGGATCAGCACCATGCGACTTGCTCGATACAGGCCATACATCCGTTGGAGATTTTGGCCGGTGACACGTCGTTCGGCAATAGCACCGACTTGAGCCCGGTTCAGGAAACCTTCGAGACGAGTCACGGGCAAGAAAAGCCGGCCGCTTTGCCCGCGGGTATCATCCTGACGGTCAGTCAAGATCGCATCGTAAGGTTATGGAACCTTGGACAACCAGCTCAGAGCCTGGTCGTGTCTGGAGCTGGAAAAGACGCAAACAAGCGATATAGGCATGTCTGGCTGTTTCAAGTCATTGCCCTAGCACCTTTTCTGACATACGTTTCTCCCGCCTGTAGACACATCAGAGAATCGGATGGAGCAATATCTTACATCGAATCACCATACCGCACCCAAGAAGTCCGGCAACCGCAGTCGCGGGTGTCAAGGAAACTAGCAGAGGAACAGCAAACCAGCGCCATCCCGAGCGGCACCTCTACCGCCAGCGTAACGAGGCCACATCTTCACGAAACTACAGCGGTGCTACCGTTCACGACTCCGTTCTCGAATGCCCTTATGATCGCTACTGCCGATGCGGGAGGGGTTGTCAAAGTGTGGAAAGTCGAAGGTTAGACGGCAAAGGATGGGTATATATAGTGTTTCCGAAATGTCCTACAAGTTGTATCTGAGGCTTTAAATGACATCCGTCGATTGTATTCTTGATATAGATTCGAAGCACAATCCTAAGACCGTCTGCCGGCTCGAGGTGTGCGATTGCGGGGAGATCCTTCGCCAAGGATTTTCCACTTTCCGTCAGGTTTCTCTGCCTCTTTCCGCTGCTTATCACGTTTCACCTTCTGCATGGCATCAGCTTCCTCATTCTGTTGCTGTACTACAGCAGTTGAGGGGAAGCCGGGAGCCCTGAGTATAGGTATGGATACAGTCAGCATACATCCATATAGCGATGGGTGACAGGAACTTACCAGTAGCCCGGAGGTGTCGGGTTCTTCTCGTGCTATTTATAGAGAGAGTAAAGGGAGATGAGCGGTATGCTTACAACGACGAAAATCTATACTCACCTCGACCTTGTGCCGCGAGACATTGTTCATGATCTTCTGTTTTCGAGCCTGAGCGAGTTCCTCTTGATCCTCTTCTATCAATTGGCTGGGCGTAGGCGAATATCGACCAAATTGAATCCCCCCATCAGGCTGTATGTCTTTTGTTGCTTCGTACCACTATGACCGAAGATTTGTCAGCACGATGATGTCAGTATACAGACGAAAGACCTCTATTCGAAACTCACATTGTCGCAGCCCTCACACGCTTCTCCGTGCATACATCGCCTCTGCTCCTTGTTACGCTGAACACTATGGAACGTATAGTTTTTTCCCTGGTTTCTGTCCGGGTTAATGACGTAGATCTCCTCCTGATTTGTATCTTCGAGTCTTCGCGAACTAATGAAGCACATACGACTTCTCGCTTAGCGGACGAAGCTGTTTGCCGTACAACCATCGCTTACCTAGTCGCTGTCAGTTTTTGCCTCTTCTCAGACCGACCTGCCGTGCCTGTCAATGCCGATGATGGCCCTGCCGGTGTTTCCAGCTGTAGCAGATCTTTCCTCTTGAGTGACGGAGCATGCGAAGCTCTGGTAGGTGTCTGCTGACCATCTTCTGGTCGGCCAACTAGCCTTTTCATCGCCGGCAATTTCGAGGTACTAGCCGTCGAGATCGCTAATGACGCCTTGACCGGCATAGCCCTAGGCAGGGTATGAACGACCTCAGCTTGAGGTGGTTTCACTCGAGAACTGGTCCCGACCTCGTCCTCGAAAGAGTCTCGGCGTGTCAACTTGGTCTTTTCTCCTCCTAGCCATTGCATCCCGCTGGGCGTTCGAGTAACCCGAGAACCGGTTCTAGCAATCGAGGTGGGCGGTCTGGACGAAGCTGCGTTTGGTGTTTCCGCGGTATGCGTCGTTTTCGAGATGTGGATATTGGTCGTTCGGGCCGTGTTGATGGAGATCACAGGGGTATGCGGGCCAGTCGTTTGGGTATTCGATTTCGCTTCCACTCGGGTCGGACGGCTACCGGTACGCAAGGTCTCTGATGGTGCATGAAGTGATCTCCTCTCCCCAAGTCGCAGCAAGCTGGGTTCAGGCCGATCTCTCATGACTGCATCATGCGGTTCCTCATCCTCCTCGGTTGTGCTCCCGCCGATATCCTCCTGGATCTCCTGGATCCTTTCCACCTTACTCGTCCTTCTGACCGGTGGGGTATCGAGCACCTCATCAGCTATCGTTTGTTCCCGCTCCTCTGGTCCTGAGCTAGAAGACTGGTTGATCCTCTTTGTCGTAACTTCGGGACGAGTGCGAATAACGGACGGTCCGCTCGGCTTGTCCATTTCGGTGAATACGTCTGGCAGCGGTAAGGCTGTCTTGCGAGTCTGGTCCGTCTCAAATCGTACGGCCGATTGTCGCGCATCCGAGGCCCGTGTTGAAGCTACTGGCTGACGACTATCCTGCGATTCCACTCGTCCAGCCGGATTGGCTTCTTCCCGCTTAGGTCCTTCTTCGACCCCTTGCGATCCGGTACATATCGACCGTAAGGGAGCCCTTGTGCTTCCCGTTCCTGTAGTATTATCTTTCTTCCCCGCCGCGACAGCTTTGACCGTCCGGCTCCTGTCTGCCGAGTTCTCGTCCACCGGCTTCTTCTTCGTGTCCCCAGTTCCATCAGCGGCGACGAGCAACGCGTTCTTCTCCTTCTCCCGCTTCAGCGCCGATTTGAGCTTTCTCATCTCTCCATCCATCTTGGTCTTCATCTCGATCCATCTTCGGGCATCATCTTTCCTCTCTTTTTGAGTGGTGTTGTGGGCTTGGAGGAGGGCGTCGTATTGGTTTTGAAGGTGCAGGAGCTGCGAGCGGGTGGTGGAATTCGAGTTTGAAGTCCGTCTGCCGTAGTATATGATACCAGACGAAACAGAACACGGTGAGGAAACAGGAGAATCTACCGAGGTAACGTCGACTCAGTAATGGAGACAGGCGGCACAAACTCACTCGGTATCCAACATGTCGATATCCCTGCTCTCTCTCAACTCTTCCAACTCGTCTACCACCTTCTCATACTCCTGCTGCAAATCTTCAAGCCTCTGCCTCTCTTCCCCAAAAGCCTTGTCCAGGTCTCTGTTCTCCTGCCGTGATTCTTCCAGCAGCTCTTCCGCATACAACGTCTTCTCCACTTCCAGGTGTTTCTTTTCCAGTGATTCGTACCCCTTCTCCATCCCCTCGATTCTCTCTTCCAACCCCCGGATCTTTTCCTGATTCTCCGTTTCCGCAGCGACGAGGTCCGTACATTCTCGTTCTAGGTGATCTTTCTCGGCGAGGAGGCCTGAATAGGCTTCTTGTAGCGAGTCGAGGGATTTGGCTTGGGCTTTCAGCTTGCGGTACTGATGTCGGCGAAGGCGAGGTGTCATGTCAGTGACGGTTGTTGAGGATCGGCACGAAAAGCATCTGATGAGGAACTGACTTCTTTAACCAGATCTAGGAACACACAAAGTAAGCACCCACAATCAGCCTCGATCCTGTTCTTGTCCTCGTCGTCTATGGCTAAGACCAGACGCCACATCTTCCGCAACACGACCGATGTCGCTGTGAGACTTACCCTCTCTAGCGACCGTAGCATTCCTCTCTTCCCGCTCATACTTGGACAGCGGACTTAAAGTCGGCTCCCGGGGGCTCGACATCGTTCAGCTCTTGTCTCTTGTATACAGCGATCTGCTCGCGATATCCGGCAGGGTGTGGTTCGGGGTAGTCCGAAGGGTGCCGATCGATCCCAGGTTCGGTCTATGAGGATGCCATCAAGGACCTCGGTTCTGAGCTAAGAACGCCATGAAAGAAGAATTCGATGAGGAAGAAGAACAGTATGGATTAATGGTGATGGTTCTGAACTTGGTATCGCTCATTGTCCCGCTCACAACCCTTCGCCTCAACCTCGTGTTCGTACGCGTCTCCGAGGTTCGATCGATGCCGCTGATTCGATCGCTATGATCGTCGAGGATCCCAAAGCTCAGTCTTGCTTGTGATCCAGTTGCTACTGTCGGCGAGTGTGTGCTGTGGCAGAGAGAAGTGAAAGAGATTGCGTGACGAAAGCAGAAGATGGTGTGTGACCATCGATCGACTGATTGACACACTGATCACGTGATCGTTCGCCCGACTCCGAATCGTAAACAAAGGTCGCGAAGTCATCTCGAGTACCTCTTAGACAAGTGTAACAACTTGCTTTCTATAACAACCTCTTTAATTCTCACCATCGTCACCTAGCTGGCCATAACCATGTCGACGGACGCTGGATCTACCCGCATCCCTATCCAACGGAAGGACAACTGGGTTCAGGTCACTGAGACCGTGAAGACTTTCGCAACGGAGAGGATGGAGGCACATCTGAACTTGCTCAGTACCGATGGGGATCAGCGGAAGAACAACGCTTTGAAACGGGAAGTGAGAGAGAGGATCAAAAGGGTCAGTATGATCTCTGTTTTCGGGATCTGCGATACGAGAGGGAGACGGAATGAACAGCGATAACTGATCATTGATCTTATCTCGTTATCGCGGTGTTTACACGTGCCCGATCGATATGGTAGATCCTGGAGAACGCTGTGGAGTATTCGCATCGAAACCTGCTGGTAAATGGAGAGCCGTATGAGGACTGTAAAGAAGGTGAGTTGTCGATTCAACCCCTTGACGCTAGCGATATCCTGGCACCTTGCTTCCTTGCAAGATCGTCGGGCATCACGTTGACCTCGAAACCGCTTCCTTTGCATCACACGTCTCTCTCATCTCACTCGTCGGCACCCATACTCCCACGCGCTGTCCTGTTTTCCTCCCATGATGTACTTGGAACGGCCATAGCTCCCACCGAACAGTTCGACGAAGGCCTCGATAGGAAACTCCTAGCCCTCCAAAGGGAACAAGTCGAATGGTCCTCCGTCATCGCGGAAAGACGTCGGAAAGCACCGGGGCAAGCGAAGGACTTGGAGGATATGTTGGAGAATATCAAGGAGAGCTTGGAGTGGGATGTCGAGATGGACGAAGAGGGAGCGGGAGAGGGAGAGAGGAAGGAGAAGGAGGGTGGGGAGGAGATGATGCTGGATCCTGAGCGTGAGTGTTCAGAACGTACATAGGGTGTATGATCTTCGATTCTGAAGCACGTTTACTCTTCCTTTTCCGTTTTCGGGTCGATAGGACTCCCGCCTAGGCACGATGAGACGGTCGACACGTATAAAAAGACGTTGATCAACCTGAACGAGGTCTTGAGCGTGAGTGTCTACCTTCTTCTCCTGCTTCCCTACCCTTCCTATGTCTTCCATCCGATGTGGCACAGCGTTCCTCGCCCTCGCTCCCGCTCTGTTGTTTTCTTTTGTGTATTCGATCGACTTACACTGACTCGTACCTCCCTTTCGACCTTCCTCTTCCTCCTGCTCGTCCTCGCAGAACGCACCGGAGCAGGTATCACGTGCAGAACGAGCCAAGGCCGTCAGAGAGACGGTCATGAACCTTCCTAAATGAGATCGAGGACCGACCCATCTATCAACACCGGCTCCTTGGCCACGTTATGACTTGATCGCTTCGCGCTACCTGACGGACTGGGAATCATCCTTTCGTCCCCCTCTCATTCCGCCCCTGGATCTGGACCTTCTTTCGATTTCACCTCAATACCGGAGACGGATGACGGATGCCTTTCGACAACCGATAGGTCCTTCAAGAAGCTCGCATATCTCTGTAACACAAACGTCTTTTCAAGCCGAGAACAGCCTTCTCGGTCATGTGGGTTTGAACCGTTGTATCCGATGTATCATTATCTTTCCCTGCGACTCAAGACCCAGCCGCCAAGTCCCTCCGCTCTACCATGTCTGTTTTCCGCTACTTACTTTTAAGAGTTGAAGCCGTGACGATGATCGGAAAGAATAGGAGAAGCCGAATCGGGAAGGAAAGAAGGAGAGGGGCTTATCGTACACTCTCGCCATACCATCTCCGATTGACGTGCCCGCTTAGCTGGTGCCGATCGTACAATGGACCGTATCAGGCGTTTAAGCGGGCAGCGATTTGTAGTTGGGGCGAAACAAGGGGGCAGGGGGTTCCTTTGTATGGCTGGCTGTGTAACGATGACGCAGATCAGGGGTCGGGTCGATAAGGCAAGGCCCCGATGAGCAGATCGCAGGGAGGTGGGAAGTGTCGTGATGACTGGCAAGTCGCTTTGGTGCTGGGGAGGGAAGAAAGCTTATCTACGGTAGGTTTAAGCTGAAGAGGGGACAAGAGCGTATATATGGCGAAGAGGAAGTGAAATACAGTTGATCGGCGGATCGTAAAAGGCAAATCCCTGACCTACAGTGAATTATTCGCTGGCTTTTCGCTTTGCCGAAGACCCTTTACCTGGACAAGAAGAACGGAAGACCTCGATCAGAATACCGGAAGCCAGAAGGAAGGCTACGCAATCATGGAGCAGCAACAGCAAACATACCATCGACCTGCTTTTCGACGAAGCGCTTCAGACGCCGTCAAGTACGAGTATACCAATGCCGTCTCAGTTCCCCGATACGATCGCTATCAGTATCAGCCTCCACCACAAAATCAACCTCAACCCTTTCAATCGAACGCCTCTACTCCGACCCCGATGTATCAACGACCAGGCCTCCGGCGTCACGCCAGCCACCCTCCTCCTCCCGGCTATGTGCCCTCTCTCGCGAACTCGTCTTCCCCGTCTCCTCCAACCGCTCAATACCCATACGGGACGAGACCGTTCTACGCTACCCCTCATGGCGCTTACCCAAACGCCATGCCCATAGCGTCTTCAGCTCAAGCACCGCCTACCATGGGGTATGGACAACCGAGACACCCCGTTATGCCTAAGCCGGGTGAGCCTCAATCGAGTATCGTCTCCCACCAGAATATGTCTCATCGTTCTAACGTGGCTCGGTCGACAGATCCGAGGAGGTATTGTTTTGCGGTAGGAGGTGCATGGGTACCGTATGCTCTATACGAGAATCCCCGATGTACGACTTCTGGCTAGGAATCGTCTCCATACGATCGAGGAAGGGAAGCAGAGAGAGACGGATTATATGCAGTAGCTCTTCAACGATTGAAGCGCATTTGCGTGGCAAAAGACGAGGTCACGGCTTCAGGGGACTTCGGGATATGGCGGTTAATTTGAGAACATGTTTTAGGTTGGGTCGAACACGCTTTATCGATTCTGATGCTTTTTGGATGGCTAGGACAGACGAGATGATCAGATGTCGGACGGGAGCGCTGTGATACGGAAACGAACGCTCCAACTGCGATATTACATATTGTTCACAACTCACTTCCAGTGATTATAGACGGGACGAGACGGTTGTTGCGTTCTTGTGATAATCATTATCTGATTGCTGGCTGCTGTAAGATCGCTCTCTCGCGCTTCATGATTTGACGATACTGGTCAAAAGTCTGGCAGTACTCACGACATCGAACCCCGGACCCGCGCGACCTGACCTACCTCGCCACCACGCTTTCTCGACCTTCGGATGCCAAAAAGAGGTCTTCTCGTGGTTATACGAGGCCAAAATACCGCTGGTCTTGTAGCGGGGTCTCCCAAGTACAAAAAGATGTTACCCATCTTTGCCCCTCTCGTCACGGTGTTGTTGTGACGAGAAGAGTAGCCCGGACAGGGAATGGCGTGGTGAATCTCCGTTCACACCCGTATAGCCACTAGGCAAGTCCGCACCAGATGTTAGGCAACGCGAATCACGCTTACTAGAAGGGCAACGCGCGCTCTCGGTCATTGTGCTTGGCGATCGGATGCATTATTTGCTGCCGAAGAGCATGACGACAACGACCGGCTCCGCGACGATCCGACGTCGACAAAACCTGGATCTCGTCCATACATCCATATAGTACCGTCCTTTGCGGTACAATGATATGCGAAGATCGACAGTCGGTGATCGAATAGTTTCTCACCTACCTGTTCACGTACGTCAAGATGGCTCCCATTTCTCATACCAAAGGACAGGCGAAGGCGAAGGCGAAGTCGAAGTCGAAGTCGAAGTCAAAGTCGAAGTCGGGCAGCCGCAAGCCTGCCTACAAACGACTCAGAATGTGAGTGGGTATTATCTCGAGCTCAAAAGACCTGACTGATCCAGGGACTCGGTGTAGCGAAGAAAGGCGAGTCGAAAGGAGGACAGAAAAGCAGAAAGGACTCGGACATCAGGTGGAGGAGAACAGCACCAGGCAGAGGCAAGTCCCGTCCGTTCTTCTTGTACCCGTTCGCGTGCTGATACCATCCCGCTCATAGGGAATCCAGCAAGGATTTCGTCGAGAAGCACCTCCTTAGCAAGAAATACTCGATGCTCGGCTATCTTGCTACTACGTTGGAATGCAGCATCGCCCATATCAAGGACCTCATTCCCCAACCGTTGAAAATTTCCAACTGTGACTATGTCTTGATCGGATCCCTCTTCGCGGCTTTAGAGAAGGAAGGACCTGATACGATGAGCGCATTGAAGAGGATCATGAGCAAGGAGAACAGAGACGATCAAAAACCCAACATCGAACAGGATGTAGGGCTCGAATTGGCTTGTATGTTCGTGCTTGAAGAGTCGAACTTGTGGGCAGCTGAGTACGAGCCTCAGCCTCGCGGGGAACCGTACGATCTAGAGTGAGTCCGACCCGTATGGCGATTCGTGTTCGAGTCTGAAATCGACCCCTCCCTCGAAAGCCTCGACGACAAGGACCTTCCCGAAGGTTTCAAGGATCTCGTCCGACGTCTCCGCAGCCAGCTTGCGAACCTCTAGCTGGTCTCGAATTCCGCGAAGATAGAGTAAGCACCGTCGTGTCTGTCCTTCTTTATCTCCGCTGAGCTTAGGCTAATCGAATCCAACTTTCAACAGTCTCGACGGCCCCAAAGGTCTTGAAGCGTTTGCGGTCCTCCTTTGTCGCATCTGGGCCGACCTCGTCAACTTCTAGCTTCTCATTGGCATCCGTGACCTCTCTGCATCCCGATTGAACAATATTCCGTAGCCCTACGACCACCACCATCGACGTTCCAAGTGTTTGACGCAATCGAAGATCATGTAACGTACTAGTGGACGAGTGACGCATAAAATGAATACGTCGATGGAAAAGAAAAAAGATTCCCTCTTGGGAAAGAAACGGTCGATGGAAAAGAGATAGAGCGCTGGAGACGGTGCTTCATTGATGTGAACGCTACACGATCGTACCAGGATATCGTACCAGGACAGACGATATACTCATGAGATCGACAAAACGCTGGGGGCTCTAAAACGTACAATAATCTGCCTAACTCGCATTTGTATTGAATTTATTGATTATACAAGTTGTGGTGTATAAGCAACGATATTTTCCACTATCATCGGATACTGCGGGTAGCGAATTCGCTAGCGCTTGACAACGATGTACGGATATGGCAAAAATCGTTGAAACTCGATGTAGAATCGAACGCGCGACCTGACCTATCTCGCGCACCTCGCCACCACCTGGTCCTCGACTTTGAAAGGCCAAAAAGAAGCCTTTCCGTGGCCTGACACGGCCCAAAAATGTATAGAAAAAAAGAGGCGGAATCCCTTTCAACCCCAGGTTGGACGAGGCCCCCTGCAATAGCGAGGTCATCCGAGGACTTCCTTGCACAGGAGTTGTTCGACGTTAGGTGAGAGCAGGGGGTACCATAACCCACACCGCTAACCACTATGCCAACGCGAACCAGTTGGACGGAGCGCGCGTTTTCTTGTATATAAAGGGAAACTTCCCCGCATGCTCGGCCATCGTGCCGGGCGTCCGGAGGCATTTGATTATGTTTGCTTCCGGATCTATGAGCGACGGCTGGAACGCTTCATTCGAGAAAGGACCTCGATCCCGACATCTGATCATTCGACGATCGATCAGAGACGAATGAAGCTCGGTTGTCATCGAAATCTTCTTCTTAGTGTATCACCTTCAGCGTTAGCACCTAGGGATCATCCTATACCGACCTAGATATCGTCTTTCGTCCTTCCCGCATCATTGAGCCAAGTCATCACGCTTGAACGAGATATGGCCCCTATCCCGCAGAAAAAAAAGGCGGGCTCCAGCCGTAAGGAGGCGTACAAACGTCACAAACGAGCCGTCGTGTGAGTATAGAGATTTTAGCTTGCTCTGTCTGATCGCCGTTCCTGACTGTTTCGACTACGCCTCTAGCGAACGCAAGAGAGCTGAGAGGAAGGACCGCAAGCGAGTCGAAGCCCAGAGCCAAACCAAACAGTCATCGACATCCCAGACGTGAGTTCGCCGTGTTTGCTAAGCAAACGTATCCTATCTTTCCTTGTTCGATCTTGTCCTTATTCATTCGTTACATTTATGGCTGCAGTTCGAGCCAATTTGTCAAGGACCACACCCTTTCTGGCAAGAAATCCGCGAAGCATATCATCGTCGATGCTATTGACGTCTCCTTTGCCCTTGTCAAACATTGCCTCGGTCCTTATCCCATCACGGTCATCAATTGTGACGTTGCATTGGTGGATGCCTTGATCGCCAGCCTCGAAAAGGAGAGTCCTGCAGAAATGCGTACGGTGCACATGCAGATGAATCGAGTCTGGGATCAACCGGGAGGGGTGGTTGGGCTGGACATGTCGTTCGGGTTCGACGTGATCTGCCTCTGGATCCTTCACCGGGAACAGCCGAGGCCGGAATGGACTTTCGAGTTAGAGTAAGCCCTGGATGGCCATCCGTTCCAATGCATCGAAATCGAACTGATCGATCTGTTCCTTAGCCTCGACGATGCCGAGCTTCCGGACGACTTCAAGCATTTGGTTCAACGTCTCCGTGTCAGCCTCGCCAGAGCCTAGCCGTTTGTCACTGGTGTAGAGCTAGAGTAAGCGTTATCAGTATGAGACCTCTTCATATCTATTGAGCTTTGGCTGATCGATCGAATTATGATCATGACAGTCTGCATGACGCCGACCTTCCCGCCATTGAACGCCCTCATCGATCGGCTCCGAGCCAGCCTCGCCACCGTCTAGCCCTCACTAGCATCAACAGCTCTCGGCACCCTGCGTCTGAACGCACCGTCTGTACCCCTTCACCGCCATCTCTTTATTGTGATCGTATTCTTCTGGCAATCCGAAGCACTGGAATCTTGATGCCGCCCGGCCGCTACCAATGCTCAAAACCTTGTCAAAGTCGAGAATCGAAAATCGTGTAACGTAGATGAACAAAGATGCAAAGCCGATGTAGTTGAGCCTGTACGATTGCAATCCTCGAAGTCATGCGAAGAGACAAGATAGCCTCGGTACCTTGCCAGAGCTAGCTTTCGAGCTGTTCTTGATGTCCAGTCAAGCTTCGAGGTCAATCGCCAACGCCGAGGCGTCGCTTGGCGCAATCGACATTAGATATACAGTACTCGCAGAGGTCAGCTCTGGAGTTGTCTCTGGCAGCCTTCATGTGAGTATGATCCGGATAAATGTCATATACAAGCTACGTCTTCCTGGCTTGGCAGAGATTTTCCAAGCAGATTATGAGGTATATGTAAGCGGATCACCCTTCGACCAGACTTACGAGGCGGGATCGCGATCAAGACGAGCACGTATATCATCAATGCTGTGGGCCAAATCGAATCGCTATCGGAAGTCCAGATGGGGTCACTCGCGGGTTCATTGATATTCTACCTAATTTGTCACAGCGATGTCAAATATCTTCTATATACAAAATAATAGCCTTGGGGAGCGACATCAACCCAGATCATCGAAACCGGGTCGCTTTGAGCCGCAGACGATGCCGATACGTCTTTCGGATCTTCAGCGTGAGGCTGGTATGACCTGTAACCGAACTTATAGACAGATCGACATGGATGTGATTGCCAGAAATTCGCGATGACAAGCTGAGCCAAGCACGTACGAATTCTGGGCTGTATGTAGTACATCGAAACTCTTCAAGCGAGCTCTGTGCGGCATAGCAAATTTAGGAGCGCCAGCAGAAGAGACACATATGATGATGAATATCAGTCTCAATGGTGGAAACTTGCTCAGAACCTATCGGGTGGAATTCTGCGAGGTTGAAGCTGCCGATTACCGAGATGAGAAGCGTTTAACGACCCTGATCATGAGCTTCTACCCTGATCATGAGCTTCTATTGGCTGTGTCACGCATCTCCATCTTACATCTGGAGAGCCAGGGTTCGATAAAAGAAGAAGGATGTACTCCCGCTGATGCTTTCCTGCCCTACGAGTGGGCGCTACAGTAGAGCCAAACGTCACATCTAGCTTGACATCGTATCCTCCATTTAGATTCAATCAAGGAGATACAGACGCCGCGATCAGCCCAACGTATACCAGAGAGTCTCGTGGCTGCAGCGACTACGAATGAGGCGCTCTAGTCGATTTCGCGTTTTGCCACATGTTTTGCCACAGGATAAACCCTCAGACGTCTATAAGCTCGTCCAGACCAAATCATGGATCTCACCGCCATGGAGGATCTTTGCTGCTAGGAAGGAAGTTGCCTCCACATAAAGTGACTAGCTTGGTCGTACAAGCCTTCAAGGGGCCGTTTTCAAACGCTTTTTGAAGAAGGCTGACATGAGAAGTTTGTCGTGTTGAGGGAAGGTTGCTCCCATTCACCTCTGGTGCATGATTGAATGGATGTGTAGAGACAAGCTTTATTATGATCCGACACACATCTGGGAGGGATTGTTAGAGAGGACACGTCGATCGGCCGTATGGAACGGGACTTGATAGTCCTTCCTGTTGTTCTGCTATTTCCGACTGATGTTTGTTAATCTTATTAATCCGATACACAAATCCAGCGATACGTTGGAGACCTATCCGCTCGAACTAGAGCTTTTCTGCACCATACCGAGAGTGGCACGCACGACACAATGTACTCTTTGGCTATTGTATGTATCCGGGCTATCTTATACCAGGATCACTCGCTATGCTCGTGTGACATCAATCTTATAGCATTCGTGTGCTTGACCGCCACTCTCCAGTTAAAGTTTATTTGTCATTTTCAAAAGAGCTCTTCCACCAGGGTGGATATTTCAAGGCCCTGAACAGGAATAGTGGGGCTGCATGGAACAACGTGAAGATACGCCGTTAATACAGATGACACATCGATAACATTGTAGAAACTAGTGCATGCTACGTTGGTTCTCTTGTCATAACTTCGTATGCTCATATCCCTGACATGGCCGATCAGATCATATCTATAGCCTGCGAAAGAAAGCAGTAGTCTTTCGGGAAGCACGAGGCTCAACGAACTTGTGCTCTCTATCGACAGATCGATCACGCGCTGAAACGAATGTGGCAAAACGATTCGTCTTGGGTCAGGCTCGAACGGCGGACCACGCGCAACCGTGTATTCATCGCCACCATCCCGGCAGGCTTAAAGGCACAAAAAACAGCCTTTCCGGGGGTTGACGAGCCTGAAACTCTGCTCATCTTGTAGAGCGAGCCTTGGAGTGCAAAAAATTGTTTTCCCCCTGATTTTCGATCATTGTTTCTCAGGAGTTACCGCACGCTGACCCTTTGTTCGGGGTGGTGATCGCTTCATCTCACGCTACCCACACAGCCTATCCGGCCAACGCGGGTCATTTGTTGACGGTTTCCGCGTTCAACGAATATAAACGCCTAAATTCCAGCGAGTCTTCGGCGATTGTGCCCGCGATCGGAAGTAAATGACATAATTTGCTACCGAGAGTGGGCGGAGCCGAAGCGCGGGCGTGGGGAATGGCATGCGCCTCGCTCGCTCGGATCGCTCGTTCGTTCTCCCCATACGTTCGCTGGTTATAAGACGAGAACGATCGTAGCTCGTAGACGAGCGGCAAGGCGAGGTCGTATCGACGAATCTCGAACCCAACTTCGATTTGTCTACTCTCAACTCTCTTCCATCAGCCTTGCTCATCAACCGCAAGTGCCTCACCAACCGCAAGAATGACTTACAAGAACAGAAAGCTCGCCAAACAGAAGGCTGGACAGAAGCGAAGCAGGAAGGAGAGGAAGCACCAGAAGGATAAGATCAAGGTTACTGAAAAGCGCATGGGGCTGGGATCTTCCAAGTCGTAAGTTCTAATGAAAGGACCCCCTCGGATATCCGCTCGATCGACTCAGCTCGGACGCTAGCTAACTCAACTTGACAGTCATCATTCCACCAGGGAATTCGTCGAAAGGTACTCCCTTTCCAACAACAATTCAACCATCACTTCAGTCATCTGGAACATTCGCTTGTTCAGCATCAGAGAGCTCAAAGAGAGGATTCCTTACCCCTTCCGGATCTTCAATTGTGCCAGGTGAGTCGTCGTCGCTTCGTGTTACGGATCGACCCACTAGGCCCGACCGTAACACTTCACCGTAGCCATACTTACGAGGTCTTTGGAAACGTACTATAGGCCCTTGATCTACGCCTTGGTTGCGGCTCTCCAGGATAGGGGCAGGGGCATGGGAAAGGTCCTCATGATGGCAGAAAACTTCTTCCATCAAGATGCTGAATTCAACAAGGATGAGCTGCTGGAGACCATTGGCATGGAGCTGTTCTGCTTTGGCGTTTTGTACAAGCACTTCAAGGAACTCGACGCGGACGAAGACGAAGAGGTGTACGAGCTTGAGTGAGTTCCTCGTCGCTTCAGACTCTCTCTTCTATGCCGAAGCAGCGCTGATCGAATCGAACGACGGGTCTACGAACAGTCTCGATGCCGACGACCTTCCCGAAGGCTTCAAGCAACTCGTTCAACGTCTTCGTACCGCGCTCGATGCGTTGTAGATGACATACGACAACCGTTCGATACCATCACATCGTACTGTCATCTGGCAACTTCACCCTTCCGTTCTCTAGTCTGATCAAGTTGTCATGATCTCGTAGCACAGAGTAGTATGGCAGAGATCGATCGTCATCAGCTCTATCGATCGTCAATCGCAGCCAGGTTTTCATCACGAGCGTTCTGCCGAAGCAGCCGTCACGTCATCGCTAAGATCATGCACAAAATATCCATAAGCCCTATGTCCATACCGAGACCATCTCTCCTCTTAATTTTCTGTGATTGGGATCCAAGCGAAAAGATCTATGCGTTGTATCGCAAACCGGTGGTCGATTCCGCAGTCGATTTCGCCCTTGCGCGTGCGGTGACCGAGGTGAACTTGGGAACGAAGCCATCAAATGTCGCACCTCATTTCACTCCGATCACCACATCCTTTATCCTCATCTCGCATCGCATTCGGACCACCAGCTGGACGGCTCTTTATCCTACAGAAAGGAGATAGTTCTGGGACTTTACTCGGCCGCCAGCGGGAGCGGTAACGAGCCGGCAAAGGACCTCGAAGCTCACGATCACATTCTTGCCAACTGACGGTTCTCGTATCGCTTTCGCCGACCCCCGCATCCGCCGCTTCAGGACAAAGCAGTTCTTCTCGGCTCGGAAGAATAGTAAGTATGACTGAGTATATCTGTTGGCTTCACATATCGATCGTAGAAGCATCAGCGTTCAAATCACATCACAGCACGTCTGCTGGTCGCGATTGTTTTCCATAACCAACTCGAGGCAGTAGCTGACATCCTTTCGTCGCCTTTTTGTCTCCCAACAGTCCCCATAGTCGACTTGTGTCTCTTCTAGCACATCTAAGATCAACCAGCTGGTCCATCCGTTCTTGATTGCCAAAGAGCATCAAACGCCAACAATCTCCCATCGACGATCATCGACGATCCCTTCTTCCACATTGCTCTTTGTCTTGACGAGCTTGACCCATACTCGGCCGAAACACGAGGGAGGAAGAAGCGAGAAACGGTAGGGAGAACCGGTAGCGGCTGGTGATCTGGTGAGCAGTATATCGATATGTTCGGGATGTTCGTACATCGGTACATACCAATCATGCTGAATACACAATCGTACCAATATCGTACGTTCACGACAGCTTTGCCACTGATTTGACATTGAGGGGAGGAAGAACAAAGAAGATGCCACTGGACGACACGATCGATTTGACGGCAAGCTTGAGTAGCAGCAGGGATGGGAGCAGTGACGAAGATGATGATGGAATCGAAGCTTTATACTGGATAGACCTGCTTCCTACACCTGTCGTCGATCTGGATGCCGCTTCTCCTACCATCTACAATCACGATCAACAACAACGAGACGGTAACGGAAGGACGAAGGAAGATGTCGAGGATGACGAGGTCGTCTTGATGTTCTGGGAAGATTCTCTACCGAGCCAACAAGGTCATCAGATGGAGAGAACTGCGAGTCCGGGATCGGTGGAGGAAGAAGCCTTCCAGCCAAATCCCTTTTGCTGGGAAGAGGAATTATCTGGTCCGGAATCTCAATCGCTAGACGATGCGATGGAAGAACCGTCTGAGGATGAAGTACCCTCTGTTCGCTACTTTCAATGGGACGATGAGGAAAGCGAGTGAGTTTCACGAGACATGGCCTGTTCTGCGTTCTGTGACTAATCGAGCTAGAACATTGATACGCTGTGTAGGAGCTCGGCCTGTAGCACGGATTATGGAGAGGACGACGACTCGACGCTCAAGGAAAATTACACCCCTCCCCATACGCCGACTCGATATTCTCTCCGTCCAGCTAGCAACAACAAATACGTCGATCCTACCTATGCTCCATCCTCAACCTCGAACTCTCCTGCTTTCTTGGCCAGATGTCCCATAGCGCCTAAAGGGAACAAGGCGGAACGGAAGATGAGCCAGCGGGCGAAGAAAAGGCGAGCAGCAAGCAAGCGAGCGAAAAGAAGCGAAGCACTGGCGAGAGGATTATCTGAGATCAGAGCCGCTCATCCGTTATTCATGAATGACATAGCCGGATCGGAGAAGGTGGCAGAGCGAGGAGAGCGGGTGTCGAACGCGGGACCGAGATACCCACCTTCCCTGAAAAGCGCGGCAACCCTTCGGTTGCTCAAGAAAATGGTGCCCAGAGCCATCAGACGCAGACGGGGTAGACTAGGTTAGCCAAGATTATCACGCCGAGGCAGGGTTGCAGCGGAGCAATGGGGTCATCCATCTCGCTGATCCTTATCTGCCTACTATGCTTCAGTACTCAAGAAGCTGTGTCCCATCTGTTCCGTCTTGGATCTGCCGAATCCTCCTCCCGGATCGCAAGAGGGAGAACATCCGTATGTGGCAAATGAACCCAACCAACTACAGGGACAGCTGACCGAGCTGACCTTTCCGAACAGTATGCGACGACGAAGCTCCTGCGCCAACCATGCGCGTGCATTTGCCGCTCGTGTGAAACGTTACAGGGACATGTCCCCAACGTCCATCAACCGGGAATACGACTCTTTAGGACCAGTCCAAGAGAAGCAAACCAAGACCTGATCGAATGAAGAAACAAAGTCCGCCAGATCGCACACAGTCGATGTGAGTACCTTGGGAGCGCCTGTGTGACGTCCGTCGTGCGCTAAGTGAACTTTGCACCTCAGCTTCTGAAACGCGCAGCGGCTCGTATGCCAGCACCCGCCTCAACAAAGAAAAAAAGAACATACTCGAAGTATGCAAACGTCACGAATACGCTCACCTCGCCGCGGACTGATTTGCGGAGAGAACGCAAACAAGCCTCAACTCACGGTTCCGGGCAAAGAAGCAATGCGCCCTCGGGGAGGCGTAAGCACAAGTCATATTTTATTTATCTCCAGTCAGTGTGGCCCGGTATCAGAATTTCATCTTGTGCATGTATATATCACAGCTCGAGCGAGCGGAACGAGACTTGGCTTTTTTGTATCATATATCGTCTTTCTTCTTGGCCGGCAGATCGATGTCATTCTTTTCTCTTGCTCTCTTCCAACGCCCCAAAGCAGTTCGGTCCCGGTAGGGGACGAGCTTTGAGACGAAACACAGTCGGGTAAAATCCAGGAGCGACGAGCCAAGTAGGTAGAGTGTAGCCTTCACCTTGACATTTCCCGTCACGGGTACCGGCGAGATCGTGTCAACCGGCCTGAGGTCGGGTCGCTTCGACTTCTGATCTCGCAGCGCTTTCAAATCTCTGTCCATCGTTTGATTTTGATATGGAGCGCTCAGATCCCCAGACAGATATTTCGTTACAAGGAGAAGAAAAAGGTGACACCGCCATTCGCCGGGAGATCCGTCTCATAAGAGACACGAGGCTGGCCAGATCCTCGGATAACCCGCGAAAGCAAAAAAGAGACATGTCGTAGCAAAAAAAAGATGCAAAAGAGCGTGTGTTTGAGGAAGAAAGGGGAAAAGTTCCGTGTTCGTCGTCGTTCGTGTCCAGAGTAGGTCGAAAGGTCGTCAATACCGAGCTGATGCGTCGGCGGTCAAGGGAGAGTGATTTCAAGGCTCGTGAAGAGCGAATCGCCGGCTCCTTACATCTGCTCCTCCTCGAGGGGCATCTGTGCGTGACAAGGACGATGCAATCGAGTCAGCGCTTCTGCAGAGGCTACCAAACACAGGCGACCCAGTCCAACTCACGTCGTCCTCGTACATGATCTCCTCGTCGTCGGCGGTGGCATCCTGGTACTGCTGGTACTCGGCGACCAAGTCCTGCAAGTTGGACTCGGCCTCGGTGAACTCGCTGCGAGCGTCGACGAATCCGCGATCAGTTCGTTGCGTTTCTTCTTCACAGCCTGATACTCCAGCAAGACTTACAGCTCGTCCATACCCTCTCCAGTGTACCAATGCAAGAAAGCCTTTCGCCTGAACATGGCAGAGAACTGGTCACCGACACGCTTGAACAAGGTTTGGATGCTAGATGATGAGAGATGACAGGTGATTGGGTCAATTTAAGAAATCGACCAGTTATCGAGCTGACTCGGCACCAGGACTCACGAGGTAGAGTTGGCAATGAAAGTAGCCGACATCTTGAGGCCACGAGGGGCAATGTCACTGCGGGGCAAGACAAGCAACCGAACGTCAGCCTAACACGATCCCCTTGACCACGAGGCACTATCGTAGATTTATGGACTCACCAGTGGGCCATTTGAACGTTGTTGGGGATCCACTCGACAAACTGGTCCGAGTGCTTGGTCTGCATGGTGTAGATGTAATCCTCGACCTCCTTCATCGAGACCTTTCCTCGCCAGTAAGTAGCGACGGTCAAGTACCTCCCGGACCTGGGGTCGGAAGCGGCCATCAAGTTTTTGGGGTCAAAGAGCTGTTGACCGAGCTCGGGGACGGTGAGACCTCGGTACTGCTGAGAAGCCCTGGCGGCCAGAGGGGCGAAACCGGCCATGAAGAAGTGGAGACGCGGGAAGGGAACCATGTTGACGGCGAGCTTCCTCAAGTCCGAGTTCAACGATCCGGGGAACTGCGAAGGTGCACCGGAACGACACAAGAGAAACAATGAGCTCCAGACTACGATGACGAGACCCGACCCCGACCTCGCACTCACTCGCAAACAGGTGGTAACACCGGACATGACGAGCGAGACCAAGTGGTTCAAGTCGGCATAAGGAGGGCTGGGGATCTTCAAGGTGTTCATGCAAATGTCGTAAAGCGCCTCGTTGTCGATACAGTAGGTCTGGTCAGAGTTCTCGACCAACTGGTGGATGGACAAGGTGGCGTTGTAAGGCTCGACGACGGTGTCCGAGACCTGCGTTGTGCCACATGAAGATGAACTTGTCAGCTTCGCACTAAGCCCGAATATGAATCGCACGACCCACCTTGGCAGAGGGCATGACCGAAAAGGTGCACATCATCCTGTCCGGGAACTCTTCCCTGATCTTGGAGATCAAGAGCGTACCCATACCAGACCCAGTTCCACCTCCCAACGAGTGGGTGATCTGGAACCCTTGGAGACAATCGGTCCCCTCGGCTTCCTTTCGGACGACATCGAGGACCTGGTCGACGAGCTCGGCTCCTTCGGTGTAGTGACCCTTGGCCCAGTTGTTTCCGGCACCGGATTGAGCGTGGACCATGTTATCGGGCCTGAAAAGGTTTCCCAGGGGGCCGCTCTTGATAGAGTCCATAGTACCGGGCTCCAAGTCGACGAGGACGGCTCGGGGGACGTACCTGCGCAAGCGACGGAGCGAGAAGTGTGTTATAGAGGATGAGCAAATCTGCGGGAAGCTCCGAAGGATAAAAGGCTTCGACTCACTTCTTGGCCGAAGCCTCGTTGAAGTAGACATTGATCTTGTCCAACTGGGTCTCCGAGTGACCGACGAAACTGCTCGCCAGGAACAACCAAACCAGAAGTCAGTTTCAGACTTTCTATCTTCACCATTCCCCCGCTCCGGAGAGTGAAGAGTAGACATCACGATCTGGTAGTTAGAGGACATTAAAGACTCACGCTCCGCTAGCGTCGATCCCGTGTTCCTGGGTCAACACGTCCCAGAAGGCGGATCCGACCTGGTTACCACATTGACCGGTCTGGAGGTGAACTGCAGGGATTCACAGGCGTGATTATGGTCGAGATCAGCTGGTGCAGGGCGAACATTATGTGAATGAGAGGGGATGGGAGCTTACTGATTTCTCGACCCACTGGCAGGGGTGGAATGTGATTCCGAGGTGCAAGAAGGTAAGTCGACAAGAGGCCGCGGAAAAAGAGGAGGATAGCGAAAGACACAGAGAGATACGCATCAGCTCCTGAACTCTTGAATGACCCTTTCCCGTGTCATGCCGTGTCGAATAGCCATCACGCCGACCTACTTTTTGATGATTATCGAAGACGCGTTAAAAAGAGGTTGTTGTTTTTTCGTTTGACGAGAGATTTGAGGACTAGAGCTATTTCGACCTTGCTGACGGAACGAACGGGAAGAAGAACGAGACGGAACTTGAAGGAGAGTTGTTGAAAGAGACGGCGAAGAGAGAAGAGAAGAGAAGAGGCGAGGATGTCGTTGATGTTCATCACGACGAGGTCGATCTTCTTTGTTGACATTCGCTGGCTAGCTGGAGGTGGGGGAATGCTGGGCGTGGGCGTGGCAAGCGCAGAGGCGTCCGCACGCGTCGCGCTTCTAGTTGGCAACCGACGCGTTCCCTCGATCCGGCGACCGATGTTTCATGTCAAGCGGTGAGTCCCGAAGTGTTGGTCAAAGCAGCTGTATACCATGTATAACCAAATCGTCACTACGTACTGCTCCGCTGATCTAAGAGCCTCTCACAAATTCCGACGTGGTCAGGATTCAAGGAGATGAAGTTCCCTCCACAAACGAAACGCGACGCTCGGTCAAGCTGTTTCATCACGCGCCGCGTCCCGTTCGACGGTAGCCCGAAGCTGCAACTGCGGTTCTGGGAAGATCCCTATTCTGATTATCTGGTTTGAAGAAAGAAATAATAAGCCGATAGGAGAGGTGACTTGGACGCTGATTTCGTGCCGCCTACAAGCATCATTCGGCATGTCATATTCCATCCGATCTGAAACACTGCTTTGACAGGGAAGAAGTCGAGTCCTTCCAATTGAGCTGGTATGGACAGGTCTTGATCATAGCAGCAAGTAGGGGGATTGACATTTTGGACATGGTCGACGACAGTTTTGAGTGGCGTAAATGAAGTAGAAGGAAGCGGGACCGCTGTCGCCGTCTAATCTGACTAAAGGGGCGGAGGCATACATTCCAGGTCCTGGACTGTCAGTCGTTTTTTCGCTTTTCAAGCATAATCTTAGTCTTTGACATATGGTGCATTTCTCACGGTCGAATCGCTGCTTCCAGAAAACTTTCCATAATCTAGGATCGGCTACTAGGTGGGGCGAACGTGTTTGGATCGACTTGCCGCACCAATGCGACATGAAAGAGACGGCGGGTGCGCCTGCACATGACATAGTGTACGACCGTTCAAGGTGAAGAGCGCGAAGTTTGAGGTCTGGGAGCTAGGTATAGGGAAAGATCGGTGCCCTTCTCGACGCGACAATGAGCCGTTGGGTATCCAGAGGTTTGGTAAGGGTATCAATGAGCTGTATACGGTGGTTCTTGAGCTTGTGGGCAAAGGACTGTCGCAGCAATGCGCCCGGATGCGGACCTCGAGTGAGCCCTCTCGAAGCCTGATATTGATCCGGTCAGGAATGGATCATAGAGCTTTGATATGGTCATCGGAACATACCACCAAATTAGGTCGGCTGGTCTAGTGGTTTCGGGCGAGGGCTGCTCCGCAAGGAGGGTTCGTCAACTGTAAGACGCGCACGCGCGCGACCTGCGTTCGATTCCCAACTCGCCCTTTCTCTGGATTATTTCCTTCTGGACTACCCACTGGATATCGGCCTTCGACTTCACCTTGGACTTGACCTTCAACAGGTCCGACTACCAGCTTCACACCTCGACAGGACAACATAGAAATAGAACACCTTATAGACACGACGGGGGAGTTCCAGACCTATTATTTTTTTTGCTTTCGTTATCTTCTCTCTTCGAATGTTGCGGAGTTCAGGTATATTTACAAGTCCCTTATGTAGGTATGTTTGTGCCGTCTTATAGCTTATAAACCATTTCGTAGCCGTTCGAAGTAAATTACAATTGTCCTACAACACAGTCCTCGAGCACATGAAAAGATCTCCATTACACGCAACTCATGACGAGGCAAGAGCATCAACCCCATGACGAGAACAATTCAATGTGTTGCCGAAATGAATGAAACGAGGGACCGAAGCGTGGCGCGCTTCTTGTCATTTGAGAATTGACTCTCTGACTACTGGGATTGAGAATCTGTCGAACTCAAACAGTGGGCTTCATCTAGGTTTTCACGAAAGCCGTCCGCGCTGACGGAGGGTCTGCCCAGGGTTGAACATCCTCCAGCGGCGCTCATCGTTTTGAGCGACGTTGCCACTCTCGTCGAGATCCCTGTTCTCCTGATCGTCATGTGTCGTAGCAGCGCTCTTGGCCCAGGACAGGCATGAATCTAATTGTCATGGATTGAATCTTAAGCCGTGTATTTCTTGTCGTAACTGGTCAACTTTGACGTCCACTTGTCGGTAATGCTGTCTCGTTCAAGGCGAGCGTGGATATGTGAAGAAACAAGCATAAATCTGACATTTCGTGCGTGTGCGATAACCGCGCACCGTAATTACAAAGGGCGTTACATCGGGCGGACCCATCTGCGTCGTTCAGGGCCTCGTCGAATTAGATAGAATGGTCGTAATAGTTGCGTAAAAGTGGATCGATTGTCCTTTTGTTTGATTCTAGCTGATTGTTACAGTATCCTCCTCGAAGGCAATAACGCCTGATGGCGTCACATTTTCGTCGATGAAAGGACATGCACCTCGATATGTCGTGTTTCCTACATCTATCTCGTCCTCGATGGGTTGTTGTGAGTTCCGGTCATGAACAGGTTGGGCACGGCGTTTTGTCTGGTCGGGGTCGTAGCGGGCGTATTGACAGGCGCGGAAGGGGCGATATCGAACGTAGGGGCGACGGGGGTGGTAGGTAGTCCCGGATGATCGGTCAGAACGGTTGGGATAAAGTTGGGATCGACCGGACTGGGCTGAGGTAGACGGAGGTGGGAGAAGACGGGAGAGGTGTCCTACAGGTCGTCGCAAGGAAGTGTCGAATGAAGAGAGGTGAAAGGAAAAGAATCTCAGTTCACGATATTCCTTCGAGATCGGTTCTCCGCGGTTCCCGTCACAGCGCCGCACACTTCCTCCACTCTGCCTCGGCACCGCTACCGTCTCCCTCTTTCGACTCTCCAGCTCCAACCTCGTCGACTTACCATCTCGACGTCTCCATGTGTCATCCTCGAATCCACCCCCATCCCCATGGCCATGGCCACGCTCCTCCCCAAATCCAGGTCTGCGACCCCCATCTCTTTCCCCCGATTTTGCTGATTTTGCTGAATGAGAGTATGATTGTAACCTTGATCGAGGTGTGAACCCATCTCCGTGCCCAAGACCATCCTCGCTCTGGTCCCTCTTCCTTCGTTCGCAAATTCTAACCCCGTGCCCGTCCCCGGCGAGCCCTCATTGTCCTCCCTCAACCCAACACTCCGAAGCCCCCTGATCCCTTCTCTCCAGTACGGTTCCGCGTACCCGTCGTTCGGAGAGACAGAGACCGATAATTTCATCCCCTCGCCGAGATGAGGGGCTGCAGCTGGAGTCTGCCTTTGAGGTGTCTCTACAGGGGGGTATGGTAGCTCCTTGTTTTGCAGATGGCCGAAATGACTCTGGGTATGAGTATGGGTGGAAGGCCCAGCTCCAGATTCCATTCCGAGCTCACCGCCGCCCATCCCCGAACTCGCCATCGAATAAAGCGACGGAGGCGGAGCGTTCGGGTGCGCAGAGAACGGGTCTTCCATGTCCTGAGCATCCATCTCCATCCCCACGTCCATGCCATCCTCGTTATTGTAGTTGTTGCTGTCATGATTGTGATGGGGATGTAGCTGTAGGCTCAAACTGCCTGTTCCCGGCACTAAGGCATAGTCTGTCGAAGGACCTGGGGCAGGGTAGGCGTTCCCGGGAGCGTTGGTATTGGCATTCCCGAAAAAGCTGGGGATTCCGTTTTGGGAAGACCGGTTGTCAGAACCGGATTGTAATCCTGGTGTAGAAACGGACGAAGCGGCGGTAGGAAAGAACGGGCTGGGAGAGTAAGTGGGGTAGGTCGTCGTCGCAGTAGGAGTCGTGGTTGTGTTTGCCGTTGTTGTGTTCGTCGTGGAGCTGGATGCGAAGGGGAATGTCGAGCTGGATGTGGTATGGAGGAAAGCAGGTGGATTCGGGTGATATGGGGATGATGAGGAGCTGGAGAGGGAGAACGAGCTGGGTGTGTCCTGTAATATGGAGAGCGACCGACAGACATCTCCAGTCAGTACAGATTTCCTACTGTAGTCATACGCCACGCCGAACAAGGTCGCAGGACGAATGTTATATAGCTAAAAGCACTCACGCTGGTGCTCTTAAGCCTCTTCATCCCAAACCTCCTCAAAGACGTGTCTCCACCTTCCTGACCCAGAGCCATCCCCATGACGTTCCCTCCTGCTATACCCACACCTCCTCCCATTCCAGCATCATGCAAATGTGCCGTTTTTGCGTTGAAGAACACGCCCCCCTCATCGTCCCCATCTCGTTGTCGTTTGCCTAGGGAGGTCTTGAAGTGAAACGACGTTTCCCAGGGTGTTGTCGCCGGGTCCGGGTCTTGCATGTGCATGGATGAGTGTGGTTGTACTAGGGCCGGCATGATTGGTGATCAACGGAGGTGAAAGACTGGTGTGATAGCTTGTAGTTGTTGGTAGCTATGAGCTATGGTATTGCTAGAGGTTCGTTGCTTTTAGGACCAATTCGATTCAAGTTTCGTTTCCGGACGATACTCGACCGAGAGACCTGCTCGTCGACCTCACTACTTATATTTATCCTACACACTGATACTCTGTCAGACCTGCGAGCTATGACTATCAGGAAGACCATGCAGTGTGCGAGGGCACAGGTCGGAGTTGAGTTTGAATCGGAGTGTCGTCGTCGTCGTTGAAATGCTGCCATGCACATGGTGATATCGCTCGGTGATCAGGTCAAAGGAGAGAGAGGGAGCATCACCTCCACTTGCAATGATCGACCATATCACACCATCCCTCTTTCTCCCGCAACGAAGCAATCGATTCAGACTCAGACACTTTGTACACCACTCCGCCTCGTCCCATCTGCTGCTGCTTGCGCCGCCAAGCCAGCCCATCGCAAGATGTCGACATCCATCTCGACATCGTCCTTGCAATCGGAAATGCCGGTCATGTCGGATTCGACCGTCGATATGATCCTGGCCACCCGGCCCTTGGTGGACAACGAGATCGACCCGGGGTTGTTGGAAAGTTCCTTTGTCTTGCCGACTCATGGGCATGGAGGACAGCAAGCACAGGGACCAGGACATGAGCAGGGACAAGCTTCAAGGCAGGGTGGGGTGACGGCGGAGGAGGAGGATGGGGCACTTCGGATACCGAAGACGAGCTCGAATACGACCACCTCCGCATCCACACCTGCTGCTGGAAGGGGAACAAAGATCTCCACCAGGCTGCAGCAACATGAAAGACAAGATACGGACGTCGTGGAAGAACCCGTCAAGTTCGTCCTCCTCGCCGAGTTTGATATCGATCAAGGAGCCACCTTGACGCACCAGTATCCATTCCCTACGGGAACGGATGAACAGTAAGTCCTTCATGTGGCCTTGAGGTCTATTATGAATACAGGCTCATGGAGACGTATGCAATTCGTATTATGCCTGAACCTTTTATTACGATACCCTACACATCACTCTACCGACACGCTGAACTATAAACTGCAGCACCTTGGCAGAACTCATGCTCCCCGACGGGGCCCACTTAAGACCAGAAGATTGGACGATCTTCTATCTGAATCAGACGAAGAGGAACGCCGTAGCGCCCGTCTTAGCCTCGGAATCTCCTTCTTCTGCGACGGCTTCAGCACCTCTGGGCTCGGGCACAAGTTCAGGTGTCAATGCGAACACAGGTGCAGGCACACACGTAGGGGCAACAAGGGGGGAAGAAGGGAAAGAAGAAGAATTGGGGGAGCTTCTGTTCGTCCTGAATTGCGTGAGGATGAAGGAGGATAAGAGCGTCAGACGGTGAATCATCGCGAGGCGAGGTGTGCGCCGGAAGGGAAGTCGAGCTGATCAAGTCGCAGGTGCTTTGTGTGATTCGTTCGGAACTCTAGGGGAGCTATGGTCAAGGCGTTGGCTATCTGTACTACGAAGCCGTACATCCAGATTTACAAGGTGAGCCAGTCTAGGTGGGACATTCGCGATACTACAGCGCGTTGCGGTACAGTACAGTATATCTGATCGTCTTCGTTGCCGTCCTCCACAAACCGACATTCCACTTATGGTCGCCACAGCCTTTACTCTTGCTCGCTCTGGAAGAATACTATCAATCCTCTTCCCCGCAAGTCCTGGCGAAACTGTTCGACTCGCTCAACAACGTCTCTCTTCGAGGTTGTCCGACGTTGTCCAGGGCCGAACGGATCATCTTGAGAAATTCGGAGAGGAAAGATCTGTTCGCCGAAAAGTTCACTAGTCCGGGCTCAGGACTTGGATTGGGGCTTGGAGGGAATGTTAACGGAGCGTCGGGAGGCGTGGAGGGAGATACGGGGGAAGCAGGCGGGATGGAGGATCTGGACGTCTTTGAGCCGGATTGGGTACCGGAAGGACTGGGCTCGACGCTCAACGCTTCGTCGACTTCGGGTCCAGGCGGTGGAGTGACCATCCACAACGGCGGCTCTGGCTCTACCTCTGGCTCTGGATCAGGGCTCAGTATGAGGAAATCGTTCAAGAGCACTTTGACGAGATTGTCTGATGGCGGCGGGAGGCGGATGAGAAAGACGTCGAGGTCGTCCTTGTTGGGCGACAAGGAGGTGGGAATGGGCTCGGAATCGTCCGGCAGACCGGGAAGCAGTCGAGCGGCCAGTCCATCGACAAATACGAATCAGGCGCAGATACAGCAACAACAGCAAAATCAGCAATATCGTGGTTTGGGGATCGGGCGGCCCGAGTTGGATGCTGGGGGGACGGTCAGGAAGGCGGTGGGGCCGAAGGATACGCATTATTTCGATACTGTGGCCGAGTATAGCGGATTGAGTATACCAATCAGGGTCCCGCTCTCCATATTTCCGGAAGAGGTCGGCGATGTGAGTTGAAGTTCGGTGTTCTCGTACGGGACGTTGCGGCTGCTGACATTGATACGAACACACAGTACTCGATCATTCAGCTCATCCAGACGTTTACGCCTTCCGTGCCCGTACCGTTCGCCCCACCGTTTCACCCTCAATTGCATACCGCGGGCGCATTCACACATCCTATCATCCTCTTGCTCAACGCGCTACTGACCCAGAAGAGGATCATCTTCCTGGGTCATGGACAACCAGCGGGACATGTGGCCAACTTCGTCCTGGCGGCGTGCGCGCTGACGGCACCCGTCCTGCGTGGGTTTGCCGAGAGGGCTTTCCCTTATTCGAATCTGGCCGGGCTGGACATTCTCGAAGAGGTTCCGGGGTACATAGCAGGTGTAACAAATCCGCGTTTCGAAGATCTGCCGCATACGTGGGATCTCTTGTGCAACCTCGAGACGGGCAGGATCACAGTCTCGAAGGGTCTCATGAACGATAACAGTGACAGGGATACGAGCATGAAGACTCCCACTAGTACCGAGCAGGCCAACTGGGGGAACGACACCGAAAGCTTGTCGGGACATGCGGGAGGGCCCTCGAACAAGGAGATGCGATCGTATAATCCTGATACGCCGGATAACATGTTTATGGAAGAAGTGAGTGGTGCAGCTTCCTGTTATCGATCAACTGCGCTGATTGATTGTTTGCGCGTTCGACAGATTGTCGCCTCGATCAACGCTCACTACGGGGAACCCGCCATTCGCGCCCGTTTCACAGAGTATATGAGCAAATTTGTCCGTATGGCAGCTCGATATGAGGAGGAATTCTATGGCCAGACCAGCATCGGGTACCCTTCACAGCCCTTTCGCGAGTCTTCGCTCGGAGGCGGGTTCATTTTCCCGGACGAATCGACAAAGACCAAAGAGTGGTTAACGAATGCGAATAGAATCGAGGGGTGGAGGCGTACTCGGAGCTATCGATATTGGCGAGAGGTCAGCCGCACCGAGGTATTTCAATTCAATTGCGCATGACTGAAAAGCTCTCGGAACCTCATGCAGGACTTTCGAACCTGGCTCGACTCGCCATTCGCGGTTCCTCAGCTGGACGTGCAGCATCAACTTTCGAGACTCAGGAACGCCAAACCCATGTCGGAAAGCGAAGCCGCGCTGATTTACCGAAGCCTCGCTGCCAGTGTGACAACGTACCCACGGATCGCCGACGTAAGTATTGTTCCGTGGCGCCACTGGCGGGTAGAGCCAAGATACGGGCTACCTCCCAACATGGAACGGATCTGAAGTGGTCAGGGCTGATCGTTCAGTTTCCACCTGATAGCTCATCTCGCAACTACCACACCATAATGGGGGCCTGACGCCCATAGCATTGGGCTTGTTCCACCCGTCACAGAGCGTTCGAAACGCCGTGCTGGACCTGCTCGATCGGATGCAGCAATACCCGGTAAGTCGGCTTTCGATTCGAAATGGCCCCGGCGGGCCCAACAACTAAAGACTACGTCGCTCCTTTGGCGCTTCTCTCCTGTGCCTGCCTTTCTACCGCCCGGACGCCTGAACAGATTGGCGTTATCTTCCTGGGGAAATTGAATTGTTTCCAGCGACTGGCTTACCAGCGTCTCTCCGAAGAGCGGGAAACGCCAAGAGCCACAGCACCGTGAGAGAAGGTTCGACGCAACAGTTCTTCCGATTTAAAACATCAGCGACGCTCTCAGAGTGCTACACGATCACGTAATGACATTGGCCATGCTGTATGGATACAAGGCTTGAAGAAAAATATGCGAAGAAGGTAGTTCGATGTTACATACACCCGGGCCTATAGATGCCAACATTAGAGCTTTTATCGTCCCACTGTTATGTCGGGGATTGCGATTTTGTTTCGATTTGCTTGTACAGAACGGCAAAAGCCGTCGTCGTCGCTTCGTCAGCATTGGCCCCCTTCGTACTTGGCGAGCCGCGCTTGAACTGATTTGCATCAAGGATGAGACGGTTCATCAGTCATGAAAGCCTTGCAAGTAGATCCACCAGTGATAAATGAACTCACGCGCAGCATTCTCAGCTCGCAGCTGATCGATTTCATCTCGGGCCACCTCCAACTGTTGTTCAGTATCTTGCGCCTTTTCTGTATATCGGAATGACTCGTTAACACCCGGGACATGTTGGCGGTTCTAGGAATCAGACTTACGTTTGCGCTTGACCCTATGCGTCCTCGCGCTGAGCTTGTTCCGAAGCTTTTTCCTCTCCACGGCCGACATCTTGTAATAGGTCGGGGCATCCATTCCCCAGATCATTCCGTTCTTCTCTTTGCGCATGCTGTCGGGATCGTCGTCCGCGTTGACATCGACGCCTTCGACGCCATCGGCCGACATGTCGGTCTGCATCGAGCTGGTCGAGTCTCGATGGGTTTTGAGCAAGGATCCAGGTCCAGAGGTGTATTGTCCCGCGCTTCCCGAGGCGGTGTTGTTATAGTTCGGCCCGGGAAGGTGGAGTGAAACTTGAGACCGAGGGCTGGTCTGGGCCGAGATCGAATGGAGCACATCATCGCTGTACATCGAGACGGGCGAACCGGTCCGAGGCGCCCTCGAGTTGAGCATGGCCGGCGAGATGCTCGAGGCTTCGGAAGACGTAGATTCTCGCGAGTTCTGACGATCCGGTTGATGCATATAGCTCTGGTGTTGGGAGATATTTTGTTGCATCAAGCCAGGGGGGAAGCTCATGAACTGGTTCGGCACGTGACCTTGGAAAGAAGGCTGGCTCTGATGAAACAGCTGCGACGGCTGGACGGCCTGTTGCGAAGTGTCGCTCTGGTGCGAATAGAGCTGGGGCTGGTGTTGATAGCTCGAAGGCATCTGTTCTGGGCCTCCAGGTCGAGGGTAGGTGAAATAACTCCCGGTAGAGTCGAAAGATCGAGGAGGTTCTCGACTCTTGAACAACGGGGTCGGGGTCCTGACGTTGCCATCCATGAGCATCGACGCAGCCGAAGCTCCGGACGACGACGAGTCGACGCGGGACACCGAACCGGGCCCGCTAGCGAGAGACTCTTTGCGCAAGTCCGCGGCGGGTCCTTGGCGCTTGTTGTCGCCTCCGCCCATATTAGGCATCGCGAACGGCATGAACGGGGCCTCTTGCTTGATGAAGGTCCTGTCCTCGGGGCCGCCTTGCATGTGAGGATGCATGTCAGATATGGGGTAGTTTTGCGACATGGGTTGTCCGGGCGTGGGAGTGAGACCGGACGAGAAGATGTTTTCCGACCAAGGGACGAAGGTGTCGTTGATGCTGTCTCCCAACGAGGGCGACGGCATCGGCAAGAAGGCGGCGCCAGAGGTGCCAAAGTTGAACCAGGGAGAGAACAACGAGACGTTGGCCTGGTTCTGATGAGCCATCTGGTAGCGAAAGAGATCCAGACCGATCAACTCTTTGAAGAGTTGTTTTGCGAACTGGACCAGATCGCGAAAATCAGAACTCACCTCGCCGTCCTTGATCATAGCATCGGCTTGACCGTGCCTCTGCTGGATGGCATGGTAGAAACCATTCATGGCAGAGGTAGTCGAAGCCGGATGATGGTACTGCTGCTGCAGCTGCTGTTGCTGCTGCTGCTGGTTTTGAGGAGGTTGCTGGCCCGGATGACGCGCCTGTTGCGTTTCATACGAGGGAGGTTCGGCCATGGGCACGGTAGGGGATGCGTTCGACATGATGTATGGGTGGACAGGGGGTCGATGGGAGCAAGTCGATGTTGACGGTGAACCGGTGCTGAGGTAGAGAAGTAGTAGGTGTAGAAGAGTAGACTTGTTGAGGGGGGTCCGGACCAGATTATATAGTGTGGTCGAGGATGGTCAAGGGCGAGCGCGCGCTCACTAGTGGGACTAGCGGAAGCAGCGCGTGTGGCTTGAGATTTCTGGTACCCACACACCTCTCGATGACGAATACGGGGTAGGGTCGGGCGATCGCCTTGTGCGATCTTTGTCCGTCGCTAGTGTACAGAAGAGACTTCGTAGGTTGTTGATGTCCGAATGCAGTAGTAGATGGTATCTGGCTTGATCGGTGTCCTATCAGTGAAGAAGTCCGAGAGTTTGAAAGAAGTTGTTTGCTCGCGCTCCACAACCTCTTCTTCGCTGATCCTTAAGTATCGTGCGGATCGACGAGATCGTGCCAACTCGACGGCCACCGAGATCCGAGCCAAGTGAATGGGTCGTAGATTGTAGTAAATTGATTCTATGTTTGTACTCAAAGGCCGGCACCGAGAAGTCGGAGAGCTGGCTGCAGCACTACCGTGTGTAGGTAGAAATTTCGTCAGCTCCGCCAATTCGATGAGTAATGGTCGTCGGAACCAATACCCACCTCAGCTGTCTAGCCGACGGATGCAGATTTCGCGCTAAGAGGCCGTTCTTTCGGGCGCCGGTTGATCGGCAAGCTACCAAGAGGCCAAGAACATATACCTGCCCGCTGCCGCGATGTAGGATATCGTTATAGCTATAGCCGCAAGGTGATTGTCTGCCTCGCCGAAGTCTCACGTTTTCCTAGTTCGAAAAAAGGGTCGGAAATGAAAGGGATCGGCGGGGACGATCAAGCTCGCTGAGCTCTCGAGCTTTTCGTGTGTTGTTGCCTATATACCCTTGTAGGGTCCGTGTGGAGGTTCCGATGTGGAGGGCGACTGAAGGGACCGAAAGCACGTCGTGCCAGGCAAGAGATTCGAGGGGATGCTGTGTTGTTGCCCCTGGTTCGCTGAGCCGACAAGACCGAACCGGTTCCTTCGACCCGCAGCGATTATCGACTTGTGGGAAATGGATTGATCGCGAGAAAGGGTAGGGTAGGACGGGAAGATAGATGTCCAAGAGGAGGCAGAAAGGTCACTCGTGTTTGGTTGACCGCTCTGCTTCTGTCGATGTATGCGATTATGAAGCGATTCGAAGCTGGTATTATCCGATGGAACGCAAGATTAATTGCTTAGGCGATCACGCCCTGTTCCAAGGCAGGTGGATCCAGTTTCAAAAGAGGTGGATCCGGTTGCGAGGTATGGCTGGCAAGGAGGATAAGAGCCAGGGGTTGCTTGCGAAGTCTACCGGGTATTATGAAAGTATCGAAAGCAAAGCTAGCGCTATTATCTCCTCTTGGCCTCTAGCATGTACAAGGATCGAAAGTAGTGGAGGTCTCGATAAAGAGATGTGTCGCAGCCGAGCTGTACTGTTCGTGCTATGGAATGGTCAGAGCGTGTATTGTATGTTTTGTCCACCTGCCTTGCTCGATCGAAAGCGATATCTATTTCTCCCTGGCCCTTGGTCGGTCAACCGCCTTTCCCTCGGCCGGGGAGAGGGGCTTTCTTGAACGCCACGCTTTCGATGCCCGCGTCCGCCGTCTTCCCGGCTTCCTGCGCCTTGTACACACACTGTCCCCGAGGTGAGAAACTGGCCGAGCGATGGCAGGACCCCGGGGATAGAGATCAGATGTCGACGAGCGGGATCTGATCAAGATCAAAGACAAATCCTAACCGCATCCGTCTTGATCCGCGGCTCGCACCCCTTCGAGGGTCGCGTTCGGAACCTTCACTACTGTCGGGGTGCTTGGCGAGTTTTGTGTATGTGGAGGGACAATCACTACACAGCCTCGCATTCTTCCAATCCGATATCGTCGCGTCGGCACGAGCAAAAGGAAATGATATCCAGAGTCTCGCCGGCAGACCGCCTTGGAGCTGAACGATTCAAACACCAAATACAGTCGCCATTGCTCCCTTGTCAAAACTGCGACACCTGTCTCTCTTGCTGCACAGACACTCGACAGACTAGAGCGCCACTGGCTTGAACGGAACTTAAAAATGACATCACCCGCTATATCCATTGTCCTCGCTCGACCTTGCGAGGAGACCCAGTGATTCTTCTTCCGCTTGTGGACCCGACGCAGCCTCTGCGTATTTGTTGTTGTCCAAGCTCTGGTTCCATCTGCTGAACTGCGAAACCTCGATCGTAAGGAAGGCTTGGGACCGTTTTGGGTCGTCCGACATTGTGTCGAGGCTGGTTAGTCATCCGAACACCTCGATTGGGGAAGCTACCATTCGTACGATCTTCAGACGGTCGCGGGCGCGTCTCGTACTCGAACTGAACAAGGCGGGCTATATACGATTCACGACTGGGGGTGTATCGCATGGCTGGAAAGGATCTGCGACGCAAGGCAAACGTAGATCAATCTCGACGATCAGCCGAGAAACAACGCTAGAACATCGTATGTTCCCTCGGGGCTGGCTCTACAAATGAAAAGAACACACTTCGAAACGCATCGATCTTGGAATCGCATCGCGGCAGCCTCCCCCACTTCCCTCTCGCAGGACCCATGCATGGAAAAAGAAGGAAAACCCCAGGAATCCAGGGACACCATCGGTATTTCCCGAACTCGGCACCCGGCTCCGGAGTTAAGCGCGTCAAAGCCCGAGGACCAGTACGCCGACCGTTGGAGCACTGTGGTCCGTCTCGGACGCAATGTTAATCATCAGCAGAACGCATAGGCCGCGCGGTCTTGGCTGCTTTTTGGTTGTCCGCTGACCGCCAGATGATTCGTAAACTGTCAAACGTAACGGCAAGCAGGGTCCCGCCACTTTCGTCATATACCGTCATCGATTTACTCCGGCGAGCGGGCAGTCTCGGCATGGGTTTGGCGGCAGTCTCGGCATGGTTTCAGGAGCCGTGTTCAGCATTGGAGCTCGGGATTTGCTAACCAGAACCTGAGCGGTATGCAGCAAAACCAGATGCAAACAACATGAGCGTCTATACCTCGTCTTACAGCTATACCGGTCGCCGGGGCCTCGTCTGCTTACTATCGAAATCGCGCCCCTCCGATCGAGTCTGCAGACAAACCTGGACTTACGCGCGAGTCACGTGACCGTATGCCTTTGACACCGCGGGGTCCCCCGGTCTACCTCTCATCATCTTCACTCGTGTTCTCAACTATTTGATCGTTCTGTCATCAGGTCCTTTGCGAAGAATCAGAGCTTCAGCATCGTGTCAGTTGGTATAGATTGCCAGTGAGTTGCTCTACTTCATCGTCCAGGTATCATACGAGCTAACAGGGATGCATCGATGCAGTCTATACGTTGTCACGGCGGTTCGGGGCGAGGCAGTTAAACCCTGGCCTTGACGATCCGTCACTCTGAGCTCCCACCCTTCTGTACTCTGTCAACGAATCCTTGCCTCGCCATCCAGTTCTCTTAAGCTAGACTGTCTCTGGGACAGGCAACACGTCACGACTCTTTACGACTTATTACGACCTCTGGCCATATCGGGCCTGCCTTTCACGATCATACTTTCCTACGCCAACGCAATCGACCTCTCTGTCAACAGTACAATGAGCCAGAGACAGAGCAAACAGATGGTTGATGGCGGTGGATTGGCCGCAAACGATACCTCGACTACCACGATTCGTAAGCGGGTATCCTACTTGACCTTCGCCCTGAACACCGGAAACTGATCAGACCTGTCTGATTGCCCGTAGCTACTACCATGCACGACCCGTCAGCTCCACCGAGACTACCGGACGAGCTCATGCTCATGATCTACGGCTTCTGCCCGAGATCGACGCTTACCAAGTGCCTCGTACTTGATCATCGACAATTCGACCTGGTCGTCAACATTATCTGGAGAAACATCGATTCAGACAAAGTCGAGCTTCATCGATTCTCAAGATTGATGAACGATCCTCTGAAACCGGCTGGTCTGGTGAGTTTAGTATGGGACCCGCTTAGGACACCAAGCTGACCTGTCTTGTAGCACCGCTTGTCGAAGTACCTTTCCGCCGTCCACACATACTACGCTCCGGATTATCCTCGATTCCTGAGATTCGCAAACGATATTCCTTCAGAACTCCGTGCTATCGCAAAGAAATGCCCGAATATCCAGCGCCTGGAAGCCGACGGCGTCAAAGCCAGTGTCACTTTCTGGCGTGGACACGCAGAAACATGGACGGAGATGGAAATGGAAATTTTCAACGTTCCATCTTTTATGGAAGGCATGGCCCTTCGCGAGTGGGACGAGCCTGAGGAACATGACTCTGATCCGGCATTCGCAGTCGAATTACCGACATTCGTTCTTACTCGGCTTGCCATCGAAGGGAGGGAAATACTCGACATTGCGGGATACCGTCATGTCGACCCTTCCTTGATTCCCTTCATGAACTGGATCCTGCCACATATCGGCAGCTTGCGTACGCTTGAAATCGGACCTTGGTTTTGCGGGAGTGAATACGCCCAAATGTTTTCTCAACTCTGCGCGCCGACGGTTGAGAAACTCTGGTTTTATGGATACGTTAGCGATGAGCTCATCGTCAAATACGTATCGGCTTTACCTGGCCTACGCGACTTTGGTTTCCGCCCTCAGTTGAAAAATCCCAATGAAAAACGATCAGGCCGAGATCTCAAGAAGACTTTGAGCGATCTCGACTTGGAGAAGATCACCTACTTCATGGCTCCGCCGAGTTACAGACATTTCATGGTCCCACCGCCGGGTTCGTTAGGAGATTTCTTGATGCCACGCGGCGATCCAACCCTTCCGGTGGACTACCGGGTTTTCGACGATGTCGTGTGCTCTACCGCACGCCACACCAGCTTTGTACACGCACGCGACACCTTGTTCTGCACAATGGATCACAAAACCATCCGCGAGAGGGACTACAAGTGGATCATGGATATGGTGAACCTGGCGCGCAACGTTGGACAGGCCGAGCAAGGGTCCTGAATATGAACACATCGTCATAGTCACCTGTCAGGATGGCTATCGGAATCGCAGTTTGACCGATACTTGAACATCGGGCGATCGCTGTTTCTTCTACGAATCCTCACTAGTGGAGCTAGATCGCTCGTGAGCCGGTCGCTGTTTTTGAACTGGAAAATCATTTGAGAGAGATCGCTACGTTGGTTCATCATGGTATAGGACAAGCGAGATTCAAGCTAGTTACAAAATGCGAATTCTCACGATCTGTCGGCTATCATGTCCGAGAATTGTTGTTGTGCCGAAAGGCCTCGTGATTCTGTTTTTATTGCTCGTGATATTGTCATTGTTATTATCACCGCCATTCCCATCGTTGCCGCTGATTTCGTACATCAACTTATCTCGCATCAACGATGACCACGCAGGCGACCTTGATATGCTGGTGCAGGAACTGGAGGCGGCGCTGCTACGACGGGCGCTGGAGGTGGTGCCGGTGCGGCCGGTGCAAAGCGCACTCGGTTTCCGGGAGCGTTTCGAAGAGCCTGAGCCTGAGCATGAGCCTGAACAAGAGCCTGGGCCTGAGCCTGAGCCTGAGCCTGCAATGCGGCCATGGCGCGTGGCGGAGGGGGTCGTACAGCAGCGGCAGCGTGCGCTTCTGGAATTCCACGCGCGACTTCTCTAAAGACCGCATCAATGTTCGCTGCGACGTACGCTCCGGCTTGCGGTGCTGCAATTCCTCGTGCGACTGCCATGTCTCGCATGATCGCTTCGATTCGAGCCCTATACTCGGCCCGAATTCTCGCGACGACTGGCCCGGCCAACGGCACTCCAGGTCGAAGTTGCTGCTCTTCCAGAATCCGACCTTCGTAGATACGTCGAGCAGCGTCGAATTGGGCTCGCCCGATCCCTTCTGCAGCTCTTGGTACCGGGAGATGAGCTGCGCCAGGTCCACCAGCAGGCGGAGCGGCCTGTGGTTGCGGTTGAGCCAGCTGGGGAGGTACCACCGCAGCAGCGTGTGCAGGATAAGCGCCTGGAATTACAGCCGGACGAAACACTTCGTTTTGTTGCGGAAGGGCCACTTCCACGTCGGGTTGAGCGATTTGTCGACCGAGACGAGCTGCTTCGTTGATGACCTGATCTTGAGCTTGGTTTCGCGCTTCGGCGACCTGTCGGATGCAACATTAGCCTTCAATCAAACTTTGCTGCTTTCGAGCTCGTACAGAACTTACCTCGGCTTGGTAAAGCTCGGCCGCATTGACCGGGTCCCATAATCTGCATGGATTAGCTTTATTGCCCCCATAACCAGCTGGGCGATCGCGTAACCGGTTCACTCAGCCCTATGGTATAAAGACACTCGGAGATCGAATTTGCACTCACCTTGATTGAAATGTGCATACCCAACGGTTACGATCGCTCTACAGATGTAACAAGAGACAGTCCCGCACGATGTACTGCAGCCGAGGGTCGAAATGCTGACCGATTTCAGCGCGAATTATCGATAATAAAGAACGACATCGCACTCACCAGGTGATTTTGTTACAACCAGATTCTTTGAGGAAAGGTTTCTGGCAGCTGGCCTTGGGACATTTGCGAACCAACGCCTGCAGGTGAAACGCCCAGTCAGCGGCATACACAGTCAGATACTGCCGTCAACGCTAACCTGGGTCATGGCCTCTTCGATAGTATGCCTAGAATTCAGATGCTCGTCTTCCGCCGCAGCCTCAGCACAGGTCTTAGGAATATGGTCCTGTAATGACAACACAGTGAGTATAGGTCTACGGTACCTGGCCCGATGCGGGAACTGACCGGTTTCTTGCAAGCTCGACATGATACAACTTGACAATTCGGATGCTGGCAGGTAAACAGCTTTTCATGTTCGTTGTCGATGACGATAGCGAATTCGCAAGATGGGCACGTTTCGAGATTCTCCAGACCCGCGGCTTCGAGCTCCTTCCTCTGGACCAACGCAAAATAACTGTTCGTCACCTTTGGAGTCAAGACTTTTTTGACGTCGCGTTCGGTGAACTCGGCACGGCAGCCGCTCTCATGCATACAGTGGACGGGCTGTTGTCACACATGGTCAACTTGAGGAAACCGACTGGTGCAGGAGGACAGGCCACTTACCGCCTTTTGATCTCCCAATGCCGTTTCCAACAAGCGCTTGAAACAATCTCGGCAGAAAAAGTGTCCGTCCCGACATTGTATCATGTAGACCTGCAATCCTCCCATGAGTTCGAGGCTCCGACAAATGACAGAACTCGCCACTTTGTATGCTTACCAGATGATCATCCCCGAAACAGCATTGACACTCGGTATCCCCATCACCCTCGAGTGGTTGCAATATTTTGACCGCCTCGATGCTGCACGTATCCGCGTTCTCGACTATGTGAATATGCCTTCAGTTAGCTATGCGAGTCCTCGAAAGAATCGATCAGTCTTTCGACGCACAGAGCAGACCTATCAAGAACTCCTTCTCCTCTGCAAACGTCACCGCGCCTTCATCGACCTGCTTCGCGGCCTTGCCCTTCGCCTTGGTGTTTTCTTGTTTGGTAAGATCAACTTCGCGAGGCACTTTCATCGCTCGCCAGGGTCTCTGATCTTCGGGCAAGGTGTATTGAAAGGCGAGATCGAGATATGTTGGAACGTAAAGTCCGATGTGAAAGTTCAGGTTGTCCGTAATACTACCGGGATGACAACAGAACCGAATCAGCAATCATTTCCGAGAGGGATGCAAACAGCTTGGAGTGAAGGTTACTGACTGTTTTTGAGTCATCAGGGGGAACAAGTTGAGCAAGTCTTTAGTCGCGCTCTTGCGATATGCCCATCCTTTTCTGTCGTCCAGCTTGACCTTTTCGCTCTTGTAGTTCACCCTTCCATCAACGAGATACTCAATCTCGTCCACGTCCAAAACCCCATCGTCTTCATCCGGCTTGCGTTTCTTTGGTGCAGAAGGCCCAGCTTCATCCTCAGCTTTCCGCTTGTTGTCCTTCACTTTCGGGTACCTAGCGAGATCCGTATCGAACAGATGCGCAAGGATCTCTCCGCAAGCATCTTCAGCCGTGATCTGACGAGCCGGATCTCGGAAGATTTGACCCTCGATGACACCTCGGAGATGATCCGGGCAGACGTCTGGGATAAGCGAAATGACAAGAGGGATGATCTCGGGGATGTCGACCATACTCAGGAGACGGGCAGGTTGAGGCGGTACAGGTGCTGCTACTGGTCCAGGTACGAGGGCGGGCACAGCTGCCGGTCCTGCAGGTCTCGCCTCGTCCCAAAGCTCCTGCGGGATGTGAGCCCAGAAATCGTCCTCCTCGTCATTGTTGTTGTTGTTGTTGTCGTGGTCGATACCGATATCAAGATCCACGTCCATATCCTCAATTGCCGCTTCCAGTGCTACTACTGCCCGGACAGCTTCAGCGCCCCCAACTTCTGCACGTGGCTCGTCGGGCGCAACTTCCTGCTCCTGCTCGATATCTCTCGCTCGACCTGCTCCTGCCGCATCTGGAGCATTGCCTGCCTCCTTGGCCTCGTGGCCTTGACGCTTCTCTCCGCCCTTTTCACCTCGAGTAACGATCCTAAATCTATCTTCCTCCTCGAGCGGGACGAACTTGATCTCGCCCTCCACCCGGTTCTCGACTTCGTCCTCGTCCTCTTCGTCTTGAGGTCCAGGCCTTCTCTGGTTCCCGTTCGTCTTTCCCCTTCTAAGTTTAAAAGCAACTTCGGGCTCAGGTTTCACATGGGCTTTCGTCTTATTCGCGGATCCAGATCCAGAGGCTTTCGGTTGTACATCCCCTCGCCTGCTACGCGTACTCTTGCTCGGAGTAGCGTTCAGACGGACTTCGGTGATCTCGAATCCATCTTCCTCGTTCTCGTCTTCATCGCTCGATCCGATAGTGATCACTCCGGTTGATCGGCCCCTCTTGCCTCGAGTCTGTACTTTGGATGAGGAGGAAGATGTGTTGGGTCTAGTCCTCGCAGGCTTCTTGTCCAAGATTCTTGATTTAGGGGTAGATTTCGACTTCGAAATAGATGCTCTACCGGCACGGTAATCATCATCACTCTCTTCATCCTCTTCCTCATCATCCTCGTCATCGGTGCCATCGTCGGGTTCCTCTTTCCTCCCATTCTGCTTGTCTCTGCGTCTGGCCCCGCTGAGCCCGCCGAATCCACCATCCTCGGCAAACGGGTTCGCGAAGGGAGGTTCGGGTTGTCTCAACTTCTCTTCCAGTTTGAACGCACGAGTCCGAACGGGTTCATCTTCATTGGCGGTGTCGTTCTTGGATTTCATCTGTCGACGTTGTCGAAGCTGGATGAGAGCGTTGTTGACGGGGAGGACTTTGCTCATGGTCTTCGTCGGATCTGGCCGAAGGGTCGTAGGTTTAGGGTTTAGCTGGAAATGCTTATAGGTAAACGCAGAAGGATGGTGGAGAGCAGGTGGATGACTTACCATATGCGTTGTGATGGAGAGATTGCTATCGCTATGTTTTTGATATGGTTGTTGTCGTTGTTGTTGTTGATTGCCGGTTGTTGAAGATGGTATCGATAAAATGACTGGATGATTGGGTCAGACTTCCGTGCGAATCACGACGTGCGGGTTCTACCAGAGGTTGGTCAGGTCCAACGTCGTTCAGAGGAAGTAGTAGTATATATGTTGAGGGATGTTTGAAGAAGTTAAGAAACAAAAGCATCATCAGTCGCCATTGAGGAAGAGATCCGAAGAGACATGCCGAAGCGATAGGTGTGTCGACTTACTGGATTGCACGATGCTATTCAGTTCAGTTCTGTGCTTGTATGACCTTGTATCAAGAATCCAGCCGATACTGTTCCACCCTTCTCTTGTTACCCAGCTTGACGACGAAGAAGGTACCGCAAGAGCGCAAGATCTTCTTGCCTTGCCGTTTGGCGTCCCGTCGTCTTTGTTTATCCTTCGGCTCGAGTCGCTTTGGCTCCTAGAAGATGCTATCGGTCCCGGACCGCCGCAACTTCGACGGCTGTACTTGGGGAGTGTATGGTCTTCAAGTGTGTTCTTGCTGTGTCGCTATTGTTGAGGCTGGGGTGTAGGTAAGAGTGGCTGAATAGATGTCTGTGTATATGTCAACATGGTCCGATCATCATCAATAACATTCCAATTCGAAGGTCGACCATCGGAAGCATATTCGAACGAAATTTGCTTCCGGACGACTTACCTCTAGTAGCGGTTGATGAGTGGTGTCGAAGTTCGAAGATGGGAACAAGAGAATTCCTGCTCACCCGACCTGGTATATATACTTTTCAAGGACTGGTCCCTTTCGCAGTGGCGGCCGGGGGCAAGGGAGACACAGGGCGGATGGTAGCTTGGGAGGCGGCGGCATGCGGAGCTGCTTCCTGCAGGACACTCTGCAGGATCGGATTCGGGCGACCGGAAACACGTATGGCTTGCGGATTGTCGTCGCGGTCGATGTATCACCTCCATTATTGCCAATAGTACATGTGCGATGTATCGCGGTCGTGCGCGACACTGCGACAGGGTCTCGCAGGTACAGCTCGGTCTGCCTTTCTCCCTCGCGCACTAAAATGGATGAGCCGCTCAGACTGGGCGATTCCTGGATATCATATGTACGATAATATCTTGATATGCAAATATCTACACATTGAGATGTACCGCGCACGACCTTGCCTGACTCCAACGACGTCACGCCAATTGAATGCCTGCCGCCGCGACAACTTCAAACGCAAAACAGCGAATTGCCAACGTGTTTCAGGGTGATAATTTTGATCCAAGCCGAATATCGAAAGCGCGGATCGTATATTTCGTCGGGGCAACTCCAGCTTACAACCCGCATGATCTCGATTAGACCAACCAGCTTCCAGGGTCATCTGTCCCTCCCCGAACACCAAACTGACTTGCATACCATATGTCGGGATATCAATCATGACATGACACGAATAATGCACGATGCCTCATCTCCCTTACTGAGTACATTCAATCCAGCACCCCCAACATCTCCCGTATCGAGACAAACTTCTCCCTGGGCTTCCCTCCGCCCGCCTTTTGGCCCCTCTCAACCTCGGCCCCGTCGATCCTCTTCCAATCTCCCAACTCGACCACCCGTTTAGTCGAGTTCTTTACGAAATCCGGGGTCGCACCCAGCTCCGGGGTCAAATTCAAAATCGACGAGGAAGAGCTGGCCGACGTCGCCGGAGACTGGTAGTGATCGGTCAAGATGGTCGAAGCTACCGCATAGGCTCGTTGCATAGTTGACGCGATGACACCTATGGGACCGCTTGCGATCCATCCGGCCGTGTACATCCCGGGAATCTGCCAAGGTTGAGATAATGAGAGTGAGCTTGATTGATTAGCTATCATCGAGCTGAACTGCGGCCGGATTAGATTACTGACCATGACCCCGCTCCCATCCGTCACCCTGCCTTCGAGGTTCATCACCCTCGCCCGAGCTCTATCAAACGGGACCCCCGCTCCTCCCATGTCACCCTCGGCGTCTTTTACATCCCATATCGGTTCGCCCCTATACCCGACACTCTCGATGACCATCCCTGTCCGACGTTCGAACTCTTCTCCCGTCGGTCGAGCCAAGACCGACGATGGCGATGCCGCTGATGTGCTCGCCGGGTCGACAGGCGCCCCTGGAGAGGGTGAAGGAGGTGTGGAAGGTTGTGGGAGAAGAGCGTTTTGTGCCCAGAGGATCGAGGATATACGCTTAGGTGTGGAGGACGTCGGGTCGGAGAGGAAGCTTTTAGGGGATCGGAGGAACCCGAGACTGAACTCCTTATCCTCTATAGAACTACTCGGTCTCTTCTTGCCGCCCTTGGCCATGAGATCTAATAGCCTCGACCTCGCCCGATCCCCCTGGACCATCCCCTTGGCCTGTTCCAACATCTCCCCCTTGACAGGCTCATACCGGATCCCTTCGAGGTTGACCATCTCCCTAAACTCCTTGGTCGTAAAAGCCACCTGGGCCGGTCCTCTCCGCCCCACGACCTCGACCCGCTTGACTTTCGAAGTCTTCAAGTGCTCAATGATGGGCGTGGGCATGTCGGTAGAAGCGAACTCCGAGGGCGGTTTCAAGAGGATCCTAGCGCAGTCGATGGCGACGTTTCCATGGCCGACGATCGTCACCTCTTCCCCGCTCAGATCCGGAGCCAAGTGGGTGTAAGCAGGATGACCGTTGTACCAGTTCACAAACGCCAGAGCGGGGAAGACGTTCTCCAGCCTGTCCGGCGAAGCGCTCGACCCCGGTGTGTTGGGGAGAGGTGTGGAGTGGGACGAGCCATAGGAGAAAAGAAGGGTGTTATAGTAAGGATAGAGAGATATCAGGGGGACGTGAAGAGCGTCAGGGTAGGTATATGGTGAAGAACCGGGGAGAGGGGAGGTGGATGAGCCTATACAGACGTTGCCGAAGAACCGAAATCGGGGGTCTGTGGCGAGCTCGTCGAACTTATGCTGGCAATTCTATGTGATGATACATTGAGAAGGACCAAGTCAGTACATGTGCGCACATGCGATACTTCACACAGTGCCTGTTCAATCCTAGACATGCCGTACCCTTTGCCTTAAGGTCCAAACCCACGCACCTTGACCTCGGGATGATCCGGAGCGACGCCATATCTCGCCAAGCCGTACGGCGTAGGTAACCTGTCATACATGTGCACCTCGACATGATCGCCATGTTCCGAGCCGATGGGTAGTGTCTGGAGGATCTTGGATGCGGTGTAGAATCCTGATGGGCCTGCGCCAATGATCGCCAGGCGGAGAGGTCGCGATGAGAGGGACCTCCTCGATGAGGTCGGCCGGGTGGCCATTGTCCTACGTAGGACAGCCGAGTGACGGAACAGCATGATCTACAGTTCTGTGTATGCGTCAGAACGAGGTGGATTGAGGTCGATGAGATGGAAACGAGTGGCCGAGGGATAAGAAGAGGTTGTCAAAAAAGTTGTTTGCACTTCGTCATGGTCTTCGGCGACCTCGAGGTTTGGATGACCTCCACCCCGAATCAAGGAGCGAGTCAGAGGGACAGATGACCTTGAATCATGATAACGACTCCAATTACTCCACAACACCTTGCAAGAGCAAGACATCAACCTCGCCATCACTTACTGGGTTCTCTCGCTCTGGATTCTGGGTTGACAAAACTAGATCGAACGTTTCCTGCTCATTTACAAGTCGACGAGCCGTGCGTAAGTTTCGGGCGAGTAGCGAGTAGAGAATCTCTCAACCAACACGCAGAGATAAGGGAATGCTGATGATATGAGTATCGTACTTTGAATGATCAACCACGGAGCGCAGATTCTAGCACAGCGTCACACTCACAGACAGTAAAACTCTCCCAAAATGGTCTTGACACTCCGAGCCTCTCGACAACTTCGCTCGTCATGGCATACTACGAGCATGATGACCACGAGCTTCGCCCGGTCGATGGCTAGCAAGCCAACCCCGGACAAGTCTCACCTGGTGACCACCTACGAAGACTCGATCTTTCCTCGAGGATTCAAGGTAGCCTCCTCTCACTGTGGGATCAAGAAGAAACCCGGCGTCCTCGATTTGGGGGTCTTGGTATCGACCTCGGAGACGCCTTGTTCGGCAGCAGCTTGTTTTACGAGGAACGTCTTCAAGGCGGCTCCGGTGCAGGTCAGCAACGAGCTGCTGAAACGTCATGAGGGCAGGGTCAAGGGGTTCGTAGTGAATTCGGGGTGTGCGAATGCGGTGACGGGGACGAAGGGTTTGGAAGATGCTTGGGCTATGAGCGAAAAGGTCACCAAGGACCAAAATGTCCAGGGTCAGGGTCAGGGTGGGACATTGGTCATGTCCACAGGAGTTATCGGCCAACACCTTCCTATCGACAAGATCACCTCCTCCATCCCCGATCTCACCTCCAACTTGTCGTCTTCCTCCTCCGCATGGCTCGGTCTAGCAAAAGCGTTCATGACGACAGACACTTTCCCCAAACTCCGAGCCAAAGAGTTCCAACTCAACTCTCAGACCTATCGTCTGGTTGGGATCGATAAAGGAGCGGGGATGATCCACCCGAATATGGGACCCCCTCACGGTACTCTTTTGGGTGTGATCGCTACCGACGCCCCCATCCACCCGTCAGCGCTTCAGAGCGCATTGACGTTTGCAGTGGATAGGAGTTTCAACTCCATCTCGGTTGATGGGGATATGAGTACGAACGACACCATCCTCTGCCTAGCCAACGGAGCGGGCGCTGGCGAGCGACGGGCCAAGGAGATTACGGAAAAGGGAGACCCAGAGGCGTACGAGACGTTCAAAGGAGAGTTGACGGCGTTCGCAGAGGAACTCGCTCAATTGGTCGTCAGGGATGGAGAGGGTGCGACCAAGTTCGTCACCGTCAGGGTCGAGGTGAGTCATGGCCCATCGTTGAGAAGGGCACTACTTGCTTGGTTTGGAAGAGTACTGATAAGATATTTTCGCTGCATGCATTTTCGCCTTTTGCTGGCGAGTAGAACGCCCCGTCATACGATGTCGCTAGGAAGGTAGCCTCGTCAGTGGCTACATCCTCGCTCGTCAAGACGGCATTGTACGGCGAAGGTGAGCTCAAATACCTCAAGGTAGATCGGAACCGGATGGAGCTGATTCGATGTGGTGATCTTGCTGGTAGACGCCAACTGGGGACGAATCCTCTGCGCAGTGTAGGTTACGAGCCGATCTGCGGCCCATCCATCCTCTTTACTCAACCTCAAATACTTTCCCTGTAGCGGCTACACCGACGTACCGGAGGGAACTATCTCTCCTGCCTCGGTCTCGGTCTCCTTCATCCCGCCCGCCAAATCCTCCAACCCGACCCCGTTGAGGTTGTTGACCAACGGCGAACCTGAACCCTCGATCGATGAGAGCAGGGCGAGCGAGATTTTGGCAGAGGAGGATCTGGACATCTTGGTCGATCTCGGGGTGGAGGGTGGAGAGGCGGCCAAGTATTGGACGTGCGATTTCAGTCATGTGAGTTCAATAATCATTCGGCATAAGGCGACCTGCTTGGGTCCAGCCGAGATGGAGAAGGATAGTGAGCTGATTTGTACGATAATCTGGTTGACGATCGTAGGAATACGTCACTATCAACGGAGATGTAAGTTGCCCGTCTCTTCTCCGTAGCAATCTGGATTTGGCTGATCAGTCGCTTTCCTGGATGACCTTTAGTACCGTACATGAACGCCTTTATATCGAGCCTTCGTCTATCTATGTATGGGCCCGGTGTTATATCTCTCGCTTTCGAACGAGACTACGAGTCAATAAGTCGATGATGAATAATTAGACTAGCCGTTCGTGTGCCAATCGAACCATTGCTTGCCGATTTTCGCGGAACTTCTGGTGGTAGGATGGTGGGTTATTTGCGTGAACACAGCTTGACATTGTCTGTCAGGAGGACGGTAGTCCAGCAGACGTCTAAGCTCCCAATGTCATCTTTCATCACAACAAGGACGTGAAGACGCTAAGCAGCGAAAGAGACCCGAAGCAGAGAAGTAAAAAAAAAAAGACTCGTCGTCATCCCATAAAAGATCATGGTACTATGGATACAATAATCTCTCAAATGCGAAAGGGGATCCGACGAATAAAGTGCGGTGGGGATGGGCGGATGTGAAATGGGGTTATCGATGCCGTCGACTCTGGCCACGTGTCGCCACCGACAAGGCTCTCAGAAAATTAATGGACTTGATCAGGGTCCGGGTTCCTTAGAGGCCGAGAGAGGCGAGGTTGGGCGGTCGGTAAAAATGTTGTGAGGAAGAGCGAAGTCAAATGCAGTGCCGTGTTGAGTTGGTTGAGAGGATGATGGTAAGGTAATATCGAAAAGTCGTGATGGTGGCGAAAACGAAAAAGATGTGCGATAGAAGAGGGGCGACTAGGCGAAGACCTAAGCCCTCTCTCCTCGGAGCCTTCGGGCGAGCTGCATGTCCTTGGGCTGGATGGTAACTCGCTTGGCGTGAATGGCACAGAGGTTGGTGTCTACATCGAAGGCGAAGGGAAGGATCGTAAGTGATCGAGATCGAGAAGCAAAGGAAATAGCCAAAACCGGACGTACCCTCGAACAAGCTGACGAGGTAAGCTTCCGAGGCTTCTTGAAGAGCCATAACAGCCGACGATTGGAATCGGAGGTCAGTCTTGAAGTCCTGAGCGATCTCTATATATAGTCAAAGCCATACAAGACGTGATGAGAAGCGTCAGTATTGAAGATCGTCAGGGGAAGGACATCGGCAGTGGAGGAAAGGCGACTGACCTCGGACGAGACGCTGGAAGGGCAACTTCCTGATCAAGAGCTCGGTGGACTTCTGGTACTTTCGGATCTCACCTGCAAGGTCGTGGAAGATGAGCAAAGGAACAGAGACGGATGTCGCATAGATTCGGATGGCAGACTTACGAAGAGCGACGGTTCCGGGCCTGTACCTGTGGGGCTTCTTGACACCTCCAGTGGAAGGGGCGGTCTTCTTGGCAGCCTTGGAAGCGAGCTGCTTTCGGGGACTGAAGAAGAGGCCGTCGATGTCAAGTTAGGGAGATGGATCAGGTTGAGACGGTCGAGGTGGGACTCACGCCTTTCCTCCAGTGGACTTTCGGGCGGTTTGCTTAGTTCGGGCCATTGTTAATAAGAGTTTGAGGGTTGGGGTTTGGTATCGGGGCGAAGGCGTTGAAAATGAGTCGAGATTGGGTGTTTGTTGGTGAAGAGAAAGAAAATGGATTAGAATCGACCTTGAAACCTCGAGAATCCGACTTGGTCTTATACGTTTCTCCCGACCTTGGGCTCTACGCGATGACGATCGCGAGACGCGCCTCGCCCTGCCCCAAGAGATCACGTGAGTGTCCACAAAGTAAACAACCCGATCAAAACGCATTTCTCCGCGGACTTATGCGTTCTCATACTCGAGTCCTTGTCCCCGCGTCGACTCGCAACTCTATAATTCAGCGATCGTACCGCGGATCATCAACCGCGCCTCGATGGAGATATGGAGACCCACAAAACCGTGAAACCTGTGGTGTAGTGGTATCGTTTCGTCGACAAAATTCGAAATTGCTGGAAACGTTCTCTAAACCATTTCTGGTAGCGTCATCTGGTAGCGGGTACATTGAGGAATGCATTTATGCAACCAAACCGACGAATAATGCCTCGCACGAGCGGTCGTTGGCGATCTCGATGCCGAATTGAAGTCTGCTAGGCAGATCTGCTAGGCGCGGGACGACCTGCCTGTAGTGCGCTTAAAACAATCTCATGGCCGCGATCGTATAGCATTATAGTCTCGTAACGTACAGCGTACCCTGTTCGAACACGCAAGAACCGTACCTCAAACCGATAAAAGGCTGCAAGATCCGAACGCGCATGCATCGTGTCGCTTTGGCGCTTAGGTTTTGCCTCATCGATTGAATTGTTAGGTCCGCCATAGCCGGTTCATTGCCAGACCAATCGCTTCAAGGCTTGTACGGATCCGCTGATCCTCATTCTCATCGATTGGATGAATCGAATACGGGTGTTAGCGGTGTTAGCGAGTATGCGTGAATCTCATTGTATTGGGCTCACCGATCGTCGATGTTCGAGTTTCGTGTCTTCCCTCATCGCGCAGCAAATACATCGTATCGCAGTGTTCCAGCAGAATACTGGCATATGCGCATGCATCACAAAGTAGAAGAGAAGATTATATCAAAAATTAGTAGGATGTGTTTTAGTAGTCGTTCTAGATATCACGATCCAGCGAAATGGTATCCCGCCGCTCTAGACCGCTGTGATATGCGTTACACAAACATGGGCCTGTGTATTCGACTTCTTCGAGCGACTTTTGCTCTTGTTTTTCTAGGTACATGCTTCAGTAAAGACGTCGCCATGTGGCCAAAGCGTATGCTACCACTAAGAAACCCCGCGGGTAGCGACTGACCCCAACAGGATCGCGGTGGCTGCGAAATATACATTACTGGTAAGGCGACAGCAGAATGACAAGATACCATAAATGCCGAATTACGAGTCGAGCGCTTCGACGATTCTTTTCGAGACACCAGGACGTCTACGGTTCTTCTCTTCCAGTTGAATCAAGCTACAAATTGAATGTTCTACTCTAGTAGTTCGTGATCAGGATAGACAATTAATTAGGTCGGCGAAGTGTTGTCGCGCCAACTCCCCAAGATGTAGGAAACTGTGAAGAATCTCATGACCATCGCCATTGCGTATCTTGCATACTTGACAGGGAGGCAAGATCGTGTCGGCTTCGCATAAGGGATGTTGGACGGTGCAAATCTCGCTTGCGAACCGTCAAGCATCGTCTCGCAGCTTTTCGCCTCGAACGCCCGGTCCATGGTTTCGCTCGACAACCCTCGACCGCCTACCAGCTACCAGACATGCAATTCATGCAAGACGCTGCCCCCGCTGGTAATTTGTGGTTGTTCGACCCTTGCCGATGTCCATGCCGATGAGCATGCCGAAGGTGAAGCGGCGATGAAACGGGGCAGATCGCAAGTAGTCGTTCCGGGGGGCTGACCCCGATCAGATCCGGCCGAAACGAGACGGGTTGAGACGGCGGGATCTTTGTCATGCCGCCGGCGCCAAGGAATCTGATCGGAATCGCCCCATTCACGTGCCCGCTCCTCGTCCCGCCTGAATCTTCGCCTAGCGTCGATCGCTCGCGCGCGTCAAGGGGGAAAGCCAAGGGACAGCTGAGACGATCCGATGACGAATCCACCTTCTGGAAAATCTTGGAAACGTCGACGACGTTGACGACGTTGACGTTTCGAGAACTTGCCTCCGCCTTCTCCCTCCCTCTCCAGCCTCGATACGGACGATGATGGATCACGGGGATCACCAGATCACCATGTCATCATCAAAGGGACTTGCCGTATCGAGCCGCAGCGAGTCGAAGGGGGAGGAGCGCGGCAAAGTGACGCAACCGATGACGCCCCCCAAGCCGAGCAAGCCGAGTGTTTTCCCAGCTTCTACCTTCTTCCCCCCAGCTAGTGGTGGCGTGGTGGAAGGCTGACGTAGGATCATTTTCGTTACTACTGCGGCAGCGATACCCACGAAAAATCGGGTTACTCTCCCTCTCCGCTCTCTCCCCCTTTGATGAAGAGTAGCCTTCGTCCATATATAATCCCTCGAGCCCCTCGAATACCTTCGGTTCATATCGCCCCCCTGACCTCGACTTGAACGATTATCAACTCGCTCTCATCGACTACTAGTAACAAACCCCCAGACCAATAACTTCATCTCGAACTCATACTCAGCCATGGCTCTGTGAGTATCTACGTCCTCTTCGTCTGCCCGCCAGACCAGATCGGATCGATCCCAGGCTGACCTCTACGTCTACCTGTTTTTCAACGTTCCGACAGCCTCACCACGGTCAAGAACCTCGTACTCGGAGTCCTTCTCGCTTGTGCCTTTTCGTCGTTCATCCTTTCGATCATCTGTACGTCCTCGATACTGCTTCTGTCCCACAAGGGAATCATCGCGATTCCTGTACAGTCCAGTTCGGATCGCTGACCTCCAGGTTTGTTCTATCTTCGGCGTAGACACCAACCGACAGATCGAGGATGATGTTGGTTACAACCCGGCCGTGATCGCTTTCCTCGTCGTTGGTATCGTCCGTAAGTGATCGATCCACCTCGTCCTGACTATCGTCTCGGATATCCTTTATTGACGACTTCAATTTTGTTTACGTTGTATTTCTGTAGAGACCCTCTACATCGTCTTCCAACTCGCCAGTCGTATGAGGGGTAACATAAACAAGACCATGATCCCCTTCAGCATCCACACCTTGGTCACCCTTTACTACCTCGGTAAGCCTTTGACCACTCCTGGCTTCGCTCACATTGCCTTTGACTGACCCTCCTTTCGCCTTGTTCCTCGTACCTACAGGTGTCGCCATCACCTTCACCGTCAAGCGATACGATGCCCCTCACTACTGCCCCGCCGGTATCATCAGGGACGTCACCGGTTGTCTCGGTCTTTACAAGGCTCTGATGGCCATCGCCTGGATCGACTTTGGTTTGAACTTGATCTACCTCGCTCTTCTCGCCATGGCCGCCTCGAAGTACGGTGGATTCGGAGTTCAGGAGGGACACCTTTACCCCGCTGAGGATCTCGAGAGGCAGGCTGTTGCCGACAAGGCCGGACACTAGATCAGATTCGTCTTCATCTAGTTTCACGACCGGACCGAGCGGAGATGCAGGGAGAAGAATGATCGGAGCAGGAAAGTAGCTCGTTGGCCTTCCAGAGTGGCTCAAGATACGAACAAAGCACATACACTACACTCTGGATCGGGCGAGTTTGCTAGGAGTTCGAACAAAACTGTATCAAATAGACCATAATACCAGCACGAGGCCCTCTTCCTCCCCGGGGCTATATACCGGGTTCGGAGGGGTCAGTGCTCGGACGGAAACGTACACTTATAATATTCACATACATTTACGATCGTCACAAGTCACGACTGACTGTTCGAAGTTGTTTGGGGAGATCGTAACTCAGCTGGGGATTGAAATAGTGATGGATTGATAACGAAGGTGAAGGGAGTTTCGCCTAAACGGCGTGAGATTGTTGTCCACGAGCACAGGTTGGCCATCATGGCATCGGGGTTCAGTATATGATACAACAACGGTATTGCGGCACGATGATGAGGTCGAAGTAGAATGGTTACACGCCGATTTCGCCGGACGATGGGTTTCTTCTGTCTGTCTTGTACATATCGCGGCATTCGGCTTCGATCGAAGTTTGCAAAAAAAGGAAGAGAGCACCATCTACAACATCTACTACTCGGCCCTGACCATCACCTCATCTCCCGCACGTAACCCCAGATCCGACAGCCTGGTGTTCATATCGTCATCACCCAGTCTGCCACTCTCGAACTCCAAGTGAAACGCGCCGGTGGCTAGCGCTGAACCTGCCGCCTTTTTCAGCTTGATCATCAGGATCTTCAATGTCGCGGAAGGCAGAACGGAAATGGTCTGCGGCAGAGTCGAGGCTTGGTCTAAGGGCGAGTCTGGAAAGACCAGCTTCAGATCTGCGTGATGGCCCTGAAATGAGCCTCCTTCTTCGAGCGGGATCGCGTATTGCTTCGTGATCTGCTTCGCTGCTTACCGATCATTTTGCTTTTGAGGCTGTTCTGCAAGGGTTTAGATATCGCCGCGGTATCGCTGATCTGCACCTTGACGTCCTGCCTCGGCTGAGCTTGTAGGGATTGAGCGATCTTGGCTGCCTCTTCTCGCTCAGCTTTCGTCACCTAACCAAATCCGAAGACGGTTTAGCGACCATCAGAAACGTGTTTGCTTCAAGATGGCTCACAGGCGACGAGTTCAGCTCTTCCAGCCCTTGGAACCTCGCGACCAGCCCAGCCCTATCCGCTCTCGTCCCCGATAAGCGCTGTCTGTCTGGTGACAACCTTTCCGGAACCTCTTCCGCAACATTGATTCGCGACGAGATCTTGAGACTCTTTAAGACGACAGGATCGCGATCGAACCAACTGGCCAGGTTCCCCAAGTTTTCCCAATCGTCAAGCGTGGTCTCCTTGATGACGAGCTCTTTCAACGGCTGGAATACCGCCGGTGGCGATGCTGATGACGACTTATTCGGGACTGAGTGAATCGGATTGACCGAGATGTCGAGTCGCTCGAGTCTGCGCAAGTTGGCCGTATCAGTCTCATCCGTCTACGAACCCTCCGGAGGAGAGACGTCTTGGTAGACTCACGCAGGTAGACTCCCAAACATGTCCACAATATCTTCCCAAGCTGAGATATTGCAATCCCCTACCACAAGCTCACGCAGGTTGTCGAACCCCGATGCCGCCTTCCGTCCTTCTTGTCTGCTAGAGCAAAGGGGATTTACGGCGATATCCAACCTTTCGAGATTCGGGAATGAACTCGAGAGTAGCGTCACCTATCACATCGATATTATCGGTGTGGATGTCAGCCGGGTCTCTGCCGGATGGGAGGTAGTTTCGCTTACGTCTGGCCAGGATACCAAGCTATTCCGGATGGTCAAATCGGTTATATCCCGAAAAGCGGTTCCAACGACCCCATCAAGCGAGCTTTCAGGTTGCGGCAATCGGGAATGACTGCATACAACCAGATTTCAGTACGACAAGGTCATTCTTAATCAATACGATCTGTATGCCTTACTTGAGTTTCAGGTTCGAGAGCATTGGCAATACTCGGACAATATCCGCCAGGTCTTGCCAACAAGAGATGAGATTCCCGGATAGGTCGAGGCTTTTGACAGCTGGATCACACCCCAGACCAGTAACTCATACGGTTCAATTGATGTGATACAGCAACGGAAGATACAGCCCGAGCCCTCACATTTCAGACGATCCAACATATTCATATCCAGATCATTACCCTCCCCCTGAGCTTTCATACCATACATCCACATCCCATCCAGACCCAAATGCGTCAACCGGCCCAGATCCGCAAACTTGCTGGTGACCTTGTTCAGATTCGGGACGGTGACCTGGATCCGACTGTTAGACGAGCCTAACACCAAGCTGTGATCGTTCGTAGTTTCGACAGGTTGCTCCATATCTGGGAGGTCCGTGTCCAGGTACCGATCTTTAATGGCTTGTAGAAGCGTCCTTCCTCTCCATAGTATCTCCCCATCGTTGGCGGTCCCGTTCGTACCTCCTCTTGCCTTTGAAGCGTCCTTCGGTTTCCATCGCAAAAAGCTAGCCGCTCCTTCGACCCTCGACGTAAAGTACTTTACACCGAGGTGGGTCCCACTATGCTTCCCTCGAGTGAGATCGTCCCATTCCACTCCGAGCCAGATTCGATCTCGTTCGGCTTCGGTCTGCGTGTTGGTGGTCTGGGTCGTGACGGGTCCGACGTAGCGGAGCGTACATGGTTGGGCTGTCGCTCGATGGAGGTATCTCGTGGAGATTTCGTAAGGTGGCTCCATATTGCAAGCGGTCGTACACGGATCATCAGCTAGCAGTAGGTCGTTGTGAAAGGGAGGGAGGTCGATCAAGTTGTAATTGCCTAGATTGACCAGAAAGAGGTCGACTAGCTTGAAGTCTCCCTAGGGCCGGCCTACAGGTCGCGCTTGGGCACTTGGTAGGCCGGGATGGACCAATCCGAAAGATCGACCTTTCCACAACCTTCATATTATCAACGTAACAGAAAGACTTATATCTCTATTCAGCTAGCCACGAACTGGACTTGCCGACAGCCTTTGTCACCTGACAGTCTCCCCGGGGACGCATCGCCGAACAGTCAGAATACCTTTGAGTCCAGACACCCCGCTCGTCAAGACCGACCTCTACCTCGATCGTGACCATGGACGCCCTCGGCCTTCCTATGGCCTTTGGCTCAACATCCTCCAAATTCGCAGCTCCTCCCGACAATAATCCAACCCCAACCGGCAGCAATAACAATAATAACCGTCGGGGAGACCACAACGGGAATGGTGGAAATCGAGGTCATGGGAGGGGTCGAGGAGGTGCGAGGGGTATGACGAACGATGCGAGGATGGGCAACAGGCCATATCGCGGCGGTCGAGGTGGGGCAGGGGGCGGTGGAAGAGGCGGAAGAGGTGGTGGAGATCAGGGTTATCGAGGTGGGAGATTCGGACCTGGTGGTGGTGGAGGAGGAGGTGGTGGTGGTGGTGGGACCGGTCAGGTACACAAGGTCAGCTTCAAGTCCGCCTGTGCCATCCGGATACTATCCTCATCTCTACTGATGCTTATCCATTCATGACGCTCCGCAGACTCCGGAAGGCACAGCATATTACGACGAAAAATTCTTCGAGGATCCGTGGGCCAAGATCAAGAGAGTGACATGAAATCATCCGCCGGTCCATTCTATGACATACACGCATGACCGGATTGTCGAGTTCGAACAAGAGATTTCCGGCCGACGTCACACTCTGGGGAACCATAGGTCGAGCAAAGGAACCGAAAGAGCTGGTAATGCTCGTTAAAGAAACAATTTGGGAAACCCTCGACTTGCGAGCACGGTGATGAATAACTCGATGACGCTAGAGACCCCGCCTATTAGTGGTTTCTTCCACCTCGAAGGTCATGTGGCCAAGTCACAGACCGTACAGTAGGAGCGGCAGGAACATTGAGCATGCCGCACCGGACATCGTTCCTCTGCTGGGATATGATCAAATCTAAACATGATCCATACATTAATACATATCGAATGTTGATGAACAAGACGAGGCCAAGAATCGAAAAGCGGCAGCGCATCGAGCGATACAGAATATATAATTTGAATTATAAGGGTATGCGAGAAAATCGAGGCCGAAGAGGTCCACACGAATGTCGAGGCAGCGCAAGCGAGTACGAACACGCGGGTCTTAATTCGGACGTGCTCTAATCGTAAATAGGCAAGGGGAGAATCTTGTCCGACTGAAATCGGTTATCAAAAGGTAAAAGGTCGAGTTAGCTTGATATGACTTGTTGGCAACTGAGAGCAGGCTCACGTTGAAGAGGAAATTATTGGCGGCATCCTCTGACTCCAAAAATCTTGTAGGGTATACGACTGTAAGACACATATCGCAGAACGCAAAGGACCGGACGATTAGCGCTCGAACCGGAACGGAAACCCTGCCCCGTGGTCGGGTCTCACCTAGATGGCCCCGGACCTCCTCCAGCAGGATCTCCATCTCCTCCTTTTCCCACTCTTGCCAAGCCTCGTTGGGTCCACTCGGCCGCTTGTTCTTGCCCTCGACGTTGCCACCCCCGCTACCACCTCCACCGGATCCGTGACCTTCTCGTTTCTGAGGTCCGTCGGTCGCCCTCGAGGCGGTGTGTTTATGGCCCGCTCCAGTCGGTCCCGAGGTGGGGTCCAAGATGTGGTGCAACGACGAAGCGGACGAGTTGGACGAGCCGTTAGACTTGAGGCGGTCTAGGGGATGCCCGTCGACAATGTCGCTGGCACGTGTGGCGGTACCCTCGTTCGGGCCAACACCTTCTTGTCCAACGATCCCTCCCCCGCTTCCTCCACCTCCAGCGCCGTGCGTCCCAGGTCCATCGTGAGTGACCTTGGTCGGATCGTGGTTGTCGGGCGTGACGTCGGTCGGGATCTTGTTGAACTTTTCGGCGTGATTCGCAAACGCCTTGTATGACGCCCACGAGGTGACGAGGTCGTCCGGAATGCATCGGAACACTTTACGGTAGATCTCGGTATTGTGCACAGCTGTGGCGATCCACATGTCTTTCCAGAACGAATCGAGTAGCGGATCGGCAAACTTGTCGGCCTCGATGATGGGGGTGGGAGTCGGCATCGTCCACTACGCAGAGGCCATCATCGAACATCAGCCCGCAGACTCATCGACACAAGGTAGAATCGATACTTACGGGAGAAGTCCCGACCTTGGCGTTCAAGTGTTTTCGCAGAGTAGAGCGCGCCTTGACGGCAAGCTTCTCTTCTTCCGTCTCGTCTTGTCTCTCGGTATCCTTGTTGGGCACATGATGATCTCCGCTATCAGCATTGGCAGGCACCCCAAACTTGTCCTGCTCGTTAGCCGGGCCTGCAATGAGGGGCGCCTTGCCGGAACCGCTCTTGGGATCTTCAACCTCGTCGATAGGCTTGTCGTTGAACTGCTTTCTCTCGTCGGACGTGATCTTGGCCTCGGGCACATCACCAGTCTTCCCATTGCTATTCGTCTCGCCCTGCTCGTCAAGCGCATCGAACAGCGGCTTTCCGTTCGCGTGCCCCTGTGACGGTCGTCGCTCAAAGATGGTCCTCTCTTCGAGCGTCGGCATGACCGAGCTTGCGAATCCAGCCGTGAGATCGCCTTCCCGGTCGTAATCTTGCCGTTCGCTAGGGTCGCCTTTGGGCGCTCCCGAGGTGGCAACGGTGTTGTGTTGGTTCAAGATGGCAGCCGGCTTGATCACGATGTTGGCAGCCTTCTTGACGTTTGAGATTGCATTCTCGCTCATGCCCTTGGTGACGGCACCCGCACCGCTTTGAATGGTCATCAGCAGACGGTCCCTGGCGTGACGATGCTTAACTGTCGTCCTTCCCGATATATTGTTCTCGCCCTCGTTCTGCTCGTGGTCAGGGTCCCATTTCTGCAAGTGGTCCTCGTGAGCGATCGGGTCTCGGGCCATCAGCTCGTCCTCCTCAATCGCGTCGACATCAACCCCGACGTGCTCTCGCATTAATCGCATTCGCAAGGTGTGTGCGAATCGTCCGACTTTGTATGGTTTGCCAGCCATGGTGCTGTGTCATTCGCAGATGGTTTAGCACCTTCCTGACATCGACCCGAACGGCATGCACACCCACCTGTCGATCATGTCCGTATCACGAATGACGGCAGCCAATTCCGAATCTCGATCACCAGACTGTGATCGCTCGTTGATATTGGCAGATCCACAAATGACCAGCCGATCGTCCACAACCATCGTCTATGGGCGCACAAGCGGGCTGTCAATCGGGAGCTAACGATTTTGTCAATTTAGAAACCGACGTACCTTGCCATGAATGTACACTTGTTCGGTCGTGAGGGCTCCAGACTTGAACTTGCCCCATCCTCGCAGAGCAAAGAAGGAGATGTATTCGTTAGGCTAATTACATAAAGAGTCAGCGTGGAAAACCGGAGTTGAGGCGAGAATCGACCTACGTCGATGCCCTCCTTCTTCAACCGGGAAAAGATCGATTGGGCGCCTCGAGAAATGGTTCGATTTTGACATTCGAGGATCAGCCGCACGGAACTGGCTTCGGCAGTGTCGATGGGGAATGTGTAGCCTGGAAGTAGAGGAATCATGATGCAGGCTTTCCAGGGGGTCTCCTCCTTGTGCGCGCGGATGATCCTATCTACGATAGCATCCCCGATACGGTTTTTGATCTCGACTCCATCGACGACGGTCGAGGTGATAAAGAACTGGTTCTCGATGTAGACAAAGTGGTCGGAGAGCTGGATAGCTGCGTATACGGGATGGTCAGCGGGTCAGGTTGCCATGTCATGTCGAGACTTTTGCGATACTTACCTTTTAGGTAAGCATTCTGAATCGAATGTTCCAGGGTAGTGGGCGTGCCCATCGACCAAGGTCCGCAGGATCGGCAGATCTGAACCTCACACGTTCCTTGTAGTCCGAAGGATTTCAGTTGCATCTCGGTAAAGTCGGCAGGCGGCAGTAGGAAAGGCATGGGGCGCTTGTGGTTCTTGGTACGGATGAGATGATTCCATCTCTGTATAAAGTGTCGACACAAGTCACGTGCCGGTTGTCCGACAATTTGAAGTCCCACATCGTGCCATGGCATTCGAGGTACCTTCGTCCGGTCAAACATGTCTTCGAACGGTTTGTTCAGGGTATGGAACTCGACGACTCGCTCGTTGGCCATGTCCTTGCCTGGCCAGATCGGTCCGTTCTCGCCCACAGCGCCGGGTTCAAAGTCATCATCCACTAGGACGTGTTGCGACGTGTCCCAGCGACCGTAACATAGATCTAGACCTCCCATAAAAGCGATCGCTTCATCGATCACACAGAGCTTCTCGTGGTGCGACCAGTAGAAGGTACCGGTCTGGAAATGCGAGGGGGATCGCTGGACCAGGATGTTAGGGTGGAGCGACATAAGCCTCTTCTTGGCGTAGGTGCTGTCGGTGGGCGTTGTCTTGTCCGAGACCTCGTTATAAATGATGATGAAGATCTTGACGCCCTCTTCAGCTTTGCGTTTCAAGAGGTTGTCTAGCCTATACCTTTCGTTGCCGGGTCGGCGAAGGTATAATTCCGGACTGATCCACCAGTCGTGGATGTATACTGTTTCCTTGGCCATGTTTAGAGCCCGACTCAGGTTCCAATAGTAATCTCGCCCGTCGACAAGCCACTGGGCCGCGACGTTCATACGAATAGGGGCAAAAGAGTCGAACCGATTGCGTCCTGCCCAGACCGACTGCGCAGCTACACGTTCCATCGATACGATGAACTGCTGCATCTGCCGCACGTTTTTGGCAACCAGTTTCAAGCGGCGCTGAGAGCTGTTGATGTAGAAGGTGTGCTGCGAGGCGTCCCGACTATCTCCCTCACCCAGCGCCGTACTATGTTGACTCAGCTTCTTCTGCTGTTCCTTGGTCAACGCTTGGCCGGATCCGGCGGCAGCAGCGATCTCATTCAGGTTCTTGTCCTCGGCCGAGGTATGATTGCCCTCGCCTTCCTTGGCATTGTACCCGACTGCGGATTTGATGGAGCCCTGTCCAGTGAGTTTCTTCAGCCCCTGGCGCAACGCTCGTTTCGGTCGCTCAATGTTGAAGTCAGGGTCGATCAGGAAGACATCGTAGTAGTCGGTCTATGCGCATGACGCAAGTCAGTGACAGGGTGGATGAGATAGGACCGTCCAGCCAGATGACTTACCGACTCGGGTCCGTCCGTTGCCACAAAGTAGCTCTCTCGCACGATCCACCATTTTGGCTCACGGGCGTGTTTCCAGCTTGAGGGAAGTAGACCCGGCTGATTGGCTCGTTTGCTCGCGTTGTTGCCCAGGATACGAAGGAAGCCGGCCTTGCCTTGGAAACCGCCTCGAGGAGCGAGGGCCAGGGTGAGGGATGACAGTTCGAAGAACCGACACAGACGATTGGCTTCGGAACGGAACATCTAAGAAGTAGGGATATTTAGCGGGGGACAGACAAGCAGACAGGACCACCTTCAGACCTACCACCGCACGGATGAGATCAACGAGGTACTGCTGGAGTACCGCTCGCGATTCTCGACTGGCTTCCTGCTTCGACTTGTCCTTTCTCGACATGTCAATCTCCTTGGCCTCCTTTTCCGCCGTATCGCCGTCGAGCTTGCCTTCGAGTCGTCGAAACTTGTTTAGGTAGGGGATACCTGAGAGGCAACAAGATCGATTGAGTAAAGACGGCGTAACCACTGAGATTGACCGACTACTCACTTGTCTTGGGGAATTCCGGAATTTCGACCCGCTTCGCGCCTCTAAATTGGCTCACACGGGTACCCAGGTTGTCCGCCTTGTAATGCGTGTGCAATGATACAAAGTCACGAAGCTCTCGGTAGATGACCTTGAATTCGGGGGAAACGGCCTTGTCAGCACGTGTCGCCGCATATCACGACGGAGAAGCTGAACTCACCCATTTCACGGCACCATCCCCGTACTCGCACTCGATCCTAAACACCTCACGTCCCGTCTGTTGTCCATCCTTGTTGCCCCCAAACCCGGCCGAGTCACCAACCCTAAACTTGAGACTTCCCAAGAGAACAGGAACGGTCCTGGCGCCATGCTCGTCCCTGTCCATCCAAGTCTTGAGGATCATGGCGGGCAGCTGCCCCGCGAGCAGCTCGGTCGTAACGGGAATCTGTGCGGGCGACGACTGTTTCTCCGAGTTGGCCGTCTGTCGGTGAAGCAGTTTGGCCCGAAGGACGGTCCATTTCTGTTGTCCCGTCGTCTTTGGCTCGTCGACCGTTTTTTCAGCGTCGAGTGGGCCTTGAAGTTCGGTCACCGAACCTGCCCGGGAATGGTTGGCCGATGCCGAACCCTGTTGAGGTGCCTCGAATGGTCCGCTATGCGAATCACCACCTTTTCTTCGAAAGGTCGACCATATCCTCTGGTTCTTCGGTCGCTTACTCGCTGGGCTCTCGTTGGCCGACTTGAGTTCATCCTGACGGGCGGGATCGGCCTTGGGGATGCGTTCTTCGCCCGCTCCGCCGTTGACCCGACTCGACCTCCTGCCCGGACCGACCCCGTTCAGGTTACCAACATGATCCTGCCCCTCTTCGTTCCTCAGCCTCTCCTCGTCCGAGCTACTTGACATGCCATCATCCGAACTGGACGCCGCGTCCTCTTCCTCTTCTCCATAATCGTACCGCCGATCTCCCTCGACGAGCGGCCCATGCTTATCACTTGGCCCCACGTGATCCCCCCTCAACATCCGCTCATCATCGTACTCTGCATTCTCGTCATCATCGGGCTGTTTCTTGAGACCCAACAACTCCCTCTCCTTGGTCCTGGTCGAAGTCAATCGATCTTCCGGATCAGGCGCATGTCGCCACGTCGAACCGCTGGGCAAGTCTTCCGTCTCCCCATCCGCCGAGACCTCGAGCAAGACCCGGTCGGCCTTTTCGTGCAGGTCGGGTGCGTCGACGGTATGATACCTGATCTTGGGGACCCGGGGTTTCAGGTTGATCTCGTTCCTCGGTCCCGGCCTTTCTTCCCGCTTGCTGCCATGCAAGACATCCGGGACCTGTCCGTTCTCCGCCGGTCGTCTGTCCTGCTTTGGTAACCGTTCCCGATCGTCCTCTTCCTTTTCTTCGTCCGTCATATGATCCCTCTGCGCTTCCGGGTCCCTGGCCCCTTCATTTGCGTGGTCCTCGTCATCCCTATGCCCATGGACTCGAGGTGGATCTTGATCATTCCCTTCCCTATCCATCGTCTCCTCCTTGCTCTTGCCATGATACGCATGTTCAGGCCGATGTCCCGTATAAGGGTAAGACAGATCTTGTCCGGTAGGTTGTCGGGGTGGAACCCCATCTGGGTCCAACCACCTCCTCTGCGATTCCTGAGCCGTAGAAAGTTTCTCCTCGGCTCTGGCGGACGGATGATGTTCTTCAGCGTGTTCCTCTGCGTGCCGTTCGACGATCTTGGTCGCACGGTCGACATCACGTTGTTCCATCTCTTCACGTCCGATCCTCCTCCCCGCCGCGTGTCCTGACAAGTCCGAATCTTTCTGCTGCTGAGCACCACCTTGATCTTGATCTCGATCTTGATCTTTCCCCGAGTCCAGGTTCCCGCCGACTGCTTTTTGCAACAACCCAGCCGCTTTCCTGTACCTGGGATCTTCCTTCTCCTTCTCCCCCATCCTGCCGAATTCTTCCCCATCGCCAGCCTCACCTCCAGTACGACCCCGCCTAGCAGCGATACTCCCCGGCCCATCGTTCTTCTCATCCTTCAAGCTCACCCCGGGGGTCTTTTCCAACTCCTCCTTTCTGGCCTTGGTCAACCCCGACCCGGGCATCCCATGACTGAAATGCCCAGACTCTTGGTTCCTATCCAACCCGGGATGATCTCCCCCGGAATCGAACCGCGCATGAAGACCGTCCCCGCCATGCGGATTGTTGTGATGGGCGTGGGAAGACGAATGATCGCCTACGGCACGTCTCGCTATATCCCCAAACGTATGCGGTTTATCCTGACCGTGATCATGTTCATGCCCATGCTCATGAGAATGGGGCTGAGCGTCCCCCCCATGCGGAGCGTGCGAAGTCGACGCATCCCCCGCACGGGCCGTCGAATCCGGGACCTGTGCGTTCTTCCCATTCCCCGTCTCGTCGTAATGATCGACAGCGCTCGGACGATCCCCCTGCGTAGAACCTAACGAGGAGAGGTTTGACCGCTGAGATCCTCCCGAGTTGGATCGAGAGCGGGTTCGGGAGACGTGAGAGAGGACCCGGTCCATCGTGATCGTCAATCGAAGGATAGAGCGTTAGGTTGAACTAGAGTATTAGAGTCGAATGGAGGTTTCCGAGATGGAGGTCCCGATCGAAGGTACGGATCACAGGCCGGAGCTCGAGATCAGAGATCTAGGATAGGGGTCGAGGAGCGAGAGGTGTAGGACTAGGGGAAAAGAGTGTTGAAATAATATGTATCCTGGATTATCTCGACCTGCAGTATGACGCGACCAAGACGAAGAGAAGTATCGAACATCAGTACTGGGTTTCTCTTGCTTTTGCTTTTTAAGGGGACGCTATTTCGATCTCGATCTCGATCGCAAGTCGACGATGGTCATGGCCAATGTGATGGCAAGAAACCCATCGAAATTCGATGCTCGAGTGCGAATCCTCTAGATCAAAAGACAACGATAAGGGTCGCGGGGCTTACATTGATGGTTCCGATTGTGGCAGGGTAGCACAAGACTTTCGTAGGGTAGTTGAATAAACTAGCTAGCAGTAGAATAGGTAGCTAGGTATATCTTGATAGTGATATGGTGATTGACGACGACGGCGACCCCCCTTGTTCTCCCCTTGCTTCGAATTTCCCGGGTATCTGTTGTGTTTGTGTGTTGAATCACAACCCCGTCGGTCCGGTACTGGCGTACTGGTAGATGGAAAACCTGCGGATCGAAGAGATGAACACAGTGGGAGCCAAGAGGGAGATAAGATCCTTGACTGCGAGGTAGTATGTATGGACTGCGAGGGAATGTCAACCTCTGATCTCTCTGATCACTGTGACCTTGTGTTCGCTAGGTCGACGACGTATCGACCCAATAACTCTAAACTTGTCTGCTGCGGAATCTAAACAGCATCCGCCCTCTCCCTCTCTCCCTCTCCCTCTCTCGCTTAGGAGGATCGTCAGTGGCTTGCTCGCTCTTCGTCGGCGACTAACCACCCACACCCACCCCCGCTCTCGGCCAGCCGGTTGTAACGTCGCTCCCTCGCAGCAGCAGACCACGCAGGTCGCATCAGTTGCACAGTTGAAACGTCAAAACACCCTCAAATGATCAGAGACCAGAGTCCCGAGTACTACTATAGTGACCACTCAACCGGGACAGGACAACTGTCACGGATGGCGTCCATTACCCCATCTAACAACGTCGTATTATCACATGACGTCTCATCGATGCGTTTTCTCTACAAATACAAGGGATCCGACGTCGAACGAGGACGTTCCGCCGGAACTCTATTCTCCCAAACATATTAGAAGACAAGAATGATAGCAGAGGAAGAGTGAAAACAAGAAAAAAAAAATAGAGAGAAGATGCGTAAAAATGAAGCCCCACGAACGAGCGTGTGATTGTGAAATGGTGTTGGCGTAGGCTCATTATCGGTGTATATGGTGGTAGTCTTGTGTCGGCTCGCGAGCAGAGCGTCATCCTCCGAGTCCAGCTGGAATGGGCGAAACGCCTAGTTCTGGCCGTGTGTCCCGCCCCGGCTTCTAGTTCTCGTGGACGAGCTCTTCGGCCCGACGGATGACTTCGTCCGCCGACCACCTGTTCTTGCCCGTCTTCAGGTCGAGAATATCGCCAATCTCGTCACACGCTCGAAGGATCAAGTCGATATCGTGCTTGGTGTGCGCAGCCGAGAGACAGAATCGGACTCGGGAGGAGATCAAGGGGGTGGCGCTGCCGTGAGGTCGAGATAGAAATCGAGTCAGACGAGTGAGGCCATACCTAGTCTGTAGGAAAAAAGTCACTCACGGATAAGCCACGACGACGACCACAACCGGCGTCCTGTCCTTGCCGACACGCTCCAACATCATTCGCGAAAAGACGGGCATCTTGCCCGGGTGGAACAAGAAGAGCGGGACGATCGGCGAGTCTCGATGTCCGCTGACGACGAACCCGAGCTTTCGAAGACCCGAGCTGAGGTACCTCGAGTTGAAAGCCAGTCTTCGGAGTCGTTCGCGTCCCTCGGTACCGTTGAGCAAGGCGGGCGGGAGGTGCATCCAGGGAGGCAAGTAGTGCGATGGGGCGGGACCGTAGACCGCGGGACCGGGCTCGTGGGCCATCTGCAGGGCCGGGAGGTCGGTATCCGAGGAAGACGGGTGCAAGGCGAGGGTAGGCTTGAAGTCTGGAGAACTGGTAGCGGCGGTAAGAGGCGGCGAGACACCCATGATCGAAGCCATGGACGAGATGATCTGGGTCAAGACGGGCGGCGTGATGGCCTCTGCATAGGCCATCGAGTGGGACTTGACGCGGATCCTATCGATGACATCCTTGTTGCCCGCGATGTAGCCGCCTGTAAAGCATCGAGAAAGAGTTTAGCAGTCATTCATCCGCATGCCCGGTAACTACACTTGACGTACCTGAAGCTCCAAACGACTTGGTAAAGGTACCCATAAGGATATCGATACACCTCGGGTCGACGCCAAAGTAGTCACAAACACCACGTCCGTTGGGACCGAGAGCGCCGATCGAGTGAGCCTCGTCGACGTACAGGTAGAACTGGCAGTTCGAGTACAGCGAGTCAGCCCGGCTCCATTTTGTACCTCGACCAAACCCCGTATGAACCCACCTTGTACCTCTCCTTCATGACGATCAATTCGGGCAGGTGCAACATGGTTCCCTCCATCGAGTACAATCCCTCGACGATGACCAAGATCTTTTTCCACGGCCTGTGGGTCCTGGGCTGACCCTGACTGATGCTCTCCCTCAACAACGTGTCGAGCGCCTTCATGTCGTTGTGCTTGAACGTCCTCACGCTAGCACCCGACAACCTGACTCCGAACCGGATCGACGAATGGTTGAACTCGTCCGAGATGACCAAGCATCCCCGATCGACGAGCGCGGGGATGGTCGTCGAGTTGGTAGCGAAGCCCATCGAAACGATCATGGCGTCCTCGGATCCGATGAATTGGCTGACGAGCTTTTCCGCTTGGACGTGCAGGTCGAGCGTACCAGCCTCGAGACGAGCACCCCCGGCGCTGATCCCGTACTTTCTGATGCCGGCCTCGACAGCATCGGCACATCCGCCCGTAGCCTGGGCGAAACCGAGATAGTTGTACGACGAGATGTTCAAAGCCCGGGTCTTGGTCCCCGTAAGCTGGAACGACTTGTGCTGGTCGTCGCTCTTTCGATCGAGTAAAGTGACAGTCCTTCCGGCCACACCGGCGGTAGGTCGGGAGAAACAGTCGTCCAATCGGAGCTTGAGACGTCGGGTGTAGAACGAGTCAAAGTCGGACATCAACGCAGCGTAGCCCTGAAAATCGTATTGCGTAGGTTGCTGTTAGCGAATGAACGTCATCGCCATCATGATCCACTCGTGACTCACGTCCTGAGGCATCAGATGCAAAAACTCCTTCTTGTTGAACCTCTTTCCCCAAAAGTCCCTCAAGTGTCCGAGCGAGATCAAGACCAGGTAACTATCGATCCGGATCCGCCAAATTCAGCTCGAGCTCTCCAGAAACTCCAAAGATGTTGGAAATAGACTAACCTGAAGTAGGTCGTCAACAACCAAAAGTACGTAGGCTCGACTTCCTTGGGTTCCTTGCAGTTCGGGTCGTACTATCGCGACAAATCATCCCAACCGATCAGCCTCTGAAACATGAGCCTACTTCCAAACCCGCGTACACTCACCTGACTAGTATACCTCCAATTCTGATTGGGATCCCACCCAAACTCGGAATGCCTATTCCCACTCTTGTTCGTCCCCCAAGGGCCTCCATTAGCAGACCCAGCGGTATTCGGGAACCCGTACCCTCCCTTGGGTCCATGTCCTAGCATAAGAGGTTTCTCCAAGATCGGGCTCAGGTCGTCCGGCAAGACCGAACTGATCTGCGAATGGGTGTTGTAGTGGTGATGTTGTTGTTGTCCGGACGTTTGGGAAGAAGTGCCATTCTGCAGCCCGTCGAACTTGGAGTGCAGGAGCGTGGCCTGGCGTTCGAGAATGTCCGGTCCCATACCACTTGAATTCTGATGGGCGCTGTATTTGTACTGAGGCGGGGAGAACCCTTGTACGGTCTGCTTGTTTGACAGGTAAGGATAAGGTAAGGGCGTATCGTCCGAAGGAGGCGTCATGACCTTGACCGTGCTCGCCGTCGAGGTGGTGACGAACGAAGCGTTCGACGTCAACCCCGGTTTCCCATTGACCATCCTCTGAGCGTGTCCACCGACGAGATCCGGGACCTCCATATCGTCATCCTCCTGATCATATACGTTCACGTTCCCATTCCCGTTCATCTTGCCGAGCTTCCCAGACGCAGGACCGAGGACGCTCATCAGACTCTCCTTGGCGCTCGTCGCCCCGCTAGACCTGGTCGTATGCCTATGAGGCGGGTTAGGCGGGGTCATCTCCGGTCTCAAAGGTCCCGGCTGGTGGTTCCTATGCGAGATCGAGACGGAGACCGTGGGGCTGGAAGACCTGGCGTGAGCGGCGTTATGCGTGTGAGCAGAGGACGAGCCGGGGCTAGAGGGTTGTTTCTGTTGGGACGATGAGTCGGAAGTGGAATTATGCTGAGAATGTTGTCGAGAACGAGTGAACGGGAGAGGCATGGCCCGAGGGAAGCAAGGTGAAGCGAGGTGATGAGACTAGCGAGTGTGGGCGTGGATTTGTCTGTGGAGCCGAATGCGGTGTAACGTCTCGAGGTGATTGCGTATGATGGTGTTTGCTTGTTCAAGTTCGAAAAAGATGGTCTTCACAGGTAGTCCCAAGCTCTTTATCACTGAGTTCCAGATAGTCGATCCGTAGACGCTTTTCCAAGACAGGTAGACGGTATCACCGATCGAAGTTCCTCTGAGATCTTAAAGGGTCCCGTCCGACTTGATTATCCTGTTCGAGTAAGAGTTGGACAGACTATTTTAAACGCTACTCGCTACTCGTCCAGTGTTGATCTTCTCGAAGGTTGTGAATCGTACTGATGATCAACCGACGATCTACCAAGCTGCCCAACTTGCTTTGCGTTGATCTTCGTCGTGTGCCGAAAATACCGAACAGCCGCGATCCTACTACTCTTAGGTAGTCTCGTGTTCTCTCCAGATCAGCGGGCAGTCGATCGTACAGTGCACAGCGTATGTGAAGAGGATATGAGCTATGACTGTGTCGATATGGCTGGAGAAAGTCGAGATGGGTGGATGTTGATTCCTCTTTCTCGATTTTGATGACAGATGCCTCGATATCCCTCTCACCGTGAGACGGGGAGACGGGGCGATTTGTTATTGTTTGCTACTAAGGCGCGGGGGCAAGGGGCAAGGCAGCTAGCTGCTAGCAGGCAGCGGGGTAGCCGGCGGGCACGATCGGATCGAGGATATATTTCAATTGCAGCACCACCTAGATGTATTAAAGGACTTCCCCTCGCTATCCTAACATATCCTCGTCCTTCGAGGTTGTATGTGTTGATTGCATTGATTGCAAACAACGACGTCAAACAGCCAGGTAACAGATTGCAGATAGGTCGCTCTTTCACGCGGGCACCAAATTCTCTCTCCGCCGGCCGCCATCTCCTCCCCCCCCAAAACGCCCTCGAGGAAAGAAACCGGTCCCGAGTCTCGGCCAACGGCCTCAGAGTCGGGATCACCACCTCCGTCATACAGTACACGGTACTATATCCCTTCCCATACATAGCACGCTCAACACAGACTATCTGGCCATTCGCTGTCTCGAAGATGTGTCGTATGTGGTCGACGACGTACATCTTGTCAGCGGGTTGTGAGTCGCTCGGTGACGCGCGCTTATGGCCAGATCGGGTAGTCTCGAAGCTCGATGCAGAACTGCTGGGATCTAGTGCGAGTAGCAAGTCGGACAAAAACGATTGAATACGGCATGCGGCCGTTGAGACTTAGGAAGAGCTTCTTCACTACCGTGTGCTAGCCGATGCATGGGTACATCTGTGCGAACAGCGAGCGCACTCGATGCAAGCTGCATGACGTCCGATCCGCCGCTATGCCCGCTGCATAACGTAACAGGGCTTGCTCTACGATGGTAGACGGAGATGACCATATTTTGCATGTCCACTAATAACCTTCTGAGCTTCGGCCTCGGTCCGTTGCCGAACGCCACAGAAAGGAGAGGACCCACGGGGGAGATGCACCATTTCGAATCCCTCTCTTGCTTTTGACCTCGAGTCACCTCCCTTGTATATATAACATTGTATATATAACATTGTATATATAACACCGACGACCTGCCAACCATCAACTACATCCCCTTCAAGAGCACACGCCCAGACCAGCGTAAATAACGTATCAAAAATACAAACCGAAACCAATTTGAAATGTCCGACCAACAAGAGATTTACGGTCAGTCTCCCATTGATACTCTGCCGCCGGCTACTTCATTCATGTCGTCGGAAGAATGGTCCGAGGACCACTGAAAGCTGACTTGACGAACCACGTACTCTGTTCGGCTTTACACATCATCGACCTTGCCTCTTTTGCGGTGTCTACGGGATTCGTGTAGCTGCGTTCCCCAACGTCCCTCAGGCTCCTCCTGATTCGTAAGTCCTGAGTTTGTGACATCCACATTCCACCCTGATCGAACGCCGGCTAATCCTCCGCGTACCACCTCGCACTACATCTCTTCACATCGCTATACTCTTCATCCACCACACCGACCTCCACCTCGACCTTCACAACACAAACCGGACACCAAATACCATCGCAGCATCTTCCAATTGACCGCTCGTTACGTCGCCGACAAGCACCCGAACAAGATCAACCTGGGTGTCGGGGCATACAGGACGGACGAGGGGAAACCTTGGGTATTGCCCACCGTCAAGAAGGTGAGCTCCGTAACCCCCGCAGCCAGACGAGCCGGAGGAGGGGACCTCCTTTGACTGGAATCCTTATCTGACAATCTCCAATCTCGGTTTGATCTCTTATCTCGCTTCAACCACTGTCCACCACCCCTCACCTCAGGCTTCCAGGCAACTAGAAGAGAACCCCGATATCGACCATGAATACCTCCCTATCACGGGTCTTCCTCAGTTTACCAAGGCCGCTCAGGGTTTGATCTTTGGGAAACAGAACAAGGCTGTTGACGAGGGGAGGGTTATTAGGTGGGTTTCGAGCTTCTCGCTGTTCTATTTCGGAGTTGAAAAGGTACAGTCGAGCTGATCAGTGATTTCATGACGATGGGGAATTGGCAGCGTCCAGACCTTGTCAGGTACTGGAGCCAACCACTTGGCCGCACTGTTCTTCGCCAAGTTTTACGAGTTCCCCACGGACAAGAAGGAGATCTACATTAGTAATCCTACTTGGGGTACGTCCATCGTCTCATTGCCGAAACAGAAAAGGACTATGTAGCTGTAGCTGACCGACTCGACTTCGTAGCCAACCACAACGCCATCATCTCCAACGTCGGGGTTACGCCCGTCTCTTACAGGTATTACAACAAGGAGACCATCGCGCTCGATTTCGATGGGTACTTGGAGGACTTGCAAAAGGCCCCGGAGAGATCGGTCATCTTGGTTCATGGGTGTGCCCATAACCCTACCGTGAGTCCAGGCCGAGGGGCGGGACGGGCGAGCATGAAAAGGCGGTGATATTGATTATGACCTCGCTCACAGGGAGTCGACCCGACGGCCGAGCAGTGGGACAAGATCCTCGACGTCTTTTTGCAAAAGAAGCACTACGCGTTCTTTGACTCGGCTTACCAAGGGTTCGCCACGGGAGATCTCGATCGGGATGCCGGGTCGATGAGGAAGTTTGCCGAGAAGAGGGTCCCGATGTTGGTCTGCCAGGTGAGGCCTTGCGGAACCTATGGACCGTTCTCTCATTCTGGGCATACCAGCTGATTTTGAACGTGTGTATGCGCCTCGTAGTCGTTTGCCAAGAACGCCGGGTTGTACAACGAACGAGTCGGTGCTCTGCACGTCGTCGCGGCGGATACCAAGGAGGCCGAGAGGGTCAAGTCCCAGTTGTCCGTCTTGCAGCGAAGCGAGATCTCGAACCCTCCCGCTTACGGAGCTCATATCGTGAGTCGCTGGAGCGAAAACAACGACTCTTCGAGGATTCCTTTTAGTTGCTGATGTACTGTTCGACACCGCCCTTCCCAGGTCTCCATGATCCTAACCAACCCGGAACTCTTCGATTCGTGGAAGAACGACATTACCACCATGTCGGGTCGAATCATCGAGATGAGGGATGCCCTGTTTGACTTGCTCAATGACAAGTTCAAGACGCCTCCCCCGCCCGGAAGGAAGGACTGGGGTCATATCAAGGAGCAGATCGTGAGTATCGTCATGATGGCGAAGGGCAGAAGCGAAATAAACCGAAATCGAAAACGAGGCTAATGGACATGATACGGATGGTCGATATATCGATACCATACAGGGCATGTTCTCGTTCACCGGTCTCAACCCTGATCAGACTAAGAAGCTCGTCGAGGAGCATTCCGTCTACCTTACCGGTGAGCCCCTGACGTTTCCTGTGCTGCTGATACTTATTCATGGGGGAAGGTGGCTGACATGAGAGTCGTTGCTGTTCGTAGGGAACGGTCGGATATCGATGGCCGGGTTGAACACCCACAACGTCGAGACCTTGTAAGTCGGGACACTCCAGACGGTCTCTAATCTGACACCAAGACTCATCTTGCTCTTTGCCCCTTCTCAGCGCCAAGGCCGTCGACGAGGTCGTCCGAAGTACCTCTGGTTCGGTCCCCGGTTCTGCCCTCTGAGAGGCTAGCTAGCGTCTTGTCCGTCATCGTGGTCGTCTTGTATATAGCTTGTCGCTTGTCGTCGATATCGAGAATGAAGAGTCAATTGTCAAGCATCGAGGCCACCGGCTGTTGTCTAAGCGCGGATGCTGATGACGAAGCCGATCGACCATGGGAACCTCCGACGGGGGACAGTCCGCTCGACCATTTGCACAATTGCACAAGACTACCCTATCTTCGATGCCATGTACGCCTCGCCTCCTCATTCAGGCAGGATATAGTCATTGTCCTGATCGAGACACTCGACCATGCCACAGGAACTCTTGGCTTTCCCGCCATACTATGTCGTCGGTGAGACCTCCTGTCCCGACCGAGACCCATATCGACCTGCGTACTGACCCTGGCTGTGCTCAACCCACCCGCAGTGGGAGTCTACCGTCTCTTTACAGACGACAAGCTTCGACCGGCCGTCTGGGCCAAAGTCAAGCACGCTACCCTCCGAGGACTGGTCGTAGCCGGGGTCTATGTCGCGGCTACATGGAAGATCCAGAAATGGTTCGTCGAGAACTTCTTGATGGGCGGGTTCAGCCTCTTTGGGAAACGAGCGCAGGCCCCACCGGGAGAGGTCTTGGAGACGAGCTTGTCTTGGTTGAAAAAGGCCGACGTCGTCGATTGTGAGTCGCAGCTTGTACAATACGAAAAGACACTTGCTTTCAGCACGTTGACCTATACGTATACCTGTTTGTCGCGCTCGGGTGGTAGATACCACCGTCCTCTTCATCCTCCCTCAACTCACCTCCCTCGTCCACTATTTCCTCAAACGGAACCTCCGGATCGCCCGAGCTCGAGCTTGGGACCTGACCGTTCAGTCCCGAGATAAGCCCGCCGAGTTCTGGTCCAAGGGGTATATCGAGGAATGGGAGCAACCTCCCGGAGTTGGAGGTGGGGAGGGCAAGGGTACCAAGGGAGAGCAGCAAGAGAAGTGGTTGAGCTGGCTGTTGTTCTGGCCGTCTCAGATGGCTCTACGTCATTGTGAGTGCGGAAGGCTCTGACTCCCCTCTGCTTCTTCAATTTTTTCCTCTTGGCTTTCACAAGACTGATGCTGATGGACGATTCGCTTGTCTCGTAGTCGTGTTGTTCCCGCTCTCGCCCTACCTGCCGATCTACAACGTAGCATTTACCTCGGCAATGAGGGGTCTTTACACCGCTCGAGTGTTGCACAGGCCTTACTTCGAAGCCAAAAAGATGACCAACAAGGAGATCGAGACGTGGTTGCAAGAAAGAAGATGGGGTTATCGAGGTTGGTACTAGCGCAAACGCGTTCTTTCTGGGACTTTACATTATTCCGTGCATGATCGCTCAACTCGACTTGACCCGATATATAGCCTTTGGGTTTGCAGCGTCCCTCCTTGAGTCGATCCCGATTATCGGTCTGGGCTTCTCCGTATCCAACAGGGTCGGGGCTGCCATGTGGGCCTTTGACTTGGAAAAGCGTCAACACAGGTTCGCGAACGGAGAGCTCCACAAACTCCGACCCGAAGATACCGGGTTGAGCGGGACGGGTAAAGTGGATTTCCCTTCCAGACATCTTCAAGACGAGGAGATCGAGTTGGATGATCTGAAACGATCTCCTGGCGAGCTTTAAAGCGGGGCAGCACACCCGCTTGTCGGGGTGGTGACGTGAGAATGCGAGTATTATGGGATGAAAGGCAGAATTATATAGATACAACGACTTTGATGACGATACATTGATGCAAAGAGGCGATGGCTGGCAAGGACAGGGCAGGGTGGTATGTGCAGAGATATGCAGAGAAAATATGCGCGGAAGCCACTACTACTAGACTGTTATATGCTGTCCTAGATCCTGGGAGAATCACGCGAAAGAGACACACACTACTTTATCCGAATGATGCAAGTGACTCCATCGGAGTATGCTGTCAGAACGCCTTGAACTTCTATTGGAAGTTCGTCCTGTTGGAGGGCGGAAGGGTTTGAAACGAGTCGTGAACGATCAGCCAATTGTTGATGGCGCTTGAGCCGGCTGAGGCGTCGTGATGGATGACTCACCGGCTGAATCAGCTGAAACGTGATATATGCAAAAGAACTTTGTTCGACACCCGTCATGGTCGATGCGGCCCAACTCTTGGCCATCTTGATCTCTGAGCGGACCATGTCCCGGTCTTCTTCCCGTACAAGGTCATAGAACGACTTGCCGATCATCTGCAGATGAGGGACGAGGAGTTGAAGCGACGTAAAAAAAGGTGAGCACATGAATAAGCGACGCTGGCGTGTCATGTGAAGGGAGATCAATGACTCGCCTCGTCAGGCTTCTTGACGAGCATGTTGTTGCTGATATAGAAGATGTTTTCGGATTGCGAGAACCGGTCGATGAGGAAGAAAGACCTGACGCTGGGTGGTTTCAGATCTTTAAGAGGGATCCGGAGCCTTTCTCTATCTGCTCGGACCAGAAACGAATCGGACGTCCTCCGTGGTGGCGAGCTGTTGTACCATTTCTGATGGGCGTATCGCGAATGAGCCATGTGGCGAATGTTGCCCAGTCCGATCCGCCAACCGCCTCACCTGTTTACGGAATTGGTCTTGTGCTTCGGGCGATATCTCAAGCACCTCCTGTGCCGTGGCCGCTCGTACTGTCGTCAGCGTGATGAAACGGATCAGCTTTTAGCGCGTCCGAAAGGTGAGGTGGATCTGTTGCGAACGCCGACTGACGTTTAGCCTTTGGCTCCGGCACAGCGATACAGAAACTCCCTAGGATCTTGTCACAGACGATACTCCTATAAAGGCAGGGTTCGTAGTCAGTGGGGAACGACTCGGGTAAGATAGAAGGCCGACTTACGCTCCCACGGCACATAGCAAATAATGTCCCTTCTTATGCTTCCATCTCGAGTAAGTCAAGGTGGCAATCTGCGCACATATCCTCGATGATGAGACATGTACATATTGACTATGTAGTGCGCACTCGAGGTACCTACCTTGTCGTAGACCATGCTTTGGCTGAAAAGACAGGCAGTTTGGGTTAGACGAGGTCGGACATGCAGAAGACCACGCGCGACTGACTACCGGACCTCCTGTAGAGCTTCTCTCTCATCCGGGTGAATCAGGTCGAAAGGCGAGTATCCTATCATTTCGGCAGGTTCGTAACCTATGTAGGAGGAGCGATGATTGAGACGATGGTGCACGACAACGCGCGCGTCTAGCACGTACCGAGGATGGCCTTGAACGATGGTGAGAGCCAAAGATAATTGCAATCCGCCGACACCTCACATATAGCGATACATGAGGCAGTTACTGACACCGCAGTTGTGGTGACCTTGCTTTCTGCTTCGTGGACCCCTCCATCGTCCTCCGCTTCTGGCTCCGACATTCCCCGTCTGACCAGCTTCTCCACGTCGATCCGTAAATACGACGTGCCTTTCGAAGTCGGAATGATGTTAGGCAGGTGTTGTGAGCGACGTCTGAGCGAATGCCTGACTGCTACCCTCTAGATGAGTATTATAGATATAGTGTCGTCAAAGGCATCGATGAGTTGGAGTCGGCGCCGAAATTGGATCGCTGGATCGTTCTTGGTGGGATCAGGATGGGTCCTTTGGTCGGACCTGAGTGTAGCTAGATTGCGCTCGGACTAGCTAGTCTCGGAAATGGTGGTCGCTGATATCAAACACGCCGTCGGCGAATGACGAGGGGGAAAATACTGATAGTATGTCGAAGTGCGTTGAGGCCTAAGTAGTGGAAAGGTTTGACGCTATTCTGATCCGCTCAGCACTGTTGATATAGACAAGAAGTAATTGGGGGATTTCGCCGTCGAACCGAGAGGTGCAGTGTATGTTATATCCAGCCGAGGGACCCGAACTCGATGAGCTCAGAGGACTGATCCCTGGACAACTATTGTGTTTTTTTTTCCTTCGAGCCTTGACTTCTACCTCGTGTTCAGCCTCTTCCCCGTCTCCACGCTGCCGTCAATCGTTCTAGCTGTTCGAGACAAAACCTGTGTCGTTACCGCCGGGATCGCTCGAAGTCTCCTCTCGTGATCGATCGGCTGCTCCGGGGCCTCGAAAGCCTGCTTGTTTTGAGTGTGCGCGGGTGCGCACGCCTTGCGGATCGTAATTCGATATATTCTCCGGATGGTTTCTGTGACGTTTTTAGGTATCCCGTGTGGATCGCTGTGGTAAGCTGCTTCGGATGTTGTAGTGATTGTGATGGGCAAAGACCGAGACCTGAAAGGAGATAGGGGTAAAACGATGAGGTATGGCCGAAGCGAGACACAGTACACAGCGATCCTTGCGCTGTTTGAGATGTTGTCGATCCTCTAGCACGAACACAGAGACACGTTACACCAGAGTGGCCTGTAGCCGTAGCTGCCAGAGTGGAGATATCGGGGTCAATCAAGAGCAAGAGGCAGTATTTCAGGGACCCGAGGTGGGGTGGTAGAGCAGAGACACAGCTTGTTTCTGATCAATGACTAGTCGCCGGAGGAATTCCGGTATGGCGGGTGTTGCAGCTTACAGGAGGAGGGGCTATACTGTGGTGGACTCAGTGGGTAAGTTGCGACGTATGCCTGAACAGCTGTGGGATCCGCTGTGTACCCGATCAACATCACTATAAGGCTCCCCCACGATCCGTGGCTTCTACCCTTTTGTCAGCTGACTCCGTGTTGTTCCGGTCGTCTCTGACACTGCGGTCATGTCGCTGGCGTGCTCAGGTGTATCCCAAGTGAGACTCTCCACAGCTTCTTCCTCAGCCGTGGCTAGGCAAGGCTCGGTGGATCACGAATTCGACGATCGATGCCACGAAACGGTATGGGTTGCGGTATGGACCGCGGCGCGGGACCGCCTGCGGAATGGGAATACAGCGAAACGAAATAAAATTCCCGAGCAAGGCCGCGGAGCAGGGGCACGACTCGTTTGACAGGCCGCCGTCGGGAAGGGCTTTGTTTGGCTACCGTCGAGATGATCGCCGCCCTCTGTATGGGATGTCCAGGAAAAGGTGTGAAATGTATGAATGATCGCTGCTGATGACCTCGCGTCGTCGTCGTCACCCGCATTCGCTTCCCCCATTTGATCGCCTGACCGACCAGACAAGGTTTCAGTTTAATTCTCCCCATGGACGGCGAGTCTTGTGCCTGGCGATGACACCGGGGCGTGCGTCCGCCCTTCTTGCCTTCCTCGCCGGGATACCTCAACCTCGTCTTGTGTCAGTTGCCGTTCCCGACGGTTGACATGGCCGACATGGGCTCTGACTTCCCTTGCGCTCTGCGCTGCGATTCCCATGAACGGAACAACAATACTGTGACAACAGAGACGTTCGGGACGCTCCATGGTTGGCGCATTGACCGCTAGAAGCGCCCCCCCAAGGCGATCCTCCCAGCTCATACCGCATCACGCGCAGCGTATTCATGTATCGGCTCGTCTCCCGGTGGCAAAAGAAATGCTCCGCATGTCAAGCCTACACTTCTTCAGTTCTCATGCGCTCATCGTCCCAACGCAGTTGTAGAAACGACACCATCGTTATTTCTCAAACCATCCTGCCGTCTGCCATGTAACAAGGACTCGCGGGCTCGCGGATCGCGGATCGGGGAACGCGAGTTGTGTCGGACGCCGACTCCGTCCCAGGCACCGGGATGTGGAATACGCTTTCACTCTCGGAAGCCTGTGAGCAAGGTGGCAGCCCCGGGTCTTGTTCGGGCATATTGGATGGACACAGAGAAACCTCCCGACGCATACCGCACAAAGTCCGCCCGTCCTTGGCGCTTTGGCGCCGATCTTCCCTTTATCAAAATAATCGGTATGCGTTTGCTCCTGGATATAGCTCGTTACTTGTCATTTCTTCTAGAATAATTGGCGTGGCATACTACTATGGCCCCACAAGTCAATCTTCCCGGGAGAGGAAGCCCGACCCGCCATCATGTTTGATCTTGTTCAAGAAGCCCTCGTACCACTTCTGAAAGACCCCCAGCGGTATCGGGGTCTGCGGCGTGAGCGTTTGAGGCGCTCCTTCGAACGAGTGTAGGTAGTTGAACAACTTTGGCAGACGAGAGTTTAGGTGACGTGATTGCAAGAGCCGACAATTACTCGTTTAGCAGGCGATCCACTTCATCTCGATCGACACTAACACACTTACATTCTTGACGATCTTTTCCGCAATCCTTCCCACGTCCGTACTTCCAGCACCCGTCCCAGCCCTGACTAAGGCTCCAGCGGTATTCGTCGCCCCCGTTCCGGACGCCGACCCGGATCCCGCAGCATCAATTGTCCCTGGTGTCTTCAGCGAGGCCGCAATCGCCTGCACTTGATCGAGCGGTACGATCTGAATCCCCAAGGTCGCCGTCATCAAGGACGGATCTTGCGCTTGAGGTTGAGGTTGAAACGGCCTGACACGGTAGATCGAGCTAGGGCGGTCGTTTGTCAGCCTATGTTGATTGAGTTGGACGAGGTATGAATCTCCATCAGTATTCCGAGGTCAAAGGTATGTATCATTATGCGGTAAATTACCCGACTTACGTGCCGAGCGTCACAAAATCCCTACCCGGAAATTGGAAATGCACAGAAGCTCCATATCCATCTGGAAACGGTACTGTCGAAGCAAAACAATGTAGGCCGTCAGCAGGGTATCCCGTGGCATGGAGCATGATCTAATGACGACTTGCCTGTGCCCAGGAGGAAGACGGTCAAGTGATTAATCTCGTTTGCTCTTTCAATCGAAAAGACAAAGCTCGTGTCGTTGACCTGTCTCGTCCATCGACGGTAAGGGTGGGGGTCGTGATAAGTCCAAGTTCGCTCTGAAGGACGGAGCTCGACATGTGTACTGACCTGCTGAAGGTTCGTTTGACTGCCTGAGAAATGCGCTATCAGCCTGCCGTCTTGCATTTGAAACCGCAAAGAGCTCGGCTCATCCTGATCTTACTCACACAAGTCTTCCGGCACATATGCACCCGAACATCCTGAATTCCTTTTTTATATCCAGTTCGTTGTGAGATATGCGGTGTAAATATATTGCTCGAGGACCTCAAGCAGCAAGCAGTCGATAACAAACTTGAGTTGCTGTTTATGCAACCTGGTACTCTGCAAGTGATCTTGCCATTTAGCTGACGTCAACAAGGTCGAAGAGTCCAAGCTCACCTCGACAGAGCATCTCACTAACAACGTCTCTCGAAAGTAGCAGATCTTAGCCATCTATTTACTCGATGCATGTAGCTACTTTCCACCATAATTGATCAGACGCCGACCCCTTACTTTGATCATGGAATCCAAGAACCGCAATAGATCGAGGTCCCCAGCCTCTCGCGATCCCAAGCACAAGCGACATCGTTCTCGATCGCGCGACCGGGACGAACGCAAACACAAACGACGATCCGATCGTGGTGAAGACGAGCTTGACGACCGGGAACGAAGAAAGGAGAAGAAGGCTCGGAGGGAAGAGAAAGAATCGAGGAAGCGAGAAAAGAGGGATGAAAAGCGAGGGAAAGGATCGGGGTTACAGGTCGTGGATGATGACGAGTCTGAGGACGAGTGGGTGGAGAAGGACATGAACGAGGTCGATATCCAGGTAGGTTCCGCCTGGTTGTCCTCACCAGTACAAAGATCTCATACTGAAAAAGGTCTCGCGCCAATCTTCCAGAACGCCGTATCGAACATACCCACAAGAGACTCCCTCCCCCTCAAGTCAAACCCTAGCACAGTCCCTCCTGGCGCTCACCTGGCCCCATCCGTGGCAACGGGCAATTTCGAAGGACAAGGCCAGGATGATACCGCTAGGGAATCATGGATGCTAGATCCTAAATCCAGTACCATCCCGGGACTCATAGTTGGCTCGGACGGACACGTCGCCAAGAAACCAGAGTTGGGTGCTCTGCGTTCTGCAGAGGTGAATCCTAATTTGCGGGATGGCAGGGAGATAGTTGGGAACGAACAAGAGACCCGAGGAGGTTCGAGTACGGGCTACCAAGGTTCCGGAGGGATGACGGATGGTATGGAAGGATCGACTGGTACTAGCACAGGGGACTTTTTCTCTGATATGGGTACGGCCCGGAAGAAGAAGGAGGTCAACAAGCCTGATCCTGACAAGGTACGCAAGCGGTGCTGTCAAATTCGGATATACGACAGAGTGTTCAAGGTGTTTTGTTTGTCATAGCTGGTGGTATCTCGGTTCGAGCTCAATCAACAGATGAAAGATGGGAAGACTGTTGAAGAGTACGCGCCTACAGGTCAGTCTCCCTTCAAGTCGAATCGAGTCGATACGGCTGTGCAGAGGTTTGAATACAAAGTTTGAACCATTTCATGGCATTTTATCTCGCTGTGTAGAGAAGAAACAGATCGTACCCGGATCGGCGGGTAGCCAGTGGCGGATGATGAAGTTGCGCAAGGTGTACGAACAGGCTGAGGAAGAGTGAGTTAAATCGGGTTGGCCTGAAACGACGACCCGCAGACTCAGGTGGATCTCTCGGACAGGTCTCGATCCGTCGAGGATGTCGCGATGGAGAGGTACGGCAATCTGGAAGACTTTTCCGAGGCCGTCAAAGAGCGCCGGGTACTGGACGATCGTGGTTCCCGCCGATCTGCCAGGAGAAATCAATCGGGCTTTGACACGCCCAACAGCAAAGATGGGAATCGATCCAGAGAGGATAGCGGGCCAAGCACTCCCGGTGGATTGCCCGGGGGTAGGAGGTTCATGTTCACCAGCGATGAGGCTGCTAGTAGTCGACCGAGCAGTCGTGCCGGTTTCAGACGGCCAGGTGAGGAAGGCAGGTTTGACGAGGCGATCGGGCTCAGGAGATCTGCGAGTAACAACTCGTTAGCGGGAGTTGGGGGTTTGTCTACCCCTACTCAGCCGGCTCGAGGAACAGGAAAATTCGACCAGTCGAAACCGGCTACCCCTATTCCGTCCGTCTTGACGCCTCATCATCTGCTACAGAGGAACCCGATGTCGACCGTAGCCATCCCTCACGCTACACCGCAAGGCGGTTCGAACGATCCTGGACGAGATCCGACGGCGTCAACCCCTCCCCTCACCTTGTCCGCGCTGAACGCTTTGCAAGCCAAAGTACTTCGCGCTAAGCTCTCGAACGATCCCTGTGCGTCTGATCTTCAGGCAGAATACGACCGGGAGAGTGAGAGACACCGCACACATGCGGCTGGCGGAGGTGATCAAGGAGGAGGGCTTTGGGAGGGTCAAGCGGGAGGACAGTTGGGACGAGAGCAAGACCAGAAAGGAGGGAAACGGACCGAGGTTCAGGTCTTGCCTACCCTCGACGCTCAGGGACGGCTGTACGATATTGGGACAGGGGATGGTACGGAAAAGACATTGCTACCCGGCAACCGTCGGCCCAAGCTTAATGGCAAGGTGAGTTGTCGCTGAAAGGCAGGTCTGCCCCTGTTCAGCCAGCTAAATGCCGGTTGCAACGCAGTTCGAGACTCGGGACCACAAGACTGGAGAGGTCGTCCGGTACAACGCCGACGACGATGAGACGACTCTGGGCGAGCTCGTCCGGCAAGAGCGATTTGGGGCTGGTTCCGCCGATCAGAAGAGTATGGATGCAAGCATGGCCGCTGCGATCATGGGCGATGCCAAATTCGAGGTGAGTTAGGCAGAGACGTCGGACCGGTTTTTTAGACTGATTTTCCCGCTCGGTCAGAACGATAACGACTACATGGACGACAATGTCGAGCGTCTGGCACGCAAAAAGATGAAGAACGACGCGATGAAACGAGCCTTTGCCGTGAATGGTCAGTACGAGATCAGCCTTCAGTAGTAACCTCGATCTGACCCGAACAACATGAACAGATTACGCTCGAACGAAAAAGGCGTTGGATACCTGTGCTTTCTGCTATCAGGAAGAAGGTCCTCCTAAAGCTCCTATCGTCGCCATCGGTCACCGTGCCTACCTGTCTTGCACTCAGAACGAGGAGCTTGTGGACGGACACTGCATTATCGTGCCGATCCAGCATTATACTAGTATTCTTGACCTGGACGACGATGAGTGGGAAGAGATCAAGGTACGATCCATCTGATGCCTTTTCCGGCAAGCCGAATGAACAGGGCTGATGGTGATTCTCAACGCAGAACTTCATGAAGTGCTTGATGCAAATGTACGCCCAGCAGAACAAGGGTGTCTTATTCTTCGAGACGGTCCTACCGACGAACATCAAGTTTCACAAACATACCTTTATCGAAGCGATTCCGCTTCCGGCTGACGTGTTCGCCGATGCTCCTGGGTATTTCCGGGAAGCCATCTTGACGTCCGAGTCCGAGTGGTCCCAGCACAGAAAGCTCATCGACTTTTCCGACCGACCCGGTGGGTTCCGACGGAGTCTGGTCTCCAATCTGCCATACTTTATGGTACACTGGGATCACAAGGGCGAAAAGGGGTACGGACACGTAATCGAAGGTTCGGAAGAGGGATCCGGAGGTACGTTTGGAGAGGATAACGAGGGGATCGTCAAGGAGGGCGACAAAGGGTCAACCGAATATACCAGGTAAGTTTGGTTTCGCGAAACGTCTCGTTCGACGCCTTGCCTGACTCTGCGTTCCGGTCATTGTAGATACTTTGCGCATGAGATCATCGGCAACTTGTTGGGTCTCGAAGCTCGGCGATGGAGGAAGCCTCGTCGAATGGACCAGAGCTCGAATCAAGCGAGAAAGGCCAAGCTGGGCAACGCTTTCCAGCCGTTCAACTGGACTTTGCAGCTCGACCAGGCTACTGCGGGGCAGTAAATCGAATACAACGGGATCAGACCGTACGACCTTGCGGCTAAGGAGAAAGAGACAACAAAGGCAGCAAGGGCCCGAGAGGATGTAGCAGAAATGATCGTGCATGGTCGTATCACATGAAGAACTAAAATGACAGAAGACGTAGGAAACCGAACATGACACATGTAAAACAAATCGTTCGTCATCCTCTACATGGCGGCGATGAGCTGCTTGGTAGCCTCGCCGGAGAGAATCTCAAACTTGGCCTCCTTGCTCCCTTCTGCCCGTACGACCTGTGTTTGACAAGCACCAGAGGCAAGGCTCCGAGAATGTTCAGCGACGTCATAAGAGATTGAACGGTGAGCGGGATGACTGACCTGGGCGAGCTGGATATTGTTCTCGTCCACTTTTTCCTCCATGACTTCCTTCAAGATCTTGAGCGCTAGCCTATGAGCCTCGTCGAGCGTCATGTTCTAGTTTTAAGATACGTCATGCCAAAACAGTCAATTCTCGTTAGCTTTCTCGCGTTCTTTGTACAAAGGAAACTGGAGAACCCGAGCACCCGAGTTTCTTACCTTGTTGTAAGCGTCCTGTAGCGAAGTCTGCGCGGCATCGCTCCCACTCCCGATGGCTTTAGCGTCGTATCGAGTGAACGTTCCCGACGGATCCGTGTGGAAGCTGTAAAGATAGATGATGGATGAGCCAACAAGCCGTGGTCGAACCAAGGTAAGCGAAAAGGTGGAGACTTACAGCGAAGGTCCGAACTCGTCTACACCAGCTATCAGAAGTGCTACACCAAACGGTCGAGACTATGGCCGGCAGGTGGCAAATAACGTCAGCTATAGTAGCTCTTCGCCGCTGTCTAACTTGTTTGCGAGCGCCCGCACAGAACACTCACCATCATGGCCTCGTCATCATCCACGCTCTCCCCGAACCTCAACGCCAAGTCACACACCGCCTGAGCGACGCTCTCCACCTTGATAGGCTCGTCATACGTAAACGCATGCATCTGGCCCGTCATCCTCGCATGTTCCACCATGGTCCTAGCGTCGGCCGTCAAGCCGGACATGGCGCACCCGATGTGGGAATCGATCTCCATGATCTTTTCGATGGAAGAGGTTTCGAGCAGGGTGGATTGGACGCGTTTCTCGACGGCGAGGATGGTCCCGTGAGGGGTTGTGATACCAACGGTAGTAGAACCGAGTTTGATGGCCTCCATAGCGTATTCGACTGAGATGTGGAGGGGGTCGAGGGTCAGCTCGGCTATGGGTCGAGCTCGTGTTCCAAGACTCACCTTGGTACAGTCGACCCTGATATCACCCAATCGCAACAAACCATCATCAATCAGCTCCAAACACAACACTGACTAGCATGCAAACGGTCGACTCACCTCGGGAGAAAAGGTGTTTACACCTCGATCATATTCAGACCTACAGCATACCCCCTTCCTTTCGTTAGACCTTGCCCGCGCTGCTTCGAGCTCGTACGGTCTCTCTCTCACCTCGTCAAAAACATTGTGGTTACTGCTTATAGTTGTTCGTTAGATCTCTATCTCTGTCGTGGTGGTCGTGGTGGTGATGTCAAAGGTTGTTGTATCGAAGAACATGAACGATGCTGTACATGGCTGCTCTGAATTGTATGCAATGACGAAGCGACCCCCCCCCGGCCCCTTATGTTACGAATTATTTGATAAGCTAATCCGCGAGAACCATTTGTTACACGTCATATCCCATCATCATCCCGTTAGACCTCGTTTCATGCTCGACGACTATACTATATGGCTGATACACTTATGAGCTCATGAGCTTATGACGATAGTACACTCCTCGGACAGTAATTCACTTTTAATCACAATCCACCTCTTCTCATTCCAGGATCGAGCCAAGGTGTGACCTTTTGTCCCGCCTACAACGCATAGTAGCGCCCATCTTTACTTTTCCTTCACGCTATCGATGAACATCTGGACCTGTTTCTCTGGAATCGCACCCACTGCAAGTAGGCCAAGACGGTCATGCCCAGAGTCGTTCAGCGCCGTTCTTTCCGTTCATTCACAGACAGTGTGTCGGACTCACTGAATTGGCTGATAGGTTGTCCGTCCTTGAAAGCCATGACTGTCGGTAACGATCGGATCTGTTCTCGAGCGTTTCCGGGTCGGATGTGGCGCGGCAGCAGGATAGAACGACGTAGGAGAGAAAGATGTTGGGTATCAGCAGCTTGTGACTTTCCACAGAATGATACGACCGATCCTCATCCCAATATCCAGCTCTGGACGGGGTAATCGAACTTGAAAGGAAAGGAAGGAGACTCACGCTGTATTTAGCGGCCAACTCTGCCTCGACGTCTACGTCTAGTGTGACCAGGCTGTTCCGTTCCGTCGATGTCATACCACACGCAAAGAACAGATAGAGAAGGAGAAACGAGCAAGATGAGAAGACGAAGTGTGTGTCAGCTCGAATTCGATCGTATTCCGCTGTCGATTCAATTCGAGTACGGCCGAGAAGAGGGGGATGGAATAGGAACAGGAAGGAGACAGACGAAGAAGAAGCCAAGGGCGAGACTCACTCGACGTTGGCCTTCTCGGTAACCTTCTTCAGAGTCGGGGTTAGGACTTTGCACGGACCGCACCAGCTGTTCGTTTATACCATGGTCGGGATGAGCCGAATCAGGAAAGATGGGATGGGATGGTGAGGACGGACAACGGTGAAGCAGAGATGAAGAGAGGTGCAGAGGTATCAGTGCTTGTTTAGTGGACATGGATCGCAGACTGAATTATATATAGTATGCCTTAAAGGTAAAAAGAAGCAGGAGAAAGAAGAGGAACACGACGCTGAGACTCACGTTGCGTAGAAATCGACGAGGACGATCCCTGAACCATTGGATACTTGTTTCTCAAACGTCTACACCCGATTCATCCCGTATCACCCAAATCCCATGTATCCCGATCGATTCCGACCCGACCAAAGGAAATACGAAAAGAAGCAATCAGCGTTCAACCTTCCGAACAAGGGAATGGCCTTTCAGACTCGAGGGGCTCACAGCGGCATCGACGCCCTCGTAGCATTTCAATGAACGGACGGATGAGCTAAAGTTGCGTCGGAGGAGCGGGGAGAGGGCGGTCCTGGCGGAGGTCGATCGAAGGGCGAACATTTTAACGATAGCAGATCCACTTGTGTGTTTGTGTTGTATATAGAGGTGGTATAGGAGTGAACGGGGAGGAGATGGCCGTATCGAATGTATGGAGGTTGGCGATGACTTTTGAGTAGAGCCCACCGGCAGAAGCCACGATTTGATTAGTAATCAAAGAGTATTAGCGGTGTTGATCAGGGTTGATTAGCAACTTTTACTAATAGGTTGACATCTTCATTAGTATTCATTAGTAGACAGTAGCGTCATCACGGCTAACCCCGCGAGAGTCGGGTCGAGCGAGATCCTAGATCCTATTACCATATTAACCATCATCACCATTATTTGTTATCGATACCCTCACAACTTTGCTGCGACAACATCAACCATCACTGCTGGACACCAAACTGGAGAGCGTCACACTTCCGAACCTACAAGAAGGTAGCTCGACGACGTCGACGGGTCATACGGGATCGCCCTTGCTCGAGGAGTGGTTGAATCATCCTCGACGTCGCTGGTCCAGATCGTCGTGACGACCTTAAAAGGGAGATCAACAACCATACAAGTATATACTGAAGTGGTCAATCTCGTCACTTCATCGAACTCTGCTATATCATGCAGAATCCCCAGAATCCCAATCCTGCGCCCTCGGCAACGGGGCCGACATCCACCCCTGCATCCTCTCAACCCACTCAGCTTAAACCAAACAACCTTCAACCTCAACCTCGACCTCAACTTCAATCTCAATCTCAACCCATTCGACCACCTGCACAAATGCAACCTCAATCTTCAGCTCAACAGATCAATAGACCTCCCAGTCAGAACCAAGCCGGACCACCTGCCCCCTCGACAGCTTCGAGCACGTCGGGCTTGTTAGATCGTACGGGGGACAAGGCGAGGTCGGGACCGGCGGGTGGGCCTGTGTCGGGTGGCAACATGCAGGGGTCGACGAACGGGCCAGGGCCGGGGCCGGGGCAGATGATGAATGGAGGTGGCGGTAATGTTCGACCTGGACCTGCTCCGGGGGGTCTGGGCCATCCTAATAGAGTAAGCCTAGTCTACAAGTCAAACCGACATGGGTTTCGTGATGGAGGCTGACGACCCCGAACGATCTTGACATCTGCGGCGACTTTGTAGCCTACCAATATTACCATCCCCTCCGCCTTCCCTGCCATCCCGAATTCGAACGGAAATGGACAGGGACCTCATCATCCTCCCAACTCTGCTCTGAACACCCCGGCTGGATCGACAGCGAATACTCCTACTGGGACATCTACAGTTGGCGGTCCCAATTCCAACTTTACTCGTACAAACAATAACAACCCTTCTTCCAACTCCAACTCCAACTCCAACTCCAACTCTACCTATCAACCGTCCCACCCGACACGCATGATCGGGCAAAACGACCGGAGCGTCGTGGGTCAAGGAAGGTTGTTTGCGGAACCTTTGGCCAAGGAGATCGCTAGGACGCATATCGAAAGGGCGGGGGGCAGGCCCAAAGTCAACAATAACAACAATAGTAGCAGCACTCAGAATCACGGGAACAATTACGGTTACGATGTCAAGGGGATGGTCATGGCCGACAGGGCTGTGGAAGGGATGTTGGCTAGCATGATGCGGTCGGCGAATCGGATCAAGGAGCATAGGGTGGCGTATACGAACCCTCGAGTTCCACCTTTCTGGCCTTCGTCTTCCACATCCGGTTCCACCGATGCCGGGGCGAAGGTGGGGGTGAAGAAGGAATCTGGTGGACAGGATGAGATGGACGTCGATACCAAGGAAGAAGGTGGGGCTAAACAAGAGGTCCCGATGTGGAAGATCGAAGTCCTCGACGACCCTCGCAAAGATATCTATACTGCCCATGCTTCTATCGAGGAGAGTGAGAAGGCCAAGAAGAGCGCGAGGGTCAAGGAGAGGATAGAGTATGATCAGAGGAAACGTGACGAAGCCGAGGGAAGGATCTTGGGGATGGGGATGGAGGTGGACGAGGTGAAGGGGGAGGGAGAAGGTATGCAGGTCGTTGGGAACTCGGGAGGATCGGCTGTAGGGGCTTCGTCTGGGCCTTCCACTCCGGGACCTGGAGCCGGAGCTGGACCTTCCACCCCGGGCTTGGTCGCACCCGATTCGCTGAGCACCCCGTCGAACAAGAAGAAGTCTACCAAAAGAAACCCTCAGGCGGAACAAGACCTGGCCGCCCGTCGAGCCGACGAAGCCATGAGGAAGGAGTCCTCACGGGCCATCTCGTCGATCAAGGGGATGGGCAAAAAGTATTCCTGGATGACCGGTGGTGGGGTGGGGGCTAGTCCGAAGACACCCCTGAGCAAGCTCGGAGTAGGCGGATTGGGCAGTGGGGGGAAGAACAGGAGGACGAGCATGTTGGTGGATGGCAAGATCAAGATCGATTCGGGGGGTAGTGGTGCTTCTTCCCCCTCGACCCCTGGACCGGCGGGCATGAGGGGCAACAAGCGACCGTTCGATGGGACTCCTTTGAGCATGTCGAAGCGGACCAAGAAGGGGTCGGGCTTGATGAACGAGATGACTTTGGGGACCGCTCCGTCAAAGCCGAACCCTTACGAGTTTGTCAAGGTCGACGACAAGCTGGGGATGAACGACGTGATGACGGCCTTCCGGCGCGAGGTCGTCAGAGGGGGTCCTAATCGGGCCATGTACGAGAAGAAGTATTTCGAAATCATGGTCCTCATGGCGGAAGCGGCCCACGAGGAGTGGAAGAAGGATAACGCTGGATTGGGGGGAAGCACGATTGCGGGTGGGAGTTCGCTCGCCCTGGATTAGAATAGCGATGAAGGAGTGAAAGGAAGGCAATTTACCGGAGAATCCACCGAGACTCGGATGGAGGATCGGTTTGATGAGATGGCGTCAGATCCATAAGATGGCGTCAGTGGGGAAATGGGTCAAGCGCTGCGCATCGCTTCGCAGTATGAATGGATGGCCCGTATGGCAGCGCGGTCGTGCTGAACTCGTCACATGTCCACGAAAGCCGGAGAAGCATGCATCATGTCTTCCTGCCTGAAGAGGGAGGCGGGCTTCTACATCGAAATTTCACGAAAACGAAAACAGCCATGTATACACTATCAATTAGACGACAAAGCAACACATTGAGATGGAATGATCATGCTTCTTCAGGCCTCGTAGTTCGTGGAACCGAGGCGTGATACTGCTGACTATCAGGTCACGAATGAATGGAAGTTGTCAGTTTGCTAACGTTACCTTGTCCAGCGGAAAAGCATATATACCGGTCAGAACCCTGCTCTCATTTTTTTTTTGGACCGGAATTTGATATGGTATCTAGATATCAAGCCTAACTCCTCTTTCATTACCAAGTCCAAACTCTACCATCGACAAACATGCCTGCTGAATCTTCCAAAAAGCCTGAAAGTAGCGATTATCTTAATCCGTGGAACTCTGGAGAATCCCCCAACCTGAACGACTTTGGGCCACAGAGACAAGCTGGTCCATACTCGACCCTCGACAATAGTGCGGCCATCAGCGAGGTGGATCTGGAAATCAAGCCGAAACCCAAGCCCAAGCCCAAGCCCATGCCCGAGCAGCAGCCGGAAGACGAGAGCATCGCCTCTACCGAGAGGAGTGCCCACTCGGCCGACAAGTCGATGGAGACGGGCGGCGGCGATGAAACTTCGACCGCGAGTACCGCCTACTGATACCAGCGGCTGCGGGTCATCTCGGTCAACGACGGACACTCCCTCGATATAGATCCAGATATAGAGGCATGTAGAAGAACAGATGATTGCGATGAAATCAAATTCTGCGATGGCTGCGTGCATCTGTTCATTTAAGGCCGTCAATCTTCGCGATTTCAGCCAGCTAATTTACAACTTATTACCAGACAGAAAACGAAACAATGTTCAAATATCGAAACCTAAAGCATTCAGAGCCGAAGCCGCCCGCTGACCGATCTCTACGAGAGTGTCGATCAACTTGTCCGTCTGCGCGTCAAACGCCTCGACCTCTGCCTCGATTGCCGAGATCGACCCTTCTTCACTTCCTGCGATCGATTCCGTGTCGGACCCCGAACCGTCCGAGCTCGACGAGCTCGTCCTCATCCTGTATCCCGAGATGTCTTTGAAAGTCCGCTCAAAGGTGGGTCGCCCGAGCAGTTGTCGGATGAGGAGCGTTTCAGGGTAGACGCCACGGAACGCCGATGGGTCGCGCGAGTTCAGCTGTTTGACGAGCGATACGTAGCGCAGACAGACTTCGAGCAACGTATCAAGCTCCTCTATTCCGAGCGACAGTCTGTTAGGCTTGACCTCGTTCCTGGCGTCTCGTTTATTGATCGGACGATAAGCGGGAACCACAAGTCGGAGGAAGACATCAACCGAAGGTAGGTCAACCCGGTCCTTCAGCTGACTGGCGATGAGCATGTTGGCGACAGAACGCTGGGCACCGGCGTCTTGTTGACTTAGCATTCCCCACAAACCGATGAGCACCAAGCCTAACGAGTAGGCTGCAGAATCCTTGTTCACTCCATGTAGCGCTTCAAAGATCTGCTCTTTGTAGGACACATCGGCCAATGCTGCCAGCCTGTTCTTGGTTGTGGCGTCTGATGATATGCTAGCATCGACGAGCGAGATGTAAAGCCTGGTGGCGAGATCGTCCAGGTGGGTAACGACGAGATACTCTGCGATAGAGCGGACGGGATCCTCGGAAGGCCCAAGGCGTTTTGACAATGCACGGGTCTCTGAACACGGCAGGGCGACGACGTCGTGAATAGCCTTGTCGCCTGTGTCGAGCGCGAGTTTTCGGGCACGCTGCCAGTGCAGAGCGTCCTGCGTGTGCAAGGCCTGTAGGACCGCATATTGCGAGTCTTCCCCTGCTTTACGAGCCATCCTCCAGCGAATCCGTGTCCGCGTCCAAACATCCAGGTCGAGAGCTAGAGGGGAAACACGACAAATCAGCTCGGTAGACCTTGTCTAAACCGCACGCGCGACTTCACTTACACTTCCCGACAAAAGCCTTTGTGACTCGCAACCAGGCCCTTTCGACCGCGGGTTCGTCATCTCCGTGTCGCTTGCCAAATTTGCTACCCAAGCTCTTTAAACCCTCGATGACGGTCCCAATCCGTCCTCGATAACCGGATTCAGTCAAGACGTCGACTTCGACCTGCTGACCCTCGACCGCCTGCTCGTCTTCAGCCTCACTCGGCGTATCAGCCGTAAGCAAGCCGAATGACCTGACCAGGCTCCAGGTGATCCACGAGATGACTCCGGCGAGGAAGAACAGCCCGACCCAGTCCAAAAAGTCGTCCGGCCTCAACACCCAAAAGTCATGATGACGTTCGGGCAGGGCGCGTTTCAGCAAGTGCGTGGACTGGTTGGCCGCCCTGTATGGCGCCGAGAGGATCACCGACCCGGTCGACCTCGACCCTTCCGCCACTTGTCCCTGTCGAGCCGAACTTCGGAAAACCGAGCTGGCCCTGGGGAAGAACGTGTATGCCAACCCGAACGAGTACATCACTGCCGCTCCGGCCCCGGTGACCGTCTCGACGCTCGCCGTCGGCTTTTTCCCTCCGGCCTTTTTAGGCTGTTTAGCCGTCGCAGGTCGCTTCTTGACCGGTTTCTTGTCCTCGGCATCGTCCTCGTTCTCCCTGGGACGCTTCTTCGGTCGACCACGCACGGGCGGAGCCTCCTCTTCTTCCTCCTCGTCGGCTCCGTCAGGCGGGGACGAGGACGATGGCGATCCTCCCGAAGTCGATCCACCAGGCGGGGCTAGCATCAACGCCCTCTCCACGCTCTTCCTCTCGAGCCCTTGCCTGTACGCCTCTTCAGCGAGCTTCCCCACCCTCTCCTGTTCCCGTTCCCACTTGGCCCACTTGTCGCCGGAATCAGGACCGGTACCCAACAACCGCATCAACACCCGATCGCTCCTCTCCCGTTTGGCCTCGCCCGCGTGATCCTTCATCTCCAGGTATTCGATATACATCCTCGCTCCGAGCATGACGGTCTGTTTCGTCGGTTTCCCAATCTCGCTGACTCCGCCTACCAGGCCGTCCTCGTCCGGCTTGTCCGTGGTCTCGATCTCGCTAGGTAAAGAGGTCCCGTAGACCTGTCGAAGACGGGGCACGGAATCGCGGAGCGAGTCCAGGGCGTTCTTGACGTTGCTCCGATAACGCTTCTCGACCTTGTTGTGCAGGTTGATACCGGGTTGTTTGGATTGTTGTTGTCGTGGCGATCGGTTCGGGTTGGACGTCGGAGCGGCCGGTGGCCCAGCATTAGCGGCGGGGTCGGTCGCGGTCGTGGTCGAGGTAGCAAGCTCTCCAGCCTCGACGATGGAAGCGGTCCCCTTGGCCGTACTCGTCGTCGACCCTGTCTCATCGATCGACTCTCTCTTGACCCCGCCAGCAGGCCTTTCCTCTACTCGCTCTCGAGGCTGACCCTGGGGCTGATCAGGCTGGAGCAACATCCCCGCTCCACCTCCTTGTAACAACCCCACCCAATCTACCGTCCCGCCAAACCCGGTTCCAAATCCAAACTCGTCCCCGTCGCCGTTTCCTGCTCCAATCCCGATCCCGCCAGCACCTCCGCCCATACTCAACAACCGCTTCAACTCCTGCTCACTCAATACCTCGCCTGACGAATTATCGCTATCGAACCGGGTAGGGTCGAGAGCGAGCCCGAGATCGAGGTTCACGTTCAGGTTCGAGTTCGGGTTGGGGTTAAAGTTGAGGTTCGGGTTGTGCGCGATCTCGGGTCCGCCCATCCCGAACCCTAACGTCCCTTCAAAAGACCCCCTGGCTCGACCCTGCTGTCCCTGACCTTCAGCTCGGCCGTACAAGTGCGACTGCGAACGACCCGAGCCGGGGAAGGCCGAGTCGGATGTATCGCCAAGATCGAAGACCAGCCCGGTGTTCATCCCCGGATTCGGATTCATCCCTGGTGCTGAAGCCGGTCCCGAACTTGTGTAAAGGTTCGTGTTCCCGAAATGAAGATCGTTGCCATTACCGCTCTGGTATTTGGGATCCTCGAAAGAGAAATCGAAACCGAACCCGTCCAAGCTGAACGGATCGGGGTTGAAGGACGGTGCTTGTGCTTGTGCTTGTGCTTGTGCTTGCGACTGTTCCTGCTGCTGTTGTAGCTGCTGGAACTGCGGCTGTCTCATCTGCAATTGTTGCTGCTCATACTGTTGAAACAGAAATTGTTGCTGCTGCTGCTGCTGCTGTTGTTGTTGTTGTTGTTGTTGTTGCTGTTGACGCAGAAACACCTGCTGTTGCTGTTGTTGCATCAACGAAGATGGCGAAGACATATTCCCCAACCCCTCCACGCTGAACCCACTCCCATTGCCCGCCCCACCTCCTGTCCCGAGGCTGAACGTGCTCTCCGGTGAACTCGCCGATTGAGACGTCGACCACGTCATCGAAGGGGTAGAGGCGTCGAGTACGGGGGTGTGGTACGGATGTAGGTTGGGGTTGTTCGAGTTGAGATTGAACTGTACATCCGAATCCTTTCCATCGACCTGAGCGTGACCTGGAATTAAAGGTAGAGGCTGTGAATTGGGTTCGGCGAGGTTGAGGATATCTTCAAAGTCCAGGGAAGTACTAGGGATATGTGTGAATAGGAAATCGTCGTCCATCTCTTCGATATCGAGCGGGGGGTCTTGTTGGTAGGGTTGTTGTTGTTGGTGGTGGGACATCATCGATGTCGAGGCTGACATGATGAAAGAGGTAGGAAGGTAGGTTGACGCCGACTTGGCGGTGGATGTCGTCCGTTGTAGTGGTCCTGTCCTCTCAGATCTGAGTGATTTGTTATCACTACGTCGATTACGACTTCCTCTATTCGCCTCGTACCACAGATTCAAGGTAGAACAGTGGAACGACCTAAGAGATCAAACGGCAAACTCCGCGCCTCGTTCGATCCCCGTGTCCGATCTGGCTCAGAATAGGTGCGTTCGATAGCTATTAGCTTGTACTTTCCGGCTATGAGCAGTTATGAATGTTGAGAGCAGGTGTTTGAAAGATATGATGCATGATTCGATGAGAAAGGTGAGGTCGATTGTAAGAGTTGTTGGATGATCTGACGATGGCGAGGGGAAAAGGTGGTACGACGTCCCAAAGGATCGACCTCGGTCATTACGTAAGTGATGCTGTGACGTAAGTGGATAACGGCATCGTATTGTCCTCGTTAGGATCGACCACATCTCCAGCGTGCCAGCGTAGCTCTTATGCATGATTCCTGGATGAAAGATGTTTCCATGTGTCGAGGCGGACTCCGAGGGGCCAAGTGGCCAGGGTCGTCGACTCTTCTCAAGTGCTCTGGTTAGCAAGGAGATTGGGAAACGCGCTCGCCGATGTCTAGTCGAGCTCGTTTTTACGTTTCGACCTGAACAATCCCCCGTCCTATCCTCGACGGCACATGATGCATGGCGCACGATGCATGTTGAGATTTGCAAAGTATTGAGCTATGAACAGCAACTCTGAGAGCCTGATCGGTGATTCGGTCCCCGCCGCTGTCGTCACGATACTCAACTTCCGGTAACCCCTAAGCGCGACTTGCAGCTTGAATGAACCTCGGGCTTCTTCCGAATTTCGGGAGACGACCTGCTGCCTGCTGCCAGATTGCCAACTATACCCATAAGATTGTACTTGCACACACCTTGCAATCTAATCTACCGGCTCTCACAACCACGACTGGCATAGCATAAACACGGACGATGTACTACTACCTCTCTTTCCTCCGCCCTCCACCCAGCTCGATCGATATCGCCGTGCCCTCGGGAGGGATCACGATCACCCCGCAGATCGCCAACGATCTACGTACAGAGTGCGTGTCCCGTATGTCGTACCACATATCCAGGGTTCTTCTTCTCGATCTCGATAGATGATCATGATATCGTTAGATGAGAGCATGCCTGGCTTATCTGCACCTGCACCTGCACCTGCACCTTGTCGTCTCGATAGATTACTGGACGACCGATCGACGGACATCTTCTATACCTGGTCAACCCGACCGCCTACGACGAGCACCTCTTCCTCCTCCTCCCACTCACCCGCCGGACCTTCTTCTTCATCTTCACCTTTACCACCACTACCAGCGGCACCTACACTACTGACGACCTACCTCCCCCCCTCCTCGACGTACAAACCGAACCTCGTCCCCCTCCCCAAGGGGTGTCAAGTCGGGGACGTCTGGTACTTAGGTCTGACGGCCAACGCGGGTGACGGAAGATCGCGAGTACCGCTACAAAGGGGAAGGATCGTGGATGTCTGGAGTCAGGGAATCCGGATTACTTCTTCTTCTCTTTCCACCTCTTCTGGATCTACCTCATTATCGTCTTCAGATTCAAAATCGAATGGACGGACCGACCTGAAATCGAAATCGAAATTGAAGTCCTCGGGATCCTCGAGACCTCTGAAAAAGGAATACGAAGGACCTAAACAGACGAGGATCTTTCGGAGTTGGGTGTTACCCCCGCTCCGTATCGGCGGTGCGACCGTATCGTCGCCTCCAGCGGAGGATGTTGCAGAACCCGTAACAGGACCAGGACATACGCTCATAGATTCAAGAAGCACCACAACCACAGGAGGAGGTGGTTCAGCAGGGTTGACGATCAGTCCAGGGTTCGAGAATGGGAAGCCCGGTCGGGCCGTCAAGAGGGATTCCGAAGGTTTCCCCAAGCGTTCCAAAGTGCAAGCAGATGCAGATGCAGAGGAAGAGGAAGGAGAAGCAGGTCGGCGCGGCGGGGAACGTGATAATGAGAACAACAAGGACGACGAGGATGAAGAAGAGAAGGGGTCGGGGAGTTCGGAAGAGAGGATACTGAGCGTTGTCGAGGAGACGAGCTTTGATCTTGATAAAGTGAGTCTGCAGCTTCATTTTTCTTGGGCGAGAGGTTCAAATCGGGCCCATCAACCAGCATTCATTGGAATAACGCTGATGATTCCGAATTGGGTAGAAAATCTGGGATTCGGGCTTGGCTCTTACCTCATACATCACACAACTGTCTTCCCCGGCGGCCTCCACCTCCTCACCGACCTCAACCCCTGTCGGTGCACCGCTACCGTTTCCAACCCCTTCAGACCTGATCGACAGGCTGCAACGCCCTCGAGCTCGGATTCTCGAGATCGGTGCGGGTACAGGGTTGGTAGGGATCGGACTGGCTGCGAGTGAGATAGCCAGTCAGGCGGGGGTGAGGGTCATGATCACCGATTTGCGTGAGTGTCTTCAGCGTCGTCCGTCCAGGGCCAAACGGGGTGCAGGTATCAAGCGAATTAGGCTAACGCGGCTTGGGGGATTTTTGTTGCAGCTTCGGCCATCCCGCTGATCGATGAGAATATCGAGCTTAATCGATCATTGTGGCGCTCGAGATCCGGGCAAGAGGATGACGAGCCAAGGTTACGTTCGGGGGTCCTGGACTGGGACGAGGAAGTGCCAGATTGGGTGTGGAGTTGGGACGAGCCTGAAGGGTCACAAAGACCGTTAGACGTCATTGTGTGAGTCTCGCACTTCTCAATATCGGTCAGAAGAGCTTGAGCTGACACTGCACTGGCGTCGCCATCGATAGGGCGGCCGATGTGACCTATAACACCGACTCGTTTCCATCACTCATATCTACCCTTTCCCACCTCTTCGCCCCTCCCTCAAGATTGCCATTGAGCCCGGCCCCGCTCCTCTTGTTAGCCTACAAACAACGACACGCCGCCGAACGTACCCTCTGGCCCGCGTTGAAGGAGATCGGGATCGAACTGACGAAGTTTGGGACGATCTCGGGACATGAAGAGGACCTCGGGGTGGACGTTATCACTGGGAGGGATGAGGAGGAGGGGGAGGAGGTAAGGAGCGGGATGGGCGGGACCGAGTTGTGGATAGGCAGGAAGAAGGTGTAGAAGATGCCATTCAGAAAGGATGAAGTCATGCTGTAGGAGCAGACACGTGGAGGTCAATAGCACAGCAAGCCTTTATCCATTCTATCGGCTCTGCCCAGGAATATTACCACCATTTATAATCCGATGCAACGTCCACGGTCGGCTGGAAGCTAGTGTGCTGGTCCGGCGAAGCTCTTGATTTTAATTCACATTGCCCTTTGACAGGCGCTTGACGAATCAGAGATCGCTCACGTCTTTGCAAGTTGACTATGTTTTGGAGGACTCTTGGCCTTCTTTTTACTAGTGAAACAACCTTTGATTCTGTTGCTGGTTGACGCTACTTTGTCGTAGATGAAACCTCGATGTCTGCCGGTGCTCGGTTCTGCTTCGATGATAGCCGTGCTGGGCCCAACTTCAATGAAACAGGCTGTATAATAAGCCCGATAGGATGATCTACCGTACCAGCCGTACCCGAGACTACCCAAGTCATCGATCACTGTCCTCTTCTGCTTCTCCGTTGAGACTGAGACTGACGTTGATACTAACGGCCATGAATGCACCGGACCGGCCGATTCGACGACACCGTGACCCGAGCATCGACGAAAGACGACGCCGACTCCTTCAGTGGCACGAAGGGAGAGGAACGGGAAGCTTCGAATATATAAACCACCATGTCAGATACGATTATGCGTACTTGAAATAGATACAAGTCGAGGAGGTCCGATGATTTACAGGTGGATCGTGAAGCGATACGTAGTGATTAGACCGAGTTTGAGTATCCCTTGTTATCGGTGCGGACTGATTCGGATGGAAAGGGAAATGGTCGTATACGTCGGCCGGATCTCTGCCCTTGGAGTTCGACCCTCCGACGTGAGTTTCACATCCCCGGTCTCATGCTCATTTTTGGTACTCCTTCTGTTCAACTCATCGTGTTATGATCGTGTTGGATTGTCGAGACGTGTCGTATCCTTAACCCAGCCATATTGCTTCAACATTCACTTGTGTTCCTGATCAAAGTCCCTGGAGGACGGCATCGCGCATCGTTTCGACGTCGCCACCGCCGAGCCTTTACAGAATCGTCATGAAACAAGCTTCATCTCCAACGTTTTGGCTCTCGAAGACGACCATCTCCTGGGATTTCGACACTCCGAGGGATCCATAGGGATACGATGGGGATCGATGAGTAAAAATTCGGATGTGATCTAGTGTTACTAGAGTCTTGTGATTGGTATCTAATTTTACCAAGAACGAAACGGGCAGATCAAATATACGGACCATCGGCTAGCTTGAACAAATCGCTCGTTCGACCTCGCCGACGCCATGGGCATCACGCTCGACAACGCCATTGTGATATATAAGCCCCTGCTTGTAGTTGTTACAGAACGCAGACTACATAAGCCAAATCTCACTTTCCATACTTCACTGTCATCCGCTTTGTTTTTCTTCTTGCTCCATCGCGCTCTCGTCTGCTACGTTTGGCTTACTCGCCTCGGAACGGGATTGTTCAACTCGAAAGTTCGCTGTGTTTTGAGTCGAATCCCCAAGCCCACTGTAACGAGCTGTTTCGGAACAGGCTAATTTGACACGCATAGTATACCATGCTCGCCGTCCGGTCCGAACCGGTTCGCCAGCCAAATTCGCTGTGGCTATCAGACGCACGAGATCGACCGTGTCGTTTCAACGGTGGCACAATTGGTCACCGAATCACTCCTACCTTCTTCTCGTCCTGGTCTTATACCTCCCTGATGCTGGGCTGACAGGGATGGAGCACGGTTTTGAGAGTCACGGTCGTGTCGTCGTGCGACATGATCCGATTCGACTAGATTAGGAAGTAACAGGTTGCGACAAGTGCCACGAAAGAATTTTGACTTGAGTTCGTCTGCAGCGCAATACGAGCGCGTCCTTTGTGAGAGTTCGACTATTTTCGTACAGGCGAGTGAAGACGATATGCCGGCGTGATGGAAATGGTGAGGACGATGAGGTCGAGAATCGAATATGCGTAGACCTGTCGCGTGTCGACGTGGATACGCGTCAAAACAACGACCTCGACCTCGCGAATCGCGAAAATCGACCTGGCCGATGGCAAAAAGGTAGGTAGCCGTCTCGTCTCAAGGCGATAGTGCTTAGCCGAGGACAAGGTGAACGCTCATGAGCAAGCTCAGAGGAGTGATCAGGCGGAAAAGATTACTTGACGAAATTAGTCCAGTGGACTAGTAATACTCGTCAGAGTATTAAGAACAGATACTACACATGATCAAAGCCAAAAGGCAAACAGAAATGTACCCTTATAAGACTATGCCCAGATCACTTGGCAACAAGCAGTGTAGCCACCTTTTTTAACAGTCGATTCGGTCGCCTGGCTCGGGAGAATGGAGATCCAGTATGGGTGAGTGTCCAGCGCGTCTGCGCGCGCGCAAGGCCGCCTCGCCGACCCGCCAGCTTCCAGATGCAGCTTCGCCGAGCCTCCTGAGCCTAGGCTCTCTTGTCATCGCTACCATATCATACGGGAGCTCGGTGGGCAAAGTTGTCTGATTGATGTCTCGAAACCTCGAGGAGGGTGAGGTGTAGAACATCGGGGATGCCCAGCGATTGCTCGCATGCGCCCTTAAAATTTGCCACACCTCTTAAGGCACGCGCTCCGGGACAAGTCGGAGAGGAAGTATCGTCGAATGTCCACCGCGTCCTCGACCTTTGGCTCGACCAAGCCTGCAACACATCGACGCGCTCCATCAGCTCCCAATTGCCTCGAACGGTGCATCTCAAGGTCTCGAAATCTTGTTAGAACCCTTCGTACCTCATCTTGGCAGACCGAATTTGGAGCAAAGCAAAAAGAAAGAAGCAGTAACCACGACCTAATGTGCTCGACGCCCCCTCCGCGCTTGACACTACATTTAATCAAAGCCCGCGCTTGCAGACCGTGTATGATGGCACGACACGTCTGATCCGATCGTGTTGAGCGCACTGATGCTTGGTTGACATAGAGGTCTTCTAAGAAGTGAACAGCGATGGAGATGACTCTGGCATAACAAGGAAGATCCTCTGACTCCCTGGATGAGTATACAATGGAGTGCGACAAAGTTAAGTTCAGTTTCATGATATCGTCGCAAACGGTCTACGAGTCGTCCTATAATTGGGTGGAGCCTACCTCTATGCCGTGAGCCATACAACCCATGCGTGAGCATAGAGGATCGCCTTAGAGAGTGTCCGCGACATCTGCGTCTTGAGCGTAGTCGGTTGGCTCATCGCCTTTGGGCAAATCACCGCTATCCTCTCCCAATGCACCAGCATTCTGCGACGGGAAGTGATCGGGTTGGGGATGATTGGCCTGGGAAGTACCACTCGAGGGAGATTTAATCGCATCTGAATCTTCCGCCCGATGAGCAGAGTGCTCTCGCAGCAGATCCAAGTATCCCGTCTCTTGAATCGTGATCCTGTGCAAGTCGGGATCGATTCCCCACTCGTGCAACCCGGCAATGACCTCAGGATAAACGGACTGCGAACAGTCCTTCATCTCTCTGAACCATGGGTAGTGGTAAGGGAGGGCCTCCTCCGGTCGTATACCCTGGCCCACTCGTCGAGCTCTCTCCGCCGTTGCGATAGCCATCGCGTATTCTTCGTTGTTCAAGTACGCCTGTGGAAGGACGATGCAGAAGGTAAGGGTCCAGACAGGCTTTTACGGCATCCAAACCGTCTTGACATACCTGAGCTAGCAAAACCATTAATGCAGTATCCCACGCCACTTCCAAATATTCGTTACTCAAGATATAATCCTCCAGCTCCTTGACCGCCAGCCACGGCTCGTTCCGCCCTAGATAGTTCCAACGGTCGTGAAGCTCCCCCCGAAGAACGAGCACCGGATGTCTGTAAGTGCCAGGCGGCAGGTCGTCGTCGGAGTCTGACATCCTGTTTCCAAAGGATACCGATGGGCAGCGTATGTGTAGCTAATACGAGGATGGGCGAATAGAGGGAGAGGCCGTATTTGATTTCGCGTGTATCTGTGCAATTGAGGATCAGCACTTGCTTGATATAGGGCTGATATTGGGTCCAAGTGATATCACTCACTGGATACAGGGTTGAACGCCGACGATACAACAGGTATGAGCCGTGTATCGGCTCAAGAAGTGTATATCGACGCTATTTCAAGAGCTGATATGGGATTACTTCTCGAGGTGCGGATGACGAGAGGACTAGCACGTGAACGTCAATCAGAAAGGATATAAGGGTTTGCAACGAAGAAGAATGATGACCGCTGTAGTCGCAGCAATATATATGTGCTCGTCTGGTCTGATCTTGTTGCGATGGATATCGCATATCAATTCGTCTCCAGGATTCCGGAACGTTCATGATTCTCGTGGGAAAGATGAGAACGTTCGAATGATCAAGATGATCGGATGATCACTTTCATGCTATTGTTTTGCTGATTTCTGCCGACCTGATGCGCGCGAATCTGCCCGAAGCAGCTAGATGACGACATGTAAGCGAGTATAGGGGTTCTTCTTTGCGAGAACAATGGCTTGATCGTCGACTCTTGCAACTCATCAACAAGGCAGGACGAGGAGGGGGGGTGAAGTAACGTTTCATCACAGCGCCACTGTTCTTTGTTTGTTCTGCTTCCGGCGCGCTATGCCCGGATCTGCCCATCTCGACCCATGTTGCATTCACATTGTTCGTAACGACAGAGTAGTGCTTTGCTTTGTTGTCAGGGTAGTACAGAGGTTTCTTTTGTCGGAACTACGGGAAATAGCACACAGTCCGCCCCCTAAGAGCTACAGATCACCTTTACCCAGTCAACATCCTGTTCGCTCCCGCCACCACACCGTCGAGATCGTCCTCATCGTGCGCGTCATCAAAACGGGACAAAGAGTCAAGCGAGTCGTCATGCCTCTCGAGCCGGGATATTTCGCTCATTGTAGCATTATCCGAGTAGTAAGCTCCTCCGCACGAAACTTGTCTGCCGGACTGGAAGCCCGCGCCAAACGCCATGCCAATGAGTATGAATATGAGGAAGATTTGGACTGCCAGGATTATCAGTACGAAGTTCGCGGCGAAGAGATTCCGATCTTATGAACCACTCACTGAATATTTTCAAGCCCTTGGACAAACGCCCCGGTTGACCGGGCTGACCTTGAGACCCGTGCCGGCGGTAAATGAACGCAGGCACGAAACGTTTGGGCTCGAGCTCGGGCTCCTGATAAGGCTGTCGACCATACTCGGGATCGTGCGGCGGCGGCGCCCACATCTGCTGAGAAGGAGCTGGTACAGGCACCGGAGGAGGAGGTCCGGGCGGAACATAGCTGATCCTAGGGTTCGACGGCGTTCTCGAGTGGCTCGCGTAGGTACTGACTGGAGAAGCCGGAGGGGGCGTCTTGCCGTCGATGGGGTAAGCGGCTCTTTCGTTGAGCCAGTCGTTCTGCTTCAAGTCCCCCTTGTCTCCCAGAGGACGAAGAAATTCGATTCCTTCCGAGTCGAACTCTGACTTTGTAGTCGATTGAGGATATGCTGGAGGCGCTGCAAATGGGCTGGCGGTAGGAGGAGGGGGAGGCGCTACCGCTTGCGTAGCCGCGGGAGGTGAAATGGCAAGACCTTGCATATTGTTCAAGGAAGGGGGTTAAAGTGTGTGTGTAATCGAAAGGGTTCTTGAGAATCAACCATGAACATCAGCTTGCGATGAGCATTGTTTCTTAAGACTAGGGACACTTCATCATGCCAATCTGAGACGGTGCGGATGCTTCCTTTGTATACGTATGGAGGTGTTTCAGCGCATGTTTCACGCTGGTACGGCAAGCGCTGACCGCACAGCCCAAAGGATAGATGCATCAACATTTCTGCATGATAGGGATACGTGGTGCAAGTGATAATCTGATACAACAAGAAGGATACAAAACGTTGCTTAACCGAAAGTTTGGGAACTCCTGGTGGCCCTCTTCTGCTTGGAGATACGCCATTCGTCGGGTTTTTCCTGTAAACGAAATAGCATCGCGCCAGCAGAGTTTAAGTATTCGTGTATTCTACAGGACGCGGACCAGCACTTACGTATTTGTTGAACAAGGGCTGGATCCGCTCTTCCCTCTTCATCTTGGATATTCTCGTTTGGTCCGCGACCTTGAACAGACTTGGTGCGACTTGTGTCAACCACTAAGAGCCGAGATGGTGTTCAGCTTTGTGTCTCGTGTCCTTTGCTTTGGCGGGACTACGTACCTTGGGCTCGATAGCAGTGATATTGTGCATGTACTCCTTGGTCGTCAGAATGAGCGAATAGTAAATACTACAGAGGCGAAAGAGACATTGGCGAGTCAGCATCGAACGCGCAACAGGATCGAGTAGGCTAGAAGCGTGTACGTACCACCCTGATTATTATCGCAGCAAGCAAGAAAGCTCGTGGTCTTAGCATGATGTCTCGGTAATCTATCGCGAACGCTTCACTCACACTCTGGCGGCCGCTGGAAAAGCGACGAGCTGGGATGCATGTAGACTGGGGTACCCTCGACCAGCGTCTTGTACCCCTCGTTCGGATCCTTCTTGGCCGCGTTACGGAAGAATCCCTATCAAAGGCGTTAAAATATCAGTCTCAGAACAAAACGGTTGGAGGGACGATGACATACTGAAGTGATGGCCATACGGATACGGTTATAGTTGGTTCCACCTGTTGTTTAAAGGTGATTATTCAGTAAATGCTTCGATGTTACACCCTTCGACAACACTCACAAGACAGAATGTCGTGCTTGTATCGGTCCATGATACCGAGCAACTGTTTTCGTACATCCTGGGCTCTTCGCATCGATCGAGCTTGGATATAGTTCTGTAGAAAGTGCTCAACATCAGCTCGATCACCTTGGCCATTTGTTCATCACCCGAGACATACCTCGTAACACCATGGGTTGCTGAACTTTGACCCTTTCCAACCGTTGTAAACCGCGAGCAGGGTGAGCAAGTCGCCTTCTGGCTGATGGAACTTGGCCTTCTTCGCATCTGCTTGCGCTTGCTTGTCTTTGGGTCGGTAGAAGACCTGGCCTTCGGCTTGCAACATCGCCACGATGCTCAAGGCTTCTTCCGAACATCCATAGTCGACCGAGACAATCAACGTCTTGGACAGAGCAGGATCCAAGGGGAAGTCGGCCATCTTCCTTCCGAGACGCGTGAGCAGACCTTCCTCGTCCAGGGCCGACAACGCATAGAGATGCTCGAGCGCTGTCAGCAGTGTCGGTGCGGGTGGCGGGTCCATAAAGTCAAAGTGAATGAGATCGTTAATTCCCATCGCTTTGAGCGTAAGAATCGTCGAAGACAAGTTCTGTCGCTGAATTTCAGGAATGGGACTCGGCAGCATTTCGTTTCGGAAGGCAACCTCAGTGTAAAGTCGGTAGGTCTTCCCTGGTCCTGTTCGTCCTGCTCGACCTGCTCGCTGCTTGGCCTGCGCTTGTGAGATTGGCTGCAACGAGAGATGGCTATACGTCAGTGGCCAGGTTCATTGATACGATCCCGCAACGTCTTAAACTTACCACCACGACCAGCTGATCCATACCGAGTTTCGGGTCGTAAGCGTTCTGCTTTGAGAAACCCGGGTCGATGACGTAGTAGATTCCGTCGATGGTAACACTGGTCTCGGCAATGTTCGTGGCGATAACACATTTTCGCGTTCCTGGAGGCGTAGGATCGAAGATTCGCGACTGCATTTCTGAAGGCAGTGCAGAGTAGATGGGCAAGATCATCAATTCGGGTACTTGCGGACCGAGCGCCTTCATTCGTTCGTATAAGACTTCGCACGCCGTGTCGATCTCTTCTTGACCCGTCAAGAAGAGCAGAATATCGCCTGGCGGTTCCGAAAGATGGATCTGCATGACAGTGATCAACGAAGCGTCGAGATAGTCATTCTCGGGCTCCTTGGTATAGAGCACTTCGACGGGGAATGTTCGACCGGGGATAGTGAAAATGGGACAACCGTAGAAATATCGAGCAAACTTTTCGGCGTCAAGGGTGGCCGAAGTAATGATGATTTTCAGGTCGGGTCGTCGCTTGACCGATTCTGTTAGGACAGGGTTGTCAGCTACCAATAAATCCCGGTCTCCTCCAGAATTACTCACTCTTCAGCAGACCGAACAGCACATCCGTCGCAATGGTACGCTCGTGCGCCTCGTCCAACATGATCACCGAATATTGCGACATGTCGGGGTCCACCAAACATTCACGCTGTAACATTCCATCGGTCTGTAGAGTCGTCATCGGGTCAGCTTTTTGAGCTATCTACATGTTGGAGGATGTCATGCTTACCATGTACTTGATCTTGGTTTCGGGACTCGTGCAGTCCTCGAAACGGATCGTGTACCCAACCTCGGTTCCCACTCGACAACCGACTTCCTCAGCCACGCGCTGTTAGGGGGAATCACGAATGCCTCAGTTGAGAAGTCTTTGATCAAGACATGCGAACCGACCCACCTTGGCGACCGAGACGGCGGCGACACGTCGAGGCTGGGTACAACCGATCTTTCCTCGCTCGGCGAAGCCTTCCTCTGCCAAGTACTGCGTCATCTGCGTCGTCTTTCCCGATCCAGTATCACCGACGACGATCAAGATTTGGTTCTACACGCCGCAAAGCACGAAACGTCAGCCAATCTGTTAGAAGGTGAGGAAAGAGGAGTGTCGACACGTACATCCCGGACGGCCTGCATCAACTGCTCCCTCAACTTGTAGATCGGCAAGCTCTTCCTCTGATCCTGAATACTGAGACTGGTGATCTTTCCGTATGTCACCGCCTTGTTCGCCGCCTGCCAAGTCGGCTTCTCCAACGCTTTTGCACCCATCAAGTTGCCCCTCAGGTCCGAGGCGAACACCTTGTCCGCAGCCTGTGCCATGGGATCCAACCAAGGTTGACTGAAATCCCTAGCCTCGGAATCGGCCTCGTCGTTCGCCTCTTGTTGACGGAGTTCACGACGTTCTTTCGCCAAGGCTCCTCCCGCCAGCGCTGCTCGGTTCATCGATCCGTCGGGCGCCTTGATGACCTTGACGGGCGACAAGTTGAGCGTGACCTTCGTCTGACCGCTCAAGAATGCACTGTATGGGATGGTTTTATGTCAGCAACCTGGAAGCCCCAGACCGCGTTCGCAAGACTCACGGCTCGTTCTCGTTGACCTCGATATCCAATTCCTCCTCCACCTCGGCCGCCACTGTCGTCGAGTTGATGTCCTCGTCAAGATCCGGGTACTGTTAGTTAGGAGAACATATCAGCTACCTTCCTGTCATTTTATTCAAGTCTAGGCTCATGACCTACATCAGCCGCACTGACGACACCGGACGAGATCAACTGCTTGATCTCCCATCGTTCCGGCGAGGACACTGTACGTCGTTGTATCAGCATCAGCATGAAGCCCATATCCTCAGCGGCCGTCACCCGCCCACTCACATCGCTTGGCAGAACCCTTCCGCTCATCAACATGGATCGTCGCGCTGTTGGCTCCCGTCACAGGCGGTGGCCTGGCCGCTCGACGTCGTTCTTCCTCTTCGATCTCCTGGTCCGTCTTGACGTAAAGGTGGGGTGACAAGTCCGCTCCCGTACTCTGATCGACGTCCTTCATCGACAACGAGACCTTGCTACCGGCGATACTCATCACCTTGACCTTTACCGGCTGATTCCTGGCGACGAGATCCGCGGGACTGTTCACCCTGCTGCTCGCCATACTGGAGATATGTACCATGCCTTCTTGTCTCCCCGAGATCCCTTCGAGGGTGACGAAACATCCGAAATCCTTAATATTGGCCACTCTGCCGTTGTAGATCTTGTAGAGGATGGGTTTATCGTCTTGTCGTCCTCGTCCATCGTACCCGTTCTTACCCCCCGCACCTGCGCCTAGTCGGGTGCCATACCCGTTATCCCGTCCGTCAGGCCGACCTCCGGGGGGTGGACTCCTCCCTCGCCCTCGTCCATCGTATCCATCATCTTCCACGCGTTGTCGCTTGTACCCATTATCGCCCCTGAAGTCCTCTTGCCCACCTCCCGTCCGGCGTTTAGACCCGACCCCCTCGAGCTCTTTCATCAGGTCGTCCACATCGGGCAAAACCGGCCCCGCGTTCCTCTCGTCCTTCAAGAACTGTTCGTGGCTCTTCAGATTACTATCCGGTACAGCCAACCCGGGGAAGAGTCTCGCCCTCCGATCCGTCTCCTCGTCCACGACCCGGTCGATGTCCTTGTCCTTGCCCTTGCCATTCAGCGCGCCTTCGCCCCCTACAGTCATCTCGGCGGCTTTCTTGGCCTTTTTCTTGTACTTGGGATGCATGGAAAGGATAATCCGGTCGAGGTTCTGGACGAAGGAATCGGGAAAGGGAGCTCCCATCTCTTTCATCTTGGTCTGAAAGACGTCGAACTTTTTGCTCTTCCGATGGAGCTGTATTGCGTCGTCATGATCAATCAGATTCCGTGTCAGCTCACATCGAAGATTTCCCTTATCGAAGAGATCAGATTTAGCCTGAATGATGCACTCACGGCGATGACAAACTTGGCCAAGTCCTGATCGGCACTCCCCGTAAAGTTGAAGATCTCCTGCGAGACCTTGTTGACGAGCGACAAGAGCTCGAGCTCTTCGAGTTCCTTGTCCATCGCGGCCGGTGTCTATCGGTATCTGATCGGTAGGTAACTATATGGGGGTCGATACTACGAGCAAGACGTAGATGCAACGGGGATTGAGAGGCGTGGCGATATGAAGTTAGGGGTTGTTCGAATGTTGGGCAGTTCATGTCATGGCAAGCTCGGTCCCGAGGGTGTCGAGGCGAGGTCGACGCGGACATCGTTGAATGATATTCGATGTCCGTGAATGAGTTCATCGTCTGTCGTCACCCTCAACCCTCAAACGATTGACATCCTAAACAAACCACTCTTATTTACTACTGCCCCTCGTGCTTTACATGATCTCGCAAACTCGCAATCATATCGACGACCCACTACCTAGGAACCCATATGTCATCCTCATATACCCCCTCAATCCCCCGCTCGACCCTCCCCCTTCCCTCTCGCCGAGCTGGAATTGGTCTCAAACCCCAAACCCAAACGATCGGGGGTAGCGTGACGAGCGCAACCTCCCGTCAACCCGCCCATCACGGCCAGCCAGACCCAGGTCAGATCGATGCGGGCTTGGAAGAGATGTTGAAGGGATTAGAGGGGCTGGAGAAGGATCTAGTGGGGGTGTTTGATGGTGTGTGAGTCGATGATTCTTTTCTGCCGATATATGAGATATGGTTGTTGAAAATTCGGTAATTCGTTGTACAAATCTGTCGTATTGGATATCGGATTGCTTCATTCTATCTCTATTACCCACCATGACTTGTGCCATCTCTCACCTTGTTGCACGTCCTCACGGGAAATGTAGAGAGAATGCATTCGATCCATCAACCAACCCAGGCGTGACACAATGTAAGCCCTTTCCCCCCTCCCAACCGTCCTGGCCTCTCGTTACGAATACCTCTCCATGCGAGTCTGTACTGACGTCAAAACACTACTATTGAACGAATCCACTAGTGAAATACGAACAAGGTACACTCCAAGTCCAACACCTTCTCCTCCTTGCTACACTACCTAGCCAACCGAGACTAACAACCTCCCTCAACGTCTCCCTGAATTCCTAACCCAACCGGAAAAAAACCAGCCATTCAAGCCCTCAAACGACTGATAGAGATCTCGATGACCACCTCTCTCGGCGGGGTCCCTTTGATACCCAACTCGAGCGCGTCGGACGTTCAGGACGTGTCGACGATACCGAGAACGACATCCACCACAACAGCATCGACAATAGCAAGCACAACAGCAACAGCAACGGCATCTACAGTAACGACATCTACGGCACCGACCTCCCCGCAAAAGCCCTTGCCGAACCTGACGCAACTATCAGCCCAGATCTCGCTCGCCTCCGGGGAGACTTATTCCCGCGGTAAAGTGTTGGCGGACGAAGTCAGGGGGATCGGGGAGGTTTTGAGTCGGCGATGAGTGACGGGTTGGTACGGGGGATGGGGGCTCGAGGGGTCGAGGGGTCGGAAGAGGAGACACGTAATGATATATGATACGCAAGGGGAACGATATGGGAGATGGACAGAGAGATGGTATGAGGGGTTGAGAGTGTAACGATGATGATGACAGTGACACGAGTGAACGATACGACATGATAGAGAAGCGATCGGTGATGATCGATGGTAGTTGTATTTTTCGCATTATTGCGAACCATGATACAACCAAATCCCGCAAACCCGTTACCCGATCACAGAATACTCACAAACTCACTTCCTCCCTCTCAAAAATCTATCGGCGCCTACGATCCTCTCAGAACGACGGCCTTGAAAGTACTAGAATACCCCAGACCTCGCGGGACGTAATCCATGACGCTCACCCACCCCACCTCGCTCCCTTCCCCTAGTGGGGGGAAGAGGACGAGACGGAAAAAGTGGGCCGTTTTCGTTCTATCTCCTTCACCAGGACGACCAAGTCAGTGCCCTCACCTTAGTAAGGGGGAGGGCGTCTCAAGGTCGGCAGAATAGGAGAGTTTTTTCAGTTTTGAGAAAGAAGAGGAGAGGGGGCGGGTGCGAGAAGAGAGGGGGAGGTTGAATTGCGGTTTTGGTAGGTTATATAGGCTGGGTGGGGTGTAACGTGACGCGCGGATTTGGTTGCATTGCGTATGACAAACAGAAGCGCATCAACCATATACGGCATCTCTGACGGCAAGGTGATGACGGCATTGCTCGGGGGGAATTACCGAAAGCGGGATGTATGTGTGTGTGAGACCCGGAAATGACCGAAAGAGGGGCAACGAGGACGGTCATCGAGATGATGAATCGTTCGATCATCCCTGCAACTAACTACATCTCATCTTCTCATCACCTACACCTCTCTATACCCTCAAACTATACAATACTATACCCAGCCACATCCCACGATGCGCTACTCGTTAGCCGCTGCCACCACCACGGCCCTCCTGGCCACGTCCACCCTCTCCCTCGCCCTCCCTACCGCCTCGTCCCTCTTCAACCTCCAAGACTCGTCCCTCTCCGTCCCCGCCGTCGCAGAAAAGGTGTTTGGTAGCGTAGGAAGTTGGTTGGGCAACGCCGAGAAGAATGTACACGATACCGTCAAGGGGCTGAAGGTCTCCAAGTTGGTCCAGGATGGCGTCGATTGTGAGCCAAATCTCTTCTAGTCGCTGTTTCATCTTGCATGTGACCGCCTTTCTGATCATCCTTCTCATCCCGCCTCCTTTGGCACTCTTCGCTCGGAACATGTTGTTATTTTAGACGACGTCCTGACCCACCCGGACCACCCTTCTTACCGTCTCCGAGTCACCTCGACCTCGAACTCGGGGACGGGGACGACCATGCCTCACCTCTGCGACCCTTCCGTCAAGATGATCTCCGGTTACCTTGACGTCAGCGAGACCAAGCACTTGTTCTTCTGGTTCTTTGAGAGCAGGGACAAGCCCAAGGAGGATCCTCTGCTCTTGTGGTGAGTCGGCGCGCGGGTCCTTTGTTGATGTTGCATGTGCGGAGCGCTGATACGGTCGTCTCGCCACCACCGCTCACTTGGCAGGTTGAACGGAGGACCCGGTTGTTCCTCTACCACCGGACTCCTCTTTGAGCTCGGTCCTTGTATGATCACCTCGACCTCCCCTGACCCCTCTGGCCCGGCTACTTCGGTCAACACGACCTACAACCCTCACTCGTGGACCAACCACGCCAACGTGCTCTTCCTCGACCAACCCGTCGGGGTCGGCTACTCTTACTCGGACTCGGGCAGTGTCGACAACTCCCCTGCGGCAGCCGAGGACGTCCATGCGTTCCTCCAGCTGTTCACGGCCAGGTATGGAAAGTACAGGGACAACGACTTGCACATCAGCGGGGAGAGCTACGCGGGGACCTATCTACCCCACATCGCACACGTCATCCACTCTGAGAACAAGAAGAGATCCACCTCGTTGGCCCCCTTGCCGAAATTGAACTTTAAATCGGTCATGATCGGGAACGGTCTCTCCGAACCAGCCACCCAGTTCGCCTCGGTCCCCGAGTACGCGTGCGATTCGCCCTATGCCGTCTACAAGGATCCGAACGGGTCGGAATGTGAGGGGTTGAGGAGCAAGATGGCGCGGTGTGAAAAGTTGGCGGAGACTTGTTACAGGTGAGATCATCACCACTCTTATTTCTCCCCCTTGCTGGCTGTTCCCATTTCTTCGAGGAGATGACGACTGATTCGACCCATGTTGGACGATTTATAGGGTGAACAACAAGTTCGTCTGCGTCCCCGCTACCTTGTCCTGTTGGTCCGGGTTCGGACAGTTGCAAGACCTCGGTTTGAACATGTACGATACCAGGAAGAAGTGCGATCGGGCCGAGGACAAGGACGGTCCCGTGAGTCACATCGCCCTTCTGCGGTATGCAAATGCCGTTGTTGGCGGGAAACTGAACGTCCTTTGGAATTCGGGTGGGTTGTAGTTGTGTTACCGACAGATGGGATGGATCGAGACTTATATGAACAGCCCCGAGGTCAAGAAGCGTGAGTCCCCCTTTCGATCTTTGTCTCTGACCTGAATTTGCGCTCTGAGCTGATCATGGGATACGGTCCGGATGGTAGAATTGGGAGCTCCTGCCGATATCGAGTTCAAGAGCTGTAACATGGATATCAACAAGTCGTTCTTGTAAGGCGGGCCTTCCTCTTTTCGTTCTCGTGATAAAGGCAGGAAGCGTTCGTCGAGGCTAACGATGTGGATGGCGCACGATAGGTTCAAGGCCGACGTCATGCACCGATCGTCCGACCTGTTGATCCCCGTCATCGAGGATGGTATCCGAGTCTTGATCTACGCTGGAGTCAACGACCTCATGTGCAACTTCATCGGTAACGAGGTCAGTCGAACCTGGCCCCCCTTCTGCGCCGAGCGTGACGTTGATCGTCGGGTACCTTTATGATCACGCAGCACTGGGTCGACAAGCTCGAGACGACCTACCAAGCCGCTTTCTTAAACTCGACCGCCACCCCCTTCATCTCGTCCAACAAGACCGAGGCTGGGTACGTCAGGTCGGCCGGTCACGGAGCCGGAAACATTGCGTTCATGGCCATCTACGAAGCCGGACACATGGTGAGTACACCCAAGATCCCGTTCTCTTTCGTCGTTACGTATGAGAGGTTCTGATCGGGGTTGGGTTTTGCGATATGATAGGTCCCGCAAGATCAGCCTTTGGCTGCGCTCAACATGTTGGACAGGTGGTTGAACAACGAGCCTTTGGCTTTGGGAAAGTAAATATCCCTCTATCGAGGTGAATGAGGAATTGGTCATGTAATCGATTGGAAGTATGCCTGGAGCGAAATAGTATTCATGATTGCCAGTCAGGAGATTTCCACGAAAGCCTGAGTCTTAAGGCATAGTCTCGGCTCCTGCATTCACACGGTGCTTCGGTGCGCAGTTTAGATCGAAAGTGTTCAATCGGGTCTAGGCTACAACAGACGGATTCATGCTTCCCACCAGATCCTGTGCTTGTATCATGTCAAGACGCTCGCTCATTGTGAGGGAAACGCTGTATGACTTGAGACTTCAGGCGTCTCCAGCGAGCACGGTCGGTACGTCCCAGTACCAAAACTTCCAGTCTCTTCCTGCTCCTGCGATGTTTTCGATGCCCAGGTAGATGCAGCAGGCTTGAAGGCACTGAGCATGTGAAGCCAACGCTCCTTCGTTGACTCCCGGTCCCTGAAGATCCTGCCTTCCAGCAAAGCATCGATCGCCCATTCTTGCTCATGCGTGGTCAAGTTCTGCATATTCTTAAAGGCGGCCTGGTACTTGATGATGACGTTGGCCCTCTCTTGGGGCGAGCTTTCAATCCACTTCCCATCTTTCCAGCGGCCCAAGCTATCAATACGCCCAGCTTCGTATTCTGCTTGAATATCACGGTACTCTCTGCCGATTCGCCTGGCTCGCTTCTCTTGCTCTGTCTGCATGGCGGTCATATTCGGTGTAAAGAGCGCGAAGGAGGGTTGATACTGGAAGAGGGTGGAGGGAGGGAACGTATTTGTCTGTCTGCGACTTTGTCCAGTATCTGATCTGTAGTGCAAGAGCGAGGATCAACTAGCCCTTCGAGTGCCAGACCTCATAGACAGAAGGGATAACAAGAGGCGAACAAGCTAGACAGGATCGGCTGATGCATAAGATCTCCTTATCGAACAAAGGAATGCCAAGCTGTGCTGTATCTATCGCCTGGCCGTTCTTGCACAGCAGGGTGGCAACTCGAAGGCGGAACATAGAGCAGGAGGCACGTGATAGCTTGCGCTACCCCTTGACCTGGACTTCACGAGGAGCGCTAGGAGTACCATATAGTCGAGAGTCCTTCCCTGTCAGCGACCGTGTGAGATTCTACGAGCTGAGGGAAACTGGATAGTCGGTTCAGCAAGGCGTGCTATTCTGTGTCCATGTTCCGAGGATTGACCGATCGCTGGAACGAATGAGCGGCAGAACCCCTTTTACGAGAGGTTGCGCCAATTCGAAAACGAGTTGAATCGATCGACGGTAGATCAGCATCGACCTTTGGCGACAGCGATCATCCGGGCTGTTATGCTTTGTCCAGTGGGTAAGTGAAGTTCGATCCCGCGAAAGCAAGGTACCAGATCTCAGTCAGGACCGATATCACCATGGCGGACATGCCGTAGACGACGGCTTGCTTGCGACATACCAAGAGAATGAGGCCGGGTGGGGGTTCACGACGATAGAAAACTCCGTCCAGAGTGAGCGGCGAATCCGAATCAAAAGAGAGGGCTGTGGCCGTGTTACGGTCGATCCGCAGCCGGGATTTGGTGCCGAGAAGGCTGGGTGCGCGTAGGTTTCAGCTGCGAACAGCGTCATCCTTTGTAGCCGAAAGCAACGAAGTCGATTGACGGGATTGAATTCACCAGCTTTGTTCTCAGGAACTCAAACTGCCGAGTTGACGGTCGGTCAGACGGCTTAAACATAAGAGCACGCGACATGACACTTTAGCATAGGCGCATCCAAACTGGGTTTGCAAGGGTGTATAGCCGCCGAAACTCGCTCGCTTGACAAGCTATGCCATTTCTTTCTCATCTCCTTCTCCGTCTACGTGGTTGCGTACCTCCTGTGTCTCAAGGTGCTTGTAAAAGAAGAAGGACCAGTGTTAAACCCGAGACTTGACAACGTCTCATCAGGGCTCACTCTTTGCTTGGTGGATGTGATCTCCAGCGGCGCAAACATACTAGAGTAGAGGGATGTTGGGATACAAAACCCTTAACACCCACTCAATCTTCAAAGAGAAATCGTGCAGGAGGATAAGTATTTGAGAGATGAAAAGGGCATAGGTTCCTCCCTGCCATTCAATAGTGTGAGAAATCACACCGCTGGTAATCAGTTCAATTTTACACTGAACAATATATCGTCTCAAACCCGCTTGCCAAGTAAGGAGGTCCTGTTGGCCCTCTTGACCAAACCTGGGGAAAGGCGGGTGAGGGCCTATGTTGAGCATAGGAAAAAGCCACAATCACTTGCTAGTACTTTCAGACGTTTCGCTTGAACGACTGGATCCGCCAAAGATACACGTTGTCAAGATCCACGATCTTCTCAGCTTTGTGGGGGACAATACTACTCCAGACGGACGAACGCACATCAGAGCCCGCTGCTTTTGCAGTATCTGCAATACGTAGGGTCATACAATCGACATGCATCAACCAAAGGTATGGGAAGGTGCTCATCGAAGAGAATTACATGACAGGGATTCATCGGATACAGAACCGGGACGCCACCCGGAGATCTTTGGAAGGGAAACATCCGTCACCAGATCTTCAGGTAGACGGCTTCATCGAAAATGAGCTGTGTTGGGACATTCGATCCCATGAGTCCCTGGTGGTAGTGGTACATTCCATAGAGCCAGACCTGCACAAGTCATCGAAGGCAGCTTGCACTTCCTTTTCCAGGTCCTTTTCCAGCCAATTTCTAACCGGGAGCGACATATGAAGACGCCTGTAACGGCTATCGAGTATTTCCTTTCTGTGAGATAGACGAGGATGGTTTCTGAGGCTGGCGTGAGATTTGGCTATCTCTTGGTAGTATTCCTTATAGTCTTCCAGAAGTCCCAGGACCTCCTGAATATTTACCGATTTCGTCCTTTTGAGCTGCAACAGCGATACCATGAGTCAGGGGTAAAGATAGATAAGGAGAAAAAGAGAGAGCATAGTGGAACGGGGATGCTGTATTATTAATAGGTAAGGCGTTGTATTATATACTAAGGCGCATGCCAAGCTAAATATGCTGCAGCTTGGCTAAGGAGCACGAAGGTATAACATCATGCCGAGTAGGGTGAAAGGAAGGTTGTAGAGTATGATGAATGCATCGCGATCACGCACGACACAAGACGTCTGAAGGTACTTGTACGGATTTGTCAGAAACTCTTTGCGACAGAGCTGTCTGGGTCGTTCCGGTTCACAAGACTGTTTTTCGACGGACATTGTGAGATCGCTCAGGAGTGTAGAAGAATGAGTGTCTCTGACAATCAGCTAGAATAAGCGAAGAGGCCGGCCAGCTGCATTTCTAATATCTCCAAGATGTTGAGAGATTGATAAAGCGTCGGCCTCCTTTAATCTCCCGTTTCGCGCGACCAAGCACCGACAATACAACGTGGGCGATGGGGAACAACGATGCATATTTCTCTCAAGGGGTTACGGATTGTCGTTGCGTCACAAAGCCGATAGCATGAGTCGATGCTCCATTCTGAGACTGACTACAAGATCTCTATCGTAGACTGGCTGTAGTTACACGTAGCTGCACCAGACTTTCAGCCGAGCCCTCACCAATCACATGATGATTCATTGGACCCTTCGTACGGATTCTCACCGTATCCTCCCAAAGAGGACTGCTCTCCCCCGTAAGAGTCTTCAAGCTTCGCATGGGACGGGGTCTCTTCTTGTTGACCATGGTAGGGGTCCGAACCGATGGAGGAACCATCGTCTTGGGGAGCATAGCCAGAGTTGCCAGAGGTATCTGTTTGCGTCGGCGCCGGCTGAGCCTTTTGCTGCTTGGGCGTGTCTTTCCGTTGCCCAGAGACAGTAGTTTGCTCTTGAGTAGGCTGTTGCTGCTGGGAGGAACTCATGACAAGTGATGTTTGGTGGGATGGGTTGAGGTGGCGAGTGTAGTGAGATGTGACGAATGGTCTGTACAACGCTAATCATGGAATCCTGATATCTCTCGACCCGGCGAGCTGCGTATTTATACCCGTTCATCAGGCGATACTCACCTACCCTTCCATTCATCCCGAACAAGACTGACATGATATCACGTATATGATTCTCGAACGTGATCAGCAGACCATACCCCTTAATTTACCCCTTGTCAGGATTCGTGATAGGGTTCTCGACGGCTCGAAGTGCCTTTATCACACTGGAAAACTTCGAGGCCGTCTGTTGAGTAGAGCATGTGACAAGGCACCTCACAGTTGTACTGTCAAGCTGTGCAATGGCGACTATTGCGATCCTTTCATATTTATATCTTCATGGTCAAAGATCATGCTAGATACAGGTGCTCTGTAGCGTCCTTCTCAAGCCTGCTATGCCGTTTCGACGCGATTGCGAATGTTCACGCAAAGGCCATACAACGTGCCTAGGTCCTGTGACAGCTTAGGGTCAAGTGGAAGGGGCTGAAACTGGATGTCGCGATCGCAGAACATAGCCTCATACATGCTACCGTGTCCTTACGCCTGCTCGAAGAACCTCGACCTTCCTTTCAGCCGATAGGATGGTCGATCACGCGCGTATGAATCTTGAGGCGTCAAAGCCGGACGATGGCGATATCTCAGTCGCGTGACCCCCGAAGAGAAAGGGAAAGGCAGACCGTTGTTCACAGGGTGATCTGGCAGCTTCTTTGACTCAAATTTGAGCACCAGGGGTTGCGCAACCCCACATCCTGAAGCTTCTGATTCGCTGCCGGATCAACTGACCAAGCTTACAATTCGACGTTCTCACACTCTTGTAAGGCAGAGGGCGAGCATCACCCTAAACCTTATCGATCAGACGCACCACTCCACGTTTGGGGGTCGAAAAAGGTCCATGGATTATCCATCGTCCTATCATTCAAACAATATATCGTGTATACAATGGCAGAGCGAAACACATCTGGTGAAGATAAATTTACAATACAACAAGCTGATACCCTAGAGATATATGCATGACTACCTGGACATTTGCTCGTGGCGAACCTCTTTGTCGTCTTCTCGTTGTTTCAGGTAATGTCGAGCTTGTCCGTATTCTGTGTGGGTACTTCAAAGCTGCCAACGAACTCTCTCCCTCCCAAAGCTACAATTTCTTCGGAGTCCGAAGCGTCCTCAGATGTACGAGCAGCACCTTCGGTTCTCGTCGAACATCCCGGGCCTTCCTGTTCGGGATCTTCAGAAGCTGGAGGCGTCGATGTCTTCGGAGCGGTGGCATAAGCTTTGTCACACACGATTGCCCATGCGGCCAAGAGATTGTGCTTTCGCAGCGCTTTAGCATCCAGGTTTGAAGTATCCGACCCTGACTCGAGCATCAGCTTTTCGCCCATTTTCTCGGCTTTCCAGAGGTGCAGCGCTTCCAATTCGGATCCAGATAGTTGATCGGTATCTGGGACATGTTCCTTGAGGAGGGCGGTAAACTCGGCTACGGTTGGTACACTATCAGTCATCTGTAGGTCGATATTAAGTGCTTGTAGGAGGAAAGGAAGAGGAAACGGTTGTTTGTCCTTTTGAACTAGCCTCTGAACAATCGGACCAGACAGAATATGCCACCTATATGTACGCATTCCGAGTCACTTGTTGTTCGTTGAGAAGTCGCAGCTACTTCTCCTGATATGAGATCACGTGGTCGCCAGACTGCCCGCTTCTTGGAATTCGACGAACCTGTTTCCCTCTCCAGACCTGGCGCTATTTTATTAGGCTGGGGTTCTCAAAAGGATTCGGTCCTTACGGTCCCGACGTATCCGGGGATCAGGAGAGCGAGGTAGCATCGCTGGAAAATATTGAACTGTCCAACTCTCTATCTAGTACAATGAATGAAGCCCCCAAGGTTTCTAGTCTCTAGGATCAGATCCGCACAGCCGCGACAAACTAGGATAAACTGTACGGGTGCCTCCTCCCCCTTGAATTTACCATCCCCGAGCACCCCATCGACAGCTAATTGCTGTGACTGGACATGGTACGATCCGCCAACACCGTTGACCGATTGAACTTTTGGCATCTTCCCGTCAGTATCACCTGAACTATCGGTATTGGTAGAATCTGTATCAAGGGGCTGGTAATCCCTTTTGAAGCTGTCAACATAGCAGATTCTACTGTTCACGTCCTCCAGGTGCGAGCCATCGCTCCGCTCTGTACAGAAAAAGGAAGGCTCTCTTTCTGTGACATCTTCCATAGACACAATAGACATGCAAACCCAACTGTACACCGCGTTTGCGAAGGGAAGCAAGAATACATTTACAACATCGTATCCCCGCTATAGCATCTTGTATCCCCTCACTTGCCATGGTCAACACTACGATTGAGATCCTGAGCTACTTTCCGCTCTGACCAGACATGCTGGGGCGAGAAGGCTCGGCAATAGCAGTTCCATCTGAACCGTATGCATCCTCTGGATCTGCGTCTTCCGCGTTGGTCTTGGTGGAAGTGGCAGCAGAGCTGCCATTGTTTGCTTGGTGCTGCGGTCCATCTTGCTTCGCCTGAGCAGCAACAAACGCTACATCGAGGTCGAGCCGGGAATCCCGCTTCATGTAGAATTCGGCAACATCGGAGATTTCTCTGTACGCTGCCGTCAGGCCCGGGCCATCGCTTCCGTCTTCTTTCAGCAATTTCATCAGCTTGGTGTGCCTTGCCGCCAACTGCCTATAAATATCTGCATCTTTCATCGTAGCCGCACCCCCCACGTATCCACCTAGAGCTTCGATGTTTTCTTTGGTGAACTGAACGTACGTCATGTTTGGTTGGGATGATGGACAGTAGGTATTGGAAGAAGTTCGAGTTAATGTGCCTTTTTGATATTGCAATCGGTTTCGGTAGTGGTTCGAATGCGATGCCCCACTTATATATACGTAACTCCCTCATGCTTGACCCCCGATGTTACGGTCTCTCCTTTGATAGAGGATGACACCATTCCTCGCAGTGGGTGGCAGCACAGCTTTATGGTCAAGGGCGTCTCACGGCGGGCTCGCTACTGTACATGGAACTTCGACGTTCTCAAAGGACCATGCCTGCGATCTATGCCTTCGATCTCGTGACTACAGCGATGAGCTATTTGCAAGTTCCACATGCCGCGTGGCAAAGCACCCCATGAAGCATCAATGGAGGGCGATATCCAATGGATCGGGAAGCTCGTCGGAGGGCTTACCATTGATGGTAAGACTAGCATGAACGCATCGTCCCACCGCAAGCAGCGTGATTATCCAACACTCACCCTAGCTGCCCCGAACCTACTTCGTCGCGGATGTGAATCATCATTATGGTCGATCCGCCAGGCCTTCTCCAGTATCGAGAAGCAATGTGTGTAGCAGGTCATCCTGAATCGCCGTGCGGTCTCGTTACGGCACGACCGAGATGCTCTCGATTACATCTGTTCATCTGCGCCCATGGTACATCGTGCTTCCTTCATAACAGGGAGCATCGGTATTGCTTGAAAAGATAGACGAAAGATCATGGTCAATGTCTTTCGTCCATTTATACTAGGGTCGTCCCTTCCCGCTTGACACTGTCTCATCGAGCTGAACATCCCCTCTGTCAATCTGCTTGCCGCGATACTGTTTACCACCTAGCGGTACAATTTGACTCCACACATTTCATAAGTAAAGTCTTGGCACATCTTCGGGAACACATATCCAAAGTTCGCTATTCACAGATGTCGATTTCAGGAACATAACCTGATTCCAGGAGGTTGGTATGGTCGACAAAAGATCCCACTTCAGTACGAGCCGAGTCATCAGTTCGAGCGGATCCTGCCAACGATTCCAGCCTATCCCTGTCGAGGCTTGCGTTGATGCTATGGCTGCGAAATGACCCGTTGTCGCCCTTGTGGCGTCGTGATCGCGGTCCACTACTAGCTGAAAATGCGCCTTTCGCTACCTTGAACGGCCCCCCTCCAGTTTGCGGCTTCTCCCTTTAACGGGTTCTTGTTTCAATGCCAGTCCCACAGATTTCATAGAAAACGGTCCACGAGCCCATTGATGTGAATCTCGCAATTGGGAAAAGATATCCGAGTCTTTGAATTCTGCCAACTCCGGACTGCGGTCTATGAAGCGATTGTCGCGACTAGCAAGATCATCCTTGATCGCTTCCAAGATCTGTCGGGCTTCTCGAAGCCTTCCCCCAAGCTCCGCCCGTCTTTCTGGACTATTCCGGTTCTCAGTCGAAACTAGCTCTTCTTCCTACCCCTCGATATCGCGGTTCACCTCCTCAAGTTCCAGTGCGTCGAAAGACGTATCGGACGACATGTCGGTTACCGCGACGGATTGATGTGCATCGGTGATGATGGATCTGGGGTCCATGTTTGATCTGTCGCCTGGGTCGATCTCGATCTATATACACTCCTAGCTACTAGCTTGTGAGATCTGTCATATATCTGGCATCCTCTCATGGCCACGATGGAGAGCTGAATCCGTCAGATGCTCAGATGACATGGACCGTCATTCAATTGTCGCGCCATCATCAAATCATCACGTCTCATGGTCGCTCTGCTCTTCGACGCCACCCCGGCGATCAGCCACCCGAGGTCGCGCATGGCCCACGCCGAATTAACTTCCGGTCGAGAGGAGGACAAGAGAACTTTTGATTCCGCGATGACGCGTGGTCCTTGGTGCCTTTTTCGATCTCGCTCGATCCTCGACCTCTGACGTTCGGGATCGAGGGTAATCGTTTTGGGGAGGACGTTTCTCGTCGAGCGCCTGGACGATATTGACGGCCATTGACGGTTCTCTCGATCTCTTTGAAGAAGCTTGTACTGAAACGTTGGGGTTCGCATGCGACTGAATCGTCTACACTGAGTTCAGTCTAGATACAGCCGTCCGGGCTGGGCCAGGGCCCTGTCGGAAATGGCGGTCGGCGCGAGCTTGTGTTGGGCGCTCTCGATGAAACGCTTCGAGGTCTAATCTGCGCTTGCGTCCGTACCTGTACCTACTCGGGTTCGGGATGCGAGTACTTATCATGTCCGTCTGTACATCGTTCGAAGACTGCGCAAAGGTATATACATATGCTGTATCAGCCAAGTGTACAAGTGAAATTGAGAGATTGTACGATAGACAACTGTCTGGGAAATGCGATACATCGCGTGAGAAAAAAGGGGGTGGGTTCCAGTCATCATCTTGGACCTCGGGGTGGAGGCAGATAGGGCCGTGATCTCCGCCTGGGGACGCTCGCGACATCTTCGACCTGCAATGCGACGTGTGCTGTGCAGATACTCAGTTTCCAGGTCGAGTGTCCACTGGCCACTCGATCTGCTTGCAGCTCGAAGATGCCAGCGAGCTGCGGGTGCTTGAACCGGATGTTCTTGACGTTCGGTGAACCAAAACGAGGCTTCTCTCTTCTCTCTCCCTCTGCTCCCGCGCGTTCACCTACGTACGCAAGCACCTTTCATCGTCGTTGTTGATCGCTGCCTCCGGCCTCCCTCCTCGAGCCAACCATCCCGACCCCAGGGGTTGACCCTGCCGATCTCTACTCTTCGAACTTGTATTTGCTGTGATGTTTAATTGATTCGCGAAAGTGACCCGGTGCCCCTCGTCTCATCACGTCCTCGTCGCTGTCTCGCTCGCTCTCTCGCTGTCCGCTTTTTCGACGCCGGAACCCGAATCGACCGCGGACGACGCCACATCTCACTCACAACGCACACCCACCTGCCTACACTCACACCTACCTACCTTTCCTCCATCTCTCTTCCCTCTCTCGACATCGACACCGCTTGATTGCTATCGATCTCGACCTCGAATTAGGCCACTGTCACTCTCCTCTCTGTGAACAAGTCCACCTCGCACGCCTCCTTATCCCCCCGTCAACCCTCTCACCTCATTCCCTCTGACCAAACAAATCAGATCAACCTCGCACCCTATCACAATCTCGCATCTCGACCTCGAGTTCGAGCTTACAACACCAGGCCCTGCACATCTACTACCAAACACATCAGCACTAGCACATACATCTCGGACTAGATACTAGACGCCTAGACCTAGAAACCTAGACCTAGAGCTTATCCGCACACAAACCGACAATCGAGAACAAACGTATCACATCTCACGTCAACGTCAGAATGGCCGATTTCGTAAAACTTTCCATCTTTGGAACCGTACGTCCTCCGCACCTATCGTCCTCTCGGACGTCTTTGGCTGATAACGACTGGCCACTCATCTTCGTATTTTTCCTCTTACGCAAATTGCTCTGATCGACGTCATCTTTGTTCTCCGGCTTTCTGCGCGGCTCGTCGATTCGGTGGTTCGGTACACTAGGTCTTTGAGGTTACCACCCGTTATGTCGACCTCCAGCCGGTCGGTATGGGTGCTTTCGGTCTTGTCTGGTGAGTTACCTTTTGAATCTGTGTACGATCTGCGTCCTCGTTCTGCTTTGGGGGATGTGGGTTGAGGACGGGGTGATGAAGGTATCCGAGGCAGAGCGGTCGACGGGGGAAGAGGATCGATAGGGGCGGGCGATAAGGATCATCATCCTCCTCCTTATGAATGTTCGAGACCATCCTCGATACGATCAATCGCATACAGGAAGGGAGCAAGCGATGTCTGCTGGAGAGCAGAGTGGATATTTGCGAACGGAGGCTGTGATGAGATGGACGGCACGCTTGTTCAGATCGATGTCGACGACGTGGGATCCAAAGGCACTCGAGATCGGTCGTGCTGACGATCATCAATACTTTTTCTCCTCGTTACCTTCAAATTGTCGGTCAACGTTCATACTTGTGCATCGATTATGGCAACCTCCTGGATCACCCACCTCGACTATCAATCCTCTCCAACCCTTTCCTTTCCTCCAACCTCCTCTTCACCTCACACGATTTGATCCTCCCTCCCGTCGGATCGACACAGCTCCGCCAAGGACCAGCTCGGAGGAACCGCCGTCGCCATCAAGAAGATCATGAAGCCCTTCTCGACCCCCGTGCTGAGCAAGAGGACTTACCGAGAGTTGAAGTTGTTGAAGCATTTGAGGCACGAGAACGTGAGTGTTTTAGACGCCGGTGTCGATGTGTTCAGACATGAGGGGGGGGGGGGGGGGTCTGCGATTGTGGCTTGGGGAACCGGGATGGAGCAGGCATAGAATATGTCGGCGCGAGCGGATATTCGCTAGTGTATGCGCATAACAGCGAGAAGGCACATCTTCAGCCGTCCTTGTCTTGCCGACCACTAGCAGATATCAGGTTCAAGAAAGATTTCCAGCCGAACTCCATTAGCTGACAACTCGTATGCCTCTCTACCCGTAGATTATCTCCTTGAGCGACATCTTCATCTCGCCTCTAGAGGACATGTGAGTGCCTTCATCTCCTCTTGCAAGCAACTGCATCGCTAACAACCCGTCTGTCATCTGGTACTATCAGTTACTTCGTCACCGAGCTTTTGGGAACCGACTTGCACCGTCTCTTGACTTCGCGGCCGTTGGAGAAGCAGTTCATCCAGTACTTCTTGTACCAGATCTTGGTGAGCTTGTTCCGCACCAACAGAGTTGTTCTGGATCAGACCTGGCTGACCTTGCATGTTCATCGACTCCAGCGTGGATTGAAATACGTGCACTCGGCAGGTGTTGTCCACCGAGACTTGAAGCCTTCCAACATTCTGGTGAACGAGAACTGTGACTTGAAGGTGCGTTGCTACGACCAACAGATTCGACTCGCTGTTCCCCGGCTGACATTGGGCTACGCATGCTTCCTCTCGTCAGATCTGTGATTTCGGTTTGGCCCGTATCCAGGACCCCCAGATGACCGGTTACGTGTCGACGAGATACTACCGTGCTCCCGAGATCATGTTGACCTGGCAAAAGTACGACGTCGCTGTCGACATCTGGAGTACAGGATGTATCTTTGCCGAGATGTTGGAGGGCAAGCCGTTGTTCCCCGGAAAGGACCGTGAGTTCGCCGAGCAGTGTCTGGAGAAAGTACGTGGTGCTGATAAGGACGGCGGGTCTGAACAGACGTCAACCAATTCTCGATCATCACCGAGCTCCTCGGTACTCCTCCCGACGATGTCATCCAGACCATCGCCAGTGAGAACGTGAGTGCTGCGGCAGGGCGGTCGAAGGCTTGGGGAGTTACAGGCCACAGAAGCTGATATCGCGTTCGCCTCACACACAGACCCTCCGATTCGTTCAGAGCTTGCCCAAGCGAGAACGAGTACCGTTCAGCAAGAAGTTCACCAACGCCGACCCCTTGGGTGAGTCGGCAAAGAACCGGATGAAACCTTCGCATCAAGTATAGCATATTGATATCTCAAACCCCCTTGCTTGCAGCTCTCGATCTGCTGGAAAAGATGCTGGTCTTTGACCCCCGCAAGCGTATCACCGCTACCGACGGTCTCGCTCACGAGTATCTGGCTCCTTACCACGACCCGACCGATGAGCCCTCCGCCGCTGAGGTGTTCGACTGGAGCTTTAACGATGCCGACCTTCCCGTCGACACTTGGAAGGTGATGATGTACAGCGAGATCTTGGGTAAGTGAAGGCTCCTGCTCCTGCTGCTTCTGGATCATCCAGCAGAGCTGACCTTGCTTCTCTATCTCGTCGTACAGACTTCCACAATCTGGGTGACATCAACGCCGAGGGTGCCGAGGGACCTGTGGCAGCGGACCTGCCTCCTCAACAAGCCGCAGCTTAAGCTCGAGTCTCGAACAAACACGGAAAGATCATGGCCATATAGGAGAGAGGTCGGCCACATACCACATGTCGGCCTATCTACCTACGGGTCTCATCCCCGGATATCCTTCTGCTTCCCCTCCCCCCTCTGTTTTCCCCCTCGAGTGAATTTGGTTGTTCCGGGAACGTCTGCTACTACATCTTTTTTTTTCCTTGCCGGGCTCGCCTTCTTCTTCTTCTGTACCTATGGAAGTGGAAGTGGGACTGTAACTAGACAAAGACGTATCATCTTATCATCATGACTTGGACAATTATCGTTGACAGGTCTCGTCATCTGTGCTTGCAGATTGCAGAGTATTCTCATCTTTCGAAGAGCTCGGCGCGTCGCGAGACACGCGAGATCAGTCGTCCCTCTTGAATCAAAAGGCATATTCGTGTCTCAATCGCCAACTACGACCCCCTTCTTTGTCGTTGTGCATAGCGACATCTACCAACAATAGTTGAACCCGCACCAAGTATGAGTTACTCGACCCGGACGAGAAGATCAGCTGCAAGTTCGGCCGAGGCGGCCATCAGACGGTCCATCCCAGAACCCAGTGCTAGCTCGACTCCTCGACGGAGAGCACTCGCCAAAAGCGTATCTTATGCAGAGGTACCGATAGGAACGGATGATCCGGAACCTTCAGAACATTCATCTGATGGAGAGGGACAGGACACCGACCCTATGAATTTGCAACCCGCCGATGCTGAAGCTGACGACGAGGACGCGGAAGGCGAAGATGATGTCGTGATGGAGGATGGCAATGGTAAGTGCAGAAGGAGACACAGATATCTATCACTTACTGAAGCAGATAGCACCTATCAGACGACGAAGATCAAGAAGACGATGATGATGAGAAACCTGAGCAAGTGGGGACGCCGCGAAGACAAAAGGCTCGTTCCATCCGCTCTGGAAGAGGTAGAGGACGACCAAGAGGACGAGGTCGTGGTCGGACGGCTACGAGACCAGCTCGACAGAGCCGAGCGAATACAGAGGACGAGGATACAGCACAAGAGGATGGAGAGCATAGGCCGATGGCAGGGATCGGGAGACGTGAGTTTCGAGATAGGGCGACGGGAGGTATGAGCTGGTTCTTATGTCCGTTGACATTGTAGGCGTCAAGATGCACAAGGTGCGAGGTGTACCTCATGAGGTCGTCGACGACGAGGTTGCTATGGAAGATGACGAGAAGGGAGAGACCAAGGTCGACTCCAACGGAAGACTTTTGGGCTGTGAGTCGAGCTGACCTGCCTTTGACCTCGAGCCTGAGCTGACAACATCGTGCATCATCTCAGCCGAACGAGAATACCGAGTGACGACCTTTACCCTCCCAGAACGATCTAACACCGAAAAACTCTACATGCTCGGTATCGACGTGGCGAAAGCTGCTGGACATACCGACTCATCTCTCCTGGCACGACGATACCATTCGCTCGTCAAGGCCTACCTGACAGATTCGGAAAAGGTCTTGCTGCTTGAGACCGGGATCGGAAGCGGGTCAAACTTCCGTAACGACAGGCCGGTGACGATCTATGCCGCGAGGAACATTTACAAGTACATGGGTGCTGCTATCATCAAAAGTGAGATTGTGTTATCAGATCATCATCAATGTCGCTGTACTTATCACCTGCGGCCATCACAGACGGGCGTCATGTTATCGACGATTACTACGAAGACGCTGCGGCTGAGCGATGTCGGCAGGACGGTATCGATCCTGGTAGTTTCGTGCCAGTACGCCATCGAGAAGCTGCTACTGAACGTGCAACTCGAGGAGACGATCGAGCGATAGGCGCACCTTTTTACGCACCGGGAGCTCCTACGACGCATTGGGGAGAGGCAGGCATTGATCCCTGGACAAGCGCGGCCATCAATCACAGACGCACGAAATTGACAAACGACGATGTCGGGCCGGATAATTGGATGTGGAAAATGGCCATCTCGGCTCGAGAGTTGGAAACAGAGCTACGTGAAGAGCGGAAACAGCGAATGATGGATTTAGGGGAGGTCAGGCACATGTTTGCTTGGCACGGGCAGTACGGCCATGATTCGGTCGCCCACATCAATACAAATGGGGTGGAGCAAGCTAGCGAGGCCAAGCCGACGTACAAGATCCCTTCGTCTGCAAAGGTGGAGGAGCTCCTTCAAAGCGATCCCGACTTTCGACAGCGGGTAACGGGTACAGGACCGATGGGAAACCTCGATGACGCTCTGAATACCGCTATGTTAAGCCAAATCGACGCGGGCAGTGTCGTAGTCGAGACACCGAAGGAAACGCTGAAGCGGAAAAGAGAACGAGCGAGGCATTACCCAGCTGGACAGGCGTACGGGGTCTATGAGGTAAGTAGCTAAAGCGTTAGGTGTGCCGGTTCGACGATCTGACTTCCGTGGGCCTACTTTGTAGCCACACACCAATCTGGCTCACGTGCCGATGAACACACAACCGACCGTCGCTTCTACGATTCGATTACAGCCATTACCATGCGTCACTAACGCCAAAGGTCCTGGTTCGCGCTGGACCTGGCCTGCTCACGGCCAAAAGTCCAGCATTATCACAGGGCGAACCGTAGGGGATCGCTCGAGAGCGGTCCTGAGTGTGGAATACGTGTTCGAGGGACCACAGGATTCGACAGAAAGGGACGAAGAAGAGATGAGGAAGAGGTTGAAGCTGGTACAAGAAGCGGAAGAGTGGGAGCGGGGTATATCTAGCCAATAACAGAACGGTCAAGTGTGGATACAAGATAGCTAGTACCCCAATGCTCTCAATGCTCCCCTGATCGTAAGGGTTGACCATGAGACTTTGACCTTGATCGACTCGATATCTGATCTGCCTGGAACTAATCTGCTACAACCGATGATTCCTTCGATATGAAATGCTGCCAAAGCCGACACGCTCACTGCTTCGATGCAGGAGGCTGAGGCGGCATCATGACTCTGGGGACATAAGTTCCAAGCAGACCCGCGACCCCCATTCTGAGATACAGGCCAGCAATGTCAGTATAGGTGAATCGATGACTGTTCCGACGAGTTGCACTCACGCCAAAGCGCCCCATGGCGAGCTAGCCGTACTCTGACCCGTCTTGTCCTTCTTCTCCGTAAGAGGTCGAGCGTTCATCACTCCCAGCATGGCCGCGGCGATGGCCAGCCAAGCAGCCATGGGTTGTTTCCCAACCATGGCCAGTCCTCCCAGAGTAGTAGCGATAGTACCAAAGTAGTCCGAGGTTTCCTCCCAATGCCGAGGTACGTGGAAGGGAACGATGGGGCTGTCAGAATAGAAGTACGTGCAACATGAGTTGGTGTATCATCAGGTCACGAGCACCCAAGACCTACGGCTCGCCCGCTCGGGGATCCGATTTATCGTAGACTGGTACTTGGGGCAGAGACATCGTGACTGAAACTTTGAACGAGCGGGATTGATGCGAAGATGAGCGATTTGGGGGACTTGTAACTTTGAGAGGTTGTTAACGCTTGATGATCTCGACTCACAGCGAAGCGTTTCCGGTTCGGGGTTGGGGATTATCATCCGATATCGGAACCAATCGGTTACATCACGTGATGCTCCTCCTGACTGCTCGTTGACTTGGGGCTTGCGAAACTCTGAATGCTAATATGATGGTGATCATGGTGCACTGTGCGTTACTTATAATAGTGATACAACCGGACGGCTTGGCATAGTCGTGTGGAGAGGATAGTCTGCTTCTAATCCTGCCCGACTGAATGGCTTGCGTTCGAATCTACCGATACAATTGATTAACATGCGAGACAATGCGAAAATTGAGTAGCGAAAATCGAAAATGTGTGTGGGAAGAGAGATTATGGGTGATCTCCGGAATCATCTTGGACCTTCTGTCGTTTCGGGTCATTGCCTGGTGAAGAAGGATTGTCCTCCAGAGGTCGTTTGCCCAATACCGAGGGACCCGGCGGAGGAGGGGTCGTTCCGCTAATCGTTGCCGTGATAGGAGCCGTCCCGTTCGTTTGTGACACGGTTGGTGAAGCAGTCGCTACAGGAGATATGGTTGGTGGTGAAGGCCGTGAGACTCCATTCAACGCAGCGAGCAGTGCATGAGGGGTCGCAGGATTGCTTGATGGCGAAGCAGCCGCCGGTACGGGCGATGTTACCGCGGGAGGACCAGGTTTCGGTACAGTTGCGGGTGTGTTGGTAGTAGCGGGTGCAACCGATGGCTGTGGCGGCGCGACCGGTTTCGCAGGTGCCGGCCGAGGAGTAGTGTTGCCCGAGGCCGTACTCTTGGGAGGTATGGCCCCGGTAGGGATCACTCCCGTAGCCAGAATATGAGCAGCGGTCGTCATATTCGCTCCTGCTCCAACTTGCCGCAGGTATTGCAGCAAGGCGACTGCATTCGGCGTCAAGGGAGTCGACGCGCTGCTTGGATTCCCGGCTGTTGCAGCGAGCTGAGCGATGACCCTGACTGTTTCTGCCGGCGGCTGAGCGGCAGGTGAGCCCGACCTGGAAGCTGGAGTCGAGCCTGACTTGGCTGCCAATTGCTGAGCCGAAGACAACAAAGCGGCAATTGCCGGATTGTTGGCAACATTCGCAGGCAGAGGCGTCTTTCCTGGTGCTGGCTTGGCTGGAGCTTTGACGGGCGTCGAAGTAGCCTTGGTAGCGGGCTTGGGAACAGTCGGGGCAGGCGCAGGGGGTTTAGACGCAGGAGCGGATGTCGTACCGGCAGAAGCCGCGTTCGTCGCCGGAGTGGCAGGTTTAGCCGGAGTAGAACCCGTCTTTGCAGCAGTGCCCGCCGCCGAAGCCTTAGCTCCATTGGCTCCTTGCTGCCGAAGTTTTTCACGCAAATGCTGAACAATGTAGGCTTGCAAGATCTGGAGTGTCTGTTGAGCACCCAACGATTGCAGGTGTTTCAATTGATCTGGCGTCAAGTGCGAGAAGATTGAGGGATTCAGAATGATCGTCCCTTCGTCGACCACAAGAGGCGGACCGTCCAGAATGTGCGAATGCGTGTTCAAGTTGCTGTTCCGTAGATGGGCTGGAATAGGCTTGACGACGATGGGGAACTGCTTGTTGGCTGGAATATTGAGCGAACCCAAAGATCCACCTGGATTGGCAGGGGCAGTCGGAAGCTTGCCGAGTGCGCCGGGTGACGCCGTAGCGCTTGTGGCGGGTGGTCTAACGCTCCCAATTGCTGCGGGTTTGGGCGGTATTGCCGGGGCAGGTCTCGCAGTGGGCGGTCTCGCACCGGCATTAGTCGGTCCAGGTCTGACATTCCCTGGCGGCGGTCTGACGGCAGGCGGTCGAGCCCCCAAGGCAGGTCGAGGAGCAGTAAGCGGTCTCACAGCCGGAGGTGGTCGAGCGCCTGGATTCGCTGGCCGTGCTGCCGGTGTAGCTGGACTTTGAGCTGTTCCGGCAGGTCGCACTGAAGGGCCTGGCCTAGGGGCTTGACCATTGATAGGGGGTCTGGGTGTCCCAAGCTGACCTGCCTGGCCAGTGGGCGGCGGTCTGACTGGCGGTCTTGCACCGGGAGGCAAACCCGTAGATGCGGGACGTACCATGCCAGGAGTAGCTCCCCCAACAGGTCGGACCGTGCTGGGTCTAGCGTTCACAGGTCCAGGTCCCGGCCGTGCGTTCGTTCCAGTTGGGCCTCCTGGACGAACCGTAGACATACCAGGCCTAGGTGCCGTTCCGTTCATCGTTGGTCGCGAGACACCCTGAGGCGGTCGTCCAGGAGCAACGGGCCTGACCGACGTACCTGCCGGCATTGCAGGTCTAGGACTTCCGTTTACGATAATCGGACCTGGTCTTGGCGCAGCAGTAGGCGCAGAAGTGCCTGGAGCGGGTCGAGGGCCAGTTGCCATTGCAGGCGTTGGTCGAACGATACTGCCAGAGGTCGTAGCATTAGGACTACCGAGTGACTGAGGAGGGGCCTCAGAGACCGGTGTGAGCGGTTTCTTTGGCTTAGCGAGCGCCACAGGCTTGTTCGGAATAGGGGGAGGGGGCGGGCGTTCTGGAACACCACTTTTCTCCGCATCCCGCTTTGCCTTCGCTTCCTTAAGCTCTTGTGCCTTCCTCTCCTTTTCCGCGTACTCGGGGGCATGGACGGGATCGAGTATCCACACCGAACCTTTCGACTCTGGGTCGTCCGTTTCGATTCTAGGAACTTTCAGAAATGCTTTGTTCAGGGACAGGTTGTGCCGGATGGAGTTCTAAACGGGATTTTACGTTAGCACAAATATGTACATTGCGATACATAAATGTCAGAAACTCACCTGCCAGCTTTGCTCTGGATTCAACCTGAACCATTCCCATTCACCAGCCACCCAGTCGCAGACCTGCCCCAAAGTACCTCTTCCTCCCTGAATATTAGCCAAAGCTCGGTAGATGATGGTAGCGTATGTCAAATCTGGCTTCAGCGGTTCGGGTCCTATGAAAGGCTGGCCATCGATCCCCAATATCGGTTCAGGCGCCATGCGAGGAGCTTTGTTGAGTGCTGCGGATGCAGCTGCCGCCGAAGCCGACATTGACAACTGCGGGCCTGGTGTTGGGCTCGACTCGTGCGGCTGGTGTAACGGGGAACCCAGGGAGGGTACAGGACCATTCGCAGGAGGACGGACTGCAGGCGAATTCGTTGCCGGCGCTGGAAGAGGAGAGACCGGGCCCCCAGGTTGGGATGGCAAAGGTGGGCGTACAGACGGCGGTAGAGATTGCCCTGAAGGTGGTCTGACCGGCTGCGGATGCGGGATCGGTGCATGACCAGGGGCACCCGGCGGTCGTACAACCGTTGTTGGCGGACCAAGAGGGCCGGAACCGGGAGCAGGAGGACCGGGCGGACGTGGCTGGACTGCAGCGGGCGGCCGTATGCCAGGCATGGGTGGCGGTCTAGGGCCCATAACGGTAGGGGCTGGAGCTGGACGGATCGACATTGGAGGTGCAGCCGAACCAGGCAGACCAGGTGTCATGGTAGGCGACGGTTGTGGTCTCTGGCTGGGCATCAGGGCACCTAGGGGAACAAGATGGACGTCATCCTCCGCCTTTGGCTTCTTGACAGGCTTTGAGGCGGAGGATGAAGCTGAGACTGATGCTTCCCCTATCGGAGCTGGAGGCGGATCTGGCATAGCAGCTTTCGCGGCTGCAGCTGCTTGTCTGTCCCTTTCTCGTTTGGCCGCAGCCGCCACACGCTTCCTCTCGGCGTCCGCTGCTCTCCTAGCGATCTTGGTCGCTTCCTTCTGCGCAGCAATGGCCGCTTCCTTTGCGATCATGTCGGCTTCGTTCAGAGGTCCAAAGAATACTGGCGGTCCAGGTGGCTTCTTTGTTCCAGACTTTTTCTTGGGAGGAGCTGCGGGTGCTACAGGTCCTACAGCAAGAGCGGGACCGGCTGTCGAGGACGATGCAGGGGTCGCTGTCGGCGCCGATCCTGGCGGAGGTAAGGGACCAGGAGCCAACACTGGCACGTTTGGTGGACGAGGTCCCGGTGTCGGACGTGGCGTTGGCTGACCAGCAGGGGCCAGCAAGACGGGCTGAGGGGGTTTTGCAACGGGCAAGGCGCCGTGAGGTGGAGGAGGTGGAGGTCTTGGTACTGAGGCGGATACCGGTGTGAGATTGGGTGCCAGGTTCGGAGCGAGAAAGGGTAACGGATTCGGTGCCGAATTTGGTGGCATGTTCAAAGCTGGGTTTGGTGGCAAGTTCTGTGCTGCGACTGGCGCTGGGCTCAGGGCCGGGCTTGGTGCCGAGATAGAAGGACGTTTTGGAGCTATGTTGGGGACCGCGCCGACAGCCGTGCTCGGAGCGAGATGCGGGACTGTAGCAGGAGGACGAGTGACTGGCGCAGGAGGTGCCGGTCCAGGTCGAGGTCGAGGTTGTATCATCGGTGGACCCGGAGTGACTACCGTGGCAGACGCCGAAGGCGGCTTCTCTGGCTCATAATCGCTCGCAGCGATAATCTCGCTCCCACTATCACTGGGCTCTTTGACCGGCTCCCCGTCGATCTCCATCTTGGCAGCCAATGCCTCCTCTTCGCTACTACTTTCGTCGCTGAGATCGCTCTCTTCACTCAGATCGCTATCCTCCAGTTCCCGTCTCATTGCCTCTTCGTCGTCTTCGGAGAACGACGACCAATCGTCATCGTCATAGCTCCCACTGCAAGAGCTGCAATGAGACCACGATCTCGCCGATGACGACCACGACGAGGAGAACCCTTCGTCGTCGTCTTCCCCAAAGTCTGACCCCATGGCTCTTGCCAGCCGCCTCTCCTCGTCCCGGCGGATATCTTCTCCACCATCTTCAAACTCTCTCCGATGTTTCCGTCCCTTGCGTCTCTTTGCCATCCGCCTCTCCTCCTCGGCGAAAAGTACCATCCGAACCTCTGGATCCGGCTCGGCTTCGATCGCTTCCAACCTCCTCCTTCGCGTTCGACCGAGCTTCCAACCTCGTTTCCCGTCCCTTTCCATCCCGAATAGACCCCTCCTCTCAGCTTCCCACTGCTGCATCAAGCCCTTTTTGCCCAGACCCAGTGATCCGTGTAATTCAGAAGGACCCGCGTCCAGCGAGAACGCGTTGAAAGCTGCAGGCATCCTGAAGAGGTTGTGCAAATCTCTTTCCCGCTCCTTGTTTGGAGTCTGCTGATACGGTTGTGGCGTTGAAGCTTGGAACGGATTGGCGTGAGAGATGGAAGGGGACGCCGAAGTGGTCGAGCCGGGGAAAGGGGGACCACCTGTAGAACCTGAAGGAATAGGGTAGGTAGCAACCGATTGGGGCGGGAGGATAAAGTAGAACGTCCTTGTTGAGATCTGGATCTTGGTACTGTAAGTGCCGACACAAGATAACACAGACTCTTAGCACTGTCGTTGAAATCCAATAGAATTCCAAGAACCTGGAACTGACTATGGTCCCAACGCTGTCCGTGTTCCCCTGACGGTAAAAACATCATCCACCCAAGCCCCGTTCCTTCCCAAGACCTCTAGGTAAAACTGAGCCAGCGTATACGAATATCTACGAGCCGGCAGTACCAAAGGAAAATGGTTTAGGTTTGAACATATACGCCGTTGCGTTGACGAAGCCTGCGTGCGAGGTCGACTCACCCTATCCGCGCGTGAAGTCTGCTAACGCTCTTCAACGCTCCCAGGTCGACATCCACCTGCCCTTCGGCACTAGACGACTCGTCCACGATCTCCTCCTGTTTTTCAACGACCAGCGGTTCGGGCGTCTGAGGGATGGCCGTCGGTGATGCTTCTGTTATCGGCAACGCTGGTGTATCGCCCTCTTCTGCTTGTTCTTGCTTGACAGTAGGCTTGACTGATTGCACAGGGGGAACCGATGATGCTCCGGCGACGACATCGACGGGTTCTTGCTTGACATCAACGTCGACATCCGCTTCGTCGGGTTCTATAGGATCCACTAGACCTAGACGGACGAGGTCTTCGAACTGTTTCCCAAACTTGGCTTCGTGGTCCTCTTCCTCGTCGATCCCGACCGATTCCACTCCTTCCTGCTTGACAACCTTGTCCTTGTCCTCGACTGCCAATTCTTGCTTCTCGATCTCCACTTCGACTTTGGCATTGTCCTTGTCAGGATCTTTCCCCTTGCCCTTCTCTCTATCCCGCTTGGGTACCCGCCTGCCTATCGTCACATCCAGAGTTTGCATGTAATACGAGAACCCATCCCTGACCGCCCCGGACCCGGAGCCGGAAGCGGTCTCGTGCATCGTATCGATCGGATCGAGGAACTGGAGCTTGTAGAACGCATCGATGGGTTCTGTGAGGCGGTGGTCGATCGGAAGAGGAGGATCTGTCGAATTCGAGTTCGTGGTGGCAGGCGGAAGAAAAGCCGAGGCCGAGGTGGAATTCGACGGTTTGAGTTTCGAGGTGGATGGTGTCGGCAGGATCATCTCCGGTAGGATCGAAGGTGGTTTGACTATCGACGACGACGATGGAGTCATAGATCCAGTGAAGGATCCGACCATCTTTCCCTTTCCCTTGTTGGACAACCCCGACGCCGCCTCGTCAACCTCCATCTCGGTGTCCATGTCGACCCTTGCTGGAACCGTTTGCAAACGCGAGGCGAGATCACCACCAGCTGCAGTACGATCTCCAGGTCCTCCCGTACGTAAGCTCTCTACAGCTAGGTCACGGTCTGTGCCGGTGTCGATGATAGTGTCGTCGTTGTCGTTGGTAGGCAAGTTGTCTGGCATGTTGATACCTTCCTCCCGACTTGCCCTTTTCTTCCAGATCCTCGTCGCGTCGATGAATCCCGAACGAGCGAGGTTTACGGAAGAAGAAGTCGATGGAATTGCGAGATCGTCCTCGCGAACTGCACCGACTCTAGATCCTCGTAAAACTTTCCTAGACTATCTTGAGCGGATGATCCGATGGTGACGCTGCTGTTCTCGTCAGACTACTGTATGTCGCTATCGAGCCATCGAAACACAAACCTTGACAGCCATATCCCACTCATCCACCCACTCATTCTCTTCGGCAATCTCCTACTTTCGAGTTTTCTGCAATCAGCCGCGCGCGCGGAAAACCTTTGGTAACGAGCGGATGCAAATAGACTAGGTAGTGTGGTAAGTAGATCAGGGCGATGAATATCATCGTGGCAGCTATCATCAGCGAGTTTGTCAAGATCGTCAAGATCGCTTGGATAGGCGTTGTAGTGAATTGACAACTGTCCCTAGTTCTGCGTATTTCGTTCGATGAGGCGATTAGGTTGGATGTGAGGCGGTCAGAAATGAGACCCAAGTCGCGCGGGCGGGAACATCGATCAACCAGCGGCGCACGTCTCGATCGCCTGCACCGGAAACCACAATCCTCGTTTCAGGTTTCAGCGCTCACACACCTCTAGTCTCTGATGTTATACTTTGAGGTTTTGCGGCTGTGTTGAACTTCCATCATCGAAGAAGCCTTAATCGTGCTACAAAAATAGTCTTCGAAAAACACTGATAGTCTACGGCGGTACATAAGCTTTGCAACACAAGCCAAGACCAACATGCAGCGATAACACGGACGTACGCGATGGTGCTGTAGTTCGAGTCTTCACATCTGATTATGAAATTCGTAGTTTAACAAGGCCGCTCGAATTATTGATCGCCATATCATCTCGTTAGAAAGCAGCGAAGGCGTATACGACGTGGTCGGAACGAGAAAATTCGTTCATCGCAGCGCTTAAAGCTCGACGATATTCGCAGCCGCGGTTCCGATTTTTGGTCTATAGCCTACTGATACATGAATTAAATTTGGACCCTTGCATGATGATGCTAGAAATGGATACAGATGGATACGATAAGGCCTAGATAACGATGTGTCTGGGGAATTCAAGAGTTAGATTCTGATCTGAGCTGGCCTGACCGATGATATCGTTTTTTTTTTATCTTCGGGTTCGCCTCTCTTTCTCGTTACAGTCTATACACTGAGGATTCCGGAATTTTGTTCTCCTAAGAAGGATAAGGGAACACCCTCTCGGACACGGGTAACAGGCCCCTTGCACTGTCATTTCGCGGATGTAGAAGTAGTTCTGCTTATTTTTGAAAGCCTGCTTTATGGCTTCCGTCAGGTCTCTGTCATCTGGCTCAATTCTTTTGTGCTTGTACTTCGTGAACCAGTCCTTACTACCGTGATCGTAAACCTTCGAGCCTGGTTCCTGGCGGATGACGGTGGATGGAACGGTCCGGGCGGCCAAATCTAGGGCATCGCATCGAGCTTCAGTAGGACTCAGTGTTTTAGCCTTTAAAACGAACTCACCGTGGTTATACGGTGCGAATGTAGCATGTTCGCTGCCTGATCCGGGAATAGGGTGGATGGGGTTGCCATATTGATCATGCCAAGGCAACGGGTACTGAATGAGTGGCGTTGCGCTTTGTTCTACAAGGTGCGGTTCTCAGCATCAGGCAAATTGATGTGCACGGCTGGAAAGAAGCTTGTTTGACTTGCCTTGCAGACCGTAACCATAGGGGAATGTAATATTGGCCACAGAGCTTGAGGAATATGCCGCGTTGCCCGTATCGCAGGAGTTTGGCAAAGGGGAAAGCAAAGACGCAGAAGATTCTGCGAAGCCATCATATTGAGGAAGATGAATTTCTTGCCCACCTGGTATATCCTCGTTGGAATACTCCACGGTCGGTTGCGAATATGCTGAAGGCGATGTACTCATCGTGATCGGTACCTCGTTTCTCGCTTGCTGTAACTCTTCCGCTTTCGCTAGCCCAGTACTCCGGTACGGGTAACAATTTTTACATTGGAAACCGGTTCTCCGTCTGATCACCTTCCGCACGATCAAACGAGAACAAATGGGACACTGAGAGCACCTTCCTGAAATACGATTTGTCTCCCCCTTATTGTTTGTAATGGCAATGGTGAAGGCGTCCTTCTTCTCGTTGTGGGCAGCCAGTACGGCTAAGTAAAACTTCTCATTCTTCTCTGATAGATGGTGCCCCTTGAACCAGTCTTTACTGCCGCAATCATATCTCGATGCATCTGGCTTGGCGGGTTTCGCAGGCTTGACAGCGCTCGAGGGAACTGAAGGAACTATTCCTGTAGGAACGGATTGATGATGAGTTGATAGTGGCTATATGCTAAGGTGAACATACGAGTACTGTTTTGAGCGGCAGGTCCGGGATGGAAAGAGTTGTCATCGGGATCCATTTCGAACGAGGTTGGGTGATTGGATTGTAAAGCCGATCGATCTGTGAAAATTCTGATTAGTATCAGAATGAGATAGACAAATCATTCTGGATTCAGGTCAGATACTTGCTTGAAGAGTCGTTGTAAGGATGTACGGTACCATCTGGCGCAACCCATGACGGCGCTCGCGACCAATGAACTTTGGACGGTGCCACTTCCGTATTGTAACCAAAGTAGTCAGAAGGATTCATCAACAGAGCGTCATCCATCTCCGCTCCACTCGTGTTCTGTTCTTCAAACGCCTGGTATCTCGGTGCCGACTCCTCCTGCGCAATTCGGGCGTTGTAGCTACTTTGCACAATGCTAGTCCCGTCGACCCAGGTCCCGTACGAGCCACTGCCAGAGACGTCCCACTACGGATATTCTTCTGGAGGTTGAATATCGTTGCTAATATGTGTGCCTTGTGATGATTCGGTCATCGTTGCGATGTTGTTGCTATGTATAATTCTTTGCGACGAAACTGGCGCAGCGAATTCACAACAGAAGCTTCAGCGAGTCATTTCCGATGATTTTCCTTGGAAGACCCCAAGGATATATAACCTGTCTAGTAACCTAGATCTCATGAATCGACCTTCCTTTCATGCGAATTGAAACTGCTCCCTCTCTGTAAAAGGCAACTCAGTCGTCTCTTCCTGTACCCAGACCCAAGGGCACGCCACACTGTGACGATCACGCGTGCGATACCTTGTCCGACGATACAAGGATATCATCGTATCAAAGGATTCAGCCGCGCTGTCGTCACCTGGTGTCTGCCAACTTCACTAGGAAGTTTTCCGGAATCGATGCGTGAGGCTAGCGTAGATTCGCTCCGGTTATATCGTATCAAGGAATCACAAGGGAAAAGCGTAAACTACGATCGAGCGAGACAAGTTTGCCCCGTGGATATTACCGCAGAATAATCATTGACAGTTGCAAAGTAGCTATTGGCGCTCGTTTGGAATTTGTCAGGATCAGTAAGAATTCATGTCTATGGAACTTTTGCTCATAGGAGATACGATGTGAATTCCAACGTATAGGTTACCGAATAAGAACACCCTTCAATAGCTAAGTCCGTCCTTGTCCTTTCTTCCCTGTTCCTGCTGCTTTAGTCCGCTTCCGTTTCGCCTCCCTGATGGATCTCTCTTCACGAGTATTGTTGCAATTCCTGCATGAATAACCGCGCACTACGATTTTTGTCCTCACAATCAGGCGACGGCATCCCTTGGGACATCGAGAGCAATATCCTGAGACACGCTTGTTCTTCCCCTTGTTGTCTGTAAACTCTAGCTTGAAGAAGTTTCGTTGCTTCCCCAAGGCAATATGTACCGCGTTGGACACATCTTGGTTGTTTTGCGACAAAGTATTCGAATTGAACCAGTCCTTACTGCTACTGTCATAAATCGGATATTCTGACACGTCGCGATGAACCTTGTCTGCCGGTTTCCCATCGTCAGGAGCCGGCTCTATGGAGATGGCGACCATTCTTAGTTGTAGAAGGGACTGGTCGATGATATTTACTTACAAGAGCCTTGAAAGATTCCTCGCTATCATTACTCGCCTCTTGTGTACGTCAGCCCGATTGTAACATAGAGCCGACCTCCTTTGTCTTGCCTGGTATCGGTAACAGCTGTCATTCGGCTACAACCCCTACGATTGTATCGGAAACGTGCACGCGTTGCTGCCATACTGAGTTTCGAATTCGATGTCAGTTTCGCCTCGTCTGATTGACCGCCTCTCATGCTCCGAATTCAGACCATCGCGGTATCAGTTGCAGTGCAGTAGTACGGCCAGTACTCCTCCTGAAACTGAAGTTGACCGGGACACATGGGATTGATGAAACACCCGTACCTGCAAGCAGAAAAACGCCACGATGCTCCCCACGAGGTACAGTGGATCGGCGTCCTAACCAACACGCGGAACCGAGCTCGGGGCAAGCCGGACCGACCTTGTGCGAGAGGTCGATGTCATCGAGATCATGAGGGCCTCGAATGGGAGACGTAAGCGATCCTAGCGACGCATACGACGCAGATTGTATGGTGGCCTGGTGGTCGTGCAAGTGTGTGTTGTGTGTTCGTTCGGTGATATTCGTCATCCCCCATCGCCCGTTATCTCCACAACCCCCTCCACAACCCCGTGACCCTAAAAATAGTATCCGCTTCGGGGTATCCGAGCAGGTAGCAGCTCTATCGACCGAGCGACCGAGGGCTCCAAAATCGTCATCATCATCGTCAACCTCGACCTTTGCCTTGCCTTTCTCGTTCACCTTGCCATCACTCATCACTCAAAGCTTGCGATATCCTGGAGATCCAAGTGTCTGCACCTTGAACTCGAATACCATATACCCGAAAGTAAATCTATACCTGCAACCTGATACCACAAACTTACAATCATGGGTATCCGCGATCACATCCTCTCACAACCGCCTTCGTTCGGTAAGCTCAATCTGGCCCGAGTTTGATCTGGTCTGGAACTGATCCACGACGTCTTTCTGGCGTGTCTGTGATCATATGGTTTCGTGGTCGAATGACGATCTCCGATGATCGCAGCCAAGAAGAAGGAATACACCCTCGAAGGCGTAAGCCCGAAACGTCCCCTCCCGGTCCCATCCGCTCAACCCAAAGCTAACCTCGACTTACCTGTAGACTCTAGGAACAGGCTCTTTCGGAAAAGTAGTCCGGGCGACCTGGCACAAGGCTCCTCCTCCTGGCGATCCCACCCGATCCGTCGCTCTCAAGGTCATCCCCAAGAAACTCGTCAGGGGGGAAGAGAAGAGCGTTTTCGACGAGATTCAGGTGTTGAGAGGGTTGGACCACGAGGGGATCGTCAAGTGTTATGACCACTTCGAGAGTCGGGACAAGTGAGTCGTGTTTGCGGGGCGGTTTGAGCTGTCCACTGTCATTTGCGGGATTGCTGAATCGCGTGGTCTGTCTCTTATTTCATCTTTTCTGCTTTCCTTCTATCTCTTCATTCCCGCTCCATCTTTCCTCTCCTCCCCTACACCTCACTCGAACGAACACTCAGGTTCTACCTAGTCTTCGAACTCGCAGTCGGCGGAGAACTCTTCGAGCGACTCACCTCGCAGGGCAAGTTTACGGAAAAGGACGCCGTCGAGGTCGTCAGGTCAGTCGAAGTCTCTTTTGCGATCGTGTCCTCTCTTTTGGGATGTCTTGTACTGACACGTCTTTCTTTCGTAATCTCGTTTTGGAAACCACACCGACAACAACGCCGACGATGACGACGTTGGTCATTATACGTTGTCTCCCACGTAGCGAGATCCTCGCGGCCGTCCAGTACTTGCACAAACACGACATCGTCCACCGAGATCTCAAACCGGAGAACATCTTGTACAGGACGAGAGAACCTCATAGTTCGATCGTCATTGCCGATTTCGGAGTGTGTGTATTCCGGTTCTTCTCTATCCTTTCCGTTTCAATTCCATCTCGTCTCGTATCTTCTTGATGAGACCCAGAAAGAGACTCGGAAAGAGAAAGACTTTAAGACGGCTGATGTATTCGTTCGTCGGGGCATCACAGAGCAAGGCACTTGAACGCCGATGATGATTACCTGGATACCGCCGCCGGCAGCTTTGGGTACGCGGCACCTGAAGTGATCGTAGGAAAGCCTCATGGGAAACCTTGCGACATGTGGAGTCTTGGGTGAGTTCCGGTCTGGTCGCTGTGTCGATGGGACACAAGACGGAGGATGAAAGCTGATGCCGCATCGGGTGACGATATTTGTGCGATGATAGGGTCATCACGTACGTCTTGCTCTGTGGATACCAGCCTTTCAGGTCGGACGACCCGAACGAGGTCGCCAAGGAGACGATGAGGGGCAAGATCGAATTCCACGAGAGGTATTGGAAGAACGTTAGCGAGGAAGGTGGGTCGCCGAATGTGCCGTGTGTTTCAGTCCAACGCGTAGGGGAGAGCTCGCTGACACTGATCACTGTGTTGGGACTTGGTAGCCAAGGACTTTATCAAAGAGTTGATCGTGCTTGATCCGGCGCAAAGGTTGACGGCCGACGCCGCTTTCCAGCACCCTGTACGTTGTCGCAATACACGATCCGTCCTGGCAATTGTCCACTAAACGTGCTTGACCTTGACAGTGGCTCAGCGGAAGCGTCGCCGCCGAGCACAACATCGCCGACAACCTCAAGCTCAACTACGTCCCTTCACACATGTCCCAAGCCCGATCCAAGACCAAAGGGGCCTTCCCGGCCGCTCCCGATCGAGGCCCATTGCCTTCGTCGGAATCGTACGTCTCGACCGACTCGGACGGCTTTGCGACCCATCCGCCTACGCCGCAAGGTGGTGTTACGCCCGGGTACGATTCTCCTGCCACCCCTGCTATGGAGAGGTCAATGCAGGAGATGACTTTGAACGAGGCGAACGATTCGAGATCAAACACTGGTCCGTCGCCTGGGCTAGATGGCGAGGGTGAGAGTACCGGAGGTGGGGCCAGGATCATGAGGACGGACGCGCCTCATCATAGGATCGAGTCGATGAGACCCTGATCGCAGTGAAGGCCCAAGGGTCTGTTTTCAATCTCTTGTTCGTGAGTTTGTCTTATCAACAAGTTCACTGAGCCGCAATTGTCCGTCAGACTGATACCACACGCTCTGCTCGACAGGCTCGTTTTTTGTCTGTATCCCGAGTCTTGCAAGCTGTATTACAATCGCCAAGGCCCATTACCCAGACTAATTTAGGTGCTGTTGATAATTTCAAGGATAGAAGGAATGAGAATCACAGCCGAAGAATGCTCGTCGACCGGCAGAAATGTATCTACCAGCGAGATGAACATGCTATCGGGCGAAATTTTGGTCTGCGGCGTTGCCTATGATAAGGCTTCGATGGCCATACCGCGATGGCACCGCGAAGTAAGACCGGACTCCCGCAAATCGGGACGTGTTTCACCATCCCGAGTGAAACATGAAATAACCCTGAAACGCCATCTTCCGCTCCACAAAGGGAGGTCACGAAAGGGGACGTGTTTCATCGAACTACTATGAAAATGCGTCCCGATAATGCAAGCACATAAATCCCGCCTGCTCATTCAGACATCTCTCATCATATCGTCCTCAACAGGTTGCATCTTCACAAAAACAGCAGAAACGACCAAAAATGTTTATCGCCTCGCGTCTCGCAATGCTGTCGCTAGCCGCATGTCTGCACTTGCCTCTGTCGGTCTACGCTGATGATGCATCCGGCAGCCCAACACAATGGCCCAACCTGTCCGACTACTTCAAGGCCACCACCGACGAGATGGAACTGATGAATACTCGCGGCTTCGGTTTCTTTTGGGATCCCACCAAGGCACCCGGATTCGATTTGGACATCGTCAAGGAGTTTTTATCTGGGCGTGAAGCAGATTGCGCTGTAATCGTCTACTACGATAGGTTGCAATCTCGAATTAAAGAAAAGGATTCCGGATCTGGCCTGATGAATTCGGACGGTGTGTTTAGCTACGAGTGGCCGCTCGCTATCGCTCCAATCTGTCAGAACGATACGCAGCAGACAAACGCCAGCGAATACCCAGCTTCGACATCAGACAATGTCACTATGGTTTTCTGGGGAGCTCATAGCGACACGTCTCAGGATCTCTATCTCGTGATCCCGTAAGCTACGGTCGAGCAAGATTGGAAACGCATAGGACTGACCAACTTCCTGCATTCAGAATTGAGAAACCTTTCTATCTCCCCTATGAGAGCGACCCATCCTATATGGCCGATGTTAAAGCAGCAGGGTACAACTTCGATTGTGTCGGGCTTAAGCGGGAGTTACCAGGCCTGCTATGGGGTGACTCCCATGAAACTCAAGACGGCGACCGGTGGGCAGTCCTTTCTGACATGGACTGCGACATTTAAGGAGCTGATAGCGCCCGTGATCCGAGTAAAGGTACATAGGATTTGAAGTTATGGATTGGTTACTGCATTACGAGGCATATGCGGGGCGGCAACTACCCGGATGTGTTCCCAATCCCTACATCATCGGGAAAGGTAAGTTCACCCCGATCTTCTCCTAATGATGAATGTTAGAGGCGAAGGTCACACTTATTCGATTTGATTACCGGTTGCAGGCGATCGGTCTTGGCCGGCTTTCACAGGAGACGACTTCTATGGTTATGACGAGGAGGGCAAGCGGATCTCGTTGGCTAATCGATACACTTGATTATTGTCAAATCTGTCTTCTTCAACAAAGGGCGCTGTAACCTTGTTAAGCGCGCGGCCTTCTTTTCGGAGATGACTTCCTGACATTCCACTGGCGTTGTACTTCAATACCGCACCTTCGTACAACATATGTATATCCCTCATGTGTCTTCCATTTATCCTCATCTGTCATCGTGAGACACTCTGCTGACGAAGAAGATTGATGGGCCCATCCCAGTGATCGGAAGCGCGATGCTAGAAACTTTCCCTCGAAGTGAAAGCCTTGAAACGAATCAGAGCGTTGTCGAAAGTTTGAATGCTGTTGAAGACTTGAGCAATCACAATCTCGCTTCCCGCCATCTCTAATACCTCGCCGTCCCAAGTCAGTTTGACAGATTTGACATTTTCCCTGTAAAAACAGTGAGCGGTGTTTCAGTTTACGCTTCTCCGCCTCAAACAGAAATGTCTCACATACTAGTATATGTGCCGTATGATAATGTACAGAGAAGTATGGTGAACGCGTGCACGAGCCACGCTGGTGTGATTGGAGCGGGGGATAATGAAGATTCCGTCTACCATCAAGTCCTCAGATTCCATGAGACTAGACCGTCCCTGTAACTTTGATTTCACTTCAGTATACCTTTATCGCATGTTGTTTCGCCACTCCAGATGTAACACGCCGAGAGAGACGGACGTGCTCATGCTGCGATATCCCAAGAAGCTCGAATGCAAACACGCATCACCAGAAGGTCATCTCTCAGAGGCGGTCAACAGTCTGATCCGCAGCGTCATTGACCGACGCCGAGTCGTTAGGTTTCGTATCATTCCAAGATCAGGATATCCACGAGGATCAACTCAAACAGCGTCCCCATCCAAATGAAGTCCTGTCTTTCATATTGATGAATCGGCACAACTTGAAACTTGGGAACGAGGCGATCTTTTCGCCCTTTTCACGAAAGCACTGAGATGAAGTTTGGCTCGAATCGTCGGCCGCAGGGTTCAAACAATGACAGATTCAATCGTCAATGGATTGTGATAAAGCTTGCTGACCATACGACCCCGGGGAGAAGAGATCATCGTAACGACTATGCAGTGAAACATTCGCAGCGGCGCAGCTTCGCGCTTCGAGTTTGCGTCGCGTTTCAACTCGGTATATCAGGTCATTCTGGCTCGTTTTTCCTCGTTTTTCAATTTCAGAGTGTATAGTGACCTTCTTAGAACTCATATCTGCATCGATTCGGTTCGTAAAAGTCGATCTTGTGAATATCGTTTTTTCGGGGAGTTTGCCAACAGTCGTAGAGCGTTGAACTACAAATTTGCATCCGCTCCCTGCTAAATGGCATCGTCCATCACGCGACGCGTTTCTGAGAGGAAGTCGCGTTCGAGGAGAAGAGGTCGACCTCGAGGTCAGAACAAGGTCGTGCATGTGAATGTGCATCAACTCCGACCTTCTTGGTGCATCATCAATACGTCTAGACTGATCTAATAGTCCCGCAATCATGGTCATGGAAGAGCTACACGAATGGACGGCCGACGCCAACAAGGCGTTGAGCGTGACTCTTGGTGCGTTTCTGGTCTTGCTTATGGGCTGCCCTCGCTAGTCGATATGGACCGGCTAGGTCGAGCAATTCAAGCTGATCCAATATGAACGTTCTTTATCTATCACAGTAAGATCGGCTCAGGATGCTCTTTCGGTAATCGACGAAGACCCAGAAGCAAGAGCTTTGCTCCCTTTCAACCCGGCATTCACCTATCCTATCTTTGGCGAGAAGGAGAAGATCTACGGTTACAAGGGATTGCAAGTTGAGGTGCGTCCATGCCACATTCCTCCGATGTCTGGGTTTCAAGTCGGCTCAAGGCTCCAATATAGGTCAACATGGTATCAGGAAGCTTGAAGCAGTACCTCAACGTCACTTACGACGAAAAGCTCGAGAGCCAAGCGGACGATATCGAAGGGACGCTCTTCAAGTTCATTCCTTCCGGTAAGACCTACCTTCTGTTCCGCACAGATCCTGTCTTGACCGTCCGTGTGGCTAATAATATATCCATGATGGTGATATAGATTACACAAAATCAGCCGAGATCTTTGCCGATACCGTAGCGAAGGACGCCGAATCGTTCGTCCCGCCGGGTACTCAAATCGCTTCGTACCGTTCGGCAGATGACGAAGAAGATGACGTCGAATACGGGGTCTGGCACGTGAGTTCGACCGCTTCATCAGATCGACTCAAGGAAGCAGGTGAGGAGGAATCTATTGCTGATCTGTTGCGGGTTGAGATGTGTAGTGTAAATGGGACACACCGGGATTCAGGGAGTTTCACCGAAGAGCGCAGTTGTTCGTCTTGCTTTACATCGAGGGAGGAAGCTATATTCAGGTTCGTCCCTGATCTCAATTGAACATGCTCGGTCGAGCGGTATGACCGACGTGCATTCCCCGTTCGTAGGAAGACGAAGATCAGTGGGAATTCCTAATACTGTTCGAGATCCGGCCACATGATACGGCACCTACCGGAGCTAGTTATCATTTCGCAGGTTATGTCTCGGCTTACCCGTTCTGGTGTTACCCGGACATGGTACGGATGAGATTGAGGTGAGTTTTTCGGCTCCCGATCATCTCACTGTGAAGAAGCGCATGGATTGACAATGATAATGATATAGTCAATTCGTCATCCTGCCGCCCTTTCAAGGACAGGGACACGGATGTGAGTTGCCATATGTTGCGCTTCGGCTTTGAGATGTCGTGCTGACAATCTTCGGTTACCCATCTTGTCAGCTCAACTGTACAATACCCTCTACGACTACGCATCAACGCTAGAGAAGGTCGCCGAGCTGACAGTAGAAGACCCGTCTGAAGCCTTTGAAGACCTGCGAGATCGATGCGACTTGGTCAGGCTGAAGGAGCAGTTGAAGGATTCGAAGGAGATGGCCAAGGGGGCGCCGGTGGATAAGAAGTGGTTGGAAAAGATCAGGACGGAGGGGAAATATGCCACGGTATGTGCGGTGCTGGTGATGACCAGGAAAGCACCTAGTGGCTGACGCGGGTATGCACTTTGCAGAGACAATTCTTGCGTCTGATCGAGATGCTGCTCTTGGAACGACTAAAGACGAACCGGAGCCCGGAACGATATAAAGCGTATCGTCTGCAGGTAAGCCCGAAGCCTTCAACTTCTAGGGACGAGCGGGACCAAGGCTGATACTTCGGATATCAGGTCAAGGAAAGGTTGTTCAGGTTCAACTACGAGATTCTCGCTCAGATCTCGCCCGACGAACGAAGAGAAAAGTTAGCAGAAACGTACAAGAACGTGGAAGAGGACTACAAACGGATACTGAATAGTCTCAGGCCGGTCGAGCAGGATCTGTGGGAGTGGATCGAGACGCCTCAGCAGGGTACTTAGCGAGTGCGGTCAGCAATAATATACGCGAGCACACCCGGGGACGTCTCCGGGACAATATTGATATGACATTTTTGATAATATACATTTGCCTCGGATTCGCAGCTGAAACTGAGGAAATGGCCTGCCTGCCTGGCACTCTATAGCTGTTAGACGGTACTGGCACGGTGAGACGGTGTGAGATATTCGCTTGCAATCTAAGCTGACTACGTGGGAGGTCAGCAATGAACACGCCGCAATAGCTCTGCGACACGACGATAAAGACTCACCGCTCGTCCGTCATTGCAAATCATCACCCCAGCCATGTTCAAGTATTCAGGCCTGACGCTTGGCATTGGCTTGGCTTTGTTGCTGCCTCGTACGATGGATTTCCATCAGCCGAGCTCTCTCCGCCTGCTTCACAGCTGCCTGCCGCTTCGCCGCATTCTTTCCTTTGCCCTTGTTCTTCTCATCCTTTCCTTTGGTTTGCCCTGCCGGAACCTTGTGTACCTGTGAGGCTCGGTGCTGCTTGTCTCCGGTCTTCTGGCCGACGTGTTTGGCCCGGCCCCAATGTTCAAGGCCAGGCAAGACATCTTGCGACCATACCTTTTCTAGCCATTCACCCACAATCTCCGGCCGACCTCGAGCTTCCGAGTCTTTGTGAAGAGCGCCGACGTAAGCCTCGAATAGATCGGCAGCCAAGTTCTGCGTTATGATCCGTGTACTGATCATATAAGACGCGCCGACTCGAAGATGACGGTAGAGCCTCAAGTATCTGCATAAATGCGACAAGGTGTTGTTGCTGGTGAGCAATTGCCTCATCCTCTTTGAAAGGTAGGTGGAACAGTCAGGTGTCAAGTCACTCAAGTCAAGCGTAATTAATCTCACCTCGAGTTCTGAGACGGATCGTCCCGGGTACCTCTTCATGAGCACTTGCGTAGCGTGAACATACAGAAGGCTGTCCCCCAGCCATTCAAGCTTCCTGAAGCTATCTTGACCACTGGGTTGCGATAGGGTTTCGACTCCAGATGTCTCGTCGTCACTCTGTGGAGTATGGGAAGCTAGACAACTGCCGTGATGGCTATATTGCCGAACGAGCTTCTTATCGTGTAAAGGTAGCAAGGAAGGCAAGGCAAATTCATTGATGGAAATAACTGGAGGTTTCCAGACGGTATTGTTCTTGAATCGAAGTAGTAAGACAATCAGATCTTAGCTACTCTGTGATTTGTGATAGAAGACTCACTTGTGCCATGATGCCAACCCAACAATGCTTCAATCCAGATTCAGGTTGACGATGGTACAGCGGTGTCCTGGTAGCTGTTGTACGGTTTTCTGAGCGAAGATGGACGTAGTAGCGTAGACGACCAATGACTAGAGTGCTAGAGTAAAATCGTTGATGATGCTCTGGATATCTGGATGACATTCATGGTGTCGTTGTTGGGTAAGTGCTTGTGTTTGTTATCGCTTGGTTGGAACGTTGGAACTGATCAAAATTGATGACCGAAAATGCGACAACAAGAAAAAAAGACGGTGACGAGGACGGCGCAGTTTGATGGCGATTTCGCGTTTCAGATATCGGATCATAGTCACGTGACCTGCGCATCCCTTCCGCCTTGCGGCCTTCTTTTCAGGTTACGCCCACACCGGATTCGTGGACAGTTTGGTCACACCTTTGCGAGCCTACTACCATATGGTCATTAGAGACTGAAAGATTCACACGACGTCGCGGATACTTCGATATCATCTACAGGTACAGCATTCATGCACATGGCTCCTTGAGCAGCATTCCGACGTTCCAAAGTCGAGTCATCGGTGTATACGACGCTCTGCCTGAGTCCGCAAGAGGCATCAAAGATTAGTATCAGTCGTTCTTCATGATAGTGATCCAGTACGTACTTGAAGCGGCCCACCCGCACGAGCAATCTACAGCATCTCTTGCTTGACTTTCACTTCATGCTTAACCCTGACTTTCGGCTCGATGTCCGGTTCCGACTTGGTCATCGTTTCCACCTTTGTTGTCCCTGTAGACCTAGCATTCGTTTCCTCCTGCTTGACATCCGCGGCTCCTGCCTCGGGCAAAGTCGCCCTCCCGTTCAAAGCTACGGGATTTTCGGTTGCGTTGCCGATGGCTCCCTGCGGCTTCGCCGCTGAAGAACGCTTCTTCGGCCGAGACTTCTGAGCCAGTCTCAGTGCCTTGGCAGCAGCCCTCTTAAGCTTTTTCTCATGCCTGCGTTGTTGTCTGATGCTCGCTTCTCCTAAATCGGGCCAGGCGTTCGCTGACAATAGCTCCTTGATCCATTGACTGACAGAGCCCTCAACGATTTCGCTCTTCAGCAATCCGCCGATATGGGCCGCGAAAGCGTCGCTAAAGATCTGTCGAGAAACCCCTTCAGCAGCCACTGGTAGATCCGGTCCGACCCTGATTCGTTGGTCAAGTCCATAGCGCGTGAGAGGTGAGCTAGAGTCCTATCGTACAAGAGTGCCCTCTTCTTGCCCTAGCGAATCGTAGCTTGTTTCAAACCGTGTAGACGACCAGTAATAAAGCCAAGACAATATTTCCCCACTCACGTTTACATCTTTTGCGCCTTTCCACGGGTATCTCTTGACGAGTATTTGGGTCTGGAAGTCCAACGCACTCATCCCCAGCCCTTTCATCAGATCGAAAGCGTTCTTACCCCTCGGACAAGGGTTCTTGCTGCGGATCTGTTTCGGGCCCCTCGTCCACCAGCTCTTATGAGTCGTACATTGAAGAGCAAGGCTAAAGTCTAGAATGGGTGGAAGAGCTGGCAATGCAGCGTAGTTGATGGTTGTAGCTGGAGGCTCTACCTCAAAGGCCTTTGATGAGACCGTTAGCAGTGGTACGATTTCCTTCCGAACGTAACGAAACTCACATCCACCATGATTCGACGATGTCGACAGCACTAGCTTTCAAATAGAGGTTTGGCGAAGTTTGTTTGTGGTAGAGGTTATTGTTACTGCATAGACTTACCTTGATAGTGATAAGGAGGGAGTTCGACTCAATAAGACGTTCGGTTCTGTTGTTGCGTTGCTGTGAACGACTGGCCAGGATCCGCGATTGTAGCAACGCGTGCTTTTGTTTTGAATTGATGAATACATTGTGTTTCACTTTTACCCCGTATCACGTGATGTAAGCCAGGTAGCCGACCCCGACCCCGCTCGAACACGCTGTCCGATTCTATGAACGATGTGAACGTTGTGAATTGCTTCGATTGTGAAAGTTTGTTTCGATCGTTAGGACATGTTCAATTACATCAGACGTATACGAGTATTACAAAGCTGCTCAGGACACAAGCCCACATATTAGACGATTTCTTAACATTCGTAATATCTATCGGACGGTTATGCTATACTCCAGCTCGTCAGAGAAGACCTATCCCGAGGCGCTGATCAGTCCGGAGTAGGTCATATTTGTGGAGATAACTAGCACCGGCACTTACGCGTTCGTTGGTCAATCGGGATGCCACTCCGGTCAGACCAGGTCAGGCTGCTTCTTATGCTTCTTCAACTTGGGCGTCGGAGTGGAAGTAGCGGGAGATGCCTTGGCCTTTATAACTTCAGCTTTCTTCTTTATCTTCGGTTGATCGCCCTGAAGCTTAGTGCTGGCTCGGATGGTGACTTCCGGCTTCGGCTTCGGCTTAGGAGAAGATGCTTTGGAGGGGACCGGGGTCGCTTTGGTAGCAGCTTTGCCAACCTCTACGTCGGCGGTGGCCTTCTTTTCGGCTTCTTTCCCTGCTTCCAAAGCCAACGTGTTTATGTTTGCTTCCAGCAAGCCAACAAGCGAGTTCGGTTTAACCTTGGATAGCTGCACAGGCGGTTCCTCTTTCCCCTTGAGCTGATTTCCCTTCCCCCTAGCTTTCTCCCCTTTCGCAATTGTTGGGGGTTGGCTTGTGGCTACTTCCTCCAAGTTGGGAAATACTGCGGGGGACCAAAGCTTCTGGAGCCAATGTCGAACGAGATGCGGCTTTCCGCGTCTCTGAGCGTCTTTATAAAGTGCCCCGATATAAGCTTCAAACGAGTCCGCCGCAAGGGATTGCGAGGCGGGTTCCTCCATATGTTCGGGATGACCATGTATACCAAGGTGGAAAGACACGTGCGAGAGAGTGATGTTCCGAATAAGAGCAGCTTTCACACGCTGTCGCGAATCCCAGGGGGGTAATGCTAGGTCAGAGTGATGCAACGGCGGTTCGCTGCAGGGTACTCACTGTCAAGGACCCAGTAGATAAGTCGGGCCATCTCTCCAGTAGTATCTCGGTCGAGAAATGAGACAGTACCGCATCTCCAAGCCACTCGAGATTGCGAAACTCGCCCTTCAGGGTCTTTTGATCGCCCTGAAGGGGGATGGATACCTCCTTCACTGCATAGACCCGTTGCGACTGGCTTCGACGCAGAAGTTTCTGGTTTTGTATCTTTACTAAGGGTGGGAGAGCTTGATAATTGATCGTCACGGGTGGAGGTGTCCAATGAATGATCTGCTATGTTAGACGCAACTTAGCATGCACCGCAGGGAGGGAGATCATGGTCAATGCGCACTCTCGACATGATGCGCAAAGTACTAGTCTAGAGAATTTCTAGAGGATTATTCTCCGTACGGGTCGATTGATAGTAGAGCGGCTCTGTGTTGTAGTTGTATCGACCGTATAGGATAGTGTCGTTGAAGTTAACGGCGATGTGGTATGGCGATACATGTATACATGTATGATGCTGGACGTGCTGTGTGATCGGTTTGAGAAGGCTCGCGGACATGACCGGAGAACAATAAGAACCCGCGGGACTGATGGAAGATTAGCGTTTCACAACCTTGACGTATCACGTGACTTGACCGAGAAATCACCGAGGCTTCTTGTCATGCCGACTACCACGAGCTGTACAGCTGGATTTTTCATCCTGGCATAACAAGAATTACATTCTGAGTGATATTTAAAGGTTAATTAGAAGGTTCTCGCTGATCATTGTAAGGTGTAACTGCTTGAACATACGAGGTCAGTCTGATTGATCGATGTGCTTACCCCGTGATTACATAACGGTCGAAACGCGGATCATTGACCTCGCGTTTCATCGTCAGTGCAACAGACTGATCAGACAATAATACTGCTCGAGAGAATCCTAGCTGAGAAGGTCAATCCCATCGTATCATGTCATCTAAGTTTGAGAGTGGAGAGATCTTTGGGCTGAGATACATGGCCCACGGGTACCTTTGGCGCTCAGGCGCCTTCCTTTCTGTTCCTCTTGAAATGACGATCCGATCAATCTGATGCGACGTGAATGCTTCCGCGAGAAGTGATGATCATGTCAAACGGCTCATCAAAACAGAAAACGAATTGATGGAAACGATGACGAAGCGGGGAAGCATCCGGGTCAAAGGATCAAGGGATTCTCGCTTCTCAGGGCTCGATCAGCTTCATCTATGATATACACGCCTTGCACCAAGGTTGACCTCAACATAGCAGGCAACTACCAGAGCTTCTCTACATCGTCCACCTACCGCACATCGCGCCTGCATCGCATGTAGCTCATCAGTCGACTCTCCAAACACTCCGTCACCATGTACCACATCCGCTTACAAGACCTCATCCAACACGTCGACGACCTCGAGCTGTTGAAGCAATACGACCGGCTCTTCGCACCCGGACCATCCCGCCCTACCATGCCACTCCCGAAAAGACAGAGACGAGTGTTGGCAGAGACTGAGCCCTGGGCACATCAACTGGCTGACCGGGAACCGGAGGAGCAAGTGCTAGGGGAACCGGAGAGGCAGAAGAAGACTTCGAAAAAGACGCCTCTTGTACCCCGTAAGCCATGAGCCTGCTTTGATTTACTCTATCTCAGCTTACATACCGACTGTGCCCTATAGAAAAACCCTCAGAAATCTCCAAATCGATCCTAGTCCGTTGTGATCCTTGCAAACGACGACGAACTACCTGCAGTCAGTCATACAGCACCTTTCTTTGCCAGACATCTAGTGTTCGTACCAAACTTAGATACCTTTTTGCTTTCTTCCCTTTCTTTGTCCGTCTCTTTGGCCTACCCTATCCTCTCTTCACCTGATCCTCTCTGTAACGATACCACAATCACAGCCACTCCGAACGGCTCCAAACGCTGCCTATGCTGCGCCAAGAAAGGCACCCAGTGCACCTACGGAAAACAAGCCGAATCGAAGGAGAGGAGCAAAGGGAGGAGGTTCGGCTTGCGCCGATGAAGATTCGGGAGCGTGTTGGAGATTCCCAGGAGTGGTTGATGGCACTTCACAAGCTAGCTGAAAGGTGATGAAGAGGGAGTGATGGAATAGAGGGACGGTGCGCACGATGAACAATCAACGATATCAGACGAACGGGGAAGAGATCGGTGCGGGATGGAAAACGACGGTATAGATCATGGACGGCGTAGACTCGACTTTCTTGACCGGTCTCATTTACGTATCACATTTCACGAACGAACGACCTCGACCTTACGACTTGTACATATAGCCGCGAAATCGATTATACGCATTCAGAGTAAAGGTCGATATACTCGTATTGATGAGAGATATCGCTGGCAGCACCCTGACCTGGCAGGATCACAAGACGAAGGGTAACACAGCATTGGACATGCTAGATGCTTCGTATTGTAGCTTTGTACAACTTTCGTAGTCGACATCTTGCGATCTAGTACAGGAAGGGACAAGCCCGTCGTAAGGTATGGTAAATCGAAAGCGAAAAGCTTATTGTGAAAGCGAGGGGTGATTGGAAAGAACCATTGCGTCATAAAAGAGTCCTGCCTTCCTGGGGCCTGGTATAGAATCGTAGGTCGTGTGGCTTCGTGAAGCTGGTTTGCTAGACGTGATCATGGGATCTTGAATTCGAGTTTCTGCTTCTCGAGGTATTTCTGAACCCCTGGTAGACCGAGAGCGAATAGGGCGTCAGGTTTTGCGGACACTGGCTGTAGAAGATGATACTGACTGTCTAGGTTCTTCGTTGATGTTTCGGGTTCTTTTCTCGCGGTCATTGAAGCTACGAGACGCGAGCACAAGGGTGAGCTGGTCACTCGTGCAGCGAGCACGCAATCACTTACCGATCCGCTGTGCTACCCATAGGCCTGAGAGTCATAAAGTCAGAGTCAGCTCCAATTGCATGGGTAAGTCCATAGCAGACTCTGGAACCCACCTAGCCCGGTCGGACCCAGCTTCTCTACCTTCTCCCCTTCTTTGACCGTCTGAGCGATCCCCAGCTTTCTCGCGATCGTCGATGCCGTCTTGAGCATCGAAACGCAAGAGTCTTGCATGGTATCTCGGTAGTGCGACGAGGCCACGACGAGGAAGAGCATTCGCATCTGATTGTTGTTGATAGTCATGGCACTCTGCAAGCCGAGTCCCAGGAGTTTTCTAGAGACAGACGATGATTATTCAGCTGTCGTTTCCGGGAAAAGCCGCAAATGCTTCGACGCTCACTTCGATTTCTGGATGGACTCGGTAGTAACCGCTTCAAGCATCTTGGCAGCCGCCATGTAGAGCACGCTTTGCGTGGCATATAGCTCGCCCTTAATCTCGTTGATCTGCGAAACTTTGCCGCCAAGATCAGATGAGTCAGGTCCAGCAAGCTGGAACAACAACAAGCTAGTCCTGGCGACCAGGTAAATCTCGCTTCCTGGATTGCTGATGTATCGACAAGCTTCATAGCACGCGATGGCCTTTTCTCTTCGACCGAGCATATGATACCGTTGAGCCTGCAGCAGACAGACCCGTGGGGCGTAGGTATCGAACATGTTGTGATTGCGCAGGTGGGCGATCGCTTTGTGCAGGGTCTGTCGACCGCAGAGTCAATGGAGTCCCACAACCAAGCCAAATTCACAGCAGGTCAACTCACCTCTTCGGCCTGTTTCAAAGTGGCGGAGAAGATGTATAGCCCAGCGAGGTCCAGTAACAGCTCCGCGTGTACGGTCTGCAGCTCCCGCTTGATAGAAAGCGCGTGCGTTAAGCCGAGGGTGGACGGGTGCTGAAGATGATTCGCGGTCGAATTGCAGGCAAAGGTCATGCCAGACAACCCTTCGGACCCGTAGATCAAGCGTTTCGGCTTGTTGCCCATGACATCCGCTTGGCCGATACACGAGACGAGGAAGGTCACTTGGAAGAGCACACTAGCAGGGGTAATTTGGACCACGAAACCAGATTCCGTTGGGTTGCGGAAAGAGCCCAAAGGTACCTGCAACGATTAATCAAAGCGGCGTCAGCCGAAGGTGTATTGAGATAGTGGCTTGGGACTTACCTGCAATCGACCCACGGCGGTTTGGGCATCCCCGTTGAGCGCATCCGACCGGTCCATCAACTGGTGTAGCAAGTTCAGATACTCCGTCGACGCCTGGACGTTGCCCCGTCTTGTTTCTAGCGGGACTGCCAGGATCAGGAACTGTGCCAACATGACCGCTAGCACGGGTTGTAGATGTGTCAGATCGTGGGTATCGCCATCGGCAGGTCGAGGGAAGACTTTGCCCGCCGTCAGGAGTTCCTTGACCTCGGCCATCGAGTCTGGGGCGATATCCAAGTAAGAGTTGGCCATGATGACGCGAAACTTTGCCAGACCGGCGATGAGGGCGACGTGATCGTTACGGTTCTTCCGGGCGTGTTTCTACGAAAAGGACACAAAGAGGACAACTCCACTGTGTTCTGCTCATGAGTCGCGTTTAAAAGACAACTTACGATAACTGCTTGTAGGGTATTTATTGCAGGCATCAGGTCCTTGTTCGACTCGCTCTCCCATCCCGCCAACATCAGCATGGCTCGGTAGTACATATGCGACTGGGAGGTACTGTAATGTGCATCCCGTCAGTCGCGTCGATCAATTTTGAGACTTCTACTGAACTGCGAACAGAACTCACTCGTTCTCGATGGTGGAGATGAGTTTTTGTATCATCTTGATCCCGTAATTCGTCCCGCCCTGATGCACGTCAAGCGACAACGAGTCAGTGACGATTACTGAGACCCGACCATCCTGATCCCTTACCTGTATGACATCCAATTGTGTCCTTAACATTGTCAATTCCAGGACCCCACTCCGTACACCCGGTGTATTGTTTTTCGCACCCGCGTTGATCTATGAGAGGCAAATATATAAGTTCTTGGTTGATCCCAAGGTAACCTCATCGAAATAAAACGCCCGACTCACGCTCGACGTCAAAACCCCCTCAATCTCCTTGATCAAATTGCTCGTCTCCAAGTGTTTCAAATCCACCTTATCATCCGCGGTCGAGGCCAAGGGAGAACCGACCCTTTTGAACGGATCCTTCTTCCCCTTGTTCGGGGTTTCGTACAGGTCGAACCTCGAGCTCGAAGTACGTCGAGAGAGGGGCACGCCATTGTTGATGTTGGATTTGTTGCTTCTGTTCGTCAGAGGCGAGGGAGAGACGGGTGTAGGTGAAGCAGGAGCGCGCCCGAGGGAGATGTCACCAGAAAGGACCTTTTTCAACTTGCGTCGGTCCCCCTCGTCCGGAATTTTGAACGGCGTCGAGGTTGACGTCGAGGAAGAAGCGAATTTGGGTATCGATCTAGATTTCGCAGCCCTTGCCGTCTTTTCCGCTTCAAGCTGCAGGCAAGTCAACATCTCCAACCCCAACTTTCCTATATCCACACCTAACTGAACCTGCTCCGTACTGCTCAACCTGTCCTCATCCTGCTTATAAGCCGTCAACATCAACTGTAGACCTAGGTAATCGAGGTGTTTGATCCTAGCTTCAATGAACTCGTGATCAGGCGGTTGGGAAGACCTCCAACCGAGCAGATCTGACAGGTCCGGCTCTTTCTTCAAGGCTTGCGCTCGTTCGTCGGTCGACAAGAGGAGTAGTCGAAGGAGCCGGCTCTTCTGGGTAGTCGAGACGTTGTGAGCAAGGTAGTGTAGGAGAGGAAGGATCGGGAGAGGTTCAAGAGGTGGAGGCGGTTTGGTATCGACGTCCATGGGCACCATCACCTGAGCTTGACTCGCGGTTCGACTACCGGGAGGAACCGAGGAGAGTGGAGACGATTGGGTCGGGTATCTTTTCTCCTCCATCATCACGTCGATCGGGGGGAAGACTTCCTCTTGCTTCTCAAAGAATGCCGAATGCGAATGGGTTTCTACCAGGGTCTCATCTCCCGGAGTATGGCTGAAAGACTTTTCCTGTTGGCTGTGAGACGGGCTCGAGATCGTGAGCGACATGGTAGGTTGAAGCGTCATCGAGCCGTCTCCGTTTGCTTTGATCATAGTGTGACCGCGGCCGGGATCGATAGCCGACTGAGGTATACTCGTCATTTTTGTGTTCTTCAGTATTTCTAGAGTCCTGATATGGTATTGTTCGTAGATTGAGACAGTATCCAAATCGGGTAAGTCTAATGGATAAATATCTGGTATATAAAAGAGTCAGCTCGCCAGCTTAGTTGACAGAAGATCGATAAAGGTTGTTCACCATCAACAACTCACCATCCTAGGTTCGAATCTTTTCTCGTGTCACTATCTCGACGAGTATTCCTTCAGCTATTACTATTATGGATATTATGGCTCATGTACGCCGTCCGTGATGTTGAAGGTTGCGGGTATCGATAGGTTGTCGCGTTGCTTGATGTACGTTAATGGTTGTTCTACGGAGCCCAGTCTAGCGGTCCCGAATTCAGCTAAACGTTCATGGATTCATGTGACATCCTAAGTCGAGAGTTGCTTGATCATCCATTGACATAGCTCATAGCTCGTTGATGATTGTGTAGAGGTCAAACTCTCGAAATCATCAACACGAGAGCTGAGCATGTCCTTCGAGATCTGCTCGATTTGCTTCCGAACAACCACTCGTGATTTACATCCGAAAGCCGCTGCCGGCATCGCACGTCCTCGTCATATCCCACAGATCATTTAGCGATTCTAGCAAACAACTACTAATTCGAATCAACATCTAAGAACTGTTAGGGGGGCGGTATTTTTCTTAGAGGGGCGGTATTTGCGGGGTAGAGGTGGAAATAACCGCACGCGTGATTTCGACAGAAATACAGCGTGAGAAACATTGTCAAACCTTGACGCGCCAGTGATAGCCTGGACGCGTTGTATGATTTTGCAATGTTGCAGTCGTATTATTCCCTTCGTATAGCACCTATTGAAAATGTCCGTACCTCCTAGCCCTATTCAGCGTGTTCATCCCGTCGATGTGGCGGATTCCGAGGAAGACTCGGATATCGAAATATTCCCGCAACATGCAATTCTTCAACAGTCTCCCTTCGAAGTACTGTCGCAGGAGTTTGCAGATCTTGATGACGCCGGAATATTACCACAGCTGCAATCCCTGGCCGCCCAAGGGGGATTTGCTGTACGCAAGACACAGGGAACTCTGAACAACTTCGCTGTCGTCTGCACTCGAACAGGCGAACATAAGAACACACACGAGTACCAAGATGCGTCCGGACGCATGCGTAAGAAAAATTCCGAGGGGTACACTAAGAAATGTGGTTGTACCTGGAAACTCTACGTCGCCAGGAAACCCAAGACCGACAACCTATGGAGAATTTCGATCAGAAACCTCCAACACAATCACGAGATCAGCGGATCTGCATACCCATTCCATCAGCATAGAGCGTTGACCGAAATTGAGCGAGAGTTAGCAATCGCTGCTCTCAAGGCAAAGGCCCCCCCTCGGTCTATTGTCGAAATGCTCCACAAGAAATCGAGCGGTGAAGGACGCAAGTGCTATATCGGTGTACAGGAAATATACAATCTCAGAGCCGAAATCAAGACTGCAGCCTTGAGCGGACGAACTCCAACGGACGCGATTATCCGAGAGCTGGTCCGGAGGGGAATTCCTCATCTCTACGACCTCCATCCCCTCACCGATGAGCTTCAAACCCTTTTTTTTTGCAATCCCATGGGATTAATCCTGGCGAAATATTACGGCTACGTCCTTTTCATGGATGCGACCTACAAGACCAATCGCTACGGAATGCCCCTCCTCCACATCGTCGGCACAACCCCTGCGAATCTTTCCTTTACTGTAGCGCTTTGCTTCATGACGGGAGAGACAGAGGAGGAATATTTCTGGGCGATGAACGCTCTCAAAGATATGTGTGAGGATCTGCCGACCGGAGTAGTTCTGACGGATCAATGCACGGCTCTGCGGAATGCATTGAGCCGAGTATTTCCACTGTGGAAGCAGCAGCTCTGTCGTTGGCATCTCGGACAAAACCTCACGAAAAATTTCAAAGCCAGATTGTCAGAGGACGATTTCGACAGCGTCAACGCGGCATACAAATCCCTGGTCAACGCTTCGACCAAAGAAACATATGACGATTTGTTCCGGACGTTTCGATTGCAATACCTCGCGAACGAGAGGACATCAGCCTGTTGGCTGTATATTGAGCGACAGATGCTGCTTGGCAGAGCATTTCTGGCGCACGAATTATCCCACACGCTCAATTTCGGTGAGACTGCCACCTCGCGAATTGAATCGTTTCATCGTGCTATCAAAAGCACGATCGGTGGTGCTGGGCAGGATTTATTCGGTGCAGTCAACGCAGCGCTCGATCACATGCGTAGCATCCACCGAAGTATTTTCCTCAAGCATTCGACTGACGCCATCACAAACGTGAAATGTTTCCCGCCATCGATGTATGATGTGAGTCATGCGTAGGAAGAAAAACGATCGGAAAAATCCTGACGATATCTTTCATGATCACGGCAGCTGAGAGGCCGAATTTCGCTCAAGGCTCAGTGGAAGATTTTCGAGGGAGCATATCGTCTGCATCAGGCCGCACGAATCAAGAACGAGCCCCTGCGTCCCTGCACGCACTCCATGAAGGATTCCATGGGGCTCGTTTGTCAGCACGATTTCGAACGAATTCTGGCGCCGGAAGAACATTACCCGTTGATCATTCCTTCCTCGATTCATCGTTTCTGGCATTTGAAACAGCAGGATGAATTAGAGGTTGAGGCAAAGCAGCTGGCGCTCAAATACGTTCGGAATAATGCGACAGTCGGGACCTTCTTCACCCACTACCCCCTAGACCCGCTACCTGCGATCCCTCCTCAGGCAGACGACTCAGCGCTTATGCCGATGAACGAATACCTCGAACCACACGAAATTATCCGAGAGATGTCACCCGACGCTGTGATTATTCAGGAGCCAATCTCTCGTCCGCAGTACGTCAAAGCGCAAGCGAAGAAGAAGCGCAAGAGGGCAGTACAGGATATCAAACAGGGACGAGGTCCTGCGGAGGATATCGTCAGGCCTCATGCGAAGAGTGGGCGAATGGAAACTGCTGCTGAAGTGGTGAATCGTCAGGTAGAAGAGAGGAGAAAAGCCGAGGCCACGGCTGCTAGGAAAATTTCCCAGGGAAATAAGCCGAGAGGATGTGGCCACTGTTCAGGTTCCGGTCACAACATTCGCACGTGCCCAAAGAAGACGGCAGCGGACGCTGCTGCCATCGTGAAAACGGCATCTCAGGCCTCTGGGAATGTTCCGGGATCCAATATTTTTCGGAATGTTTCACAAGAAGCAAAACCTCAGCACACATACCTGGAGCAATTCCCCTCTCGCCCACAATATTCCCAACATTATGCTGTCGAATTCCTCCCTCCGCAAAATATCATTGGAGTTCCCTCCCCGCAACAATTCCTGGGCGTCTCACCTTTCGCCGCACGAGCGTACGGGAATCTCCCTCAACAATATTACGCTGGAAGTCAGCCGGGACCTTCGTCAGCGCCTATCGCACCTCCATCTCAGCTCGGCCGATATTATCAGTAGAACAAAGGCGCCAAAGGACCCCTCGCGTGCGCGATATGCTTCGGATTATTTCGGGGGTTGATTTTTCTTTGTTTTACTTCGTCTCGTGACTATTCTATCGCTGATCCTTTCGCTTACATTTGATGAGCCGTTTGATATCGTATTTGTTCTGGCGTGAGTAGGAGAGGGTTTGATTCCGCTGTGAACTAGCTGACGGATTGGTTCTATGAAGATCGACGATCAGGAACGTTTCATGTGAATTGAAGCGAAACGTATTGTTCTAAGTAACAAATCGACCTTCTCAGACGTCTCGAATTGGTAATAACAACGTTCGGGCCCGAGATAATACGTCGTTTAGCTTCTCATGATGTCATGAGTAGCGAAGTGATACGTCTGACGTCAAGCTATCGATTTATCGAGAATCGTCGAGTAAATTCGAATCGACACGTACGCTAAGAAGCCAAATAATATATATACTCGAAGTCCCCCCTCTCGTTTTACGATTTCCCCCCCCCTCTCTAACTTACTCTCTACTCTACAACCCACTCGAACATACCCGCACGCTTCGACGTACTCGCCTTCGACCTCTCGCCTTCAACCTCTCGAAATATATCAAGAACTTATTCAAGATGTCTGGTGGACGGTAAGTTCAGCGTCTCGCTCGATATCGTTCAAAATATTCCCTAATTTTTATTGCTGTAGACTTACTCGAGCTCAAAAGGAGGCCCAGAAGAAGAAGCAGGGTGCGGCCGCGGCGAACGCCAACGCCCAAGCTGGACCGTCGGGCTCCGGCGCTCAAAAGCGTCCCGCCGAGGACCTCGCGGTGATGTAACTCTTGTCTCCCTCTTCTCGATTCGCTACCTATGTTTTTCTGCTCTCGAAATATTCCGGTCGCTGATTTCTGACCGTGTTCCTCCCCTCGCATGTTTGTTCACGATATAGCGCTCCCCCTACCGCCGCCCGCCAAACCCCTCCCGATTGTTTCCGACCGATCAACCTCATCGAATGGTCCGCGGTGTTCAACATCGACCCGAAGATGTACGTGTGGGACGCCCGCTGCGCCACGATCCAAGCTTGGTGGCGGAAAATTTCGAAGGCCCAGAAGACGTGGGAGACGGACAAGAAGGGAGAATTCCCTACGCCTTCACTCGATCCGTCGATGAAGGCGTTGCGGTGTTCGACCGGGGCGTACGTTGTTCTGCCGAAAGAAGGTCCTTGGGCGTGGCCTCGTGAGTTTGCTTGCGTTCTTCTCCGTTCGAAATATTCCTGACGCTTTCTTTCTGTCGTTACAGTTCAGAGCTGGCTAGGCAAGGAGGAAGACCGAAAGGAGCTCCCGGTGAAGCCGACCCAGGAATTCGAGGACTTATGCAAGGTCGGCCGAACGGGAGAAATCGACCAGCAGGAGATCAACGCGTATCTTGTGAGTTTGTTTTGTATATTCTTCGAAATATTCCTGACGTTTTTTTTCTGACACTTTATTTCCAGGCTAAATTCAAAGGCGGCTGGAAGCTCATCTGCCCGCGCTGCAAGGAGGATTTCGGCGATTCCAACGTGGACGGGACCGATCTCCCGGTATATTCCGGCCCAAAGCAGCTCCAGATCGACTACATCGCCGACAACGAGCAGTCGGCCAAGGCGATCGACGAATCGCCCCTCATCATCGCGGCTCGATATGGACCGGTCGAAATTTGCCGTACGGCGCTTCCCCTCACGGCTGCGTCAGCGTTCGCGGCCTGCGGACCTTGCAAGACGGCGGGACACGGGTGCCAGCTAACGGTCGCTGAAGGTTGGGCGTTCGAAATCGACGACAAATCGGTCCCCGGCGTTCTTCGAGTCGCGAAGACAATTTTGCAGTTCACGCAAAATTTCTGGACGAGAAAGGCCGAGCGAGAAGAGGCAGGAGAAAAAGCGTTCGAAATTTTGCGAGAGATAGTTTGTCATCGCAAGACTGAGCGCGCTCCCGTTCCCGCCGCTCCCGTTCCCGCCGCCGCCGTCGAAGGTCAAGAGGCACCCGCCGCTGTCGCTCCCGTAGTAAATCCTACGCACGATTGCACGCCGGTGCAAGAGATCGTCGATCGTTTGGTCTGGCCGAAGAAGGAGAAGCCTGCGAACAAGGGCAAGCAGCGAGAGGAATAAACCTCTCGCAATATTTCTTTATATATATTTCTACGATTGTACGACGATAACGATAGCGACTCTCTTACGGCCTCGATATACCATACGTTTCAAGCTTGCTTATCACGCGTGAGAAGTTCTTCGAAATATTCCTTTCGTAACATTGCTATCGTAATATTACGTGTTCTTATTTCCACCTTTACCCCACAAAAATACCGCCTCTCTAAGAAAAATACCGCCCCCCTAACAGTTCTTTCAACATCTACCGAAGTCAACAAACATCTTGCAGATATCCTGAACGTATAGCTAATAGCTCGAAGATGACACGCACGAAACACCGAGCTCATCCGACCCCGTCGTTCCCCGTATCCTGCCTCGGGTTCACGGACGATACGACCCTTCTACTCGGAGGTGGTGGTGGACCTAGCAGAACCGGGATCAAGAACAAGCTGGTCAGTCAGAATTCGATGGAGCTACAAAAGCGAAGTACTGGTCTGAACGTCTGTCCGTCATCTCGCAGAAAATATGCACAGCTTCTCTGGACGGCAGAACATTGTCGGAAGTCGCCGAACACGTCTTTGAGCCGGGCGAGGATCTGCCGACGTCTATGGCCATCAACGTCGAGGTGCGTCTAGCTTGGATTCTTCCACAGGTCGAACATATCATATTGAATATTGATCGATATACTAAAACTTCTGCGTTTTCGTTTCGTCATTAACAGACAAAACAAGTCGTTGTTGGAGTCAACGCTCCTGAAACGACCATTAAAGCTAGCTCGCCCGGTCAAGGCAATGACCACTGTCGAGCGTTCTCATATGCCGATAACAAGTCAGTTCAGTCCTTGGCATACAAATCGTTCGAATACTGAAAAGAACCGCTGTCGGGTCAGGTTGGAGATGGTCAAGTCTACACAGACGATCACGGCTCCCTGGAATGACGATTATCCTTATCAGGCACGTGCGATCACCCATTCCGCTTCTCCCTCCCACCTTTCGCTTCTTTGTCCTTCTCCGCAAGACAAACAATCTGATCTCACCGACCTCTGCTCATTACCAAAAATACAGAAACTCACCGCCTTTTCCCCTCGACTAGACCTCCTCGCAGTGGGGACGACCGATATCGACGGCACCCAATCTACCGTCACCCTGTTGACTTATCCCGGGATGGACTTTGTATGGAAATGGGAGTCGACGGATAGCAAGATCGACGGAGAGTTGGTTGATATCGATTTCGCAGCCGACGGGTCGAGTGTGAGTGGAGCTGAAAGAGCAGACTGATACGCTATAAATGATGATATTGATTTTGGGTTGTCGTGTAGCTGGCGATCACAACGACGACGACGATTAACGTCTTCAATGTCACTTCTGCATCCAATGGGTCTAAAGAGGGGATCGAGCGGACCGCTTCGATACCTCTACCGACTCTCGGAGCTGATCCGGTCACCTTCCGCTCGGCAAAGTCAGTCTTGCTCATGAGTCATGGTCTTATTCCCCCGGGGCGACATCGCTGAGCAGTATCTCTCGCGAAACAGATTCAACCGACAACCTTCTCCCACCCCGACGATCCACGCGATCATTAATACTGATCCCAAACCTCTCCCGCGGGGTAAGGGTAAACGTCCGACCGTCTTGAAGAAAGGATATTGCGTCAACTTCAGCCTGGCGGAAGCTACTGGGGATGAGAAGGCAAAGACGCTAAAGGGCAAGTGGGAGATGACCGGAAAGAGGGAGGTCGGGAACGTTCCGGTCAGCGCTTTTGAGATCAGGTCAGTTTGAGGGTTTTGATTTGCTCGAGACAATGTATGACACTAATAGGGGGAGCGCGTGTGGTCCGAATACAGCGCGGATGGGATGGTATTAGCCTATGCTGCAGCGGACTATTCCATCGGTCTTCTGGACGCCCGGACACTGGCCGTAAGTGCCACAGGCGGGATGATAGCTCTTGCACAATGGAACGGCCGAATGATCTGACTGTTTGCATTGGTCTCCGCTATCAGCCATTACTGAAGATCCTCCATGCGCATTCGTTTGCGATCACCGCGCTCGCTTTTAACCCGTCTGGCAACTTGCTGGCCAGTGCCGGGGCTGATAACACGGTCAGGCTGATCGTCATTCCAGCCAGCTTTGGGAGCTGTAAGTCACCTGGAGCCTGGCTTAATTGACCATGGTCGATCAGCTGACAATATCCTCGATAATGACGATGCTTTTAGCTACTATGATGATCGCGGCGGTCTTGATCGCCCTGATGTTGGCTCTCGCCGCTTATTTCTTGCAAACCCGATAGACTTTCGGGTTGCTCTTGCCCTTCAATAGAACGACATACGATAATCTGATTATCCAGTTGTAATAAACAACATGAGCTAATGCGTATCTGGTTCGAGAGAGAAGGTCTCATCATGTTGTGGATAGATCACGTTCGGGTCTTCTTACCCCGAAATGAGAAGAAAGGCTCAAATGCGATAAGTAGGAGTACGGGTAGACGCGTGCGTGCTATGAAACACGATCAGACCGCGATTCATGAACTCAAGGTGGGGGTGCTGATCAAGTTGCAAGTCATGTGATTATCATTTCGCTTTGACAGCGGCTCTTTGATTGAGACGACTTTGGGTAGTAGTTACACCCCTAGGCACGATCCACCCGCTCATCAAGAAGACGTCTTTGGTAACAAGCGGAAGATTGAGTCGGGGAGTAGTGACGACAATGTCTTCAGGAAGAAGCAGAAGACAGGAGAGAAGCAGGCTGTCAAAGTGATCTCCACAACTCCGCGGGCTTTCATACAATTCTTTGTCCTCTCACCATTTGCGATGTTCCGCGTACACAGTGCCGCGCCTTCGACGTATCTTTTGACTTCTAAAAGCTCTGTAATGTATAGCCTTCCAGGTATGACGAGCTACTGACTCGAATCCTTCTGGTTGCCGGTCATCATGTTTCATCATTCATTCCTGAGCGCTGTCTGTTGTCAGTAATCGAGAAGTCGGAAGGGTGCAGATGACAGCGCCGATGTGAAGACTCACTCAAGCTTGCCCCCACTGAGATTCACAACTATCAATGATAGTTATCAGTGTAGGCGTAGCTATAGGTAGCAGTGTGATTGGACGCATTGGCGATGATAGACCCCTGCACGTGCACTTGGCTTGCCTGGTCGATATGAAGTTGATGAGACTAAGGCAAGGCCTAGCGCTGACCTGCCTGTGATGGCGGCGGTAAATGAATGAACGAAATTCATGCCGCAAAGACAGTTCGGGACGAGAATTATTGTTGGTGATCGCATCTACAAATCACATCATTCTATGGGTACACGGGAATTGGATCTCTAAAAGTCATCAAAAAGTTTGCTTCTTTTCACCTATTTGGCCGAGATGAGCGAAAAGGTTAGACACTGTCATCTGCTGCATGTAGGGGACAGGTAAACTCACGAGCAAAGTAAGCGTTGGCCTCGCCCGACAAGGCGGCATCGTCCTCTTCGCCGTGCTCGACGGGGATGGTCTCGCCCTCCTCGTGAACACGAGACATGGCGACCTGGTACTCCGCCCTGAGCTCGGCCATCTTGGCCATCCTGTCGAGATCGGCATCGTAGGCGAGATGACGCTTGAGGACGACTCGTTCCCAGACGGACAGGTGTCGAGGGTGGACGGCGATTCCGCAGTACTCGGCGGCTCGGCCGGCTCGGACGTACGCCCAGTATCGCTCCTGTTCCTGCATGTCGAGACCGGTAGTGTCGGGAAGGAAGATCCAAGTGCCGATGGCTCCGGCGAGACAGAACCAGTTGACGATCCAGAACGAGGTTCGAGCGTCTGTAGAATCCAGAACGAATACGATCAGTTGGCTGACAGGCGTATCACGAGAACAACGAACATGAACTCACCGATATAGTTGTAAATGATAGCAGGGAGTAAAGCACCGAGTTTACCCATGGCGGCCGAGAAACCGTGCGCGGTAGCCCGGGTGGCGATGGGGAAGACCTCGGCGGCGACCAAGAAGGTGGTACAGTTGGGCCCTTGTTGGAAGAAGGACGACAAAAAGTAGATGGCTTGGAAAGCGTGGATGTGGGCCGGGGTCTGGAGGGTGTCGAACAGGATGGCGGGGAGGAGGAAGAGGATAAAGTTGGCGATGAAACCGACGATCTGGAGTCGCTTCCTGCCGACAAGCTTGTGGTCGATGAGCAGAGCCGAGGTGTAGTACCCGCAAAGCCCGACACCACAGTTGAGCAGGTTCCAGTTCCAACCGACGATGACCGAGTTGTTACCGGGGCTGATGACCTTGATGAAAGACGACTGGAAGAGCTTGTTTCCGTAAAATCCGAAATCGTTGGCAAACCAAGCAAAGGCCGTGGCAAAGATTCGACCTCCAAAATGGGTGAAGACGAGTTTGAGCGACTTGACGTCGTATCCGGACTGGTTGACCCTGGCGTTCTTCTTGCTCCTCATCAAGGCCGCGCTCGAGTACTGCATCTTGTAATAACGGTAGTAGGCCAACCAGAGGGTGGGCAAGGCCATGATCCCGAACTGGACCCTGAACGTCCACTGAGCAGAGACGGCCGAGTAAGGAGGGTTACCGGATCCGTGGTGGAAGCACAAGAGGAGGATGATGAGGACGGCCTGGTTGAAGAACTGACCCCAACCCTGCATGAGAAAGGCGAGGACGACGTTTCGACCTCGGTGAAGCTTGTCATCCCGGCTGTTGATGGCTCGACCGCCTCCCTTGGCCTTGTACTCGAGGGCCGTCGTCGACGTCATCGGGTACCTGTCGAAGGGTCGTCGTCATGTCAGCGGATCCGGTCTTGGTCACCAAGAATTTCACAAGACCGCACGACACTCACTCTCCACCGACTCCGATACCGTAGATGAACAAGCTCCAAGCGTACATGATCGTCCACCCGCTCAACGACGTCCCCCACATGGCGGTCAACATGACCAACCCGAGGAACATGATCAACGCGTCCTGGACCAGACCGAATTTACGACCGATCCAGTCTCCCTCGAAACCGACGGCGACCTGGCCGACCATGATTCCGATGATCTGGAGGTAGGTTTGCTGCGGGTCGTTGTGTTGGCGTTTTTCAGTGTCTTGTCGCGCACGGGGTTGAGAAACCGACTCGACGACTCACAGCAGCGATCCAGTTCTTGTCGCAAGTCCTGTGCCTGCTCCAACAGTCGGGCCAGACGGCCTTGAAGAGCGGAGTCAAGTTTCCGATGGAGAACAAGGTGTAACCCTCGGTGAACAGACCGAAACCGTTGAGGACGTATCGTCTGTGGAAGAGTAGTATCGAGGTAGAGTGGTGTGGGGTGGGTAAGCCGGCTGTTCGACTGAGGTCCAGACCAGCTATTTGACCCAGTACTCACCGAAAGTATCCGGCGACGGGGCTCAGAGGATCCGCCTTGGTCATCCTGCCCAACTCTTTCAACTCCCTCTTGGCCTCGTCGTTCATCTGCTTCATCGCCCACCTCGTCCTCTGTGCCCTGGGCAAGTCGGCCCAGTAGACCCCATCGACATAACTATCGCTGGGTGCCAGTTCTTCCCACAACGGGTGGGTGGGGTCGATCTTTTCTCCGGAAGAGGCAGATGGGTAAGAAGCGGGGTTTTCGATCTTGTCGAGTTTGGCAGCGGGAAGGTTGTTGGACGTGGTATAATCTTCGTGAGATTTGGAGTGGGTGTGGGCTCCTTGGGGGATGTGCGACATGGGAACGTTGTCGCTCTGGCTCGACGACGAAGAGTCCATGGTCGAAGAGAAGATAGGGGTAGTGGGTGGTGGTGGTGGAGATGTGGGAGAGGGAGGTGGCTCTGAGGAAAGGAGAGGTGCTGTTTTCTCGAGGCTCAAGGATACCTTGATCTGATCCTGATCCTGACTTTATATGGCGAGCTGCTCCCACCGGACTCCCACTTTTTCCTCCTAGTCGCTAGTCGTCGTCGCCCCCAGCCAGAGTGCTCCTCGCCTAATTTTGGCATCGCCCCCCGCGCGCGCGCACACTCTAAGCGAGAGAGAAATTCACGTGAGGACCTGGCGAACGGGACGTTTCCTTACCGGACATGTCCGTCCACGTTCAAAGCGTCGTTTCATCCTGGCTCCAAACGTCGTCAAACGTCTCGATTCCTAATTCCCTACGTCGTTCGTATCAACGTGCGTGCTGTTCTCAGACGCAGATCCATCAACGGCGTCGTCATTCGTGGTGAGCTTGCCGAAGGTATGTGGTGCGAGTTGTGCGGATATCGAGCGAATACGTTTGCCCGTGCGCTTCTCGTCGAAATTTTATTCGAGTTTGATTCGACCCGTTCCCAAAGATAGCTCACTCTGTCGGCTCTTTATTAGTACCTCGTCATCTCTCAGAATGCCGAAGCCGATCACATGGATGTTCCAACTTTCCGTACGTGCAATTGCGCTGGGTATTGCGACGTCGAAAGTCGCGAAACTCTTGGGATCAAACGAACGTTTCATCGAGACGCACGTTCGTCGGATACAAAAGCTGATCTTCAGGCACGGACAACCGGAGGTTTTCGTGTCGACGCGGGCCGAGATCGTCGGGGTTGTTGCTCGGTGATGTCGGAAGCGGATTCTCATCCGGCCCGGACATGATCTCTCGTAGTAACACGTCATTGGTTTCACGCTACAAAAATGCTCGAACCCGGGGAATTAATTGATATGGCTCGCCGATGATGATGACCATGATGATGATGATCTCGACTGATACATCCTGTTCAACTGTACTCCCGTTCACCTCCTAGTCAAGCTAGTCAGCTACTTACCACCAACCTCTACATCACAATGTCACGAACAACAAGATCGTCCAAATCTACCGCCCCATCCCCGGCGCCGTTATCCCACATCCATTCGGCCAAAGCGATGGAGACGCTTGAAAAGGCAGTCCAGGAGACCGGGATCGAGGTCGATGAGGATGCTCTACCCTCGCACGTAGCCACGGGAGGTGATGTCGAAGAGCACGAAGTAGTGGCCGAAAAGGGAAAGGGGAAAGGAAAAGCAAAAGGGAAAGGAAAGGCGACCAGCGAGGATGAGGAAGAGGCAGAACGAGAACGAGCGGTAGAGGCTGAACAGGCGGAAGTGGGCAAGAGTGGGCAGTCTGGAAGGGTCTCGCCCGAAGAGAGGCTGGCCAAGTTGAAAGAGTTGCGGATGAGGATGGTAAGCACCGCTGCGTTGAATATCGCTGCAACCTTACTTATACGTATGTCGCATCTCAGAACCAATCCACGCAAGCCAACCGTAAATCCCTGATCGAGGATCACCAGAAATCCAAGACCACGCAACGAGAACTCGCCCGACTCACCAAGCAAAAGAAGCTCGCCGAGAATCTCAGGGAAAAGATCGACAACGAGGAGAACGGGGTAGATGGGGAGCGCAAGAAGAATTGGGGCTGGACGATCGAGCAGAATCAGAGGTGGTTAAAGGCCCAGGAGGAAATCGCCGAAAAGGAGAAAGAGGAGTTTGACGGTGAGTTTGGGTCTGCGAGATTCGTTCAAGCTGCACATGCTAAATGAGCGACCGCGGGGCTGGCTCATCTGCTTCACCGTAGACGCCGACACAAATGCTCACAAACTATACAACAAGAACACGCACCAGCTCAAGCCCGACCTGATCGCCTATAACCGTCAGAAAGAACTCGCCCTTGGTCTCGCTCCCGGTACGATCGTACCCGTCGACGCCAAGTCTGTCGAAGGTTCCAGCGTCGTCACCAGTGTCAACGCCACAGGCAGTCGAAGGAAGATCGTGCAGTCGAGCAAGGCTTTGAGCGCGATGGAAGATCTGTATAGGGATGCGAACACGTTGAGTTATGGGGATAACAAGGCGAGCGACGACGCCATCGATCGGGTCGTAGGCAAGATCAACGCCGAGTGAGTCTTGCCGTAAAAGCTTGTCATCATTTCTGGTCTAGCACGCTGACAGCCACGAATCAATCTGGACTTGTAGCACGGATAAGCGGAACAAGGCCATGCGCAAGCGAAAGAAGGGCGAAGATGACGGCGGAGACGTCACTTATATCAACGATGCCAACAAGGTGTTCAACAGGAAGATCAATCGGTACTTTGACAAGTACACCCAAGAGTCAGTGTCAGACTCACCTCGCCTTGTGATTGCATGTGGCTGACCAGAGCTTTGCTTCTTTCGGTACAACCTTGCCAGGATCCGAGCCAACTTTGAACGAGGGACGGCGTTATAGACGTTTCGAGATGAAGAGCGAAGCCTGGCTGGAAGTCGATATTCTGGCTTCGTTTTGGCGAGGGGTGGACATGCTATCTCAGCTCGTTCTCGATCAGACTTTCGAAGCGAATCCGTTGTATGCTTACTTCTATGACGACCTCGAGATTTCGCCTGTGAAATCCATCTACTTGGTGGCAAAACTATAGATCCACAAAACGGCCCACGAAATATTTTGGGCCATTTATTCACGTTACAGCGAGACCTCTAGGCTGATCAATACCTCTTGGATCTCCCCAGTTTTGGTGTAGAACTGCTTACATAGCCAAGGGTATCTCAATGGGCCAAAGATCAGAGCAGTAGCATCGATATGGCAGGAGTTGTTGACTCGCCCCCAAGATGGCTCAAAACACGCTCATCAGTCCTGGGCGTCGCGCTGATCTTGCGCTCCACCAAGCAACGTGCCATCATCTCGCATTAAGGTAGAGGTACAACTGTAGCTCGTCCACCCATCTCATCTCTTCAACCTGTACTCTAGTATACTACGGTGTACACGACAGCCTCGAGGTGAAAGCAGGAGGCAACCTCGACAATCATGTCCAACACCACTCCCACCCGTCGTCGTTCCAGCGGTGCGGAACGACCTCATCAGCTCGCTGGCCTTGGGATCCGCAACTTTCCCTCGATGGACGTTCGAGACGACCCAAGTTCGATCCAGACGGCTGGGAAGAATGATAGTAACGGACAGGACCAAGAGGTCGTGATGCCTACAGGGCTCGGGCACGAGCTTAGGTATTCGGGCGATACACCGTCACCAAAAACGAGGTACAGCCCTCGGATGGGGTCAGGATCAGGCAACTTCACAACGATGCAGACGCCACCTTCACCAGGGATGCTCTACCCTTTCGCTCAACACGGATCGAGCTTGAGCAAGTTCAAAACTCAGTCTCAGGTCCCGTCCTCACCTCGCCTGCCGTATGACCACGAGAACAACCATCCTTCAACCCCGACACCTAGGTTCGGGGGGTCGTTCGGGAGCACACCGGGAGCGAGCTATTCCCCCGATTCTTCACCAGGACGACTCAGCCAGCCGCTGAGCCGCCGTCCGACGTTATTGAGGACTCCACCTACGGATCATCCCACGGGCGAGGTCAGGCATCTTACCGGGGACGAGGGAGACGAAGAAGAGGAATATGACGAACACAGCCGGGAAGAGGCCGAAGAGGGGGATTCCATCTTGCCAGACTTGCCCATGTCACCGGCTAGGTTCGCCCTGAGCAGTCAGTTCCCGAAATACGATCCCGGTCACGGCTTCGATCAGGGTTTGAGCAGCAACGTCTTCGGAGGAGACACCGTCGACCCGCTCTCACCTAGGTTCGGTTCGTATGATCCTCCTCTCACACCGAGGAATTCTATCCCAAGCATCCATTCACGTACCGGATCGATAGGCGGTGAACCTAGGATTCACGCTAGGAATTTGTCCTTGTTCTTCCCTCAACCTGGAGCCGAAAGGCCCGCGCCAGGTTCTCCTCGCTTAAAAGGTGGAGAGGAAGAGGCCCCGGTCACGGACATCTCGGGGAGGACAAGGAGAAAGGTCGGTCTAGGCGGGGATGGGTCGTTCAGTTTCGGAGGAGGATCGAAGCCAGGCGAGATGGGACCGCCTGGGAGCCCTAATCCGAAAGTCGTCGGTAGGAGGGGGCATCATGTGAGTTGCTCGCTACGGCTCTCCCTGGTCAACCGGAAAGCAAAAGCTCATCGTTGCTATATTGGGTGATGCTATTGGCCTTTCTTAGCACAAACACTCGCTGTCGCACAACTTTTTCTCGTTTCTCGATCCCACGGTGACCAACCCCAACCTGGCCAACCTCGACGCTTCCTCGGGCGAGCCCGCTCTCATCCCAACATCAGCTACTATGCCGACTTCCGCTTCAGCGGCTCCTCGACCGATGGCAACGACGCATATCGGCGGGACTCGTTCCTCCCCCAATCTCGCGGCACCGATGACTGCCCCGCTCCTCCCCTCGCCCATCAGTAATCCCAAGGCGTCCAAATCGTGGCTAGCCCAGATCTTCGACATGTCCCCGAGAGCACAATTGACACTCGGGTTTGGAGTGTTCGAATTCTTTCTCGGAGCTACGATCTGGGTCGAAGGACAGGCATTGGGGAGTGTTGGGTTGACGGGACTGGGATATTTGGTCGTCTTTGATGCGCTGGGCGTTTGGGTCAAGCTGTGGGGAGAGGTCCTGAAGACGGGCGAGGGATCGACCAGTACGGCGGAGAAGCCTTTCGGGTGAGTTTTTCCGGCTTTTGCTACTCGCTGTTCGGTGTCTCATCGGGGTTATTACGACAATCAGCTCGCACCGCAAAGAAGCGCTGCTATACTTTGTCCAATCGATCTTTTTACTATTCTCGGCCATGTACATCGCCAAGGAAGCGCTCGAGATTGCGCTCATGTCTGGAGCAGGTTCGGAAGGTGGACATGGGCATGGTCACGGACACGGACACAGTCATGGTGCTGAAGATGGCCACGAAACGTCAGTAGCAGGTCGGACATCATCGGAAGACCAGTCATTCACGACCTGCCAATTTTATAATTCCAAATGCCAGCGAGTTGCCTTCTTGGCTTCTCGTTTCAGCCGCGCTTGCGACTTTTCTGTCTGCGACCGTTCTTCACAACCACGCCAAGCTCGTCGAAGGTGAGGCACAAGCTCGTCGGGCCTCCTGGAGCGTCTGCTGATCACCAGCCTTCGATCGCAGCTGTCGGACCCGCCATCATGCCCGTTGGACGCAATGCCAACAAACCCGCACGGACGGGAGAAATCGGTCGATACTTTGACATGGTCGACATGTTTTTGGCCAATCCGTTCTCTCTAGCCATCGTTTCGTGTATCTCGATCTTTCTCTTTGGCAACTTCGGACTGGCTTCGTAGGTCGCATGCCAAAGCTGTGGATAGGCCTTATTTGCTGAAACTCTCGATCTCATAGCCATCAAATGCCCAAGGTGGAGCGGATCATGGCTTTCGTCGAGGCTGGCGTCGCTTTCTGGCTCGCATACCCCTCCAGCGTGGTCTTCGGTCAAGTGCTGCTTCAGACGGCACCACCAGAGGAGACCGTTCAGATGCTGGCTTTCAGGAAGGCTATCCGAGACGTAAGCCCGGGATGTCGATCAAGATGTCGCTTGCCTTGCTGAAATCATCTCACCTGCAGATCAAGGACCATCCTTCCGTCTTACGAACTAATGCGCCACACATCTGGCAGCTTACCCCTCATGACCCTCGAACACTCTCGACAGGCCGAACGCCTGGATCGACACCAGCGCAATCGCGGCGACCGTCAATCGATCGATCAGCCTCAACCTTTTCGCCTTTTGGCATGTCCCGGATGTCGACCGGAGTCCAAACGCTAGCATCTCTCACTACGCAACCATGTGTGCTCGTTGCCGAACTTACCGTCTGGGTCCGCGACGACCTCGAGGACAAGGCGATCCTGGACCTGACACGATATTGCTATGAGCGCTGCTCTGAAGCTGTACGAGCGAAGCACGGAAGACGAGCGAACTTGATGCACGGAGATGCGAGTGGCGAGGTCACCATCTCCGTCAAACGAGAAAAGGAGCTGTCAGAAGAGCTTGCAGCTGCGGAAAGCGCCAAACACGATCACCACCACCACGATCATCATCACCACCATGATCACCATCACCACCACGGTGACCACGACAACACTCACGAGCATCACCATCACGAGCATGACGAGAAGAAGGATCACGACCACCACCATCACGACAGTTGTAGTCATCGTCATTGATCGCATATGCCTCATGTTGTAAATCCGTATAATGTCCCGTCGATACCAGGCTTCTTATGTATCAATCAAAATTTGTTCCGTATGTGCTTCGACCATCACATCAGAGCGTCCCTTTCAAGCCAGGCTCCTGATGAAAGCACGACCTTGGGCTCTCGCGAGTGCTACGAATAAGAATAAGAAGACTTGTCAGCATCGAATTGAACCAAGCTATATGTCTCGAATTTACGGGTAGGAACGGCGTTCCCGGCGAGAAGGCAGAGCTAAGGAGACCTTGTGAGCGTAGTTTCTCCCAGAGCGATAAGTCTCAATCGCCGGTACATACGAATTCATACTCCTTGATCAGCTCCTCATTGCTCAACGGCTTCCATCGTAATTGCACAAGATCAGACACTCCTTGCGCTCTAAGCCTCTCTCGAGGAGTGAAGAGCCGTTGTTGCTGTAGGACGGAAACGCAGACATGATCAGCGCGACTGAGCAGCATCTGGGCGAACGAGATTGCAAACCGAGAAAGAGAGGAGGGCACAGTTGAAACTACGGCTCATTGACGTACCGTAGGATGCGCTACAATCGACCCAGTCGTCACGCAAGGGAAGGTGCCCGGTAGCCGATGTCTCTTGTCCTTATCATTCTCAGCCAGAATCTTGGTGTAAGTCGATTGGGTGGGTATGTGACAATACTGTACAGTGTGGTTCGCGCATAGACGGAACACTTTGTTAGCGATTTGCGTAAGGCGCGCGTTCCGTCCGGGCGCGGACATACCTGCAATGCGACCCGAGGCTCATCTCTATATTCCCTCATCATTGCTTGATAGTTATTCAAGGGCCTGGTCTTGTAGCTCTTGACCCCATGATGATATCCATAGAATTGTGATCTAAAGTCCCCGGAGAACGCAGAGGTGCTTGCGCCGAGAATATCAGGAAGATCGGATATAGCGTCGTACTGCGTAACGTAGTATAAGGGCCCATGAGCTGGAACCGGCTGGAGCTCGTATCGGCGGAGCTTGATGATACCAGACGATCCAGAGTAATGCGTCGGTATAGGGGGGGCCGGCAATGGAAGACCCATTTTCGCCGCCCAGATGAAGAGACGTCGCCTTGATTGGGGGGTTCCGTACGCGGCTGCCTGATGCACGTTGATCGTATATTGATATCTACGGGTCCGTAGTTAGCCGACTGTCGAGCAGATACGAGTGCAAAAGACTTACCCTAGATCGACCAAAATCCGCAAAGCAATGCAAATTATCTCCGCTTGTTCGCCGTTTTCGGTGCCATTACGATGATAGAGCATCCCGTCCACGCATTCAATCAAGAGATGCGAAGCACCTGAGATCTGGAGAAGGCTCAGAACCTCGAAAATGATGCCGATCCGAGGGTCATCCGCATGTGGATGCCTGTATGTCGCAGTACCATCGAATATGAGGACTCCTGACGAATATACGATGCGAAGTCTGAGAAGATACGAGCAGGACGGACGACTCACAGGTTGGCCCTTGAGAAAGGTTGGCATGGAACCCCCGCTTGTACGACGATGTATTTGAACCTCTCCAACTGCGCTCGGATCTTCAACGCCCCCCAGTTCTTGGCCGCAAAGGCGACTCCCTTGTCGACCACGACGGTAGCTGGGTGGAGCCGCCCGTATTGCTCCGCGATATCGGTGTCGTTCTCCACGGCGAGTGGGATCGAGGCCCTAGTGGTATCGGCGACCCCCATGCTGAATCCACCGATACCGGCACAGCAGTCGATGATGCCCGTCTGAGAGCCGATATAGCGGGCGCGTTCTTCTCGTTCCACGCAAGTCTGAATCAAGGCAGACTGATCGACGAGAGGTGCGTCTTGTCTCATATCTGCAATGAAACGAAGTCGAACGCCTTCAGCTAAGCCAGGAAGCAGACAGTTCGAAAGGCCTACTCTGACTCACTGTTTAACAGATCCGAACGCCCCGAAAACTGCCTCCTCTTCTCCTCGTTCTGATACAGGTAATTGAGGTCGGCGGCATCCCCATCCATCAGACAAAAGATGTCTTCAGACTCATCAACGAATCGCTTTCCGATCCAGAAGTCACTCAAAGATGACGTCGGTTGGAGTGGTCGCAGCGCGGCCCCAAGTCCTTGTACCTTGCTCAGACCAATGAAGTTGATCTTCTTGTCGATTGCCTCTTCGATTTCATCGACGTGGACAGCCGAGGTGTTCTTTACATAAAAGAGCTTCTCATCCCCGCGGAAGATGGCGGACTCTTTGACTCCCTCCTGCTTGATGAAATCGTCCCAGCGTGAGAGCGGAAGTACGAGGAGGGGAGAGGAAGCCCTCTTGACGATGCCTATCTCGCAGGGGTCTTTGGAGTCTGCACCGGCGCGGCGAAAGACGACGAAATCGTTGACGGCGAACCGTTTGGGCTTCTTGTCCTTGATGACGCAGCCGGGGCAACCGAGAGAGTCGGACGGGATGCCAACTAGGCTGTTGGTAGCAACGATGAGGCTAGACGGTAAACAGTAATCAGCAACTGTGATTCTCAAGCCGAGATTGTATTATCTGAGAAACGTACCGGTGAGAACAGATGTAGGAGTTCTCCGCGCGGAGCTGGGGATGAAATCCAGGTCGAACGTGACCATCGACAATGTCAAGCTTCTCAACCACCTGGTTGAAGTTGATATCGCCGCATGACTCGAGCTGGAAAAGACGCTTGGGATGGGCGTGGTTCTGAAGCATACCATCCCGCTCGTGTCTCCAGAAGTGTAGATGCAGAGACGGGTTGGGTCTGACTCCGGCGCCGACCCTCGCGTCAATCCTCTTGACTTGTCCAAAGACCCGTCCCTTGCAGCGGACGACGTCGCCGTTTCGAATATTGAAGACATCCCCATCCTCCTTGGTATACTTGAGCGTGACCTGTCCGTCCTTGTTCAGGATCCTGCACTTGGGAGTAGCCTCCTGCCTCAGCCTGCGATGCTCCCTGTCGACACACTCGACGCCGACCCATTTCTCAGGTAAAGGCTTGTGCCCCGCCGGATCCCTGTAGATGAGCTGGTCGGCGCCTATGTAGTCCTTGATATATCGACCGACGTATGGTGTGACCTGGACGGCCACAACCTTTTGGTCCTTCTTTTGAGCTTTGGTGGCCCCGGCGAAGTAGTCGGCGATGTTCTCGTTGTAAAGGTTGGCGGCGGCGGGCATCTTGAGCGGGTTTTCGCGCGAGAAGAAGAAGATCGAGGATGTGAAACCGTTTCAGGTCGATATGGAACGTGCTTCGATAGGCTCGAGTGCAAAGTGATACGGATGTGTGATAGAGCGAGGAAGTAGAAGATCGGTTCTAGAAATTCATGCTCGTCAGACTTATATATACAACATCGATTCATGCTTCTCAGCTCCTCGGAACCCAAAACGATCTGCGAGGAAGGTCAAAAGACGGCGATCGATTGTTCTTTTGTCCGAACCCTCGATCGACGATCCGGCCATACGAACGATACTCGAGAGGCCGAGATTTACGAACTACAAAGGCAGTGTTGCGTGCGATGAAGCATGATTCTTCGAAGCTGAACTTTTCGAGTGGGAGATTGGCATCGAACGCAACGCATGCAATATTCCGGAATTTGGAATACTCATGTCAAATCGGTAAACGGGAAAACAAGATTTTGAACAACGTACGCCTTGTCCTACAGAAATTGCTACTCCTCCTTGTCTCTACCATCCCATCACAGACCCGAACATCCTACTCCTCGACCTCGTCATCATAAGGCCTCATCCCCTCTCCGGCCTCCTCTTCCAACCTGATCCTGCCCTCCCTCTCCTTCGTCTTTTTCCAGGCCAAACCTCCGACGAGGGCGACGGGGTGCAAGACCAGCAGGATGACGATGGTGACCACCTCGGGGGTAGGCTTCCTTTGGTTCCCGAGGAGGATGATGAGGAGGGTCCACATTCCTCCCAAAGTCGCCCAAAAGTCCAATCGCAATGCAACCCAGACAGCGAGAGCCCCGTGCACAAGGAAGAGCACGAGGACGGCTTGCCATGTCTTTGCATAAGGGTTCTTGAGATCTGGGAGCGAGAGCCAGTTGAGGGCGATGAAACCGTTGTGCAGCCAATCGAGGGTGAAGAGGATGACGAAAAAGAGGGTCATGGGTGCGTGGATGAAGAGGGTGTCTAGGGGTCGGTGGCGGGGGGAGGAAGGGTGGGAGAGGAGGGTGAGCTGAATAGACAGCCTGTGGCACGTGCAATGATGGAATTGTTAGCGAGAAAGGTTCGGATCGTAATACATGCTGGTGGGGAAGGCTCACAAGTTGAGGACGTTGAGGATGACGATGATCTCGGATACCATGAAGAATTTCAAGGTCTATATGTCGTACAGCACAGACGTCACGATCGCATGACCATCGAGTAATGTCAGCTTCTAGATTCCCCGGAATCTTGGCTATACACAAACAGACAAGCGGTACTCACCCAAGCGACGGCCCAAGCGGCTTGAAGCCAGTTGGCAATGGCGAATCGGAGCCCGACGCCGTGAACGAGGGTGTTCTAAGAGGGTTTTCACAAATGGAAATGAGATGCCGTTGAGATGGTTGAAATTGGATAGGAGAGATTGCGAGTGGTTCGGCGCGAAGAAGAGGAAAGGCAAGAACGTGTTCAGCGCCGTGTCTCTCGAACCCAAAGTCAGGACCAGAGACGCTGAAATCGACTCACCTTGGTCTCATCCTTCCTCGCAGTGACCAAGATCAAACAGAACCCTATCTGTAGCGCATACACGACGATCCAGTAGAGACCCAAAAGGATGGCATTGGGACTCAGGAGGGTGGGGTATTGTTTGTTTATCTCGGCTGCGCGATACGAATAGGAACGGCGATAAGGGTCAACAGGAAGAATCAGACGAGGGGAGGTAGCAGGATACACTCACCGAGACCAGGCTTGACGGCCAATGCGCAGACGAGGTTGCTACCGATCGTCATCAACAACGAAAGCGGGGTGGCGATCTGAAGCCTGACGAGCATCATCGACCGGTGCATCTCTTCCTGGGTAATGATGCCCGTGGCGTCCATCGGCGGGTCGTAGGAGGATGGCATGATGACAGAGTATGTACGGCTGTCTCTGTGGTAGTGAGAAGCCTAGATGTGATGCTATCAACGATATGACATCTGCCAACACGAGAGAAAGAGGTTCAAAGTAGGTTCGAGCTGTACAAGTCGATCCACCCAAGGCCCATGACGTCGAAAGCACCGAAGGGGCGGAAGCATTTTGAGCGGAGGATGATGGCATCGGGAAAGGAGAACGCATATCGGAAGCTAATCATGCGATATCACGTCATACGAGAGCTGCCGCCTAGCTTTGAACATCTGGACCGTTCCAGTACATCCATCGACTTGGTGCTTGGTGTCAGCACGTATCTATTCGCTAGACTCCTATAATTGACCAAGACCAATCGTTCCAGCTCCTATCTCTCTTCGAGATGTCGAAACGAACTCACCCTGACAGCGGCCCCTCCAAGCGAACCCGTTTCGCATCCCCTTCCCACCTCGCCGAATCCTCGACCGATTTCCTGCAAGACGACCTCGATGTCAGTACCACCAACTCGAAGAACGCCCGGAACAAGGACAGACGATCGTTGAAGGATGCATCCGGGTACGAGTCGGACTCTACCGATAGCGAGGGGGAGGGAGTGGTACCTTCTCGGAAGAAGAAGGGAAAGGGAAAAGATGATGACGAGGACGAGGACATGTTTGGCGGGAGTGATGATGAAGAGGAAAAAGACAAGGATAAGAAGAAGGACAAGGGGAAAGAGTTTCTAAACCTGACGGATATCGAAGGGCAGGATTTCGGACGGAAAAAGGGAAACTACGTCGGAGAAAAGGACGACGACGATGATGACGACGACGACATCGATGGAAAAGGCAAACGCAAACTCGACCTGGACTCCGACTACGACTCGGAAGAGGAAGCCCTCAAAGCCGCTCAGGGAACAGGCTTGGACGGACCGATGGCCGCAGAACTTACCGCCTTCAACATGCGTTCCGAACTCGGCGAGGGACGTATGACGGCCGACGGCGAGAGTTATAGCGTCAACGATCGGGATCCCAACGACCAGTACGATCGATGGCTAGAAGGGACCGACCGAGCGGCGGTGAGGAAAGCTAGGAGAGCAAAGAGGGAGCAAGAGAGGATGGAACAAGAACGCGAAGCCAAGGAGATGGAGGAGAGTACGAATGGCGGGAAGAGGGAAAAGGAGGAGAGGTTGATGAGAGAGATGATCGTGCTCCTAGAACGAGGAGAGACGGTATTGGAGGGTCTGCAGAGGGTTGGGGCAGAGTTGGAGAAGCAGAGGAAACAGGCAGTCGAGGGCGATTCGAAAGAGAAGGGAGGGAAGAAGAAATTGACGTGGGCGGAAAAGCAACGGGAGAGGAAGGCCGTTTTGCAGGGGACTACTGCGGCAGCATCGGGAGCGGGATCGAACGATATGCAGGTCGACGAGTGAGTTTCGCCGAGCGACTATCCGTCCTTCACCATCTGCTTGCTGTCTGACCAGCTTTGCTCTCCTGCACCTGCGACCTCGTCGTACCGTAGATCCCCGGAACACCTGCCAGAAAACCCCTTTGCCCGCCTATCCACCCTGATCTCTACCCTGACCTCGCTAGGTCACCTGGACGTCTACAGTATGACGAGAGAGTCTCTGCAAAGGATGTTGCCTGCCGAAGCTCCAGCGTCAGTCAAGCCAGAACAGGAAGCCAAGGTGGACTTGAGAGCGTTCGAATATAGGTTCTCGAAAAAGTATCTCAGCGGGTTGGATGCTGCTCGACGTCCTGTCGAACGGGAAGTCTTCGGTCAGTCGCCCATCCTTTTCGTCCTCCTATTTTCACTCTGCTGACCATGTCTCGCTTCCCTTTTGCGCAGGCCCGTTCCCGGCACAAGCGCTTCTGAGCTGGAAAGCATCGGGCGCGTTCGGGGGAGAGTCATGTGAGAACATCGAATTGAGGGTGAGAGGGCCACAGGGACCGGGAGAGTGGGGGGATTGGAAGACGGTGTTTGAGGCGGGCGGATGAGGTGGCAACGAGAATGCTGGAGATCCTGGGCTGGTCGGGAATATGACTATGAGTGAGAATGATAGATAATAATACGATGCAACGATCTGAGCGAATTAGGCTGGGCACCTAGCTGCCTCGCTAGCTTCGTCATCCTTGTTTTGAGATCACGTGATTCTGAACCGGCTTCGACCGATCACAGCTTAGCAGCCTCCCCTTGCATGAGCTTCTCAAGAGTATCAACCTCTTGAACTTTGCGTGTTCTCGTCTCGTCGCTTGAACTTGGAGCACTCCATTAGCCGTCAGTCGAACATATTCCATCCAATCGCATAGTCAATTCGAATACTATAGCGATAACCTTTTAAACGCTGGAAATACATAGCTAAGATCTCCATGCCTGGCCCGAATCGCCTCGTCTCGCATCATCGGTATCTTCGCAAGGTAGACCAACAATGAGCGCTTCGAAAGACGCCAATAGCCCCATCAACAGGGTAAGCCATAACAATTTGAAAAGATTCCACTGCAATGGTCACTTACTGTGTCGTCTGTAGGCCCATGCCCTCTCGGCGAAAGCTTCGCAGACCGCTCAAATCTCGGGAACTGCCGAGAATCTTTCTAAAGCTTCCGAGCTGTATGGAGAGGCTGCCGATCTCTTTGAACAGGTCAAGAAGGACGCTTCGGATTCTGGTGTACGGACCTTCTTGCTGTCTGCATTCCGAACTGTCACTAACATAAGAACATACGATCATTTTGGCGTCGACAGGCTGTGGCAACCCTGACCCTGTTAGCTGCTCAAAACCGGAAAAAGGCCAAGGATCTAGCTCGGAGAGCTACAATCGCTCGAAATCCCAAAGCTTCAACAGCTGCAATATCGAAGGAACCGGATGTGCCTACCCACGATAGGCAAAGGAGGAGGAGAATGGGAGGTCCGACGGAACCATCGCCACAAGCGGCAGGTGATTGTCGTCCGATACCTGTTGTCTGCACGTGAGCTGAGGCAATCATTCTTCCACCCTGATAGCGCCCGTGCATACTTTCTCCCCGGCGCTCCCGTTCGCGAGACCCATACCAATAATCTCGGCTGCCATGGCGGCTTCCTCGGGTCAGATGCACAAGCCAGCTTCGTCTTCGGGTTCGAATCCCGCATACACCGAATCGAAGTTGAAAGAAAGGCCCAGCGTCAGCGAATTGGGGCTGGCTAGTGGTATGCGCTCAGGGCCAGGATCGACTATGTATGCGTCGAGTAGCTCATCAGAGAGAGGTGGGGCAGGGGATTCGTTTGTCAAATTTGGACACCCGGTAGGTCAATGTTCGGCTCGCTTACGCCCCACGTATCGCTGACAATGACATCGTATGTGTCGTGTGTTTCAGCTGGAGTCTTCCGACCCTTTCGCGAGATTTTGGGCGGTCTTGGAAACGGCTTTTGACCAAATGTCGAACCCCGTCGCGTTCGCCGCAGCACCTCTCGATGTCCAGCGCGTCGGCAAAAAAGCGAAAGGTAAAGGCAGAGAAGACGAGCCTGTCGCCAGCGTTCCCGAGCCTACCTCGCCCTCAAGCGCAGACTCGTTCGAGGTGATCCACAAGAAACCTATCGGTGCAAAGACCCCGGAAGAGCTGGCCCTTGAAAACGAACACCTCCGAGCCAGCCTGGACGCCTTGTCAAAACACACCATGCAGGTAGAACAAGCGCTCAAACGCGTCAAGGACCGGGAAGGGATGATGAAGAGCGTCGTATTGGGCGTCAAGGCTGAAGCTCAGAAGGTCATGCAGAGTCAGGAACTTTATAGAAGCGCGATGATGCCTTCGTCCAGGTTGGGGGTGGGTGCGGGCGTGGGTGGAGCGGCTTTGGGCAGACCGGCGGATTCGGCGCAGAGAAGGATTGTCGATCTGGAAGAGCAGGTCAAATTCTTGCAAGCCGAGAACGAAAGGGCGGTAAGTCAGGCCGAACCCTGTTCTATGATGTGTGTCTTTACTGAGTTCCAGGCTCGGGTTTGTTTCTCTGGCGCAGCGTTCTCATTTGCAAAAATACAAGGACAGATTCGAGAAACTCAAGACGTCGGCTCGCGCGAAAAAGGAGGCCAAGTTGATGGCAGAGGGAGGTCATTTGGCTACGCTTGGCGAAGAAGACGGGGAATAGGATGGTGGTCTGAAGCCAGCGCTGTTTCTCCACAACTTTCTCTCGCGTTGGTGGAACGGACAGCTCGCACGAATGTTGTTCCGTTTCCCAGTGAATTCGTTTCATGAGGACAGCACGTGTTGACACAAGCGGAATCACAAGGGAAAGGACTCAGCGTTACCGGACCGGGGCCATCGCGAAACGTCGAAGAGACTCCTTTAACGGAAAATGACGCCGGAAAGGACCCCCCTTTTGGTTGCGGGATGCGACATATTGAGGATTTCAAAGACCTTTTCGAGATAAAGGGATACGTCGCCGCCTATCAGGAAGGATAATACACGGGCTCCAACTGGGCCACGACACGGGATGTCCCGAGACAGAGGTATAAAGTGCATGCATTCTGACGAAATACCAGATTGGTTCCCCCGCCAATCTTTTTCTTGCCACTTTTACGATATCAGGCCCAACTCATCGATTCCAACTGTGTCGACATGTTCGCCACACCCTCCTTCATACTCCTTCCGCTGCTGGCAGCTCTTCACATGATGATCTCGGTCAAGGCAGTCGAGTCGACCATCCCAGCCGTGTGGCCGAATCTCGAGGATTATCTGAAAGAACATAACGGCGCTTCGTCGCCCCTTTTACGGAACACCAGTCGCTTCTGGGACCCAACCAAGACGAGCAGCTTTGATGCTCAACGTGCCTTGGCTGCCGCGAACGTGCAGACGGGTTGCGCTCTTGCCATATATTATGACAAGATTGACGCGCGACTCGAAGAGAGAGATGTTGGAACCTTCATCACCACGGCATATGGGCTTCCGAGTTATATCTGGCCCCTCGCGATCGCCCCGATCTGTGTCGACGGGGACACCGTGCAACCTGCCGAGTACCCTTCGTCATCGTCTGACGACGAGACTGTCGTCTTTTGGCAGGCTCATGCCAATGCGGAACAGGACGCATACTTGATCTTGCCGTGAGTTTACGAACCACAAATATTGTCCAATACGACGCTGACTCTCTCAATAGTGCCGCAATGAACGTCAACGCCTTTGACATTGGAAACGATTGTGTCATTCTTTCACGCGACACGATCGGAGCGTTGCAATGGGGAGGTGCTTCGATCAATAACGAGTGAGTCATGCGTCTGACTGGAGCAGAGCAAAAGAAACAGCGCTAGAATGCTGAAAGCACAGATCTGATAGAGTAAACGCACTGGACCTAGTCACCTGGGCCTTGGACTATGCCGAACGCCAAGAAGACAGCTCGCGGGCGGGTTGTTTCCCCAGTCCTTATACGCTTGAAAAAGGCAAGTGCTCTTGCCGTCGTTTGATTTCGATGACAGGCTTTGCTGATGCTCGATTATAGGCCATGAACTATGGGCTGACTGGGCGAGGAAGGACTTTTGGGGATACAGCGCCGTTGGCAAGCGAATTTCGCTTTAGTCGCATTTTTGCTATATGAGATATTTTTTCGCTGGTCGCAAAGAACGATTATCGTCAAAAGCGATCGGAACCTTTGAGCGCATCGATGAGGTGACCGGATCGTTCCGTAATGATCCCGCCGTCGCCGTAGACTGCGAAGATGAACTTGATAAGCGAAATGTCAACAAGGTTCCGCGTGCATTTCGTTTCAGAACGACGATCTTGACCGCGCGACGTGAAGCTGTAACTATGTCAGGCCGAGACTTCTTCAAGACTCTGCAGGGACGTGAGAGCGACTCTGCCTCGCAGTTCACTTTCCACCTACAACTTCAGCTACCGATTGACTTCTCGTTACTATATATTCTCGATGCCGCTATCTATTCTCGATTTTATCTCGATGCTGATGCGCCGAACCGAGATGTTAGCGCGATCAAAAGATCCAAGACATCGGCGGATCTCACGGATCAATCCTCATCGATCCTCATCAATCCATCGATTCATCCGGTTGTTTTGATCTGATCGCTATCCATCGTTATATCGATTATATCGTTGATCGTTGATGATGGGTGACGTCAACCGGAGTTGCCACTCGGCCTGTCATGGCCAGTTGACATCTTTCTACCCGGGATGATCTTGGACATCTACATATCTACATTACGCTATTACTACTACAAATCTACGCAACTGCTCTTCTACAGAGCTACAGATCAGAGTCCTCCGACGACTTCATTTCTTGCCGCATACACAAGCTCTGCGAAACCTACGGCCATCATACGCACCCATTGAAGGCGGAGCGATCAAAGCACAGTCTGTGCGTCCGTCGTGAGTCACCTAGCCGCACAGGTATCGAGCTTGTTAAGACAGCACCCTACGGATATACTTTCTGATGTCATATACAGATCATGAAGATTCAAGTCAGGTCTGTGAACATCAAACCATCTGCGAGGGATCAGGCTGTGATGGACAGGGCAAAGAGATCAGCCGAGCGAGCAAAGAAAGCCGAAACACCAGGAGAAAGCCTATCAATGTTGAGAAGAGATCGTTCAAAGTCGAGACTGTTGCTAGAATGGAAGGGTTGGAGACGGAATCGAGCAAGAAAGAGATCTCGGCTGCAAAGGAAGAACCGCGAGAGCAAGCCAAGCTGCGAGATCATGTGAAGCAGGAAGCACGGGTGAGTCGTCTGAGATCGGAACATGAAGACCCGTCTCTAACCTTGTGGTCTTGTTGGGGTCCGGTTGTCAAAGCCAGGGTGAGTGGAGCCGACCGATACCAAGCCGCATGTCGTACATGAAGATCAGGTCAGTAGATGTCTGCCTTTAGCAAGTAAAACGTATACTGTATTCACCGCTTCAGCACACGGACCAGGTGAAGGCGGAAAACCCATTGAGGCTCGAATTGCTGGTGAATATGACCCTGAACAAACACGTTAATCGTAGTCTGACAAGATGAAGTGAGTTCGAGGCTAATGCCGATCTAATATCGCAGCAAAAGTCTTTGCTTGCTTTGCATGAGGCCAAGAGGAAAGAAAAAGCCGACAGTCTGAAGCTGAAAGAGATCGACAGGGTGCGTTGAAGAGACGTATCAGGCAGATCAGTCTGTAACCGAAGTCGCAATGGTACTGAGCAGAGACAGGGCGAACCCTCGGCGGCGAGCGCTGGGCAGGATGCATTTTTCAATCCTTTCGGCTTCGACAGTAGCGACAACTCTTTCGATCTCGGCACCGAAAACGCATCCCAGGTGCATCCCGCCGCGCAAGCTTTCTCTGATCAAACAACCGACCCAGAAGCCTGTCAAGCAGGCAAGGCGTCTCAGGTGAGTAGAAGCTGTTCTTGTTTTGATCCTTTGTGACGGCTGAAACTTATGATGAGCTAGGGAGACTTCAATGCACAAATCAAGCAGACTACAATCAACGCTCTAGAGGACAGAAGCCCCGGTGAAAAGAAGGCTGCTTAGACTGGCCAGAAAGGCAGCATCGTCGCAGCACCAGGAAAAACGAGTTTTGAACGATATCAAGATGAGGACCAAGTCAGTTGATTCTCGCTGAACTCGATGCTTAGGATCAGTTCTGACTCCCTATCTTGGCCCAAAATGAGCAAGCTGAGTCTCGGATCGAAATCGGAGTCAAGACCAGCGAAACCGTGTCCCACGCCGTAAGTCTGCGGGTCTACAGTAGCTCGCCACTAGCTTATCGAGTTTGTTAACCGACAGACCTTTGGCATTAGAAACCACCAAAAGAACAGAGCATTCTTGCCATCCTTACGGCCCACACCCCTGATATCCTGTATCCGCCGATCCCGCCCAGACCATACCTTGTAAACAAAGCTCGACTCCGACCTAAGCGCCGGCCCCACACTCGTCCCCGTCTACCTCCCAGATCTGTGGGATCGACAACGAGCAAGAGCCCCGCACATGCTGCACAACATCTCATAGCGCTCACCCAGTCGCAAGAAGACTCTACGACAGTCCAGACAAGGCGACCTCTTCGGTTTCACCTGTTTTGGCAACTCGAAACGCAACCATCGGAGGCTGCGTTTCGGAGGAATCGGCGGTACAAAGCTTCAAAAGGTGGGAGCCGCGGCTGATAAGGAAAAAAGCCAAAGGGGGTCCTTCCCCCCCTTCCCCTTGCACCCTCGGGCAAAGCCTAGCACGCGACCGGCTGTTTCTCGGAACCGGTCCGTTCGTGAATCGTCGCCTTCCTGCGTTTCCCGCCGTTTCGCTCCAATTTCTGCTCTCACGCTTTCATTTCCCACGCCTCCTTCTGCTTTCTCGCCCAATCGCTCGAACCTCCAACAACAGCTTCGTTCCCCTCCCCCCCCTGTCCGACTCCCCGACCCCCTTGTCCATCGAAATCCATCGACCTTGCCTTCTTGATCGAATGCTTTTCACTCGTCAATGATAATATAGTCATTCTACTAGGACCACACGCACGAACAATCGACTTGATTGATCGGTCGAACCCTAAGTTACTTCATCCATCTCTCTCTCTCCCCCTTTGCTGTGTGAGGATACCGCCTGCCTCGGTGAGTCTGGCGCACGAGATAGCGAACCTCGCATTCCGCCCTTTCCTATCAACTCCAGGTCTAGATGGCGGACGAACAGGCCCTGCGGTCTCGTGCAGAGGAGTAGACCAGGCCAATGTGCAACCTGTGTATGAGATGAACATGCACATCGAACGTCGTCACGTCACAAATCGACTCGACCGCGAACCGGCTATCTCTCCTGGCGTGTGTCGGCCATCACGTCCTCGTTTCGGTCGACTGATCCAGATACCTGTTCCATCTTGATCACAAACAGTGCTCGCGACCCGAACCAGCACTCTTCTCTCCTCCTCTTCAGCCTCGTCTTCCTCAAGTTGTACACTCCGCCACCCACACCCACGACACCCTCTATTCGGTTTCGCTATCAAGATAACATCCGGATTCACGCCACCTTTGTTGCAAACCCGATTATATGCCCCATATCTCAATCACGTCCTGCTCACCTCACCAACAACACCCTTCGCAAACCGCTTTCACAACACCACTTGCAGGCGAAACCGGACCTTCTAGTCATCAGGGTCCTCGTTTGCCACGGATAGCCCATCACACGCTCTAAAGGATGGACAGCACAGTTCGTATCCCAGGACAAGACAAGATTACCCAAATGGTCGCTCCTGCCCTTACCTTGCAGTCGGCATCGACCGTCAAGCGAGAAAGCCACGACTTGTCTGCTCAAGCTGCGCCACCCAGCAAGCCCGCCACGAAACCCAAGAGCCGCAAGAGAGTCAACACTGCCGAGAAGCGAGCCAGTCACAATGCGGTCGAAAGGCAAAGGCGGGAAATGCTCAACGGCAGGTTTCTGGTGAGTCGACGTGAAAGGCAGGCTGAACCATTTACGCGTCATTTCCGATCGGGATCGCTGAGCACTATTCGCGATTTTCAGGACCTCGCCCGCCTGCTGCCCTCTCTTGCCAAGATCCGACGTCCATCTAAATCGGCCATCGTCAACGGCTCGATCGACCACCTGAGTCTGCAACGTACACACCGATTGTCGGCGGCCCGCGAACTGCGTCGCATGTTCGCCGAAAAGCAGGACATGTTGACGGAACTCAACGAATGGCGAAGCCGGAACGGCATGTCGCCCCGGGAGACTACCGGCTGGACAAGAGACCTGGAAGAGTTGCTCTCGGTCGAATCCGAAATCTTTGGTGAATTCACCGGCATGGGGAACGGAGACGGCGATGGCGAAGGCGAGGGCGACGTTGATGCCGACATCGAAGCCGAACCTCAGGAATACAACGCAAACCAGTCCATCGAGGTGTCCGAGATCGAGCCTCCCATGGCTGCGCTTCGATCTGGATCTTTTGCTGACGCGATCAGCATCGACGGATCTGCTTTGCGTAGAGACTCGCTGCACCGCTCCGCCGACACCTACGCCTCGTCGTCGTTGCAGTCGTCGCTCATGGGTGCCGAATCGTTTGGTCAGCCGAGGTTCGCCATGCCTTCTCGACAAAAGTCGTTTGCACCCACCGAGCTGTCCAGCGTCTTGTCGGGATCGCCTCCCCAGTTGACACAGGCGTTTGGAAATGGCTCGCCCATCGATTCTACGCAGCATTTGGCGCTGCAAGCCTTCTTGTCGGGTGGCGACGCTTTCGCTCGTGGGCCGTCCCTCGAGTCGCCGGGCGGGCTGTCGGGTGATTGCATCACTCCCCCGTCCCACGACGTTCACATCGACGTCAACACTTTCGCGCCGCCTTCGCCCCCGACCGCGGCCACGAGCTTTGCCCACGCGAACGCTGATCAAGACAAGGTGTCGCAGTGGGCCGCTCAGCAGGTCATGTTGCAGTACGTCCAAGATGGTCAACACCTAGGCAACGGGCGAACCGGCAAGAACGCCTCGTCGATGGACGTCGAGTTTACGAACCCGTTCCCGACTTACAATCCGGCATCGAGGCTGGACGCCGCACATCAGGCGCTCTTGACGCATCAGCCTCAGTTGGCCGCCGCGGCCTTCCCACCCCCTTATGCCGACACGTTGTTTGGCAGCAGCGGCGGGCACTCGAACGAGTCGTCTAGCACTCACGGCGATCGTTTCGGTCCGACCGCGGCTTCGCTCGCTAGCAACTCGCAGCTTCATCACTTTTTCGCCGCCAACTCGGCCGCCATGGCTTCGCTCAACCCGTCGCTCGATGGCATGACGTATAGTCAGATCGAGCAGTGGTCGAGATTCGGTCAGATCACGTCGCGCTCGCCTCTACAGCAGGGTGGTGGTGGCGGTCAGCCTGAGAATCTGGACGAGTTCAGACAGGCCATCCGCGCTGGAATCAACATGGGCATGGCTGCTGGCATGGTGCGAAGTAGTTGACATTGACGCTCGTGTCTAGCGAGCAGATGATGTCGGCAGGCGAAGAAGCAGAGTTTCGAGAAGACGGGTTCCGTTGTAAAACCTCGTGTCCGTGCGCCCGAGAGGCCGGCATGAGGAGTGTTTCTGCAGTGCTTTGTTTCTGAACGGTTGTCTTGTTGTGTTTGTGTGTGCTCTTTAATCCTTTTGTTACCCCGCCCACTTAGTTATATATCGGGCTGTTTTGTTGAATTGTATGACGAGAGATCTCCATCCCATTCCCGCTCTCGGCGATCCCACGAGCCATGCGAGCAACTCGCAACAGCACGCACGCACGTTGATGATGACGATGATGATGAGAAGTTGTATTCGCGTCGCCCGAGTGACTGACCCAAAGCAACGGGCAACGGGCAGATCCCTGACCTCTGAGCCTTGATCCATCCTCGACAGATTGTTGGCATCACTTGCTACCATCTAGTCTTCACTCCTGCTTCGTGAAACACTCCACAACTACTCTTTGGCATAGTAGACGATACACACACTCTCCTCGCGGTCATACAGACATCCTTTTCACCGCGGCAGGTCCGAGATGTACACCTGCGCCCGGACGACGCCGACGATCACATCTTTGGCCTCGAACCTAGCTTAATAGGCGTCAATCCCGGATCGACTCCTGCTTCTTTCCCTTCGACTCGTCTTTGCGGCAGCAAAGTGTTACTTGTGCAGAGTATATACTGCTCCCAACCAGACGTCATCACCTCCCGCTAGTTGACGTACAGTATCAGTGCAAAGGTTGTCGCGATACTCGGCGCTCCAGGACGCCCTTCCTAAACTCTCCCTGCATCACAAAAATCACTACCATCATGGCGGCGGCTTCACCCACACGTCCTCTCCCTCACAATCCGCGGCCAGATTACTCGTCAAACCCAGCACCGAAGAGCGACAACTCGTACAACAAGGACACCATTTTTCCCTGGCATCATGTCACGGACGGAGGTGGCTCAAGCAGTGGATCCAGCTCGTCCAGGGCCGTAGCTACCTCTTCATCATCGAACGCGCAGGGCTCCTCGCGGTCAGCAGGCCGATACGAGTGGGAGTCTGGCCATGGTCCTGTAACAGGGTCAACATCGGTACCGAGTCCCAATCGACCTGTTGATTCACGTTCGCCTGGATCAGGCCGGACGGACGACTTTGCCCGTCAGGCCGATGCGGATCGACCGGTAGACCAGGCAGCCGATCGAAACGGAGCGGTCTCGGCGACTACGTCCCGGCCGGACAATGCGATCGGAAATGATGCTGGAACAGCGTCGAGCGTAGAATCGAGATCAAAGACGATTGTCGGGGCTCGACGTCCTTCCGAGGCGTCGCCGAGCGACGGTAAACGAAATGACGGGCCTCCCGAGTCTCAGCCGCAGTCGACGATGCAGACGGGACCTCACATGTGCCTCGTGTCATATCCGACGCAAGACCTCATCACGTTAGTAGCTTCGTTGCTTCAGCGCATCGCAGCTGCCAACGACAAGCTTCGACGTGAACGGGTCAAGAACGCCGAGGACGACCGCGGGAACTCGACGTCTTCCCGACCAGACACGTCGACGCATACGAGTCCACCACGGAGTCCATCGAGCCGACCGGGTCCTGCCGACATGGTCATCCCCCCGTTCCGCCCGAAAGCTTCCTCTTCGACCTCAAGACAGCTTGCAGTCGATCATGAACAGCCGCAAGCAGCGTCGCCGACCGACCATACGAAACCTGGTGATTCTATCGATTCGGCTGAGCGCTCCATGCCACATGGCGATCCTATCGCCCCTCATGCAAATTCGGGGCAGGGTCCGCGTCAGACTGAACCGGATCGCGACGACACTGCGTTCAGCGTCACGCAAACCGGTGATGCACAGGCTCCGTCAGCATCATCTCGGCAGGCCAAGTGGCCCAGTACGACAGCTGCAGAGCATGCCGTCTCGCACCCCTCATCGTTGTTATGCTTTCATGCCCGCAACGTACCATCGATCGGGATCGAGACCTATTTACAACGGATACTCAAATATTGTCCTGTCACCAACGACGTCTTTATCTCGTTGCTTGTCTATTTCGACCGGATGAGCCGCAAACTAGCATCCCAGTCTAGCGAGGCTGACGCCGGTACTAAGCGTGGGGATCGATCGTCAGGCGCCGAGACGAAAGGTTTCGCTATCGACAGTTACAACGTACACCGCCTCGTCATTGCGGGAATCACTATCAGCTCCAAATTTCACTCCGACGTCTTTTACACGAATTCACGGTATGCCAAGGTACGTTTCGTCGTTGTCACGAAAAGGGCTTCTTTGAACGATTGCTCAGCCGTCTCTGTATCATAGGTCGGAGGTTTACCTCAAACCGAGTTGAACCAGCTCGAGCTACAATTCCTGCTTCTCAACGACTTTCACTTGATGATACCTCTGGACGAGATGCAACAATATGCCGATCGGCTGTTGCAATACGGAGGACGTGGAGAGACGACGGGCACAACACCTAGAGGTGTATAGAAGTACTAGTAATGATCCTTACGGGCTTCATGCGACACATAGAGACAGACACGCAGACTTCAGAGATATCGTGTATCAATAGATCATTAAGAGTAACAAGGCCAATACTAATGCGACGGAGACGATACCACATGACACAATGGGAGAAATTCGAAATTCGAGAATATATAGACGATAGGTGGCTTCATCGTTTAATCCGGACCAGATAGATCACTCATCATACGCTTCCTCTAAATCATCTCTCGAGCCGAGATGGACCACCTAGATTCGGCTTTGAACGTGTAAATGACGTTCAAGCTAGCCTGGGGGGTGACGATCTCCTGTACGACCCAAAAGTACGGCAGCACAGCGTTGACGGGATCCGGGCTGGAAGAGACGAGTTGGATGAGCAGCCCATCTTCGTACGGGTTCACGGGCCTCAGAGCTACACGGCCATCGTCATCGTCTTCAGGTGACGAGGCCATGGTCTCTAGTTGGATGGTGTCGACGCGCTCCCGGCGGACATCCAGATATCCACTGGTCGAGCAGATCTTTGGCAAGCTGCCCCTAACCGATAGGCCGTGAGTCTTCGCCGAAACGATCAAATCAAAGTCCAGGAATTGGTTGTGGTAGTTTGCTAGATTGTCCAGGTCGACTCCGACGACGACGTGGATGGCGCGTTGACTGATACCGAAGCATCGAGTGATGGGCCAGCGAGCGAAGCGCAGGGCAATCGCGGGGATGTCGGCCATTTTGACGCGGACGAGGTTTTCGGGAAGGTTGGCATGAACGAAATGAGCGTCCCGCTGCCAGCCGATAGAAATGTAACGAAGCTGGAAATCGAAAAGAGGGCTGGGAGCCGGATCTGCGACTTGATAAAAGTCTTCGGGGCCAGGAGAAGCGCGCGGAGTCGATTCAGACACCTGTTCGATGTCCCGTTCCTCTTGCCTGTCTTCGTCATCACTGTCCAGCTCATCATAGTCGGTGCTAGGAGCCCGGGCGAAGCGGTGAGATGGGGTGGGTGAACGAGCATTCTCATCTCGGTGGTTGGCCGGAAATGTAGAACCTTGCCGTTTGCGCGACCCACTCTCCCTGGTTGAGAGCGGCAAGTTTAGATATTTCGTCCTCTTTGACTCGGAAGGGGAGGGGCTGGCCCTCCAACCTGCTTCGTCTTTCCTCGCGGGCGAGTCTGAGCTCCCAGTACTCATGCGGTACTTGGATTTCGTCGGCATCGTAGGGATGGTAGCAGCTTCGTGTTGCAAGATCCATTCAGGTTTGTTCAGGTCCGAGAGATTGTAGCGCTGATCGATACCTATGATTTTATAAAGTCGGTTGTGTATGTTGGAAAGTTTCGGCGTTCCGGTCTCGGGTGAACCGCCTCCTTGAGCGCGATCGTTTGCGTTTTGATCGAACAGACCCCGAACTGAACACGATGAACGAGCCTAGATCAGCCCGAATAGCGCGGTCTGTCTTGGCTAGCGTGTCTCGGACTCACCTTCGGCATTCATCTTCTTACGCTGTCGGACCACTTGAAGGTGGGAGGAGACTTGCTTTCGCGTCATATGCTTTCCGAGCGCCATGGTGATAATTAGAGCGATGATTTCGTTGCGCCCGCATGGTTTCTGCATGAACATGACTTTGTTCGCTGTTGTGGGAGGTAGATAGAGTTCGGCTGGAGAAGAAATCAGATGGATCTGTCAGTGGCTGTAATAGCATAATGTCTTTCTGGGGGACTCACCTGCAAGAAATGCAAATTCTGCTTCGTCGGTCCAGATGTCCTGCTTCCCGGTCTTACCGGATGAGGGATGGGTAGGGCTAGAAGTACATGAGGATCCCGAATCTGGGTGTGCCTCTGGTTCTGTTCTCGATGGCCCTTGTATACCGACAGACGCCAGACGACCTTGAAACTCGTATTCTTTCAACATCAGGAACAAATCCTCTGGAGAGTACCGTTCTTGAAGCGCCGGTCTGGATCGGTCGTTCCGGGCTGCCGAGTTGCGAGTCGGCTCTCTGACAGGTTGACGACCGCCTTTACGTTCGGAGCCATCGGAGGGGCTTCGTTGGGTTGAAGGCATAGTGTTGAAGGATTTTAGAGGGAGCTTTGGGTATGTTCGAGGGCGATGAGATGCGGAACGGGTCGTGTGTGGCGAAACGGGCTGGTCGACAGAACCGATAGGAGGAGGGGCGCGATGAGGGTTTGGAGAAGATAGATACCTTTCGAGTAGTCCCTCGGTTGTGAAAGTCTTGAAAAGCATGTGGAGAGGAGTGGTGAGGTGATGATGGTGAGGACGATGTGTATGTGTCTGACCCCTATATATATGTTGGGAGGTTCAGTCCAGGTCGAGCAGTCAGAAGATTGAATGACGCGCCTGCGCCTGCGCTTGCTCTCGAATGACGTCGAAGGCGGAAGCGCTCTACAAGGTAAATGGTGATGATGATGACGATGATGATGCAATGTTGATTTGGGGGATGATTAGACCTTTAGGATGACAGTCGCAGCTACGTAGGTGCACCACTCGTCGACATACGAAGTAGCAAGTGAGTGACAATTAGCTCGACGCCTCAGTGTGCGCGCGTGTCTGGGGTCTCCAATACTCGTCAAATTTGCTTCCGACGACGGCGAACTCCGCGAGCCCCGAGACACCCTGATGTTGACATTTTGATCGTTCTGATGTTCTGATTTATTGAAATGCCATGCTGCCATATAGATATATAGATATATAGATACAGCATAGGTCACATTTCGAAAGAGTGGCACGAGATCAACCCACCGACCACAGAAAATGACGCATCAGCCGACGGATAGACTCAGCTTCAATGGCAAGTTTCTGGCCGACGCCAGGCTCATCGTGTACAAAGCCGTGACTGAATGGGATCTTATGGCTTTTCTCTTCTTCCCACATAGATGCTATCGAGATCATGGGCGACTTTCGTGAGCCTCGTAGACTGGCGGTCCGTGTCACATTCGAAGACTGATCACGTCTAATAATTGCACCCCCACAGTCGAAGTCGCCTTGAGTACGATCCTGTACCTTCGCAACCTCTACCAGCCCAGCATTTTCACCCGGGTCAAGGCCTATGATGTGCCAGTATACCAATGTCGCCATCCAGAAGTGAGAGGATACATAGCAGCTTTCGTCAGATCGGTCCTCGAGGAGATGCGAAAGGTCGGTTCGACATCCAACGGGTTTTCGGAATGGACACCGATCTGACGCTATGGTTCTGGAAGCAAAGGGCAACGCCGAGAGGATCGCGCTGGTAATCAACTCGATCAGCTCGGGACAACCTCTCGAGCGGTTCCTATTCGATCTAGAGTACATGGACCTGAGCAAGTTTCGTGACGAGGCAGATCGTGCCGTCGGGTGAGCCGTTCGATTCGACCTCGGATTCAGCTCTGTTTTGTATGATGGGCGGTCGGACAACTGACTGATAGAACGCTCGATACGTCGACAGGCTGATCGGCTCACCCTCACAAAGCGAAATGAGACTATTGCTGCAGGCCTTCCTGACGCGGCTGTGCGTACTGGAGGGCCAATTGACCGCGCTCGACGCTGAAGGCAAGTCTGACTTGGCGGTCGACCACGCGATTGTCTGTCAGGATCTCACTTGTCTCATTTGCTAGATATCACCTTTGTGCTCCTGCTTACCATGAAGGACGGCTCGACTCCAGAGCATCACATCGTGGGAAAAGATACGAGGCCATCGGTCAGTTCATGCCGAGGCCATCAGTTATGCGGAAAGCTCAAACTCTCTCTACCATGGTTTTACCAATAACTCTGGGCGTGATGTCCGACGACCGATAGCATTCTCGACACTATCAGGAAGACGCTGATTCGTCAACATGGGTTCTAGCGACAAGGCAAACCTTGGGCGGACGAGCAGCAGAGCTGTCCGCGGCGCCCTCGGATCGTGGTGACGTACGTCGACATGCCCATCGTCTATCGTCTGTATTTCAACGCCTACTGATGTGATTGTTGTTCGCTCCAAATAGGAAGCAGCATCCATACGGGCAGTGTCTTGCATAGAAACGGGAATCGTCGATGTGCGTTGCGTGACGATCATGGGTAGCGTTTCAAACGGTTGACGTACTTTTCTCGCTCTTAGCTGAATTTGATGGTTCATGAGTGCGAGACGAAAGCGAGCAAGCGATTTAGACCCGTCTTGCCCACATGACAGACCGGAGACACGAATACTTAGTAGTATATGATCCTATGATCTGATGAAATCATTATGAGCGTCGACTTGCATCCGCGCGAGAGAGAGGATCGCGATCGATCGGCTGCTAGTCACCTGCACCTGCCTGCCTGCAAGTTGCTTGTGATCGGGGAAAAGGGGGAATCGTTCGACCGTATACACATAATACCTCAACGACCAGCCGGTAGCTACCCAACGCTAATACTATCGTGTTCGACTTTCCCCTCTCTAATCCCCTGCCGCTCAGCAGCTTGCGCTCTCCAACATCTTCACGTTGATCGCCTCGTCGGCCTTCAGAAGAATCTGTCCGCCTTAAACACAAAACCAAGGACCACACTTCAACATGGCCGGACGGTACACCATGACCCGTTCGAGGATCGGATTGGCTACCGGTATCGTTGCCTTGTCTGCATATGGCACCTACAGCTGCACCAAGGTTGTCGCCAACGAGTCTCCTAGTGGCGAGAAGCCTGAACAAGGACCGTCCCGGATCAGAAGCGCTCCCAGGGAGACTACCAGTGTTGGGCCTTTCTCCGCATGGGTTTGGGGATCAAACAAGTGAGTTCTCCATTCTTACATCCGGACCGGGCCCGCATTTGCTGATCGATACTTGTCCGATAAGAAACGACAACCTCCAGCCCCGATCGTTCAACGCTCCTGTGCTCAAGGGTCCTCGAGTTACTGCCTACATCCCATCTACTCCGCTTCGAGACCTCGCACTGGCCGAAAAGTACGGCGCCGCGGTGGACGTGAGAGGAGATGTGTGGATTTGGGGTGCAGGCCACTTTGACGATGGGGTTCCTTCCGACAAGGCAGCTCTCAGCTTGAGGGGAAAGAATATCGAATCTCTCGCAGCTACCGATTCGAAGCTATACGCCCTGTCAAAACACTCGGGTCAAATTTATGGGGTATCCTCTAAACGGTCCCGCCAACAATTACAGCCCAGACAACCAGAACGCTACCCGTGGTGGATGCTCGGTCTAGGTGCCTGGTTTCGGCAAGACCCTGGTGTCGACTACGTCCAACTGGTACCGGCTGGCGGACTGTCGAAAGGCGAAAAGTGAGTTCGAGTAGCATGCCTCAGGACGCAAACTTATCATAATTTTTTAGGTTCACGTCTCTGGTGTCCGGATCGGTAAGTTTCCTTCGACGGCGGGTATACTTGATACATTCTTATTAGTTGTACTCGCGGCGCGACAATAGAGCCATATACTCGCCTTGACGAACAAAGGCAGGGCTTTCAGCATGGCCACGAGTACCGATGGCAACTCGCACATGCAACTCGGACTAGGTATCCGTCGCGACATCCCAGTCAACGAAGGAAGATCGCCAGAGGATATCCGTTGGACGGACACGCTGAATCCGATCATGTCCCTCAACACTGTTGAGATCGCACAGGTCGCCGCTGGCCTCAAGTCATCCTATTTCCGGATGGCGGATGGTCGCGTGCTTGGGATGGGCGCGAACAACTTGTACGTTTGAGCTTGGGATTTGTGGTTCATAGGTTGGTCATGTTTATCATCTACTTGCAGGGGTCAGCTAGGAATTGGTGCTTTGGCAAGCGTAGAAGTGGTTCCCACGCCTAGCGAAATTGTGTTGGCCCGGTCATACCCGGGAGGCATCACTGTGAAATGCACAAATATCGCTGCAGGGGTATGTTTGGGTCTAACAGCCCGACTTCAAAAGCTTCGGTTTGATATCGTGCTAACGTTGCGCTTTGTAGGGAAATAACGCGTTCTACACGGTCGAACGTTCGAACCTGGACGGAACGCAGACATTCGTGGATTTACTCGCAGTCGGTACCGGGATTTCGGGCGGTCTGGGGAACGGCTTGTGGAGTAGTGCGTCGAGCAGCCCGGTTAAAGTGAAAAGGTCAGCGGTGCTCGAGCTGAACGATGCTTCAAGTGTGGCGTTGCTGAATTGTTGAACCGCACGCAGTGTCAGCGGCCTACAGGAATACTCAGAGGCCCTTCGAAGTTTCATTCCGCTCGAAATCAAAGCCGTCTCAGTCGGATCTTCACCAACAGCACATATCTTCGCTACGCTGAACACCGTGACACAATCAGAGCAATCAGGCGTCCTGAGTAACAAATATGGGGACGATGTGGTTGCGTGGGTAAGTCTCTCGGCAGTCTTCGCTTCACCGCAGGTTTCTGGAGTAGAGATGCTATCATGTGATCAGCAGGCTGACATCGCGGGCGATCGATTTGTCTTACCATGCTCATTTCCAGGGCGCCAACGTTGACTACAACTTGGGAACCGGGAAGCGTTCCAACGTTGCCGTCCCACAACATCTGTCTCCGCTCGCGGGCAAGATTGACGCAGAATCACGGGAGGCGTCGATGACCGCTGGTACAGTGCGTGTTTATCCCACCTCAAAGCTTCCAGAGAGCCAGAACGGGACAGCATCTAATGTTATTCTTCTTGCTTCACAGCTTACTCCAATGCCGCATTCTCGGTTGCAATTACACACCGGTCAAGGCGATGCATATGATCTCGACGGTAGATTACTGAAGAGGAACGTCAAAGCTGCTCAGGTTATGTATGCTGGGTACAATGCAAGCGCTTCGTATTGGCGCGCTATTTAATCTGGCCCCTGCCTACGTGTGCTGCCCTGTTAAAACTGGTCCTCGAAACAAGCATTACATTGACATCAGGCGTCGTCTCCGAGGATGAGTCTTTCAGCCTTGATGACAGCTATTGATAAAGATAGGACGTGCCAAGCCGTGAAATCCGTCAGTTTTGCAGTGACGAGAGAGGTTTATAAGTTGGTAGAAATTCCATCGCAAGACTCACCGTCCGGTTCAACCTCATAGCCACTTCCAATTTCACTGGCCTGGACTTGCGCTTTCTCTCCGACCCGTACATTTGAGCACAATATCGTGCTGTCAATTTTGGCTCTATAGGTGAGGGCATACCGATTTGGCAAAGATGAGCAAGAGGAAGTATTTACTCGCAGGACTGTGGGAGACTGACCCATCAGCGATGTTGACAAAGTCCCAAACGATGACATTGGACAGCCGGACGTTCTTGCCGATCACGCAATGCCTGCCGATCAAGCTCTTTTTGATCGAGGTCCTTTCTCCAACCCTTGTTGTGTGCGGGACGAGCGAGTCTGCCGATACCTGCGCTCTGGGATCAATGTTCGATGCGACAGCCGACTCTTGGTCCTGTTTGCTACGTTGCAGGTTCTCCAAGTTGGGCGGCATGGTACGCAAATACTGAACGGCAGGCTTAGCTCACGGGATTGTGATCAATACAGTCTCTGTCACTCACTTCCCGACACAACGCCCAGTATCCAGAGACGGTATTTCCTCGGATGAGAGGCTCTTGGATTCCGATAGGGGCCGAGGTCTTTCCCCTATCGCCGCCTTTGCCAGAGGCGTGGCTAATGGGTAGGGGAGCCTTGACGAGCAGCATTCCACAGCTCGAACCATAACTTTTGTTGTCTCGCGTGGTAGACCAGCGGGCGTCGCCATCAATCCCATTATCGGCTCTCAGCTCTTGTTTGAAATCGATAAGTTGCTGACCAGCAGTGACTTTCGGAGAGGATGGGGTGGTTATGTTGCCGGACGTAACCAGCGAGTAGTCATGGGCCGCTTCTGATTTGTACAAATCGTCATTCCGCAACCGAGAGACGGTCGACCTTCCGAAAGCGGACGACAATGGGTCGTTTCCTGGGTTTAGAACTGCAGAAGGTATAAAAATCAGCTTGATATCGGGTAGAATCAACATGGCAATACTGACCGGCGTCCCACCTGGCCTGTAGACTGCGTTGCCAGCCCCCTTTGACCAACCAGGGCACCAAGTCCTCCCTTATACTGTCTAGATCCTTTGGATCTCTGGTCATCATCAGATCAAGAACAGTCTTTTTGAACACGTAGACATGGGCATCCTGGAGCGTCGTAGTCAACGTAAGAGTAGGGTACCTTTAAACAAATGGATTCAGCTTCAGCCTCGTAAACGAATAAACATATATATACGGTCTAGCGGATGGACTCACTGGGCAAGCAGAGACATTCTCAATGACAAATCGTCTTCCATGGCTTCTAGTGGCTGGACCATCAATAGCTGTTCGCCCTCCTTATCATATGCAACCAGGACAGCCTCCTGACCATCTGGATCTTTCAGTTCCAGTTCGCTCTTCTCGTACCAAAGTGATGTGACCAAGCTTCCCGGTTGGTTTCGATGTCGGTTCGTGAGAGAGGAAAGCGCTAGGTTGCTTGGTACCGTAAGGTCACAGGGCAAGACTATGAAGTCCGACTGTAGCCAGACGGTATCAGCTGCGGAGCGCTTTGCCGATCTGCAGAGAGTATGCTCACCCGAATCCAGTCTCTCCATCGACGCATTATCCGTGCGGTACCTGGTGTACCAGTTCCACCTAAACCAATCAACTCTACCCCGCCTTCCGTATCGGCGTTGAGGCCTTCGTCCGCATCACCATGCTTGCGGTTGAGATCGGGCTTCCGAACGTCGATTCCACGTCCGCCAGCTCCAGTCGCGGCGTTCTTTTCCACGTCCAACCCAAATTCGGCTTCCTCTCCACGCTCAGAAAGCCCGTGTACCTCGACACTGAAAGAAGAATCGTGTTTTGCTCCGTGACGCTGAGCATTCGAGTTGGATTGACCGCGATGAACGTCGACTCCCGAAATCCAGCAGTTCCGCACGTGTTCCGAGAGCAAAGGTACCTCTCGATCAGGACACAGGATCAGGATATCTACACACAGGCAGTGTATCTGTGAGCATGGTCTCAGGAAACCCGCCACACAGGCCCTTACCCCGTATGCCCGATGCATCAACCCATGTCAACACCCGGTCGATCATTACACCATTACCGATCGGCAATAGCGCTTTTGGCGTAGCATTTCCACCTTGTGTCAATGGATATAGTCTATTATCTCAATGCATCGCATATCGAGTGTATGTCAGACGTAGATTGAATGTGTACAAGCGCTGCATGCTGTCCCGACGTACGATTCCCCGTAACCGCAAAAGATTATGGCTTGGAAATCGGTGAGATCAGACCTTCTTCCATTCCGGGAACTATAGTAATTATCGGCCGCTCGATTCGAAACACTAAACATTGTCGACGAGGATATCTATTTCACGTATAGGTTGGAGACACCCCCTATCTAGCGGGCCATGTCGGTCGTCGTGCGGTGATTTATATTGTACAACCAAGTCAAGATCGTCACGGCGTGCTCCCCGTAGGCGGAACCAAGCGACAAACTTTTTTCACGTGACGGGAATTACATTACGCTTGTTCGGCATAGATCTGAAAGTGATGTAACGTTTAGAACACAGCCGAAGTTGTGTTTCATCGTAGGCACTCACCTTGATCGTCTTGTCTGCTCCTCCGGTGATGAGGCGTGTTCCGGTCTTGTCAAACGTGGAGCAAAACACACCCTGAGGTCAAGGCATAGCAATCTGCGTTCAGTATCGGTTTTCAGAGTCGGCCAGTCTTAACGATTCCTTACCGCCTCAGAATCCAGACTGCCGCTTTGAGGAATGTCGTTGAGATGTTGAAACGGTTTACCAGTCTCATAATCCCAAAAGGACAAGGAGCCATTGTCGCCTACCATCGCGTAATTGATTCCGTCAGTCGAACGAGTCGATGCTAGCCTCGAGAACAGACTGACCTCCGGAAAACAGCACGCCCTCCTCGTTTACGCTGAGGGTGTTGATAATAGCCTCGTGCCCTGGGAAGTTGTGAACGAAAGTACCCTCGGGGCATTTCCACTTTTTGATGCTTTTCGAAAACAGGGGGAGTTAGGCCTGACAGCAGACGGTAATTTCACAAGACAACGCTTACTTGTTCCCCCCAGCGCTCGCACTGGCGAAACTGTACTCGTGGGGTGCGATTGCGAGTGCTCGAACGCTCTTCTTATGGTGCGTAAGGGTCGTCATGGTCTTTCCAGCTGCCAAATCCCACAGACTGATTCACGAGAGTTGAGTAGTTCTGAGTAAAGGATGCAACATGACGACATGAACATGGCCAACTTACCGGACTGTACTATCCATGCTTGCTGTAATGACTTGAGGATCAGAGTCCTGGCATTTCACATCAGCTACGGTAGCCGTATGGCCTGCCAGCGAGAAGATGTTGGATTTCGTTCGCATATCCCAGACCTAAAGATGAGAAGGCTCGTAAGTGAAGGGAGATCGACGGGTCAAGCAAATGGACGGCAAGCATGGCGTACCCTAGCTGTAGCATCTCGACCGGCAGTAACCAGTACATCCAACGTTGGGTGTAATGACAAGCTGTATACACCGGACAAATGACCATGGTAATGCCTGATCACCTTGTTCGCCTCTAGATCCCAGCATTTCACCATCTGCAAGCCAAGTTTTCTTCGTCAACTCGAAAGCATCGGCATCGCAAAGCTGACCCAGAGACCGCGGCCTACCTTGTCTTCTCCACAGCTGAAAAGGTAAGGATGCCTTGATGACACTTCCAAGCCCCTTACGGGCGAGATGTGGCCGGTCAGTGACAGCTTCAGTTCACCCGAGGCCAAATCCCATATCTTTTGGAGAAGCCCGTGAATATTTCCTTAAGTCCACTACTACGTCGGCGATACTGCATCTAGACTGACCTTGATGACACGATCCCCAGCACCGGTTGCGAACCATTGATTGCCAGGTTCGACCGCAACAGAACGAACCCATCCAAGGTGCCCCGATATGACCGTTTTGAGTTTCCCTATATCCCCGTAAAGCTTCAGTCTCGCAAACTCGATCGTACGCCCGACGCCTAGACAGTAGACGCACAGGGGGCATGGTAAGCGGGCTTTGCTTCACGCTGCTCCTTTTTCTTCATCAGAGCTTGGCTCAATCGGCTTGACGCTTGGCCACCCTCAGCCGAGTAACCTTGCTGGTGCCGGAAGGAGGTCAAGGCTTGCGAAGTAGCTTCATTCTGTTGATCCGCTCTAAGAAGATAATCCGTGACATGTTTAGCCAGCATCAAGTAGGGGTGCTGACCGTCTGGGTCTCACCCTGCGTGCTCAGAGCCGAGTCCCGGTGCGCCTATCAGCTTTTGACCCGGGCCCGACGCTGTCACCGACACCGTCGTTGCACCCTGCACGACTTGCCCGGCGGCGCGTTTGGGACCGACAGTTGCTCCATGTTTCGCAGCTAGTACAGGCGGTAGAATTTGGACATCCCTGTATTCGCGAGAGAGCTTTGATGCGGTCTTGATCTTGTTCCTGTCAAACGAACAGCGTTTCAAGATCTGTTTGCCGTTCCAATAGTGCCCCATCAAACTCACGCTCGTTCCAGACCACCCAAGTCTGTCTCGCCGTTTTCCGTGAGAAAGACAGCTCGTGTTCTTTTAGCAGAGAGAGCGACCAGCTCCGCCAGGGGTGTCAAACTCCGGGAGGCAGTTGCGTCTTGCAGGTTGCCGCTCGGAGCGGCCGGTTGGATTACGCTGGACATGTGCGACTTTGAAGAGAATGTAAGATTGAGACCAACTAGGATCCTGATATGGAGAGCAGATCAAGTCGCACGTCTTGAAAGGCAATGCGAAGAGATGTACAACTTGGCTGCTCTCATCGTACAGGGAGTGTGAGTTTCGCTGGTTGGGTATGAAAATGCATATTCAAATGAGCATTTGCCTCCGGCCCGGGAGCAAATAACGGTCCAGCTCTCATGCCCGGCATCCCTTGAACTGCTGCAGTGGGTGGGCTTCATCCTACCGCAAGATCGCAAGACTCGTACAATCAATATCACAGCTCGTATGGAGTGATCGAAACTACGACCGCTCCGAATGGATACATGCGGACTCGCGAGCTATCGCTGCTAAAATGAGGGGAGGACTTGCTGCCGAATCCGAGATGCTGAGAGAGACGTCGCGATCAGACAGCTTGGATGGATTCAGTACAGTTCCGGATAACGAGGAGGATGAATGGGGCTATGGCCCGATCGGCGGTGCAACAGAATTTCCTGGAGAATCGGCGCATGATCCTCAGGACTCCGAGAGTGCTTCGAGCCCATTCAACCTGACGAGTTGGAAAGCCGATCTCGGTTCTGCCCATACTGCTCAACTGGATCAAACTAACGGTCGGGGCCCGCGTCCCTTTTCTAGTGAGTGAAAGCTGTTGTGAGCAGTGTATCCTTGTTGTTCTAACCGATTTGGCACCGTTCTCACAATAAGATATATCTGCCGTGATCGCTCTGCCCAACGCAACACCTGCTCCGCTCCGACCGTCTCGGAAACCGCTTCCTGGAAGAGCGATCAATGCGCAGACTTTCGCTAAAGCGCCTCCTGCATCTTTCTACGCTGCATATCTGGAAAATTTGGCTGGACCGGACCCTTCGCCTTTGTCGAATTCTCTCTGGCAGAACTATGTGGATGCGGCTTCAAGCCCCATACAGATTGATGACCACAAAGCGCTCAAACCCGGCGGTCCCTACGCCTCCAGCAGCGAGCAAGGCTTTCTAGACACCACTGGGATACCGACCCTTTTCTTTCGGGATGACTTCGACCTCGGAAACCCTTTGATTTGGGAAAGCCTGACTCGGGGCCTGGAAGCACAGGCTGCTCCGGCGGACGACGCTGCCGTTGTCCACATGTTATCGGATCATCTTGACGTTTTGGAGACGCATTTGGTCCGGGAAGTTTCTCAGAGAGCGCCGATGTTCTTTTCCGCCTTGACCAACCTACAACATCTCACATCTGAGTCGGCTATATGTCTAGAGCAGATCACTAGTCTGCAAGCGACTCTCTCAGACCTCGATAACAGGGTCCCGCTGCACGGCCTGCTCGTCGCCGAAACTCAGCACGACCTGGATCAATGTAGACGGGTCTCTTCCGGCTTGGCAGCCATACAAGGAGCGGTCGACTCAGTGTATTTGGCTCGACAATTGAGTCAGAACCAGGATTGGACGGGTGCACTTGACGCTTTAACTGAATTGCAGCAGTGGTGTTCGAGGCACAACGGAACCGAGACAGCGATCAACCAACAAACTTCGGCTGCCCAGCGTGAGCCGCACACCCGTGGAGCGAACTCTTCCCTTCCGGCCCTCCCAGAAATATCGGAGGACATGAACGGAGACATACCAGCGATCGCAAGAGCCGAGAGCCGGGAAAGACTGACGCCTCTCGCGCTCGCATCTCTGTCGTCGATACAAGATGTAATCAGCAGCTTGAAGCCGATGATCGATAGTATGAGATCAGAAATAAAGGTATCTCTTTCTCAACATTTCAACTCTGCTATCGAAAGCCAGGCGGCAAGACTGGAGGGGAATCGAGGACTGACACCGGATACGCCAATGCCAATCTCGCTCGCTCAACCGATATTTCGCGCTTTCGTTCGATGCGGTGGCTCCGTTGGTGACATCGTTGGACTTTGGCGAATTGCATGTCTCAAGGTGGTCCGGGAAGGAATGCGGAAAGTAGGTTCCTGCAAGCGTTGCCCGTTCGCTTCCTATCTCACCTCGCGGTGTGAAAGCAGCACCTGCAGTTCGAAGACGTTTTGCCCGAAGATGACGCTGATGTCGCTCTGGAAATAAAGAGGTAAGACCTTGTGCATATGTGACCAGGCGCTACCCCGGATTGACAGCAGGACAATACAGCACCAGCCTCGGACTCGCACTCAAGTCCATGACACACCAAGCTTTCTTTGACTTGTGTACTCGAATGTACGACACTATGCTACAACTCCTGCGCAGCGTTCGAGAGGACAACCGGCAGCTTTCAGAGCAATTGCTGAAAGTGTCAGTCGCGAGTCGTAATAGCTTCACGAAGATTATCATCTGACCACCGGCGGGAGGTATACAGGGCGTCTGCAAACAGCGAGACGGGGATTTCCGGATCGATCGCAATATTCCCTGGCCCAATTCTTGACGACCATTACAACCTTGACGAGGATCTCCAGAACGTCTTGATCGACAGCTGTATACTCGCGAACGCCAGATCTGCCAAGATACTTGCGGCGAGATCTTCCGCTCACGCCGATCTGACCGGCGAGGAATTCACAGCGATAGTCTCGCGGAGTCGCGACTTTATCGTGCAAACCGAGATTCTAGCGGGTCAGATGATATCTCCGCTAAGAGCCTCGCTCACAAACCAAGTGGGTAGAGGCGAAGTGCGGAACTTCACTCGAGATACTGAACTCCCAGTCTAGGCCAGATCATTCCTGTCGGCATTCCACAATCAGCGCTTGCAAGCAGCGGCGAAACATGTAGAGGATGAACAATGGTCCCAGGCAGATATTCCTGGTGTTACTTGCCATGAGATAGGCAATCTTGTCTTGTCCGCGACCAAACAGCCAACAAAGGAACCCGAATCTGGCAGTAGCGACGAAAATCATCAGGTCGATCCGATGGCAGTCATGTCCAGCTCGCCGGCTAAATCACTCGATGTTGAAGATCAGACCTTCATTCTGGTTCCCGCTACGATAAAAACCCTTGACATGCTCATTTCGTATATGCGACTGCTCGTCGATCTGGATAGTATCGCAACAGACGTCATGGCGAAGATAGTCGAATTTCTCAAGGCAAGCCGCTCCGAGAGATAACTCAGTGAACAGAAAGGTCTGATTACCTGGATCTAGCAGGCATTCAATTCCAGGACCTGTCAAGTTGTTCTAGGCGCTGGTGCGATGCGATCCGCAGGGTTGAAAAACATCACCGCAAAGCATCTTGGTACGTGCAGCAAGTTCGTTGGTAGCGATGCTCTGTACTTCTGCTTACTTGATATATATATATATACAGCCCTTGCATCGCAGTCCCTCTCCGTGATGATCACGTTGATACCATATGTGCGAGAGTGCATCAGACGTCACCTCAACACTAAACAAGCCATCATGCTTATCGAATTCGACAAGTTGAAACGTGTAAGTCAACGAGGCCTCGCGTGTGAATCGCGCTAACCCTCGAACTTGTCCAGGATTTCCAAGAGCATCAATATGAGGTGCATTCCAAATTGGTCGCGATCATGGCGGACCGCCTGCAAATCCACTTGAATACACTCAAGGCGAGTCTTCGAATCGACGCTGATCGCGCGCTGAAATAGCTGATGTCGCCTTCCCATAGGCAATTGATTGGGAGTCTATATCTTCTGACAGCGTGAATGGATACGCCGAGCTGCTCGTGAAAGAGTCGACAACACTGCACAAGGTACTTTCCAAATATTTGGCGAAAGCTACCGTGAATGGGATCATGCTGCAGGTTGTCGAAGCCATTCGTCAGCGCATCGGGTCAGAATTCAGTCAATACGAGTTGCGCTCAGACGCGGCCAAGCGAAGGCGAGTTGCTTGGGCTATGACTGTCAGTGCTTGCGATTTGGGCTGAATGTTCGAAAAAAAAAATCCGATCGGGCCGAATTGTGCAGAATGGAGGCAGACGCAGCGTTCCTCGTTGAAGGTCTGGGCAAATTAACGGGGGACGATCTACCATCCCCAGTCTACGATCTTCTAACGCTAGTGAGGGCGAAAGCCGTGCCAAAGAAGGCAACGCAAATGAGCGCCTCTTTCAACAACTTCCTTCGGAGAGATAATCGTCAGAAAGCAACAGAAGCCACTCCTGTTGTCTTGGCAGAAAGCGAACAGATGCTAGACGCTAAAGCCGAAGCCTTGGCTCTTGAACCCGACTCGCCACTGGCGGAGCAGAACAACGATGAGAGTGTCCCGGTGGGCGATTCTGGCTCGACCCTGAATTCGGAAGGGTCGATGTCTGATCAGTTTGAAGAGCAACCCGGGTCGCCCACGCTACCGTCTGACCCCGCTGTGGAGGATGTCCAGCCAAGTCTAGGAAATCGCACATCGGAAGGTGTGGAAGCTGCCGACTATTTCTCGGTAATGGGCGTCTCGCCAAGCGCGAACGAGCAGGAGATCAAAAGGGCTTACAGAGGATTGATGGTCCAGGTCAGTTCGTTCTGGTGCACAAGGTGATGTCAAAGCCAAATTCTGATCCTCTCCCGCACCGCAGCTTCATCCTGATAAGCACAATACCGAGGCGAGGACTGGGCCGGGCACGACAATACAGTCTGAAGATGACTTGAAAGCGCAACGCCTGCAACTCGTTTTTGAGGCGTATCGCGTCCTTTCAAACCCTGAAGCTCGTCTCGCTTATATCGCCCAACGATCTCACAGTGGGCATCGTGCAGCTACTAAAGCATGCTCAATGCGAAACTGACTACCCTGTTGCACCCTTGCAGGTGCAAGTCTTCTGCCGACGATCGGGTCCTCAAAGCCCGCGACGAGAGAAATCTCGCTTGACGAATTCGATTTCCACGAGCCGCCCGAAACCCCGGATCGGCCGACAACTGCTACTGACGTAGCATACTATTCGCATCCTTGCCGGTGCAGTCATGAACTTGTGATCACGGAAGAAGAGCTGGAGAGTGGACACGATCTCATAGATTGTGCGGGATGCGGCGAACGTATAGGTGTACGATACCAACGTGCTGAAGAAATTGAAGAAAATGTATAAGCAATCCTCAGCCGTAATGACATGTGCACTGCGACCAGCAGATCAAGCAAACCCGATTATCTTCCGCTGATCTCAGAAGGCAGACCTGGCCAGTGTTATCATCACCTTCTCAACTATTGTATCAGCTACTAACTCGAGCTTTGTGTATATCCGGATCACGCACGAGTCACAGCCGGTCATAAATGGAGAGGAGAGCACCGGCCAGTTTGCAGCAAATTCGATGGCTTGATTTGGAGAGCACGATCTCGCGATTTTGCTAAGATTCCTCTCACCTTGGTGTCGAAAGGCATTTGATACAATACCCGACTGGGCAATTCTTGTCGCTTCTAGTCAAGCCTAGTGGCAGCGGGGTGCATCACCGAACGACTTGAATGAGGCTCGCAGCGCGGTGTAAACAGTCACTAGTTAGCCGGTCATAAGGCGTCAGCTTATATAAGGTTGCAACTGTGATCACAACTTGTGACCAGAATCTCAACTTTAAAACTACAATTACGCATCTGTGTCTGCAAACACATTTGTGCAACCTGTTATAGCCATGCGAGGTATGACTATATGTGTTGCTGAACGGATATTCCTCCAGTGACCCCGGCAGAGCAGGTACTTATAGGATACTATAGGCAATGTTTAACTACTACAACCAGCTTTGTATCATGTAGTTCATCTGCTATCACACTCATTTATCTATCTACCACCCTACACAAGTCCTGAAGAAACCACAGGATGCTAGCAACCTAAGACGGCCTAAGGCGCATCATTGCATTTACAGTCACGTATTCACATCTACAGTCGCATATTTGCGTTTACAGACACATGTTTTGGTACATGCTATTCTCTGAGATTGTACATATATTTAGGAGTGCCTACAAGGAGGAATGGGTCATGACTTTTCTCTTCTATGAGGACTCAGACCTCTTATCACTACTGTTATTCCCATTGCCTTTACCTTTCGCTTCATTCCTTTCACCCTTTCACTTCATTCCATTCACCCTTTCTCTTCCCAGCTTTGCACCTTTAAATATCAAGAATCATCAAATAGGACAGTGTTGAGATAACTGCAACATATCCGGTTATAAATTCAGTTGTGAGATTTACTCCTCTCTCATATAAGAGTTGGCTTACTTCACAACTTCATGCTAGCAGATCCACTTCTCTTCCTTATGGCTATGGAGCGAGTTCAACTTACAATTTGAAGGAAGGCTACCAATTGAAGAGGAAGGGCTGGCGTTCAAAGCGGCGGTCAAAGTGGTGGATAATGCAACGATCTAAGCAACAATTGGATAGGAGGTAATCAAGGTGGTAGTTGGAGTGACAATCAAAGCGGTGGTCAATGATACAGGGAGGACAGGCCAATTGCGCAAATCATACCTTTGTAGGGTGTACATTGTAGATGGTGCGTTGTACGTGGTAGATTGTAGATCGTTCATTGTGTGGGGGCCGAGCTGGTATTGGTTTGCAGCAGGTGGAGATGCAGTTGATGTGAATTTGGGTATAGCAAGTGATGAAACGATCATCTCCCATCGTTCTTCTCACCACTTGCCCTCCTTCTCAAAATTCATTCTTATATAGCAGACCGAGACTTTCCTTTCACCTCTCAATGTACTGCCTTGATTCCATGCACGCGATATTTGCCTGCTGTTGGCTCTTACATGCACATGAGAACTAGTATCTTAGTCCCGGGACAAGCCTTTCTACACTTGTTAGTGCGTCTCTTGTACTTCTCCATAGAAGCAGGAGGAGATACTGCTTGGTAACAAGCAACTGTCACATGCTCCATAGTTTCACATTACATACTTTGTAGACTGTACAATGCACTTTGTACTTTGTACCCTATACCTTGGACATTGTGCTGTATTTTCATGATCCTAGCAATTCCAAGCAATCACAAATCACAAAATGATTCCATCTCTGTCTTGAATTGAGAACTGAATCTACCAAGGTTGCATACCATACCAATTTGCAACAACTTTGGGTCTATCTACAACAATTGGTTGACGTGTGATTGGGAAGCGCAAAGGTAACAAGACTACCGAAGACAATTTAATAAATGTACCAGCTCTTTTTATGATTCAACGCATGACATAGGAGACAAATTGTTGTTTCCAAACCATCTGACCTCACCGTCTATACCAGAGTCAACAGGTACAAGGACATATATTGAAATTGATCATTGCCAAACGGATGTCTGCTTACCCAAAAGATAGACACGCCGATTGGGACAAGGAACAGTAGACATACTGAACTTGGGGAAGACAAGAGTCATATTAAGAAGCAACGAAAGATAATACCTAAGAGAGAGAGAGAGAAAATGAACCCATACATGGTACAGATGACACATTGGCGATCCAAAGACATTTGAGGATGAACCATCCATATTTCCCACCTTGCCCAAATATGACAGACAGATTGCAACAAGAGAAGAACGTAAGACAGACTTAGCATGAATTGGTCATGTGACAGGGCTTGGGGAACAGTACAGCAATCTAGGTGAAGTCAGATACAATGTACCTCTCACGTTCTGTCCTACCTTGCTTTTATAACAGGAGGAACAAGCGTAATATTCATAGTCAGATGGGATAGCAGAATGTTTGTAACCATGCTACAAGTTGGCCACATCAGATGAAGTGTGTTGGATGGTGCAAGTAAGCAGTTGCCCTCCCTCACCCCATATGGTCTGGTGCACCGGCCATCTCCTCCATTGGATCAATCGACTCTCATAACCTGTATTGAGAGGCGCATTGCTATATGGATCTGGCATAGCCTCATGGGAAAGAAGCCGGCGGAACAATCCGAAGTCTGCGTGTTACCTCCCAGTCAGACTGTGGATCCTCATTCAGACAGCTGGTACTCTTTGTGGCGCTGCAGGCATGTTGCTTCATTCAGTGAGCATCACCATGCTTGGTCAACAATCACATGCCCATGTTGACGCTGACTTTTGCTCTCCTCAAATTGTAAGTTGGAACCCCTGACCTATTTTCCCATTACAAGAAACAATTGGTCGTGTTGGGGCGCTAAAGATCATCACAAGACACTTTCCAGAATTTGGTCGGTAAAGAGCCCTGGAAGAATGCAAACGGGCTGACTTGGGCAGACACAGGACTCTGTTTCATTGCGTACATGGTATTAGAATGCCTTGCTTGGCAATCGAATGTGGAAGGTCAGTCCAATGACAGATGCGTAGTGACTCTCAGTCTCTCAGTTTGACTGATCCAATACTACTGGTTGCATCAGCAATGTGGGCCTGCACTCCAATCAGCAAAACATTGACTGTCGAGTCTTGGTGGATGTCAATCAAGGGCGGAATGCTGAGTCACAAGCCAAGCCCTCTGGTTCAGAGTTTCATTTTACAAGCAGGCACCCTAGCAAAAGCCCTTGGTTATCTAGGCACATCATAGGGACAGGTAGAGTATGCTGCGGCCACAAAGAAGCAGTGTACAAAGTGACATGAAGTCGTTGTACATGTATCAGAGAGTCGATCACATCACTCCAACCCACTTCATGAACATTCCATACGGCCCAAAGCGTCATCACCTTGAGCAGACCACACTCAATGGATTCTCATGCAGATTTATGTTTCCCAGCCAGCCAGTGTTCGCCTGGTGAGAAGGCTGAGAAGGCTAACCAATGGCCAAGACAGGAGTGGGGGGAGAGCAGAGGTCGTTGGCGGTGATGGTGTGGGGAAAGACTTAGACAAAAGCATATGGATGAAAATGGGGTTGGCAGTTCTGCCATTAAGAAAGAATCTTGAAAGAAAAACTTGCTTCAATCCTCATAACCTGATCGTCAATCCTGACAACAGAACAACTCTTCCGGGTTGATCAAGGATAAATTCTTGTGACCAGACTAACGACTCTAGTCAATAAACAAGTGACTTGCATGACTTGACGTCATAATGTGTCTTACCTGGTGTATATGCGCAACCCGACGAAAAACTCACACCAAGTTCCTCTGCAATCCCGTCCAGTCAAGTTGAACCACTTCCTCCCTTGTGCTTACTGGCTGTTGGATAATGTTACAGATCTCCAGGAGACCAATCATCTTCCTATATACCTAGATAGTCGCCTCTCGGAGCTTCGATAATCCTCACAGCTCAAGGAAGCGGGATGATGTGACCTGATTGAATGAGATGCAAAGCGCTGCAAACAAGAGTGTCACAAAGGACCACCGCTCAGAGGTCTTGCCGAGGCGGGTCCTAGTTAGAAAGAGGGTGACGATGCAAGAGAGGGTGAGGGTAACGATGCAAGGGACGGCAAGGACAACAATGCAAGCAAGGGCAAGGTGATGGTGCAAGAGGCTCTTCTGGTCATGAACATTAGAAGTGGATGTGTTATACAAACAGATTAATAAATGCATAATCTGGACACAAGCGAGTCTTGTATATATTCATGCTGCCCTAATGGTTTTACACCCAATATCAAATAACACCTATGCCCTCTCCTTCCCCTTGTCGTTCCTCCCCTGCTTCCCCTTCTCCTTTCTGTCCTGCTTTGCCTTCCATTCCTTTTTCGCCTTCCCATCCTTCTCCGCCTTCTCGTCCTGCTGCACCTCCTTGACCATAGAGGCCGCAATCTATTTTGGAATAGAGGTACTCTGTAACCTTGCACCAGCTAGCGGTTTGGTAGGAAAGGTGACCGAAGGAATGACAAACTACAACATAGCCAAATGCTCTAGCTTGTCCTGCATGGCCTGGTGTTCCAAGTAAGCCATGGGAGTTCCTGCTGATGAGCCATTTCCTCATGGCTCTCCAGATCCCTGGCTGCAGCTCCATCACCATCCAATACAGCCAGCCCATCCAACACGCACAGAACAATATGCTTCCATCTGTCTTCCTGCGGCTTGTCATGAGGTCTCGCGACTCCTCTGACATGAGGGGCAGGGTTTGACAGGTTGAAGAGATATTCCACCATTCAGATAGGGTACAAGCAGCAAGGTAGCATGAAGGCTTTGATGAAACTCGGTGTCTAGAGGGATATTAGTCAAAAGGTTGTGAGGATGATGGTGATAACAATGATATTGGCTTTGATCGGCAGCTCAAGAGAAGGTCCGTGACAAATATGTGATGCTCTCTCTTCTTTGTCCACAGGTACTTAAGACAGTTGATGTCTTTGACTGTATCCAGCTTCTTCAAGCTTGCATGACCACTCTAGGTGTTTTTATTGATTTGTTAATCAGCTGAAGGAGTGTAGTGGCTGGCATACATTGTAGACCAGGGTCACAGCAATGTAT